CCTAAGCCTAAGCCTAAGCCTAAGCCTAAGCCTAAGCCTAAGCCTAAGCCTAAGCCTAAGCCTAAGCCTAAGCCTAAGCCTAAGCCTAAGCCTAAGCCTAAGCCTAAGCCTAAGCCTAAGCCTAGGCCTAGGCCTAAGCCTAGGCCTAAGCCTAGGCCTAAGCCTGGGCCTGAGGCCTAAGCCTAGGCCTAGGGCCTGGGGCCTGGGGCCTGGACAGGCCTGGGCCTGGGGCCTGGGCCTGGGCCTGGGCCTGAGGCCTGGGCCTGGGCCTGGGCCTGGCCAGGCCTGGGCCTGGGCAGGCCTGGGGCCTGGGCCTGGGCCTGGCCCAGGCCTGGGCCCGAGGCCTGGGCAGGCCGGCCAGGCCTGGGCCGGAGCCTGGGCCAGGCCTGGGCCTGAGCCGGCCCGGGGCAGGCCTGGGCCTGGGCCCGGGCCTGAGGCCTAGGCGCGGCCAGGCCGAGGCCTGGGCCAGGCCTAGGCCTAGGCCTGGGGCCTGAGCCAGGCCTAGGCCTAGGCCTGAGCCTAAGCCTAGGCCCAGGCCTAAGCCTGAGGCCCAGGCCTAGGCCTAGGCCTAGGCCTAAGCCTAAGCCTAAGCCTAAGCCTGAGCCTAAGCCTAAGCCTAAGCCTAAGCCTAAGCCTAAGCCTAAGCCTAAGCCTAAGCCTAAGCCTAAGCCCAAGCCTAAGCCTAAGCCTAAGCCTAAGCCTAAGCCTAAGCCTAAGCCTAAGCCTAAGCCTAAGCCTAAGCCTAAGCCTAAGCCTAAGCCTAAGCCTAAGCCTAAGCCTTGTAATAAAATTTGATTCAATATTTGTTTTAATGCATTAATGGGCAAGAGAGTCTGATTTTTTGAGCTGGTAGTACCTAGCATGACATTTGAAATTTTTTGAACGAATTCATTTCATGTACATTTTTAAACTATTGGATCGCTGGGTATGAAATTTATTTTTCCGATTGATCTCTAAACTCATAAACAAAACGGAGGTGGGGGCTGTTGCGTGAAACTGGTAAAGTCAAGAACACTTTTCCAACACAATGAAACCGGGCTTCCCCACTTTCTGTTATTTCGAAATTTTGGCAACTTTTGCTGTGGCTATTGATAATCTGCCACCTGGACATCTGCGACACGTTATGTTGTACGAATTTCTACAAGCGTATTGTGAGAAAGGAGGAAAATGGATTCTAATTGTCAACTTTCGGTGAAAGCGTTCGCGTTCGGTGTTCGCATCAAAACCAAAAATTCCCTACGAGAGAGACATCCGGTCTTTGCCAGTAAAATGGGCTCAAGTCATCCAAAATAACCGAGAATATTTAGAATAATTGCATGTAAAATCTTGGACAAATCAGTTGTTTATTTTTAGCGACGTTTCATACCCATCAACCCAATACATAGTTGTCTGTGGCCGATTGGAATCGAATTTTTTCATGAAAAACATAAATCATTTACTCGGACATGCAAAACCCAAAATCAGTTTCCGGATTGATTTGTAAATTTTCAGAATTCATGGCCCAACTTCGTGGTTTTGGTGAATATTATGCGACTCAAGGGCATGGAGTGATGAGAATTTGGCTTGGGGCAAAATCATTTGTTGTTCTCCAAACCATTAAACCCGAGAATATCAAAGTAAATTCTCAATGAAAAACCCGTACAAAATAGAAAAAACTCAAGCGTGTTTTTTTCAAATGTCGATTGATGCGGTTAGGAAACAAAAAAAAGAAGAGAAACCCGATTTTGTCCATTTAACATAGCATGATGTGAAGGGTGTGAGTAGGGTGATGTTTCTTTGAAAAGACAAGAAAAGGTATGCAAAGCTGAAAAGCAAAAAAAAAGAAGAGATGAGAGAGGAGAGATGCTGGCATGCTCTCGGGGAGGCCAGCCCTTCTTTCTTTTACTTTCTCTTCGTCATCTTCCTTTCCTTTTCTCTTTCTTTTTTCATTCTCCCATTCAACCATTCATTTGTTCATCTCATCTAGAACTTTTCTCATTTTGCTTGAGGTCGTTGTGATCGCCTTTGAAGAAATAAAATTGTTTTTACATTTTATTTATTTAACCCTTTTGTAGATAACTTGTTGATTGCAAAGGTTTTCTTCCATTTCCATATATCATTTTCATATAATTCATGGCTAAAATTATTATAAAATAACTCTAGTCTACTCTTTTGATTGATGATAAAGTAAGTATATCTTAAACTTAATGATCTAGTGTGATTGGAAATCATAGTAAAAAATGTTATACTTTGAAAGAAGAAGGAAAGGAAAGTTGGAGTGAAGAGGGTGAAAGTGAAAGCAAACACAGTTTATGAAGAAAAAGGCGAAGAGTGTTTTCCCTGAGTTCCTTCGGTCCTTTCAGTTCCTTCAGCTCTTTCAGTTCCCTTCAATCCCTTCAGTCCCTTCAGTCCCTTTTGACTCTTCTGTCATCACTGCTGTAGTCATCCAATTATTCTTTTCTCAAATTTTCTCTATTTGGAGTTGCAAATAGACAGTTGACTACGCAGAATTTCTCATTTAATGCCTCGATCATTTTAAAAATTGGTTCTAGACCTTTTTCTTTCCTTACAATTAGTTTTAAAGTGTAATAATCCAAAAGATCTTCGTAGCTAAAAGTTTTTACCTAGCAAATGTAGATTTGAGATCTTCTTTCTCTTTTTTCCTCTTCACTGCGATGTTCACAATATATTCAGCTATGTAGATTAGGTTCCACATTGAAAAATTTTTAAGTTAACTATTCAATATTTTATTTTATTTTATTTTATTCAATTCAATATTCAATATTTATTTTTCTTTTAAACTGCGAGTTTTGATTGGAACAGATTAGGAAACCTTTCATCGAGAGATTTCGCTTTCTTCATCTTTCTGTAAAAGAAAATCTTGATTTATCCCTTATTCCTCTTTTTGCGTCAACCCTGATTGATTTGATAGAATAAAAAAATAGGTATATAAATGATGGCACTCTTATCCCCGCAAAAATATTTACATTCAAAAGAAACCGCTCCATCTCTACTTTGTCTCTATTTGCATTAGAAATTATTGCTATTTCGAATTTTGCGGAGATAAGAATGACAAGTATCTACCTAAATGATAGAATAACTTTTAGAAATGATGAAATCAATCGAAAGCAAAGGTTGGCTTGAATATGAAAGTGGGCATGCTTGGTGTGAGAGTGCTTACAAATACAACACCCATCCACTTATTGCTGAGTTCGCCAATACGGTATTTTGGAAAATCATTTTAATTTTGTACTAAGTTAAAGTAGTTAATCCTTTTAATTAGGTAAAAGGTAGGAATTTCCTCTACGTCATAAACTAATATCCTTTCATCTAAGTATTGAATTTTGCCAGGCAAAAGGAATCACAAATATGAAATCCCTTTGAGTTGTGCTTCTAATTGGCAGCTTTCAGGTAACAAATCTTCCAATAATTGTGCTACCATTAGTGAATGCAATGATGATGCGCAAATACATCAGAAAGGTTGCTCAAAAAGTTCAAACGGTAAAACGTTCATTGTAAAGGTGAATTCGGGAGTGGTTTGGCCGAATCTTTTGCTGGCATTTAATGGGATCGCTTCTACATATTATCATGCAACGCTCAATCTTTTTGGTGACCCTTTTCTTCTTCGTACATGCCATTACAATAGAGAAAATACGGTATTTATTAAAAAGCAACTTAAGGCCAACTCGTCGACGAATTGTCGATTTTATGGATTCTCAACATATTTCTTGTCGTTTACATTCCTGTGATGCAATGGTTTCCAGAAAAACATAAAAAGAACATGTAAGCGTTTCTTTTTTACTCACAATTTCGTTTTTTTTTCTACAACAATGAAATATTTCAGACCTTTATTCCGATGGTCGGTCATTATTTTGGCTTCTTTCATTTCGACTTTGTGTTTCTTTGAGCCAAATTTGAACGCTCTTGCTTTAATGACTTATACAATTCCCGGATCAATGGTGGTACACTATGAAGGAAAACAGTAATCATTCTAATCATTCATAAACATTGGGAAATAAATTTTTCAGTGCGAATCTTCCGGAGATCGCAAATTTTCCTCGACGAATCTTCATTTTGTGGGGTTTAGCTATCAGTTGTTGGTTTTCTGATCGACTCGTCTGTGATCTGTGGCTATATTTAGGTACAATTTCTTTTTGAGAGATAAATGTATGTTAGGATGCTCAAATGATGCTCTAGATTGGTATAGATTCTCCAAATAGATTAGGCAAAAAAAGAAGAAGAGGTTACCGTAGTTTTCGAAAGTTGACATATGTGAGCGTTACAAATTGTTATACCTTGTATAAACTTAATTTTAAAACATTAGAAAATAATTACAGGTATTCCTTACCTACATGCAATTTTCCATCTGCTTTCATCTGTTGCTGCATACAATATTTTTGTCATGTTCAATATGATTGACATTGAAAAAAGAAATAAAGAACACAAGTAAGTTTTCTCTTTCTTTTTTTTTTGTATTCTATTTAACAAGTACTTTTCTTGAATTCGAAAAGAATATGAAAGTGTTTTCAGATTTACGGCTTCTATTCGATACTTTCCGTCTAAAGCGAGCACTATTTGGTCATTGCCATATATAATAATGAGAGAAAAAAACTTCTAGTGTTTGGAATAAATAAAAGCATCAAATTTCAATTTGAATCATTGAAATGACTTTTCTCTAACACCACTGACAATTGAGTTTTACGTTCTTTTTTCATAGACATCGCAGACTTTCCTGTTTTCAGTCAAAATGCATTGAAAGCATTGCTGGCATTAACGAGAGAAACTGCCTTTATTTTAATTGAAATGACCTCCTCACACACGTACTCTCCGTTAATCAATCAACTTTTCCCACTCACCCCCACCCGAAAATTCTTTTATAAGGGTTTTCTTACAAAAAGCATCATAACTCCTCTCAAATTTAATATTTTTTCTTTCTCTTTTCAGTTTTTGAAATCAGAAACATTTTCTCATAGTTTAACAATATTACGAGTATGACTTGGGCTCACTACCAAATTAGTCAAAAAATTGGGTAATTAAATCGAAATGGGTAAAAAAAATCAAAGTCGAATCTTGTTATACAATCCTGTTTTATAGTTAGTTTAAATTCAAATCCCCATCTTCTCCGTACTTTAACCATTTCAAAATATTACACTTATCAAAATTTTATTATGCAATACCCGCTGATAATATGAAATCCATAAAATAGTTCGGTTCAAAAGAGTTGAATTTTTGAAGGTAAGTTTTCGTTACTAGCATTTTTTAACTTTAAAAACTTTCAAATTTCATCTATGATAAAAAGCTTTTGCATAAAGAAAAGCCTAAGAATTGATTTCAATATTTAATTTTCCAATGAGTCGGTTGTTCACAATCTTTGTTTCCATCTGGACACATTCGATTGAAAGTGGTTGATGCGGGAAAATTGAGAATTTCTCTATCTTCTGCGATTCGAAATGAAAAAGTTGATACGTGTGATCCGGTAAAGAAACGAGCTTTTGAACAAATATACTAAAAAAGTTAGGTGTTGTTTAGGTGTTTTTTAGATGTTTTACCTGATGAATGATGGCGATTTCACCATCACCAAGATCTTCGTTTTCATATGTGATGATTTCAATTTGTCCTTTGACAAGATCTGGAACTTTTGATATCTATTGATGAATTGAGGGAATACCCTGTAGTCGATAAATTTCTTCAATTGGGGCATCTGTAGAAAGGAATACACGAGAAACAGAATATTGTTTTGTTAGAGTTTTTATCTAAAGTCGGATTACTGTTCATTACTGATAATCGGATTACTGTAGTTCACCTGGATTACTCCAAAATGTTGATAAAGAAACTTACAAGTTTGGCCGTCCCCTTTATACTAGGCAATTCATCACCGTGAGCTCTCACAAAATCTTTCCTCCTCCAATGCAAGCAAATATATGGACCACCCTGAAACATTTGATCATCGTTGTTCTTTCCGATCAGTGTTTCAGAAAGCAAACTATTCGTTGGGAAACTACACCTTATTATTACCCTTTCTGATATTTTCCTACTTGTGACCTTTTTCCGAGAAAATCCTCGGTTGGCGCTTTAAAGCGTGGTAAAACTACCATACCCCTCCCAAGCGTGAAATTTAATTTTTTTTCGGTTTTGTTTATTTCATTTTATGCTTTTTGTGTTTTTCCGATGTGGTCGCGTTTTTTTTTCAGGAAACAAAGGGAATAAAGCTACAAGTGAAGGTCACGAAATCAAGGTGGCCAATCGAAATGAGACCTAGTCCAATGAAGATGCAGAATTTTACGCTGATTCCGAATCTGCTGACCGTTTTTACCACGCTTTAAAGCGCCAACCGAGGATTTTCGCGGAAAAAGGTCGCGAGTATTTTCCTACGTTTACATTTTCGCTCACTTTTGCCTCGTCCTCTTTTTTTGTTTCCCACTTATCTGGCAATTGTGTCCCATCTCTCACGTCATTTCCTTGCAATTTTTCTTTCCTGAAAGCTTTCTTTAAATGTTTACATTTTTTTTCGCTTTTACCTGAAAATATCTCCAAGATATGTTAAATGTGGTGCATATCTCATGCTTCTTCTTGCTCTCCAATATTCTCGATCTCCAAAATCGGCATGCATCACTGTCTCCAATCGATCGATATACAATACTTGTCTATTTATTCACATATTAATTCAGTTTTTCTTATTTCTTTACTCATTCGGATAATCTTTCATAATCATCTCGACAAATGTATTTGAATCTCCTTGAAATGAAATACATTTAAATCGATTAGCAAGAATGTTTGAGTATGAAAAGAACCATCCTCTCCTAGATTGTTTTCAATTTTCTCTTTACATTTTCCAAAATACCAACCATTTTTTTGTTTCAGTGTCCCTTCGATAGACTCTTTGCGCATCTTCGAGACATTCTCTGTAAAAATATTGAAATTTTAGAAAGTTTTGGAAGTTCAATTCAAGATTCAATGCAAACCTTTTATCCCATTTCATTTCATAATGCTCTCCCCAACCTTCCTTATAATGCTGAAGATAAATGACAAGTGGCAATATATCATTTCCATGTACTATGAAACAATTCACAATTGAGAATTCATCATTTTGCATACCTTGGAGGAACTCATCAAATTCAATTACAGGCACGAAACGAGCCATTGATCTTGTATCGAAAAATGTAGACCATGGAAGTCGTACGGCTCGATCTCCCCAATGATACAATCCTCCCCATGGTGGTAAAACTAATACAAAATCTTCGCCTGAATTCATTTCTTGGATTTTCTTTTTTTTAAAATCAAACCTTTCTCTCTGAGTGTTCTCACCGCATTCGCAACTCTCATATAAACATCCCGTCTCAAATTGAAACCTTCTCCCGGATTCACATCATAAATCAAATATCTACAACTCAAATATGTTTCTTTTTTGTTATATATAAGAATTACCTTGTATTAGACTTCTGAAAAGCATCAGAAGCAAGAGAATATTTGTCTTTATTTATTTTTGATACGGTTTCTTCATTCGCAACAATCACAGTGATCATCCACAGAAACCATATTAACATACTTTGATTTGATTTCTAAACAATACTTTTATTATCTTCATGATTCAAACTATAGCTTATAAGAGTCTTGAGTTGAAAGTATATAAGTAACAAAAATGAGAAGGACTAAAATGTGCCCCAATCCAGTTAGATGAGGCGAAAAAGATAGACTAAACTAAGCCCTTCTCATATGAAATATGAACAAATGGCTGTCGAAAAAATGAGACACAAAGTAGAGAAGTGAGGTGAAAAGGGAGAAAGCGTTTGTGTGTTGGCTTGTGTGTCTCATAGTCAGTTTGATCTATTCCACCTATCCCCCCTCGCCATCCCATTCTCGGCCTTCCCTCTCTTCTACCCCCTTCCCCTTCCCCCATCCCCAATACCTTCATCCACACACACACCACTCGCTTTATATTCTCCCATTCAACTACTCGTTTCATTCAACTAAAAGTATCAAATCACGATTTTATTCAACTGTGTACATAAATTACTAACGTGGAAATATTTCGATTTTGTACAAAATATTGGAAACGATTTTCTGGAAAGAAAAAGCTCAAAATGAATTGATATGCACTAAAAGGAAAGAAAAACCAGTAAAACGATCATGGACTTATTAAAGCCAAAAGTCATTTAATGTTAAAACTGAGACATACATAGTGATCGAACTGATATATTTACGAAGTACATATTTCGGGTCACCAAAAAGTAGACAACCTGAGTAGGGATCACAATGACAATGGGAAAAAAAGAAAGAAATAAAAGGGTCAGCAGATGTTCCAAGATTATGGGAAAACACTAAAGTGCTTTAGCATTTAATCTAGAAACTTTGGGAATAAAATGTGAGAATCACAGATGCAGATGGCCGCCAGATATCACAATTAAAGTTACTTTGTTGTAATTAGATTTAAATATTAAGTTGTTATCACTATTAAAACCTAAAGCAGGTTAGTTTAATAGTCCGTGGAAAGGGGACAACATCAGGGATGTTTCAATCGAGCTCTAGGGCTAGGCCAGATCAGACCAATTCATTTATCAAATATTCATCGAAATTGGGCTCAATTTGCAGTTAACTGTTCACTAATTAGTTACTATAAATAACATAGGCAAAATAAAATGGACAATCTATGAAAAAAGGCGTCAAAAATTACATCAATCGGGAGAATTTGTTGGTGAGGAGAAAAGAAGAGATGGGGTATTTGGAGAGGGAATTGTATATGGAGATGGTGATAGAAGAGAACTTGAGCCAGGTTGGCTTTGTTGCTGCTGTTGTTCATGATATGAAATAATCTTCTCTGAGCATGGTGATACAGGTGTCCCTCCACCACTATCAACATCCGCGTCTCCACTTTCTACATGTGACAGCGCTGAAAAGAAATGAGGTTTCTTTATTTCTATGCATGTAAAGTTGAGCTACAGTAAAAGGCGCCTTAGAGGGCTTAAATATTTCCTCACTCGTACATTTTATTGGTGGACGAGGTTGAAGACTGTGTTGTTCAATGGCAACAATGATTTTGTGCATCCAAGTTTTCATGTCATTTTGTGTATAACACGAAAAATAATGAGATATTGGGCCACGATGAATGCGAAAAACACTGAAAATTCAAATAAGAATAAGGGAATTTCGATGATAATCCTTACAATTTCTTGCTTGTCTTCAAATCAGTTGCATCGGTGACAGCACAACGAAGCACACTGATTACTAGGTCAGCTTTCTTTGACTAAAATCTTTTTATAGACGGTTTCTTATAACTTTGCGACATACAAATTGATTGGGATAAACATAAAGAAATGGCGCTCGAAGAGCCATCCAACACTTTGGCCATTTATTTGTTTGGATGCTCCCCGCGGCCAATAATTCATCGTTCGTTTTTCTGAAACTCATATATTGTGTTTTTTTTCCATGTTTGATACCTTCTTCTCAGCCATCCCTCAAACGTTTTTCCCTGTAAAAGAGTGCATGGAATATCACTGGCAGGAGGACCGGAACCATCAAAAATAAACGGTGACGAAATATGAGTACGACTTGATGGAGTAGCCACCGGACTGAATAATGCTTTGAATTATTGTTAATTGTATACTATTTTCGTTTTTCGTTTCATGGCTTAAGAGTGTGTTCATCCCAATTAATGCACTTTCAAAAACATGTCAACTTTTTCGACTACCGTAATCTTCATATGATTCACGAAAAGATACTAAATGTTGATAGATTGGGCAAACAATGGGACCAGATTACAGTAGTAGGCTAAAGTGGGTGAGTCTTAGAAAATGTATTGCCTACTTAAGAGCCATACACTCTAGACTTACCTGTGAAGACTTGTGATTGAAGAGGTTGATGGGGATGCGAGTATAGCTCCGCTTGCCTGAGCCCAGCCCCAAATTGAGTCGTCAATTGCCTTGCGAACACTAGAATTTTCAATCTTATATGTTTACTTTGATTGTCAACATTTCTGTACCTCGGTGAATCAAGACTTGCTGCAGAAAGAGAGCTATCTGCAAGAGGAGTTCTATATCTCATTTCTCGTGCTGATGTCGCCTCTCTAATTGGGGCACTCCATTCGGGATCACTTATTTTCGGGATTATGACTCCGAGTTGCGCTAATTCATTTGGAGCGACAATATCAATTTTAGCGAAGTCGCTTGGACCTAAATATTGAGGCATTAAATGGATAAAGCTTTTGACGATTTACATTTGGTATTAAATGGAAGTTGATCATCAGTGACATCATCATCAACTTGAGTGATAAGCTGATTATCAACAAAAGACCGTACATATCCATCGGGTTGATGTCTCATTGTTCGGGCACGACGAATCACTCCTCGAGTACCTGGATAAGGCATAAAATGAGATATAAATATGAGATATGAAACCGTCATGAATAGAATTTGGTTTAAGTAGTGCAAGCAGATCGAAATGGGTGTGATGATTATTGTTGATTCGAATAGGAGGCGGACTTCCACCACAAACCGTCGCCCTTCGACGAGGTTCCGAACCACTGAAAAGGTAGCTTTTATCCATTTTACTTTTGAGTATATATGTACAGTACCGGACAGAATAATATCAACCCCTCGCAAAAATCCCATCTTCAAGCCCTATTTTCGGTATGTAAACGTGGAAGTTACCCCCAAACACCATATATATTCTGAAAGCTCAATTCAAGATCTAGCGAATGGTATATTTTGTATTTCAGTTTAGATTAGTTTTTGAAGCATTTCAACCCTTCAAAGATGACCACTGAAAATTTCAACTTTCAGAATGATTTTTTTCTCTATGATAGCAGGCTCCAATCGTCGTTCGACATCATTTCGTAGATGGAAACCTGTTAAAACCGGTTAAAAACCACTTTATCTAGAGCAAAATTTAACTAGGGATTCGAAAACCGTGGTTTCTGGACGATTGGAGCCCGCTATCATAGAGAAAAATTCATTCTGCAAGTTGAAATTTTCAGTGGTTATCTTTGAAGGGTTGAAATGCTTCAAAAACTAATCTAAACTGAAATACAAAATATACCATTCCCTATCATAGAGAAATTCGATAGATCTTGAATTGAGCTTTCAGAATATATATGGTGTTTGGGGGTAACTTCCACGTTTACATACCGAAAATAGGGCTTGAAGATGGGGTTTTTGCGAGGGGTTGATATTATTCTGTCCGGTACTGTACATATGCAGTTCACCCTTCTTCTGTTGTTCTAAAGCCACCAAGGCTCATCAGAACCCAGACTCTTGCCTCGCCCACAAGATCAGCGGATCCAAATGAAAATTTCCGTTTAGTTTTATTTGTTGTGTTACACTCTTTTCTGAATTTTTTCCAAATAAAATAATCGTTATTGCGTAATTTTTGGGCCAAACTATAGAGAATTGGCACAGTCTAGAAACTCAAGGTATCGAGCACTTTTTTAATTATTATAATTGTGATCATGACGCTCCTCTATTTTTTTGTCTCTATGACCTAACTTATTTCACCACGGCAATTGGAAATGTGAGAGCGTTTATCAACCAAAAGTCTTAAAAAGGTTGACGCAGAGGCGAAAACAACACTTCAACACAAAAAAGAAAGGAAAAAAATGGTTTAATTCCTTATATTTATTTCTGCTACCCAAAAATTTAATACAGATGGACCTCAAACCAACTTTTTCTTCCCGAGATGAAAAACAACTAAAACGGGACATGACTTGGATAAAAATGACACCACAACAAAAGATACGACAGTAACAGAGTAAATTATTAAAACCTACCGTAATAACTTTAATGGTAGCGCCCTCCCCTCATAATGACGGGGTATTGCCGCGTAGTCTAACTTTACACGCTCCGCTCTCCGCGCTGTTTTATGCTACAGTGTGCGTTTGGAGTCAAATGATAGCCCTTGAAATCTAGTATTTTTTGGTACTAAAAGTGTAGTTGGGAAAAATCTAGGAGCTGAGAAAAAATTACTTTCTAAAAGAAGTTAGACTACGCGACCGTACGAGGGCGGGGGGCTACTATTACAGATATTACGGTAGGTATTATAAAGGCGATAAAGGCCAATAAGCATGCAAAAAATTAAAATCGGCGAAAAATCTTTTTTAAACGAAAGCGTCTTTTCTTAGGTGCAAGTGTCTCATCATTAGTGCTTCTAAAACAAAATCGATTAAAAGCCACCACACGGAACACAAAATTCAATTATATTGTTGTTATTTAAAAATATTTTTTAAGATTGTCAAACACTTACTGACTACTTGCAGATTGTGCGGATGACTGAAGACCACCTTTAAAGAATCGTTGAAGCACGGTTTTGAACGTAGAGGATCGACGCCTTTTAATTGGTGAACGAGGCTCAATCTTAAACACTTTGACTTTTCTTTAAAGTGCAGTGATTTTACCTCGGGAAGCTGCTTTGAATCATCTTCATCAATAGCAAAGTTCGAAATAAGACTTCCAGGTGCGAGATTCGTAAGAATTCGAGGGGCTTTTGGCTAAAAAAAGTTATTGAGCAACAAACATACGTTTGCATAATAAAATGTTTTTAGAAATTTAAAAGCTACAACGGAGAACGAAATGCAACATGAAAAAGAAATAAAGTACCTTGGGCGTCTCTCGTTCACGTAGAAGTGTGTTAGCAGGAAGATCGAGATTGGGCATTTTTCGAAGCACAAGAGTGAGTTCCGTTCTCCTTTCAGCACCCGACCCAAGGCGTTCAGCAACAGCCGACAAGTCCCATCCAACTACTGTTTCATCATTGATCATCAAAATTTCGTCTCCAGCATCTACTTGACTGCACAAATCCGCCGGCGAACCAATCTTCACAAAGAATATTATTGAGCACAAAACCACTATTAACATACCTTGATTTCAGAAATCACGTGAGCACCACGATACGAAGAAAATAAATTCAATCCCTAAATAGATTTGTTCAAAAAAAAGACTATAGGTTGAGTCATACCCAATGTGTTGTGGAGCTATGCCGCCGAAGCACGATCTTATCAATGTAAGATGTCGAAATAATTAATGGATCGTCGCACTCACGTATCACCCAATCACATTGATCCCTCAATTCATACGCTCTCTAAATAAGGGGGTTTCGCTAAAAGAAACTTTAAGATCACTCCAACCTTGATAATTTCGCTGCTACTGTTGAAAAGGATTTTAGGAGGGACATTTATCATTCGCAGAACTTGGAGCACAATGACAAGTACCCGCATTCGAAAGTCGATGTAACACTGAATTGAGTCAAAGGGACTCCTAAAGTGCAAGAAAGAGTTTAGAATTTTTAAACTAAAACCTGTCTAGCCAAAAAATGAGCTTTTTTGCACATTCGTCCAAATTTGAAATAGTCTTTGATACTTCATTGAGAATAGTCACCATCTATATAAACCATTGTAAGCACGTTCAAATGAAATCAATTCACTTGAGTCCTTGTATGTGCGGTTTCACGTAATCGCTGAGAAGTCATCATTTCACGCGCGAGAGTCACTGCTGCTATTCGCACATTCATTGTCAGCATTTGCAGATTTTCCACTCGCAACTCTGCGCACTAAACACTTTGATTTTAAAGATCTCAATAATTTACACTGTCGTAGACCTATCTTATAAAACATTTAAAATCCTAGATACTTTATAATTTCGAAAATTTCAAAACTCACATTTTGTATAAGCAGTTGAACGGCTTGACAAATAACTCGTCGTGGACCAAGTTGAGCTATCTGAACTTCGTTGTCAAAAGTCTGAGAAAATAAATGTACTCCAATTCTCGATAAATAATCGTCATCAACGATTAAAAGATGTTTTCCGGAAAGAATATTTGATTCTAGGAGATGAATCCATGGTTTCACACATTCACCAATGCCTAAACAGTATTAAATTACTATTAGCAACTAATAAAAACGGCGACCTTCAATCCATCGAATAATCTGTTTACTTGTCCAATTTTCTACGTAAGTGCTGAAAGTTTTCGAATCAAATGATGTCTTGGTCGATAAGCCAGAGAGCAGAAAAATGTTATTGCGTTTATTCATCAGCTAAAAATAAATAATAGCTAAATTTTGCATATTTTTCAAACCAGAAATTTCTCGATTTTCAATAGAGCGACTTCCGAGTAAATACTTACTATTTTCTATTTTTCCTATGTAATGATGTTATTTGTTTCAAACGTTTCAAAACTGTTCGTGTAAAAATGTGTGTTACTCTGTACCGCATACGCTTGAAGATGTGTGAAGCACATAAGAGGCGCGACTTTCTTTTCATTTGTCTTGCACTAGAAATAAAAAATAGCCGACGCTTATATTTTTTAAAAATAAAACTAAACTCACCGCGACATTATTATCCTTAAACTCGAGCCGGGGCATAAATTCGCAGATCTAAAATTAAATAAACACGCCGTTTAAAAATTTCTCAAGAAACTCCTTGCCGTGGACGAAAAGAAACCAAGTATATTTGAAATTAAGCAACAAAGTGGAAAAAAGTGCGATTTTTATAAACTTTTATTTGAAATTTAATTAAAATTTAATACAGCAACCCGAATCCATAACATAAAAAACAAAGCGAATGCTTAAAAAAATTTAGAGATCTATTAATGAGAAAAACAACGAGATTGTATTCGTTAACGTTTAACAACTTTCAATAACATCCCGCGCTTGTAAAAATCCATTAAGAAAACTGATTTAATAATTCTCAAAGTAAGACAATGAAAGAAAAAAAGTCCCTGAAAGAAACAAAAAGCGGGAAACAATTCAAACTAGAAACTAGTTTTTGAGATGATGATTGCGTTCTCGTAAGCGTTTTGGCGTGGCTACACTGTCGATCCCTTGAGAGTGCCGCTTTTTTATTTCAACGTCATAAACTTCTTTCTCATTTGCCTAAAAATAAAGTATATAACATTTAATGACAAAACTCAATAAAACCCACCAAATTCTTTCGCTTTACGTGCATATGATATTCAATTTGCTCCTTGGAAGAATCACCAGAAGACGCCCTTTCTTCATTTGAAGACCTATAGCAAGAGAGGTACAAAACACACGTCACTATTAAAAGTTACCTCTTTCGGCACAATTTGTTACGAGATTTTACTTGTTCACTGATTAGATCGTTTAATTTTTTACATGGAGAATTTGGAGCAGTCTATAAAAAAGTTTTAATACAAAACGAAATTAAAATTTTACTTGATCTTCAGAGCCGATTAATTTCTGCATGTGCATTTTTAGTTGCTGAGAAGTTCTTGAGCTCAAAATTCGATGAGTCGGTGAATACCTTGCACCCAGAACTTCGAGTACCTAACATATAAAAATATTCTTTTGCATATTAAAAGAAGATTACCTCAGAAATAATCTGCGATTCAACCTGCGCAAGCATTGCCTTTGTTTTTTCTCGCTTAACTTGCATGAAACAGCAGTTTCGAAACTGGAATGTTGTTAAAATTTTTAATGTGGAAGGTCTTAAACCATATCAAGCTCTTTGAAAATTCGTCCTGTGCCATATGCCCAACGAGACAACCCAGAGCCAAAAGAGGGCAAATTTGCGGCACCTTCTACTGTGGATGATTCATTCTAAATGAAATAATTTATAAATTAGGAAAATTCCATACGCTAGTTTCAATCACTTCGTCGGGAGAGCGAATCAGAGATGATCCAGCTAGTGAAATTCGTTTTATCACCCAATAATCGTACAAATCCTTTAAGTAACCAATTCCGTCTCCAAAACTAAAACTTCAAAAACGATTTATCATAAAAGAAAAAAATAACCTTCTTGCCAACTTCTCAAAAGTTGCATAATCAAAGAAATGTTTTTCCAGTAATGCCATTTCATGCGATTTGGTGTTTTTTGAAATATCGATCGGTTTTGTTTTACCTTCTAAACAATTATTAATTGGGCAAAAATGCCATTTAAAACTGACCAATTCTACTAATTTCTCCTGCCATTTGATCATTGGCCAACGCTTCTTGATGACTGTGTTTTTGGCAAAGGGTTATGAACTTTACCGAATCTTCAAGAGGTTCCTAAATAAAGACGGTTAATTGCCGACGAAATTGCCTATGATATTCACGTGAATTTCTTATTAAAATACCTGCTCAATTCGAAATTCACATCCACTTCTCTGACAACAAGCCACATGAAACGCGGTAGTACATGTTTTCACCGAACATTGAATGCAAGCGCCTTGACGAGTATCACAAATCGAGCATCTAAACATAACAACGCAATTGATTAAAATGCAATATTTTCTCACTTCATGCCCCATCGTTCGCTAAGTATGTCGTTGATTTTGCACACCGGTTCTCTCAATGTGGGATCGCCAAATCTTGAATAATTTAAACAATTTTTCAGAGCTATAAGACTCACCTGCATTCTGGATGAAACAATGCGCAAACAATATGTGCCCAAGTTCCAATATCAGTCCTTTTCATCGCTCCTCCAATCACCGGACATAAAACACAAGGTGGCTGACGACCAAGGCACAATTCACACGTGCTGCATAACCTGAATGCAAATAACGTTTTTTTTAAAAATTGAAACATTTTCTTATTCCTGCTTAATTTTAATGCTTGTCTCAGGTTCAAAGCGCAGAACATGCTTTGAATGCCTACCTCCTTGCCACAAAAAAAAATTAAAATGAGGTAGTGATATCTCGATAATTAGATCAAAATAAAATCATACCAATCATCAGCAGGAACATCTTGTAAACCATAACAGCTTAGATGTACACACATATTGCATCCATCACAAAAGATCATCTCATCGTCTTGCTCACATTCTTTCTAAAACCGAAAAATGTTCTTGTATCAAAACAAATAGAGCTATGGGGTAATTTTTTAGTTTTTCTAGGCAAAATTCAACTTTACGGTCTGATTGTGTTTCAAATGTTAATTTTGACCCAGTCTGACAGTTTTTTTTTTTCATTTTTCTTTCTCTAAAAGCTTTTCCCCCTTATAGTTTTGTTTTTTGTGCATTCTGGGAGAAAACATAAAAACCAGGTTTCATTGGAAATCTCGATCAGACCGTAAAGTTGAATTTAGCCTCTTTCCATAAGCCTCACCGTTCTGCATATGTCACAGGCGGCATCTTCATCAACTGAGTTTTGAGAAACTTGATCATTCAAGAGTTCAATCAATGCAAGATGTAAATTCTAAAACTTTTATAAAGCAACATAACGTTAAACCTTACTTGGTGGCACTCGATTTCTAAATAATTGAGGACATCGATTAATTTATTGATACAAAGATTTTCGTTTGGATGTGTTTCATTGTATTTGTCAACCCATAGTTGGTCCAACAAATCCCCTAAATATTCTATTCAAAAATTACAAAAAAACATTAACCTTGATAAACTTGAAGCCCCTTTTTATCAATGATCTCATGTGAGGCGTCGTCCACGTATCTAAAAATTTTGATTGTAAATAAAGTCAAACTCTAAAATCCATTACTGACCTCTTTGTTTTCTTTTCACTCCGATATCCGATCAATTTCTTAGGTTGTTTCCACAACTTTCTTTCAATCACTACTTCTCTTGGCTTGACTGGATATTCTTGGAGATTTTCTGGATCAACGAGCACTTGAATACACGTTGACCATTGTTCTCTCCATCTAGAATAAATAGATGCTTGACGAATAAATAAAAATACTGACCTATCTACAATTCGAAGCTTTTTCACTGTCCCAGATCGGTCATCGGGAGTATCAATAAACTTAAATTCGCCCTCCCCTCGAAGACATCGATGAATTAAATCAGTTCGATATAATTCGGCTGGTCGTCCGTTGTCCGCTACAAGTAACTTTCACTACACAAAGAAAAGAAAAACATACATTGAAAGAAGGCAAATTTCTTTTGCCGAATACATTCCTCCATGTATTGTGCCGCATCTGCTCCCGCGAATACATTAAAATTGCCGTCAGCTTTAGTGACAAGTTGGTCATGTTCCGATACGGCTAAAAATATATTTATAGCTAAAGAATATTGGGTCCTTGTAAAGTTTACGAGGTTGTTGAAAGTTTATAAAAACCGAATATTGATATAAGGCTTTTCTGAGTATAATATAAGTAATATCTTAATATTTTGTTATTTTTCAACTTTACTTCAAAAGAAACTCGGTCTATAAATATAAAACCAACAAGAAGGTGTTGCTTTTTTCGTCGTCCTCTGATTTCTGCTCTTTATCTTTGTTGTTACATTTGACGAGCTATTTTGGCGTTTTGACATTGATCGATCTTTGGTCGTTTTCATCGAATCAGCGCTTCATCTAAAGTGATATTTAAAAACCGCTAGAAAGATATGAAACCATTCGATGATAGATCAAGCACTCGAAGAAATCGAAGAGAAATGAATAAGTAAATTGTTTGTTAATTGTGAGTGAATTATTAAAATTCTAAGTGACAAAATCTTGATTCAAACGTTTTATTTAAACTGAATTAAGAGTCGGGTTCGTTCTAAATAAAACAAAACTGAATTAGAAAAGTTAATGTTAAAAGTTTCACCCTTTGAGTCTGGACGACGCAGCATTTCAATTTGCGCCAAATAACTATGCGTTAACTGTGAGCTTTCAAAAAAAATCTTGTGCTCTAAAAACATGCACGAAATATGACTTAAATATAAGATCAAAAGAGGTCGAATACTAAAAATCACTCATCGAGAACAAAAATAGAAAAGACGAGCTTTTAAAAAAGCAATTCCCTAACATTTAAATACAGTGGTCCACAAAAGTATTGTCCCATTGTCATCCAAAAGTTTCTTCCGTACGAAAATCTTGCAAAAAACGATATTCCCAAAAAGTGTAGGGTTTTTTGTACTCTACTTATCCCATAAACCCATAATACTCTACTTTTCAAGATTATAAGCTTTATCCGTATACATTGACGATGGATGCTGTGGCTTACAAGAATATTATGGAGACCCAAATGCTTCCCTTTGCCAATCTAACGATGCCTCCCGGAGGGATGCTTTACCAGGACAACGACCCGAAACACAAGTCGAGACTGATGATGGGACGGTTGGTGACACTTCAAAATGGTACCAGAGCTCGTCTGCCCGGATGGTTTGCGGCAAATCGTGTTAAATCGATCAATCCACCTCCCTACTCACCGGATCTCAACCCAATTGAAGATTTTTGGTCATTTCTGAGGTCGCGCCTAAAGGGAAAGAAATTCGATTCAAAGGTTCGATTTGAAGCCCTACGGGTTCATATTCAACGTCTTTGGGCCACCATCCGCCCAAGTCTTTTGAAAAATCTCATGGATTCCATGCCGAATCGACTCAATGAAGCGATAAAAGCAAAAGGAGGACCAACCAAATATTGATCTTTTGAAAAAATTGTTAATTCTTTGCAAATGGGACATTATTTTTGTGGAGCTACTTGTTAAGTAACGGTTCTTTTCCAATATCGGGGGAGCGGTCCGATTATCGGGGGAGCGGAAAGAAAATCGGGGGAGCGGAAAGAAAATCGGGGGAGCGAAAGGAAAATCGGGGGAGCAAATTTTGCCCCCTCGAAAAATGCATTTCTTTTATTTTAACTGCAACGTTTTTTTTTAAACTTTAACGACGATGCGCTTCTCCGATATTTGTGCGTTCAAGGAATCGACGGCAATCGATTATTTCGTCACCAAAGGAGTCATCCAGTCGTGGATTTGCAACTGTGGCGAATCGATGAAAGTCCGCTCAAAGGGAAAAGATCTATTTCGCTGGGTATGTGACACTTGCGCACGGCGAAATGTCCCCAAGCATTCAAGAGGAATTCGAGTCGATAACTTTTTGCAACAAAGCAAGCTCCCGTTTGTCACAATTTTAAAGTTCATACATCTATGGAGCCAGGGACTCACGACAATCAAACACTGTCAACAGGAGCTCGACATTAGTGGCGACACCGTTGTTGAGTGGAACTACTTTCTCCGCCAAGTGTGCGCTTGGAAAATCAAGAAGCTTTCGATTAACAAGATCGGTGGTGCCGGACTCACCGTGGAGATCGATGAATCGCTGATCGCAAAGCGCAAAAACCACGCCGGTAGGATGCTGCCAGAACGTTGGCTTTTTGGTGGTCTGTGTCGTGAAACAAGGGAATGCTTCGCTTTTATTGTGCCGAACCGAACGGCTCCGGTTCTGCTTGAAGCGATTCGAAAACATATCGAAAAGGGGACTCGAATCATCTCTGATGGATGGCGTGCATACCAAGGGCTTCTCACTGACCCAAATTACGATTTTGCATGGGTCAACCACTCGACAAATTTTGTTTTGCCGGCAGATCCGACCGTGCACACGCAAACAATCGAGCGAATGTGGAAACCGTTTAAAGACATGAACAGACGTCGACACGGCACCCACGGCACCATGGTGGATTCGTATATCGCTGAGGGATTGTGGCATCGCAATTTGCCTGCCGGAGTAAATGCATTCGAGTCGATCATGGAGGACATCGTCGATTTTTGGCCCGCAGGGGCGGAAATGAATACAATCCCTTTTTACAGTTAATTTGTGATTGCTAGAAAGGTTTTGTTTTGGTTACTTTTGTTTTATTTTGGTTACTTTTGTTTTTGTTTTGGTTACTTCGCTTACATTTCTTTCGTTGTTATGATCAATTATACTATTAATGAATAAATTTTTAGGTAGCCATTTGTTCGTTCGGGATTGTGGAGCGTTCGGCAAAAAGAGAAGGCGGCCGATAGGGAAGGTAGAGGTATGTTTGGTGTTAGATATTTAAGTCACTTTTGTGATCTAATATAAAGGTTGTGAGAATAACGGGTAATTCGCGGATTTTATGGCAGTACTTTGGATAATATAGGACATATGTAGCGCTGCCAAAAAATTAAAAAAAAACGTTGCAGTTAAAATAAAAGTCCCAGAAATGCATTTTTCGAGGGGGCAAAATTTGCTCCCCCGATTTTCCTTTCGCTCCCCCGATTTTCCTTCCGCTCCCCCGATAATCGGACCGCTCCCCCGATATTGGAAAAGAACCTAAGTAACTTATTGTTTTTGTTTTATACTTTAATTTTTATGCAATGTATACGGATAAATCTTATAATCTTGAAAAGTAGAGTATTATGGGTAAACAAAAAACCCTACACTTTTTGGGAATATCGTTTTTGCAAGATTTTCGTACGGAAGAAACTTTTGGATGACAATGGGACAATACTTTTGTGGACCACTGTAGGTATGTGCGGAAAATTTACATAAAAATCAGGCATTTAATTTTCGCTTGCCAAGTATAAAACAAGCGACCATGACTTTCTCAAATCAGGTTTAACACTTAGGTAACGCATTTTTACTCTTCATCACGATTATGACACCAGAAAATAACGTGAATGTTGCAGTTGTCCAAAAAAAACACGAGTCCAGGAGGAACGTAATCTTAGGTCCCATGGGGCCTTTTCAAGATATTCAGCTAATCAATGCGCTAATTTGCATATTTGGAGTAATCCGCATTTAACTTTTTTTTGTCGAGTATAAAAAGGTTCGATTCGGATTGGCTTGGTGATTGGTCAATCGCCGCATAACAATTACTACTTCACAGTCACCTATGTGCAAAATACAGTACCGAATTTTGAAAAGAATTTGATTTCTTTCGAAATTAAACCAATTTGGACACTTTGCCGTTGCATGGATCCAAACAATTTTTGAAAATCCACTGTGGAACGGCAAATCCGCGCAAAATAATATAAAAATGCGTTCTCTTTTAAAAATCCTAAGACAAAAAAAGTGCGCTGATTCCAAAAATGATAGTTTCATAAAAATCGTCTTGTAGATTTTCCTAAAAATGGACTTTTACGAAAAAGTAAAAATCTGAAATTCGACTCTTCTTATCGACTTAGTTTACGAGTGATGATGATTTTTTTCACCAAAACCATTTTTCCTGGGGTAATTGATGACGCTGATCACGAAAAAATTATTTTTAAAGCAAGTTAGTAATGGAAAAATGTATGTTTTTATCATATCATCATTACCATAATTTGGGCACTTTCGTTTCTGATGCAGCAATCCAATAAATTCCAACAAGTTCAAATGATTAAACTCTTTAATCGCTTGTTCAGCCATCTTTTCGCTTTGTAGACAAAAGAGGATTTTTTTATGTTTCCAAGCGTTTTTAAGCTATTCTACCATGTCAAAACGTGTTAAGATATCAAAATCGCAAAAAAAAAATAGCGAAATTTGCATTGAAATTACCATTTATTCGATGAAAATCTGCTTGTCCGAGTTTCATTGTTTCAAAAACCCAGCTCCGGACAATTCATCGTATCAAAGTTGGTATCCGAATGTGTTGTGAAGCGGGGTTAAATTCGAAAGACAAAGTTCAAAAAGTTTATGACATCATGAAGCCTGGCCTTAACGTGTTCTGCAACGCACATCCAACTAAATCCATTGCGCACCAAGACTCTATCCCAGAATCGGGTCCTTTAAATAAAATCCGGGTCAAAACAAATCATAAGCCTCTTTCCATTGATTCAATTCCTCAGAACAACGACAAAACTTCAAATTTTTCAAGATTTCTTACTATTAGTTATGATTCATGTTGTACAAGGCTTTCATAACTCAATGCTACCCGAAATCTTGGAATTGGAATTAATTTTCGCCATAGTTTATTGGCTTGGAGAGTTAATTTATTTTAAGATTTAAGACACGATTTATTTTAAGGGACCCGATTCTGGGATAGACTACGCCAATGAATCTACAACGGTACTTTTACACTATAATGTAATTATTCTAATCAGTCCTCTATTTTTAAATATTTTTCTAAAGGGATTTTTAATGCACAGATTATTTCCCATTTGAAAGAAGTACTCATAGTCAACAGCGTTTTGTACAAACATATCCATGCGGAACTTCATCGATCCGGTGTAAATGCTTATTTCTCGATTGAAACAGTGAACTTATATCAGATCATTAACCGATTTCTATTGTTTTTTACCCGAAACGAAATACCAATTTTTTCGACAAGGCTTTTCTTTCATGGAAATCTCATTAAACGTAGCAATAGCGTGTGAGAAGAAGAGGGTGGGGTGTCGTATCGATTACGGTGTTTGCGAGGGGAAAGGGCCCCAAAATGGGCACCCATTCCAAGGGAGGATGGGGGAAGGCCCTTTCATCCGTTTTCTCTTCTTTCTTTGGTTGCTTCTCTTTCTCACGCAAAACACAGGGAAGCCACCCGCTTATCGACTTCGTCCTCCACTCCTGTCTCTTTCATTCTTTTTCCCTCACTTCTTCCATCTTTCTTCTTTTTCTCTCTTCTCTTCTTCTTTTCTTTTCTGCATTTCGTCCGAGAACAACTTGTGACTCCTCACTCTTTCAGTTATTCGCTTCATTTCTCGGCATGTAAAACTATTGACAAAATGGTCAAACTCACTGAGTCTATCGTTTATATTCGAACCAAGTCCAGTGTCGAGAATGTGCGAAAACTCAATCTATGGTAAGCTGTTTCTTTTGTTTTCAAGCGCAACAGTCTTTTAGGGGATGTGATATAGATGATATCGAAATTTGTTCAAGAATGAAATGCATTGAAATATTATCTTTGAGGTGAAGATAAATGGTTAAAAAACAACAAAAAGGGAAATTTCAGTGTAAACAAGGTGACCACTCTGTCGGCTCTTCGTTCTTGTGAAAATCTCACCGAACTTTATCTTCGGAAAAATGAAATCGAAACCCTTTCAGAGCTTGAACACCTCATTGGACTTAAAAAACTCACCGTAAATTTATTTTCGAATATTACGCGACAAAATGGTTGCAAAACGACAAAATATTATCCATCTGTTGAATTCGTTCTTAAGAAAACTAATATACATGGCTGAAATTGATTTATAAGCTCTTATTGTAAACAAAAACATTTTGAGCTTTAGTGTTGACATGCTTTCTTTGTAAAAAAATCTTTTTAGGTCTTATGGATTGATGAAAATCCCTGCACAGCACACGGTGATCATAGATTTAAAGTAAGAAAAGTTGTACTGCAAAGAAAAAATATTCTTAGGTGATACGGATGCTTCCACAAATTACGCGGCTGGATGATAAACGTAAGTTGGATAAAATGTTCATGACCTTATTCCAGAATAATTCCAGCGGTGACAATGGAAGAAAAACGTGCTGCTTCACCACCAAATGAATGGGTTGGTTCAATGGGTTCAATTGGATCTCGTCTTTCATCTCGTCATTCATCTACCGCAACTCTTACTGAGCAACCTATTACTTATGGTTTAAGAACTGAAGTGTTCACTCTTACAATATCAACTTTCTAGGAAAAGCTATTGTGGATACAATGCTGCCGTGTCAAATGCCTTCTTTTGGTTCAATTAATGATCTTTCTGGACCCATGTCTCAATCAATGTATTCCGGCTTTAATTCTGCCCGTAGTGCTTATGTCGATTCGATGTCTCAATCGGTACCAAAATCAATCTTTGATTTTCAGGCTTCTTTTGACAAGAAAAGCTTTTATCAACTCAAATTGATCAAATCAATCATTAACTGTCCTTCAACTGGTCAAGAAATTTGATCAACTAATCATTTAAATAAAAAATGTGTCTTAGATGCATCCATTGATATCAGCAAATCTGCTTCAAAATGTCGGAATGAGTCAATCATTTCATCCAATGTTGAATGGAGAAATGCCCGATGATGAAGTGGATGAAGAAAATGATTGGAATGATTTCAAGTATAATAAAGAAATGATTAGATATCAATAAGCAAAAGTATTTTTAGTTTGGAAGAAGAGTCAAGGCCAAAAAGTATGGAAGGTATTGCTTCTCGATTAGCTCAACAAAGAATTGATTCTGCTCCCCATTCAGCCAGGTAGAATAAAGAAAATCATAAAATTTTTCAAAAGGCATGGTTCTAATTAATTCAAATTTTTTAGAGACTACTCAATGAGGCAAACATCTGGTGTACCAATGTCAATAGCTTTATATCGACGAAGTATGAGTATGCCAAGGAGACGTTTTGAAAGAGCTCAAAGCACAAGTCCCGCTAGGGTAATAGATTTTCAATTTTTGTTATTGCCGGTACAGCCGGTATTCATCTCAATAATTCTAACAAAGAAAACATTTTATGAGAATTTATTGATCCTGAGCGGCTCTTTTTTACAGGAACAACGACATCAAAAATTAATGGCAGCAGTGAGAGTGCTTCTCGATGAACTTGACTCAGATGGATTAAAGTCTGTGAGTTTCCATCTTTTGAGAAAAAAAACTTTACTAGTATTAACTATTTAGGTAATCGAAGAAGCACAAAAACGGCTCAAAAAACAAAGATGAGTTTTTGATTCGAAAATAGACTCACATTCAAATATCAGCTTGCTCAATCTTTGAACAATTTTCAACCCTCTTATTTTGTCCGCTTTTTGTGATTCTGCAAATGGTGATCTCTGTCATTTTTTGGCCTTTCTTTTTATAAATGTTTTTTTGTGTTAGTAGAAGGCAAAAAAAAAATGATCTTTGAAGATTTTATTCTTTGCCATCTCTTTTCATTTAAATAGTCATTGAAATCAAAATTATTCACTATTGAAATCAAAAAAAAATGCTTTGCTGGTGAAAAAAAAGAGATTACCGATCTCATGGCTTTTCTTTTCAGTTTTTGGTTATAAGAACGCGGTATGTGATGTGTGCTTTCTTTACTGTCAATCGATTGAAATAAATGAACATAAAATTTGCTTTTTATATTTTGCAACTGTTGGGACGAACTCAATAATGAAAAATTTGAACATAAAATCAAATGATAATGACGCTGACTATATTCACTTTTTTAAATAAAGTTCGCCCACAAGTCATTTACAATCTATAATTGGATTGAGCAAAGAAAGATCAAAGATATGTGTCATGGGCACCACACAGTCAAGATGAAGGAAGGAAGGGGCATGGATGGAAGAGGTACGGTCAAGGTCGAGACTCTTTTCCTTCTTCGATACTCTATTCTTTCTCTCATCTTCTTCTTTTTCTACTTTAATATCTTTCGAGTAGTGAGTTCCCTTTGCAACCCATCCACTAACTCGTATTGGATCTCGTTTCAAATTGAAGAAAAGAAATACAGCCGGAGTCATCTCTTTTTTTTTTTCAATTTCTCCTCTTTTCTTCAATTCTTGGTATTTCTTCTCATAGCTTCACTCCTTATTAGGACAATTCAATTCTCGATTCACGAGAGAATCCTATTTCTTTTTACGGTCTTTACCTATTTTAGATTTCTTCAACTTCTGACTTTTTTTTGATTGTGATTATTCTCTAAATATTTATTAGTTTAAAGTATTTCAAAACATTGCAATTCGAGGAGGATCGATGTTAATTCAAACTGGAGTGTTGGTGCTCTTTCACCTGGTCAGTTAATCTAAAAGTAACGAGTATTTTAGGTCTGAGATTTTAGATAATTTTATCGATGAGCTTGAAATTGAACAATGAGATCATTGGTGAGTCAAACTATAAGAAAATAAAGTAAATCAATTATAAGTATGTAGATGTTCCTGTTTTGCGATGTGGTCCTGATGAAATCGAATTGAAAGCACATACATTAAAGCCATTTGAAGGACAAACATTTGTTCGTGGACATCACAGGTATAATAAAACTTGCGATTTATTTATGATACTCAATAAAACAGGATGACTTTTGCAATTACGATTGTAAAGCACTCATTGTTTTCCCAATTTGAAATATCTTACATACCATATTTGTAAAAAATAAAAATAAGCCAATTATTTTTAGATCTCCAGACTGTGCTCGTGTGTATGATACAACAGAGAATATCACTTCAGATCCACAATTATCCATTTCACTTTCACGAATTTCATCATGTGGATTAACTTTTGAAAGAAATGTATCCATTTCAGAATTATTTCTTTAATGAAATTCATTTCTAGAGTGAAACTCGTCGTGTCACACTTAGAGCTGTCATTATTTTTGCTTTTCATCCTCTTTTCGTCACTTCGGCTGATAGGTTTTCTTTTAGTTTCAACTGTTTTTTACTCATTTTTCCCCAGATCTTTTTCAATTGAGTGCGCTTTTCAGCAGCATGATTTCACCGTGCAAACACAACTTGATTCTATTGGGTTTGTTAAAGATAAAAACTTAAAAATTGCTTGAACAATCAAATTTCAGAGATTTGTCAACTATAAAAGTGATCACAGCCACAGCTCTACCACCAAAGGTTTGTGTTTTTCTGTTCTTTATATTAAATGTTTAAACAAGTTAAAGGTTGAGTCTTACTTTAAGATCAAATCGAAGATATTTGATTGATGGATGAGATTAACCGATTACAGGTCCATCTATCGATCAATGGAGGAGTAGAGAAAGAAAGTAGAAAAGACGAAAGAATATCTGTGGGATCTCCTCTTCTCTTTAAATGGTCTTTGGATAATTCCTATCGTGAGTCCATTCCCAAAAAGATCAAAAAAATATACCGAAAATCTCATGGGATAAAAATATAATAGATGTATTTTAGCTATTTATGGTTTTCGAGTTGTATCCTGTGATGTTGAGACAAAAGATGAAAGACGAAGCTCACGAATGATTGAAGCTGGATGTAGTCTAGATGAAACACTTATTGCTAATATTAGGTAACACAGTTTAAAATTTAACCCAAGGCATATCGGTTCTCACTTTCAGATATTCCGAGAACGACTCGGTGGCATTTGCTGATGGATTTGCTTTCAAATTTGCTGACGAAGAAGAAGTTTGGATGAGATGTCAGGTGCAACTCTGTATTCATAAGTTATTTATTCATAAATACCATGAATTAGGTAGATTTTTAGATTTGAACATTTGATAGTTACCGGAGCAGGATTAAACGATCTTTGTCAAGCGCCGGTAAAAAAAAGAAAAAGAAAAATTGAAATGAGGGAGAATATTTTAGAAATGTGATCAAAGACTGAAAAGATCAAATATGGAAGAATATAAGTTGAATGAACAACCAAGTATGATTGTGTCTGAACGATTTATTATCACTGATTCGAAAGTTCTTCCAGCACAAGGTTATTTTAAAATTAAATAAAAATATCAAAGAATCAACGAAAAATTTAGAGTTTCGTGCGCCAAAAGATAGTGATTTCTATCGTGATTCAAACGATGGTTTATGTGTTGCGAGAGAAACTTTCATTTTTCTCACTTCTCTTTTATTTGGTGTTTCAATACTGACTGTGGCCTCAATTCTTACTCTTTTTTTCACAAAAATCTCAATTCCTTTCAATAAATCGCCCACATTCACATCTCGTTTTTAACCCGCGACCCTTTTTGAATAATGATGTTTTGAAAACAACTTGAAAGCGGGTATTCCTGGACACGTGGTTTTATTTCGATCTTGACGTTATTTCTCTAAAAATTTTTCATGCATTTATGCTTCTCATTTCACTTCTTATATTTTCACTATGAATAAAATACTCTTTGTGTGAGAGAAAAGCAAACCAAGAAGTAACCTTAAACATTTACAATAGTTGAACACTATGAAAGTTGCATGGTACATCTGAATATCGATGAGCTAAATGAACTGTAAATTGTATACGAGTAACTGCGGAACTAGTCTATTGCAAAATCTTACTACATATTAGATCTTCTGGATTTATGGAAAGATTCACGCAGGCTTTTCTTTTTGTTTCTTCTTGACGTTAAATAATAAATAAAATAAAATAATGATTTGATCTGTCTTCGCACTTAGCGCAGATCACAACCCGCTTCCACATTTACTGAGGCAGAAGTGTAGTTGTCGTAGCCGATGATACTCCGATGGCCGGGCTGGGGCGCTCGGAGGGGAACCCATGGGAGTCGAACCCACGACTAACCCGCGCCGACGTTGCTCAACTTGGCAGATCGGACGGGGTCGACCACAGACCCTTCCCTTTCTGGGCCCCCTCTTCTTGACGTTTTAATTTGCAAACGCAATACACGTTTTATAGATACTTTATTCAGGACATGAAATAAAGTGCGCAAAATTTAAGATTCATACACATGAATTCATGCACATAAACACGAAAAGGACCGATAAAAAGCAACACGATATAATGTATGTAATCTATGGGTAGAACAGATAAAGTCAATCCACTAGAACTTCAAGATCAAAATCATCTACAGATCATTTAAAGGTTTCAAGACTATTGGACTCTCACAAAACTCTAGAGAGTAGAGAATTCTGGCAGCTCTTATTGGAAAAGAGTTTTACACAAAATTATTGGAGATGACTGGAATTTCTAAAACGAAAGAACCTCTCCTTGAAGTACCCACGGAATTAGCTTTGAATAAATCTTGAATAAAGAGGGATAGGTTGCTTGTTCTTTACAATTTTGAAACATTCGATGAAACCCGTGACCAAGCGGCAGTGTCTAAGGGATTTAAGATCAAAAATTTTGAGTCTATCTGTATAACTAGAGTTTGCAAATTTGGAAAAATCTATTTTCCATAAGGCTATCTTAGTATATCTCTGTTTGATTTTTTTCTAGACGAGAGATAATTTTGAGATAAAATTTGCGGATTCGCATATAATAAATAAGCCAAACAGCGATTTCAAAAATTTCAAACAAATTGAAAACAAGAAAAAACCTATTTGGAAAAGATAGATGTCTGAAATAACAATTACTTTACCTCCGTGAAATTGAGAACCTCAAAATGAGAAGCTATGCATTTTAATAAGTAATGAGAAAGAAGAAAAGAAAAATAGGTTGAAGGAAATTTTTTTAGCATTATTATTCTTCTTCGTGAATTCATTTGAATCAATTTCTGTGATGAGATCGTGGGTTTGTGAAGATTTGCATTCGTTTATTTTATGTGAAGATCTCTTTTCGATTTCAATTCTCCAAAACCTTTTTTCTTTTCTTTTTTCCTTCTTAAACTTGGAAGAACGTGTGTTGGCCCTTCATTTTCCCACAACGTTGTGTCAAAATTGGCGAACTCTGTGCTTTTTGGTTGCTCTCTTTTTCCTTTTCCCATCTTTCACTTTTCTTTTTCATTTCACCTCTTCCCATTTTCAAGACTTTCGTGGTTCGAATCATCCTTCGGTTTTTGCCGTTTTAGAATTTTTAAGTCAATTTTAAAAAACAAAGTCTTGAAAAAAATTAAGTCTCAAATTGGTATTTATAATGAGTGAATTGGGCAAGGCAAAGTTCTCCTGTGAATTCGCGTAAATTTTAGGCTTAATCCTTGACTAAGCCTTGGAAAAGTTTAAGATGGGAAACCCATGCATGTATCTTTTAACTTAAGAATCCAATTTTCATTTTAGAGGTTATTTTGAACTAAACCTTTAAAAAGCTTATCTTAAACACTAGGAAATTATTCTAGCGATTTTCTAAAGAGAAAATGGTTAAATTTAGACTGGATCGCACAAAACGATTCGTTGTCATTAAAACAACAAACAAAAATCATTTTGATTTCTATAAAGAAACGATAAAGATTGTTCTTTTTCATATGTTTCATTTCCATGTTCTCGGGATGCACTCCGGACGATTACACGTGAAATTTGAGTCCCTCGATTTTTGCGAGGAAAGCTTTCTTTTTGTCTTCTCTTTAAATTTTCTTTTTCTATTATTTCCTTGCTCTTTAGTTTTTCCCCATCTTTTGCTTCATTTTATTCAAACATTTAGGATCTATGCACAGATTACGATAAAATTGTTGATTTCAAATATTGCATCGACTCTTTCTATTCATTGCTCTTTTTTCTTTTCCTAGAAAACATGAATTAAATAATTCAGAGTCATTTCAACACAATTGATGCGATTAGAGAATGGAAATGTGAGAGTGATGGAAGTGATGGGAGAAGGATGTCGAGGTTGTGGATACAAAGCGAATACTGAAGATCATCTTGCAGCTATCGTCATTTTTCTGGTTAGTTTGATGATAATTTCAAACAATTCTATTAGGTTGAATACTAAGTCTTTCACCCAAATTCATTTCCTAATTGAATAAGTCTCAAGCTACCAAATGAAATACGGTTTTTTTTCATTGGATAGCCCAATAATTTCTCCTGCAAATGGCTTTTGAAAATTTCTGAAAAGCTATGTTTTGAAGGTTTTTCATTAGCTAGAAGCTGTGTGTTCAAAAACGACAAGGTCCGATGATGCGTTTTGGGCCGTTTCTTTCAATGAAACCTATTTTAATGATAAAATTAAAAAAGATAGTGCACAAAAAGTTAGGACTACAATCAAAATTTCAGAATAATCCGTTTAGCGGTTTTCTTTATGTGCTCATTTTTCAATATTTTTAAAAAAACCAGTTTTCGTTTTCGCAGATTATTTTAAAATACTAAAAATTGTTTTAAAATGACAAAAAGTAAATGATAAACATTTACAATGAAAGGAACCGTTTGGTATTTGGTAGTTTGAGACTCGTTCATTTAGATAATGAAATGACGGGTCCAAGACTTAGTACTCAACTTAATAGCAATCAAAGTAAAGATCAAATTTCAGACAGCAATTTGTGGTGTTGTGAGTAACTCATTGATTGCTCTTACCGCTTCTCGCCTTCCTTTATTCCGTAATTCATTTGGTCGTCTTGTTCGTTTACAATCAACCGGCGAAGCTCTTTTCCTTGCTGTTTGGGCATTTTATTTTGCGCCCACACTAGCTTTGTATCTAAAAGTTTAAAAATTATATATGCAACGCTTTTCAGCAATCTCGATTTCAACAAATCCTTTGAAATCTCGAGACGTTTTGGGCAATTGTGTTTGATTTGTTACGATATTTCAATCTACACTCATCTCATCATCTCCATTAATCGGTGATTTCCTTTAGTTTCCCCTCATTATCAAATCGTCTTCTTCAGATTTGTCTCACTTTATTTTCCGACTCATTATGGATCAATTTTTACTGATGATGTAACAAAACGAATTATTTTTGCGATCATTCTTTTCTCAATTTCTTATTCTTGGGTTTTACCGGCAGGTATTGACAAAATCATTTAAAAGTATAACAATTCATCTCATCCAATTTTATAGGTAATTGTAACATGGAGTTCTCGAATGAGAAATGGATGCTTGATTATCATTCGTCTTGTAATCTCAATCTTCTATTTTATGCTGAATTCTTGAGGTAAATCACAGTCAAATCAAAGTCAAAGTTTTTACTCAAACATGCAGGGCTGTGGTTATTGTTGCAATGATTTTTCTCATCAATTCGGCCACTTTTATCAGAATGTATTGTCATAATCGGGGGAAATCTTTTCACAGAGTAAGTGAAATCAAATGATTTAAAATATTCATGAAAATTTCAAGAATTCGGGCACATTGGAAGCAGCGTTGTTGAGAAAACGGAGAAATGTTGAAATAAATTTCATTCGACAGGTGGGATAAGAGAGTTTCATACCTGCAAAAAGCGTGGTTCACTAGACTAATGCGTGCTAATTTCCTCCTACCATAATCTTGTCTTTGTCACTTTAAATGCAATTTGAGGTTGGAAAAGAATAAAAAAGGTACTAAGAATATGATAGATAGACTAATACACGAATACGCGGTAGAATTGATACGTTTCAGAATTGGTAATAATCGAGAGGAACACCCTGTACTTGCAAATATTGTAGCTGTTTTAAACAACTGCCACTTTGATTTAAAACCGATAAACTTTTACGATATCAGCCAGAATTTACTTTTGCAAACTTTTCCTCGAATCGGATAGAAGCTTTAGCGTGTGTCACCGTAATCGCGCAGTGCTTCAGTATGATTTTTATCAATTTTGAGAACTAAAAAGTGTACCTAAATGAATTCGGGTATGAGTTTAGGTGTGCCTTCAAGGGTTAGCCTATTTAACCGAATTGATCACTTATTTCTTCGTTTCGCTTGCTTTCCCACAAAAATGGCCGAACTTTCTTCTCACCACATGGGCTTGGTTAATGGTTCACACTGCTGATGGGTGGGTTATCTATCCATGAAATAGAGCTAAAATAGCTTAAACGAAAATTTATTATTCTAATCTTTCTGATCAAAGCTTAAAAGTATTCTAATCCTTAGAAAACAAGCACATTACCATTTAGATTTATTACATTGCTTCTCAACAAGCAGTTTCGTTTTATTTTCTTTTCTTCGGATGAATCAAATCAGCCACAAACGATTACTTTGATCTCAAGTAACAAAGGTCGATATAGATGATCGACACTTATAGTAAGATTGAAATTTGAATTTAACAATAGAAAATAAACTTTTCAGGTTATGGAACATCAAAATGAAGAAGAAAGTCCTTTAAAAAGAGAAAGTATTGAAGTTCCTTTATGAAGAATGATCTAATCTCCCAATCAATATCAAAACAATATCAAAAGAATGTTTTGTACACAATTCATTTTATCTCCTGTGCAAAGTGATTGTGAGAGCAATTTCGGGTTTAACTTTTGATCGCATTCCAGACAATAAGTAAATCAACAATGTTTTCAAATCGAATTCGTAATTCAAATGTTTATAGGATCTTTTCTTGTCATCAATTTTATTCATTTCGGGTTCTATCGGGGCTTCAATGTCACGTGATTGTATTGCTTGTGCTTATTTTATTTGTTCTAATATTTTTGATAAAAAAATACCATGGATATCAGAGAATATTTGATCAAAATTATCATTTATCCAATCAAAAACCATCAATTTCCCAAAATCACAAAGAATTTCACATTGATCAAAAAAAGAACTCGTTGAGATTACTCATTTTTGCCAAAAAAAAAATTAAAAAATTAAGTGAAAAGAAGCCAAAGATGAAATGAAATTAAAAATGATCGTCATAAAGTAAGATCCAAAAGAAGTGGACAGGCCAAGAAAAAAGGAGTTAAATTTCATGGAAACATATTTTTGAGATTATTCACATTCAAAAATTGTTAAAAAATTTTTAGAAATATTTCACAGCCACGTAAAAGAGGAAAATCAAAGCCGCCAACAAAAGAATGTAGCCGATGAAATTGCGGTTATCGGGACGAATTCGATCAGCGGGACGAGGTGGAGGATAGATTTCAACTGGAAAAATTTTGAGTAGAAAGAGTTTTTAGACAATAAATATCCTTTTTTAAAGTTACTGCAAAATCATAAGCCCTTGTTTTCAACCCTTTCAGTGTACATAAAGAATAGTAGCTTGTTAGCGTATTCAATCAATCCCTTGTGAATCATAAAACCAGATTAAAAGTAGGTAAAAAACTAAAATCTTGTTTACGGTTGTTTCCGAAAGTTGACACGTCTTAAAAAACGCTTTAATTTTACCTGGATAAACATAGGTGGGAGTGTTGATGTGCCCGCATTTCTCGCAAGGAGATCCATGACGACCATGATGACGGAATGAGGATTTCTTTCCTAAAAGATTATTAATCTCGTTCTCTTTTTGATTAAAATAATATAATTAACTTTCATTAAACTCTTCAATTTTTTTCTCATAATATCAATTTTCGATTTATTAGACTTACTTGGCGATGATGGTTCCTCAATAAGGGGAGGATTCTCGGCATCAATCGACTTTTGTGTTGGAACGTTGTATACTTCGGGCATTCTCTAGAAAAATAAGTTTATAATTAATATTAACATCAAATCATTTCAAATTACGAAAAAATCGTGTAAAAGTTTTTGAAATAATTTGAGTTTTTGAAATAAAGGCAATTAAAGGACAAGACATTGTTTGTGAGAGGGGAAAAAAGTGAGTGGGGATGTTTTGACGAAAAGAAGGGAAACTCTCTCAACTCCTTATCATTAAATTTAATCCTCTGTGGACGGACAGCCCCACCGCCAAAAAAATGTTTCAGATAAACAAGGTCTCCTGAGGCTGAATGGTTAAAAAATACTAATATTTATGATTTGATAGCATTTGGAGTTTTTCGTAAAAGCAAACTTTTCGAGAGTCGAGCGTGCTGGTGATAAACGAGCACCCACAAATATCAATGAGTGGTCAAAAGATAAAACAGCGGCTCTCCGTGAAAAGTTGTTTCTCAGGGAAAAAGAAAGAAATCAATGGAAGGGGTTGTCGAAGGGGATCAAGATTGAAAAGCGGAAAAATCTACCCTTTAAAAAAGAATGAAATTGTGAAAAAGAGAGAGGACTTTCAGTAATAGAGATGGGAATGGTCAAAAGAGATAGAAAGCAAAGAGAAATAAAAGAATGAGAGTAAGTTGACAACACATCGGTGGTAGGGGTTGTCGAGGAACTCAAGGTCGTTCTCTACTCCCAATTCACAACGATCATTTATATATTTTGAGGGGAAACTTTTTATGAGATTGTTTGTTTATTTTTTCAACTTTTGCTCTGCACAAATAAGAACGAGTCAAAATTTGCAAGAGCAAAAACGACTGTCATTCGAGATATCATTCGTGTTTTGATAATCAAAAGTTTTATGGGAATGGGTTTCGTTTGATTGTCAAAAACAAAAGCCTAGGTCTACTTCAATAATGACTTGCCAACCACAAATAAAATAAAATGTATTTATCACCACACGGCTGACCTCCTAAAAATAAAAGCCGTTTCAAGGAGATAACTCTCTTTTTATGATTCCAGGTGGTCATGTGAAATTTATGATAAGACAGAAAAGTTCACCATGAAGAAACATGAAAAAGTTTAAATCTCTAAAGCTTTTCTTTCGATAACTAGCCAAATTTAGTTCTAATTATTATATAAGCAGATATTCCCACATTTACTCACTACAAAAATAATCTAGAAAAGAGGAAAAACGTTGAGCAATCGCGGGAATGGTCCGAGTGCGGAGATTGGCGAGGAGGGGGAGGTGTTTACTACCAATATGCCGCTCACACGGGAAATAGAGACGACGAATCGGGGTGAGGAATAAAGAGTGAAAAAAAAAGAAAGAGGGCAACGGGGACAACACCGGGCACACTCTCCTTTTTTTTCAACTCCATCCCATTTTCTCCCCTCTTCGACACAAACAGGCACGTGATCGAAACTTACAAGCACCCCTTTTTCACCCCTTTCCTCTTTATATGTGACGGTCTAATTTCCAATCTCTTTTCGGCGCATCCCCATTTTGAAACTGTTGGAACACAGTCAATAATTAAGAGGGGAAACATTTGACATCTAAACAAACAAAGGTTTAGGAAAAGCAATGACCGATATTAAGGTACAAAGTTCTAATGAAGAGTTTAAGATGGAAAGAGCATGATTAAATCTGTTTATTTAAGAAACAAATGTTATAATTTTGATTTTAACTGCACTTTTGTTGTCATTAAATGAGGGAAGGGTTTCAAGTAAGAGGACTGATCAACAGATATAATCATTCATTGAGGCGTGAATGGAAACAGTGTCTCAGTGAAGTGAAAGATGAGAAAGGAAAAGATACAATGCAATCTCTTTTGTGCAAAAGGAGAAGCCAACATCGAAAATCTTCTCTTTTCTTTGGAAACCTGCCCGAATAGATGAATCAAATCAGCCAAACTTCTCTTTTCGACCAAATTGAGATTTGTGGCTATGAAAAATGCATTAATGATGTTGGTATTTTGGAGAACTAAATTTAAATTGTTTAGCTTTTTTTCCCTCAGATCATTTAATTGACTCTCAGGTTGTATAGTATAGCTGTTCATTTTCAATCTGATTCAATCAATAGGTGTACAACGGAAAGCAAAATTTGACCACTTCAATGGCTACTTTTTCAGGATTTCTTTCAACACAAGGGTAGAATTTTCCAAGCTTTATCTTTTGAGCTAAAAATCCCTAGAAAAAGTAGCCGCTGAAGTGGCTCTTGCTCTTGTTTTTTCGTTGTACACCTATTGAACAGTTCTAGCTTTGTGAAGACAAATAGATAAAATGTGCAAGCTCTTTTATTTTATCCCTTCGAACACTTTCTTGTCGTCAATTTAATTGTAAGATTATTAAGTTTGTGGACAACATATGCTGATGAAGCTAATTCAATGAGAAGATACTGTCACTAAATATGAAAAAAGTCTTGAAAATATTATAGCTTTGATTTCTCGTTCAGAACGCGGACACAAATTAAATATAAGTCCTTGTAGAAACAGAAAAGTGCACTGTACATTCAAATTTGTGCTAAGAGTATAGAGTCAACGCTTTTTAAAAGCTATTTTGCAAAAATCTTTTTTTTAAATACAGGTAAGAAATTTAGAATTCGTAAAGAAGAACTTACATGAAAGGAAATTGAATTTAAACGGAGGATAAGATCGGAGAATCGGATCAAAGAGGAGACTCGAATAGGGAGATAAATGAGGAAAAGAGAGAAAAAAAAGAAATACTTTGTGAAGGCTTTGTGATGAGCTCAATCTTTTCTAGAGAACTACTCTACATTTTCTATTTTTTCAATCATACTAACCTAACACATTTTGTTATCAATTTCAATGACTACATTAATTGCTCGATTTCGATATATTATTTACAAAGGTTAGTCCATTAAAACATTTGGTTTACACGATTTGCTTTGTAAAATTTTTTGTTTTATAACAAAAAAATAACTTTTTTCAAGTGTGGGGTCGACTTGGACTGACAACTTTTTCTCCATTATTTTTTTTTGCTACTGGTATCATTTGTGTGCAATTTGATGCAACAGTGATCAAGACATGCTCTTCACCATCAAATTATACCCAAAATAATCAACAACAATTGTATGTTGAGAAATACTTTTTGAATAAGACAAGGACACTTTTTTCAGATTATTCTTCAATGGATCAAGTTGTGGTGATCAAAGAAGAGCTCTCCTTTCATTTGTTGTTTATTGCTGTGTTCGTTTGATTTCATATAAGGTTTATTAGCAAATAGCAAAAAATATTTGCCGACTTGGTTTCAGTTCGAAGAGTTGATTTCTCGTTCAGAATTAGGATGTTTATCTCGAATGAAACTTCCCGGTACTCATCTTGGTTTAAGTCTTGCCCTTCCATATCTCATCAGGTTACTCAACATTTTAGTAGAGTGTATTCCTCTCGATTAACTTGATTAATACCTTTTCTAAAACGTGTCAATTCTTGAACATTTATGAACTCTCAACAAATCAAATCGAAAGTACCTAGACACTTTGAATAAAATTGACAGGAGTAAGAAGAAAGATTACAGTAGTTTTTGAAAATGTATTAGAAGAGAAGAAAATACTCTAATTTCACTCAGGTACCCATATTTTTCAATTCATAAAGGATTTTTTAAAGATTAAGTTTCACAAAGCTAATCAAATCTTGGCATTGCCAGTGCTGTTAAGCTAGCCTTTGCCTCATTAGTCGGCACCGATATCGACTTTAATACTTGTAGCTACTTCAATCGTCTGTGTTCATTCAGATCACTATCATTTGGATCTCCACCACTTCCTTTAATGGCCTACCGGAGCATTCTTTTCTTCAGTACTATCCTTCTTTTTGTTCCATATTTGAGAGATTTGGTTCATTTGATTTGTTTTGTTCATAAAGGAGCAACTCGCAGGTACACAAGCAATTTATAGGCAATATTCAATTTTAATCAATTGATGAAAATTTCAGATTTTTCCGAGCCGACTACGAGTTCTTTTTGACGGTGGCTCTTCTTTTTCTTCATTTCTCTATTATTTTTGTGCGTGATTTAAATCCAATACTCAAACAATACTTTGCATTTAGGTAGAAGTCTTGGATATCTCATTTGGTATTTATTGTCCTCAATTCATTTTTGGTATACCCATTCTATTTCCACACACAAATTTCGTGCATTTCCTTTTTCTTATCCACAATTTCTTATTGAAAAATCATAAAAAGATGCCAATTATCATTTATGAGGTTTGTGTCTAAAATAAGAACTAAAAAGGAAGGAAGAAGACGAGAGTATGTCTAGGTTTGTGAAGAAGATGTATTCGTTCAATTAGAAAGACAAAGATGTCTTGCAAATCGAGATTGTCCGATAAGAAGTGCTGCTTATAGGTTAGGACTCGAAAAATATTTGCGGATTAGTTTTGATAGCACTCTACTAAAAGTTTTAGATTACCATTTGTTCCATCACAGACGACCACTCGAATTCGCCGAGAGCTTGAGGGGCGAATTGTTCAAGTTAGTCAAAAACAAAACAAATAAATACTTTGTAAAGTTCTGAGGATATTGTTTTCTAAAACTTTATTTCATACAAGTTTTATTCGCATCCTATCTTACTTTTCCTAATAAAACACAAAAAAATGGCAACAATTCATTCAGATCCGAGATTTGGATGAATTGCAACGACTTGTTCCCTGCGATATTCAACATGGACCAAAGAAAAAACCACAAACATACTCGTCAAATCAAGTGTTGTATCACAAATAAATAAATAAGTGCTGCTTTCATTATTAAAAAAAGTAATAACGAATAAATTATGGGCTAAGAAAAGTTGAGATGAAGACTGATGTCTCACTGTTCAATGTTGCATGCCACCATTTATCGGGAAAATAGATTACCTAAATACGTAATTTAAAAAGTAATACAATTTGTTGGAATTGTATTATACGAGAGCAATTCACTTAATCACCTCGCCTGGTTTCATCAAACATTCTAATGGCTTTTTATCACGCGGTAGTTTTGGGTATTCATTCAGGTACCTGGAAAGGTTTCTCTTATAAACAACTTGTAGTTTTACCATTGTAGAGTTGTTTGATCAGGATTAAAATCTGGTCGTTCTTCATATGGATGCAAAAACCATCGTTTACTTCCATGAATGATTTCGGCAAATCCGGGTCCGTGAAAGTGAAAAGGAACCCCGGTACCTGAAAAAATCTTTAGAGTAGAATCAATTTCTCAAGACAAAATTGCTTTCTGAAACGTGTCGTTTTTCAAAAACTATCGCAAAGTTGCATCTAATTCTGTGAGTTCACAAAGAATATCAAAATGAGATAAAATAAAATATATCTCACCTGCACCCGCTAATCCAAAGCTTAAAGCGGGTAAATGCCCTGGCAAGATCCATCTGTCATGAGTGATAATTGTAGCTTGAAAATTATAAAACCTGGGTTTGTTGTAAATGTCAAGAAGTGGTTTCCAAATAGTTTGATCAATGTCACCAAAAAGATACAATGTTTGATTTCCAAGAGTCTCAAGATTTTGTGGCCTGAATGGATTTGTACTTAAATGTAGGTTTTAAATGAAAAAAAACCTTAATTTGTCTTCAAGATACGATGCAAATGTACTTGGTACACGAGTATAACTGTACGTGTTCGCACTATTCAACACAACTTCTGCTTGCCCCCATTCGTCTAGCATAACAGCTCTGAAAAGAATTTCAAAATAGTCTCATATCGATAATCTCACCTTTTCGTTTTTTCTTGAAATTTCTTGTTATCAACATTGTATATGATAACTGGTTCAGAATAGGCATACCTGAAAAGTTCATCGCTTTGCTAATCAAAAATTTTTGAGAAAACCTTTTGATAAACTCTTCTTGAGTCAATTCATCGGCATCATGACGTTCAATATTGCAGGGACCATCTTGCCCTATAATAAAACAAAGATAAGCAAAGTGCGGGATTAAACATTCAAAGCTGCACTCACCAATAATATCTTTATCTTCGGTTATCCACCCTCCATTGCTCACAATTCCACCGACAAAAACAAAAAGCGAAAAGAAAAGAAATCCTCTCATAAAAGTACTCAATTTGAAGACTTTTGTCTAAATAATCCATTAACTATCATCTTATTAGATTATTAAAACAAAAAACAATTATGAAAACTTACATATCTTTTTCTTTACTATTTTTTGAAAGAATTTATTGTGAAACAATGAGATCATTTTTATCAAGAGATGCACAGATGGGCTTGATTGACTAGAGCTGAGAATTTGAAATTAGAGATAATGTAAAAAGCACCAAAAACAATACTGAACATTTTGATGTACATTCATTTTAGAAAAGAAAGAAAAGATTCAAAGATTATGTAGAGGAAAAAGAATCAAATTCAAAAGTAAGTATTGGTCGTCGAGGTCGATCACTGAGAAGATCACTCAAAACGGAAGCCCAAGGTAGAGTAATATATGTGAGATATGCATTCAATGGAGTACATTCGGCTCTTTTCTTTTCGCGCAACCAATGCCATGCCTGACCGAAGCCTCGCACAGACCTGAAAGCTCCTTATCACTCTCTTCAGTAGCAATTCAATCTTACCATAATCGACTCAAAACACCTTCTTCTAATTCATCATCAATTGAAGATGCTTCTACCTAAAAGTGATCATTTTTAATCAATTATTTTCTCACGTACTTCTGGATATTGTCCAGCTGTATCAGCTTCACTTTGCCATCGCCGACCTCTTGGAAGTGTCCCCACTCCACTCGGAGTCATTGCCGCTCGTCCGCCTGTTTTTTGAGAACGATTATTTTTAAATGTCATTTTGTTTTCTTACCCATTGGTCCATTTCCAACTCCAGCTATGTTTTGTTCACTTAAGCGTCGTTTTCCCAATGCTGACTCAAATTGTGAAAGATCGGGAAAATCAATTTGAGAGCGTTCTGTTTGTGGTGTCTCTAATCCACAACCGGGTACTCGAGCTACTGCCATTTCAGCGTATCCCTACATTGTTTCAATTAATTTTAGCTTTTTTTCCTTCACTTTTCCCCGTGGACCTCTCATTCGCACAAATTCGCGTCTTCTTTTATCGTCTTTGACAAGTCGTTGAGCCCATCCCCAAGTAGACGAAGCTTTTGCGTCATAGACCTAAAGATAGCATATTTATCTACTATATATATAAAGGGACTAAGACGTCTGTCTATCTGTGCGCACTACTCCTCCGCGCCCAGTCCAGTGATTTACAGTTAGTTTGACTTAGAATTTCATGTAGTTGTGCAACATGTTTTAAATTTTTAAAAACCAAAAGTGCCGACGCGCGCGGGAGTCGAACCCGGGTCGTGTGGACTAGGGATAAGGCGCTCGCACTGCGCCATCTACCAGAGTATCTGGTCGAGTGGCTAGGGCGCACGTCTCTCAAACGAACGGAAGAGAGAGGTCGCGGGTTGGTCTTCTCTCGCCGCCCATTCTTTTGATTTTTGCTGCAAAGCCGCAGCGAAGCTTCTTGTTATATAATACACGTGTATAAAATGGAAAAAAAATAAAAACAAGTATAAGGAGGGGCACCTGTTTTAAAACTTCATATCTGATTGAACCGAGAAAAGTGACGGATTCTCGGGTACGTTGTCGATCTCGTACCACTAATTCCACACAAACACACTCTCCATCTCTTACAATAATATCGTTGAATACCTTAACTTTTCATTTAACTATTATATCACTTAATCTAACCTCCTCAAATCCATCAATAGCAAAATATATCTTTGGATACGTGATCTCTTCTGCTTCTCCTTTACTGTCCATTCGTCTTCGTGAAGGTGATGGATAAACCTGGAAAGCTTGTTTAAAACTTTCAAGCATTTTTCAACCTTTTGACAATTTTTCCGAATAATTTGTAAATTTTGTGGTGCGGTTTTTGTGCAGACGGCACAAGTAACAAAAAAATCCAGCTGTTGAAGAATGAGATTTAGGCAAACCTGAATATTATTTAGTTTTTAAATGTTTTTTTCCAATTTACTGTTTCTTCCCAATTTACATTCGAATCACAAGGAGCTGGCTGCTTTTTGCTTTGTCGTCGAAAGACTTGCAATTGTGGAGCAGAACCCAAATGGAATGACGTGTTGATCTTCTGCATGGGAACATACCTAAACAAATATGTTTTTTTTTACTTTGCTGATTAAACTGAATGAGTGTTTAATCAATACCATATCATATCATCTCCAAGAGCGGTACAAGTTGATGCTTGGCAATAAGCAGAACCAAGAATGAACTCCATGAATAGTTTTGCCCATCTGATCTCCATGTTGTGAATCATTCTAGATAAACTAGATCTTATCATTTTTGTTATTTTGGCAGTTACGTAAAATCATCAGCATTTGTTGTGCTTTCTTTTCTCAAGTGTTCCACACGTCGCAAAAGTTCCGATACACAAGTACATCGGCCTGGAAACGTAACCGTATTGTAACAAACAATTTGTTTTTACGGAATGGACATGTAAGAGTATTGTAAGATACTAGATATGGAAATTTTTGAAGATTCAAACCTTTGGTCGTAGTAGACGCCGTAGCTTCCATAAAAAAGATCTGAAATGAATTATGAAACAAAAACGAAAATTCGATATTCATGTGATCAATATAAGTGATAGCGTAAGATGATAACACATCTTTGTTTACTGACACACAAAGTTTAAGACTTTATACACATGTTTCAAAAATCTCATGAGGCACGTTTGGTCATTCTGTTGTAAAAATCTTCAAAAAACGTCCCTTTTCGAATTGTTTCTCTGAAAATAAAGATTAGTTCTAGTGAATTGTTTATGTAAATAAACTTTCTTCGAGAGACAAATTGAGAGCCGCATTTTGAACGTTTTTGATGTAAGCCACCAGTTGATCAGGCGCCAATCGACCAAGTTCTAAAATTCTGAAAGGTCTGGTTACCTTGAAAGTTGAAAGGTGAGAGATGCATATGGCTAATTCAATCACAATTAAATCCATAGTCTTTGTCTACTTACCTATATGTAGTTGCATTATGTAATGTGAGATGAATGTCAGGACTTACCATTGACTAATTTTATATCATCAGAAGCCAATTCTGTTCGAATTCTGTTAACTTGTTTTGGTTCTGAATGCAACTTCTAAAAAAATTCGTTTTGTTTTTCAAATTGAGGTAAATTTTTTCTACCTCTTTTCCTCGAGAAAACGAAGATAAGCCGGGAAGATCAGCTATTGTTTCTTGTTCATCATTTCTGAGTTGCTCTTGACAAAAATACGAGCTTGTCGCTTGAGTATCGTCAATCTGCAAATTATTTTCATAAGTTATGAGAATTTTTGCTGTTACCTGTGATTTGGAGAAGGGTAGAACTCTGAAAGGAGGTTGAGAAGCAGTTATCAATTCTAAACGTTATTATATGTACATATGTTGTGATTTGTTGTTCTGAAATGATTTGTTCTATTCAAAAATAGCCAAATTTTGAAAAAGTTTGTTTTACTTGTACATTTGTTGGATGTAATTTGATTACGAAAAACAATCAAATTCCATTCAGACCGCTTGAAGTTTAAAGAACATTTGGGACATTTTTGGCTTTTTGGCGGCCACACTTAAATGCAAACTGATACAGCAAATGTAGAGTGGCCGCCAAAAAAAGTCGCAAATATCACAAACATTTTTCAAAAAGAGAAGCGAAATTATATGATAAATCCAGTAATCGGGAATTTTATGTAAATATCTAATAAAACCTACCGGATGAACTTTGAAAAGGAGGATCGAGCACGGAAATTTTCACTCCCCCACGACTTTGTGCTTGCGTTTGGCTGGACATTCCTTTAGTATGAATATTTTATTCAAAAGATGAATAGTTCCAAAAAGTTAGTATGGTCTGCGTAACAAACCCTTTACTACACCGAAAAATTGATCCATTCTCTTACTAAACAGTCCAGATTACATGATTACGCTCATTTCGTGTATTCTGTAGCGTTGTGTACAGTGGTGGAAAAAAGTATTGGGTCCCCTAGACTGTTTTTACTTCTTGCTTCAAAAAAATTTCTATGGAAAGTTTTTAAAATCCGTTCTAAATTTCTAAAACTAGAAGAACTAAGCTTCGTAATGTTATAAAAACTTTTAAATTGCAAAGTTTATTTAACGAGAAAAAAACATATGTACACAATATTTGCAAAAGCCGGCGGAAAAAGTATTGAGCCCCTGTCGAAAAATGAAGAATTCCATATTTTGTTGGGCCCTCTCGGGCTTTAACGATCGCCTCCATTCGTTTCGGCATGCTTTCAACTAGTTTCTCGAGTGTCGGCACTGGGATCGACTTCCAAATTTCTTGTACTTTATCCCAAAGCTCATCTTTTGAGGTATTTCGATATCCTCGTTTTACATGGGCCCACAAATGTTCAATCGGATTGCAATCAGGAGAATATGGCGGTGTCTGCAGAAGAAAAACATCATTGATGCAAAACGACACGGAAAGACGCCCTAAACGGTACCCGGAAACCTCCACTTTCCAGTTCATCATCGATTAACTTTGGAAGTTTTGGGTCGCTATTCTACTGGAATAGTCGTTCAGGCCCCATATTTGTATGAATATAAGTAGATACTCAATCCTTTAATATTGCAGCATATCTAGATCTATCCGTGAATATTTTGGTCCGAGCGAGAGGCTTTAATGGATTCGTGGCAATGAGTCAGCATGTGGCACTTCCAGCAGACGCATTCTGTAAAATGGCGCTGTTCAAATCCAATTTTTGGTGTAGATAAGCTTTTTTGTGATTAAACAAATTATCAAAATACAAAACCTACTAAAAAAATTTGCCCAACAGCCAACGTTCAGTGGATAAAGTGTTATGTGATAAAAGCCTCTATTTGAAAGTTTTCTTTTAATGTGCACGGTATTACAAGGCGGGCGATTTTGCAAGAAAATTTAGTATTTTATTTCAAAGAATTATATGTATCATGTAGTTGAACTACGGTAGGTTTTGCCATGGAAATCCTCTCTTTAACTTCTCATAGTATTTAACGAAGGAATTTGACAAAATTCGCCCACAGCGGCGCTGTTATGAAAGTGTTCCTTGTTTTCTCTGCCAATTTCTTCTTCAAGGATATGTTTTGCTTTATGCACATGTTTTGTAATTTGAACTTTCTTGCGTTAAGTGACGTCTTTTGGTGTCTCTCGTAGTCATAGCGTCTAGGTTCAATCGCGCTTTTCACTTTACTGTACTCCTTTTCTCTTGTCGAACCTGAGTCACTGCATTGTTTGTCAAACTATGTGCTAATGTTGTTTTCCAATGGGTATTTAATCGTCAAGCCGCTTTACCATCACCCACAATTAGCTTTTTTAAATCTCAAAATTTAGTTTTCACAATTTGGCACGATGGACCGGGAATCTTTTCTGAAAGATCAAGTAACACATTTGTTTAAAAAAATTAAAATTTATCTTTTTAGCTAGAAGCTGTTCAAAAGGCGTTGACGAAGTACGAAATGCCTCTTAAGCCGAAACACGCTCGTAGACTTATCCTTGGAACTCATCGAGAAAAAAATGCCGGTATTTTTATTGGAATTACATTTTCTAATCTCTAGTCTAGCCGTTTTCTGGAATGCAGTAAACCGAATGCAATTGGAGAAGAATCCTGTAATTTCTTGGAAGTTTTGTCACTTGCTGCATAAGCTTTTGAGAGATGGACACCGGAAAGTTCCAGAAGATTCATATAGGTAGAATGATTTATTGAAAAGAGAAATTAGTTAAGTACTTTAGGTTTATGAAGCGAGTCGGTATGCTTTCACAGTTTTGGAAACATTTGCCTGGCTATGGCGGTTGCATTGAACAATATTGCAAATTACTTGTGGAACGACTGGAGTTTCATAAAAGAGTATGCTTTTTAGTAAATTAGCAATATATGAAGCTTTTTCAGAATCCCATCGTGCCCGGAAGCCTTCAGCTGCCAGAAAATCAAATTACGGCGTTGGATTTGGATTCTTCTTTTGCTCTGTCTATTGAAATGTTAGATCAAATGGATAATTTGCTGGAACTACAGAATCGAGGTTGGTTATGGGAGTATTATGGTTAATCTTTGAGTTATTTTTCATTTAGTGTTTGACAATCTCGAAGCATTACGTTGGTCTTCACTTGTTCCACAAGGGCAATGTTTGTTAGCTCCGTTGATTCTCTGCATTTTGGATACATCAAAGCTGTACGATTACCTTGTGAAGGTTAACGATTGCTTTGTAATTTTTTTTCAAAACGGATTTTAGATAATTTTTAAATTACATGCGCAAATACCAGCCGATGCGTTGATTGGACATAGGGATCGATTCAAGGTTTTACTAATAGCCAAAAGTACCTTTACAAATAATATTTAGGATATCTTTCGAAGGACCAAAAAGTTCTACGAGGAGTCATCAAATCTGCAGTACTTTAAATACCTTGTCTCGATTCCGACGCTTCCAAATGTAATTTTTTCTAAATTTTGCAACATAAATTTGCTTTTAGGCACCTCCAAACTTCTTAAGTGCCAGTGATTTGGATTCTTACAGAACACCACATGCTTATCTTCATGGGGAAGGCAGCGAAGGAGACGACAGGTTGCGTTTAATCATAATACATTGCTAAAACAGCAAATAGAATCGTAGCTATATTTTCAAAGTAATTTATCTTTAGGTCTGTCGCAGAAGTGACTGAGGAGTCGTTGGTAGATCTTTACGAGGAAAGCGCGCACATTCAATCGCAGCCATCACCTACACCAACAGTTTCAGAAAGGTTTTTATTATGATTTTAAAAGAAAATTTCCGTTTAGAGATGAACAAATGCTAGGATTACAACGAGCATTGGAAGATGAACGTTTTGCAAAAGAACGGTTGATTGCTGAAGCTAGGTGAGTTTTTACTAACGATCATCAAAAAAAGATTAAGATCACGAATTGAACAATATGAAAATCGGTTAGCACAAATCCAAGGAGACTTTGAACATGCTAGGCGAGAAGCTGATGAAAACAAAGAAGAACTGGATCGAGTGAAAGGTATTCTTGCCATTTTATGATAACGTCATTTTATTGTAGCAGAACTGATGACGCGGGACACGCAACGTGCGTTGAGCGAAGACGCACGAGTTCGGGAAATTGAGGGCAGAACAGTGCTTGCTGAAGATCGATTTGCTAAGATGAAAGCTGTCTATGAGCGTTTCCGAGCAGAGCATGTTACGGTAAAAAAAAAACTTTATTGGATTTTGAGTCTTAAAAATTTAGGCTCTGCAAAAGCTCAGTGAGTTGCAGAAACAGCTAGAAACAAGCGAAAAGGACAGAATGGACAAGGAGCAAGAACTAAGGTTTTGAAAAGGTTTGATAAATACGTTTTTAATTTCAGAGAACTGCGGAGAAATCTTGAAAGTGCGGAAAAACAACAAAGTGCTCTCGACGACTCTCGTTTTTTGGCTGATGATCTTCGTTCTCAACTAGCAAAGGCCGATCTTCAAATGGAACAACTACAAAAAGTGCTTGAAACATTCAATACAATCCTGTTCATGTAAACCTCAGGAATTATCGGAAACACAGCGCGAAAACTTGAAGAAATTAGAAGACCAGCGGAAGTCGGCTTTACAGCTTTGTGTTGTTGGCATAAAGAAGATGCTGGAGAAGGGCCTCGAGGATATAAACAATGCCACTACGATAACATTCCCTCCACGTTCGTTACAAAGTAATGATGGATAATTGGTTTTTTAGATTTGGCATTGGCTGATTTAAGCCACTGCAGAGGTGTTCTGGAAAGTTTGACGAACCAGGGAAATCTAGAAGCCCTGACTTTTCGGGTTTGTTGAACTTCTTTTGCAATATTTTATTATTATACATTGTGCTTAGGTCATTGTGTCTCGACCGCTGTTGTAAACTGCGCATCTGCAGCTTATACCGCTTCCATTCAACACTTCGATCGTATGTTCTTCCTAAGTTAACAAAATATCTGCTTTCTAGATATTAATGAGCTATGCAAAGAAATCCTTTCTGTTTCTCTCAATGCTTATCAGAATTGGAACTTTTTTGAGTTAAAGGTTTGTTATTAATAAGTTTCAAAAATAAATGGCATTCAGAGTTTGATTGATAAACTACTCGGCGCTATCACAAACTTACCGGTTCAAAATGATGTCGATAAAGTTTGTCATACTTTTTAACAGATTATTTCAAATTTTAGGAAAAGGTTGGTAGTGAAGTGGACCTTGAAATGCGACGGATGGATGAAGCAATTCGATTGGCTGTAGAGAAAATAGAAGAAATCCAAAGAAGAGCCCGTCAAAGTTCGGATGGCATAAGGTTTTGTTTAAAAGCGACCCCTTCGCAAACGGAGAGTCATTTAGGTATCTATTATTTTAGGCTGGAAGTCAACGAAGCTATTTTGGGATGTTGCCAGCAATTAATGAATGCAATCATGATTCTAGTATCACGAAGCCGCGAATTGCAAGAAGAAATTGTTGCCGCGGGCAGGTTTTTGAGCGAGAAAGGCATATGAAAACGATGACTTAAGGGGTGGAGCTAGTCCAGCAGAGTTCTATAAACGCAATCATCAATGGACTGAGGTTTACTAAGCAATCATTTTTAAAAATCATTTATGTTAAGGGTTTGCTTTCTGCCGCGAAAGCTGTTGGGGTTGCTGCTCGAGTACTTGTCACGGCAGCCGATGAGGCGGTGAGCTATCTACTAATGATGATTTCTGGTGTCTTTAAAGTAACTTATTTCAACTTTAGGTTGCTGGCACGGGGAAATTTGAGTCGTTAATCGTGGCCGCTCAGGAAATTGCCGCTTCAACGGCGCAACTTTTTGTTTCAAGCCGAGTAAAAGCAGACCGTGATTCAAACAGGTTTGCTGGGGAATGTCTTTTGGACGAAGATTTTATTAGGCTAAGTGCGTTGTCGGTGGCATCAAGGAATGTTAATCAATCAACGGCGCAGGTTGTTGCGAGTGTGAAAAACGCTCAAGCTACTCTTAACGACAAAGGTAATACGGTTTCGCAGTTTGAACAATTAACTAAATACCAGCGATATAAACTTTTGTTTAGATGTTCTTGATTTCTCCCACCTTTCTCTTCATGAAGCAAAGAAAGAAGAGATGGAATCACAAGTAAAATTCTACTACATATATGGTTATATAAAGTCAAATTTAGGTGAAAATGCTTGAACTGGAGCAAGAATTAACGCGAGAAAGGGCACGCTTGGCTGAGCTTCGAAAAGCCCACTATCACATGGCTCAAATTGTCGCTACAAACAAAAGTTGATGGATTGCGATGCGAAACATTAAATTTGCCATTTTTAAATTAAATGTCAATCTCAAGCCATGCACCTATGCTTTATTTAATCTTTTTATCATGCAGTGTCTTTTAGTATCTCAAGCTTCTAGTGCTCATTGTGCTACCGTAATACCTGTGATAGAGGAGTCCCCCTCTAGTAGAAGAATAGAAGAGAGTACGTAGCAAACGTAGTCTGCGAAAGAGGGGGTGATTCTTCTAATACAGGTATTAGGCATCATTTTTGCAATCTCGTAAATTTTCGATTTCGACTAAAGCAGGATCTGATATTACAAACAAACTTCTCTTTAAAGCTATTATCGTTTTCAGTTCTGTGATTTTGTTTTCCTCCTTCTTATCTAAGAGAAGTGGCAGCCGCTCGAGTCTTGTGAATAGTCCAAAGCAGAAAAGGAAACAAAGACCCTGTCAAAAAATTTTTCCAAAAATTGTCAAATTAGCTTTATCTAGTTAGTTATTGTTCTGACCCTATGTGATAATAGCTATGCAATCTTGTGTGATATAGGACGGATTGTGAATGCTTTAATTTACTACTTTGTTTAAAATAAATATTGATTGATTGATTTCCGTCTGTTTATCGTATTGGTTGGTTATCCAAATCATATTTCCAGTCGACTTTCAACGAGATTGATATGTGAACGGCTTGTGGTGCGACCTCGACAATGATTCATCCCTGTTCATATGATGACCGTATAGTCTAATTTTTTTACCTACAACATATAAATTTATGTCAAACTCTGTTTCTAATATGATTGTATTTAAAGGCTTATTTTCAGGGACGTTTGCAATCATAATGGATAACTCAGGGGAAAACCAACCACTTCTGGTCGCTGGTGGTAAGTAATATAAACACATTGGAAATTGGATATATGTGTAGAGATTTACTTTTATACTAATGTAGATGTTTATATGGTATTTTTTAGTCATTTTTGGCTTTACTGTATTTTGTAAACCATTCAGACATTGAATTGAACGTACCATAGTGCCAAAATGCGAGCAAAAACTTATCAAAGTTGATTTTTAGTTAACAATGATGCAATGTATGGGGATGGCGCAGAACTTTTGGAGCATTCACAAGGTTATGATGAAGAAAGTGCTCCTGTGAGACCTTCAGGTAATTTTAGAAACATTTTAAATCCTTTTTTGTTTTAGGAGCTACAGTAACCTGTCGCGTCTGTGACGCCGGAATTGATCTTGAAGGGAAACATAATCAACATGTCGTGAAGTGCACTCATTGTCAAGAGGCAACGCCCATTCGTCCTGCACCACCAGGCAAAAAGTAAATTTTTTTGGTTGTAATAATTTATTTTGAAACTAAGAGAAGGAATTTGTCGGTTGAGCATTAGAATTTAGAGTTAATAACTTTTTAAGATATGTCCGTTGCCCCTGTAATTGTTTGCTGATTTGCAAAGCTTCATCAACGAGAATCGCTTGTCCACGACAGAATTGTCGGTGAGTTGTTACTCATTTTTAGTAGGGAAATGCTCTTATTAGGCGAGTCATCACGCTTGCCAATGCTACTCCAACTGGAATGGCTACCAGGGCTCCAGCAGGATCTTGTCGCGTAACCTGTGCGCATTGTCAAGAGGTAATTTTTTGTGTCAGTAAATCAGTTTTTTAATGTCAGCAGTCTTATAATATTTTTGCAGGTATTCTTGTTCAATACCCTCAACAATTCGCTAGCCACTTGTCCTCATTGTAAGAAGAGTTCCTCGGTCGGTGCAGCCTTTGCACGAACGCGTGCCATTTTTTATCTCGTCTTTGCTTTACTAGCACTGATCGGATGCGTTCTTCTCACTGTATTTACATCGGAGAAGGTATCAATAATATTTAATAAAAACAAATTGGATTTTAGGCGCACCAATGGGTCTTCCTCTATGCTTTTTGGCTGGTCAGTTATGTTGGAGCTGGATATCTTTTTTACAGGTGATTCACTTTTTTACTGATATCAAATCTACATGTCCCTCTGTACCAAGTCATCTGAATTTTAGATTCATGTTCTATCTTCTAGTGAAGGTCAGTACAGTCGTCGGGCCCGTTTAAACCAAATGAGTCTATCCATAAAAAATATTTCTTGCCTCAGTGTTTCGTACAGTTTGCAAACTTTATTCCTGATTTGGGCTTATACTTTTAGTTTCTTAGGTGCTCTCTCACTGTTTCACATACACTTCATTCCACGTTTTTCTCAAAATTTCTCATACCGTGAATGCTTAATGGAACGCCAGCCACCACAATGACACGTGATTTGTGCTGCTTTCAGATATCATGATGACTTTAAATCTCCAGTATTGTAAAAAAAAAAATGAAATTTATTAGAAAAATTTTTGTATCAGTGCGAGAAACAGGTATATATTACTTTTGTAGACAATCAAGATCACGTGATACCGGAGGCAAGGCGTTCGCTTTGAGTACATATTAACGGTGATGGTTTACTTTTCTTGTGTTTTTCATTTGTACAATCAACTCCCAATGTATAACGTTGCCCTTTCTGATTGAAGCCAAATTGAAAGTTGTTATAACTTGCTTTAGAGGGTTGATAAGATTATTACGAGTTGTGCTAAGTTTAAATTTACTTCTTCTCAATTTGCAAATGTTGAATAAGTGTTTATGATCGGAACTATCCCGGTTTGTGCCTTGCAAAATTTCGTTTTGATTGAATTGTCAATAAATTATATTTAATTACAGTTGAAAATGATTCATTTACAGTGTTGAAACACTTCGACAGTATTCATGCATTTATAGAAGTTATATGCAAAATAAGTTTCAGATTATAAATATGGTTTGCATCTTGGGTATTGAAGGTTCTGCCAACAAAGTTGGGGTAGGGTTCATACTGGAGCTTTTTATTTTTATTTTGAAGGTTGGTATCATTCGGGATGGAGAAGTTCTTGCAAATCCCCGTGAAACATTTATTGCACCACTCGGAGAAGGTTAAAGCTGTTTATAGTCTATGATTTATCTTTACTCCTAGGATTTCGCCCGAGCGAAACAGCCCAGCATCATCGGCAAAAAATAGTTCAACTAGTGATTAAAGCTCTGCACGAAGCAGGAATTCAAGTATAGTTTTTGCTCTAATTAAATCATTATAATTTTATTATTTTGCTTTTTTTCCCACTGAGCAAATATATTGTACACAGGCCCGTACCCAGAGGGGGGGACACACACAAGGGGCATTTGCCCCACCCCTTTCCGAAACTTTTTCTGGATACGGCCTGATTGTACATATTGTTTCTTTCTTAGGACCCGGAAAAAATGTTAGATGGTATTGCTCATACAAAAGGGCCTGGAATGAATGCACCTCTACAAGTTGGTTTGACATTAATCAATATAATGCAATAATTGTTTGTGACCTTTTAGATAAAGAAACGTAAAGTTTAGGTTTGCGCTGTAGTTGCTCGAACTATTGCACTTTCTTGGAATTTGCCTATTATTCCAGTCAATCATTGTATTGGTCATATTGAAATGGGTCGGCTTATTACGGGTGCAGACAACCCAGTTGTGCTTTATGTATCGGGTGGAAATACGCAGGTGTTTAAAGTTTTTTTACTTAATTAAAAATGATTAAAGCTGTGTGATTCTTACCGCTAACTGCCTTTGAACAGTAAATTCAAGTAAACAATAAAAAATGAAAATGAACTTATCCTTTTTCTCATTCTGCTCCTATACAATTAAAAGTATGAGCTTAGTAATACAAAATTCGGTACTAGCCTAGTTGGGGAGGGGCACTATTTTTTTCTCCAAAATCACTTTTTTTAGGGTAATTTTATGTGTAGATTCCGAAAAACACAACGAGAGCTTGGGGAAAGGCGTTTTAAGCCGAGTTTTGGGGCTCCAAAGTGCGCGCTTTTATAGTGTACTTCACTAAATGGAGCCCAAGCTATTGACTATTGAGGCACTTTTCAAGGTCAAAACTAGAGCCAAAATCATTTATAACCAATAAATATTCTTTTCTAACTTAAATTGACTGGTAGACAAGTTGAAAAAATATTTTTTGAGATTTTGACCGATTTTGGAAAAAAATATTTAAAAAAAAATTTTACTCCAATTTGATCAGAAACGTAATCAGTAGGTTCAATTACGCCAGAAGAAGTGTTTTTGGCTTCAAAAATGTTTTGAGAGGCCATTTTTTAGACCTTTTCCTTATGTGTATCCCACTCATCATCACACTGTATGATCGCGCACTTTGGAGCCTCGAAACTCGGCTTAAAACGCATTTTCCCAAGCGCTCGTTGTGTCTTTCGGAATCTACGCATAAAACTACCCTAGAAAAAGTGGTTTGGAAGGAAAAAAGTGCCCCCCAACTAGGCAAGTACCCAAAATTATCTTCATCTCCATGATTTTGTCTTTACACATCAAAAATAAAATAATTGCTCCTTTCTTCATCCGGTCAATCGTTTGACGAAAAAGTTTCAAAAGCTAAATATTTAGGTGATTTCATATTCTGCTCAGAAATATCGCATTTTTGGTGAGACGATTGACCTGGCGGTCGGAAATTGTTTGGATAGATTTGCTCGAACCATTCGGCTTTCCAATGATCCTAGTCCTGGATATAATATTGAACAAGCTGCTAAAAAAGGTTTTTGAGTTTGTGATTATCAAACAATTATCAGATTTATCACAGGAAAAAAATTCTTGCAAATTCCTTATACAATCAAGGGGATGGATGTCTCTTTTTCCGGAATTCTTGCTTTTATCGAATCTAAAGGGCTTGAAGCATTACGAAATGGATTGTATACAAAAGAAGATTTATGTTTCTCTCTACAGGTAGAACTTAATTTTATATAATAACTAGAGTAATGGTTTAGGAAACAATTTTTTCAATGTTGATAGAGATCACCGAAAGGGCAATGGCACACACAGGAAGTAAAGAGTTGTTGCTTGTTGGTGGAGTTGCATGTAATTTACGGTTGCAGGTAATAAATTTATGTCATAAAAAATAAAAAGGGTTTAGGAAATGGCACGAATAATGTGTGAAGAGCGTAGAGCGAAGATTTTTGCAACTGATGAACGCTTTTGCATCGACAATGGGGCAATGATCGCACAGGCTGCGTATCTGATGTTCAACGCTGGATTACAATCAACGGTAAGTGTTTGATTTCTTTCATTGAGCAGACTCAGTAAAATTTGACTATATTTTCGTTTTAGGTAGATAAGACGACTACCACACAACGATATCGAACAGATCAAGTGAATGTTGTTTGGAGATGAAACTTATATATAATTGTTTCGTTGTTATTTGTTGCTCTGTCGTTGTTATGTATTTGTTATTCCCAAAAATAAAAATTTTCTGAATAATGTTTGGCAGATTTTGCAAGCCTTCAAATATAGGTGAAATATTTTACATTTGCTGAATAACTTTTAATTTTAAAGTTTTTTTCCCTGGAAGTCGTTACGATTTAGTTTCTTAATCCGTCATTTTTATAAGCTACATTGATGCCGCAAACAAGTTCGCGAACCAGAATTACGAGGAAAGAAGTAGAAGCTGCCTTTGCAATGTGCAATCCTCAGAAGCCTGAAACAATCAACATACAAGATTTAAAGGTTACTACTTATATAAAATAGCTAAAAACATGGCTACTAAAGATTTATTAAGTGATTTTACGTTTTCAAAGATTACAAATGTATTTTTATTTAGGTTATCATGAGAGCTCTTGGTTTCGATCCGCGGAATGAGGAGGTTGAACGGCTGACCAAAAAAGGTGCAAAATACGATCAAACGCGTAAAAGGCGATAAAGGTAACATTTGTGATGTTTAAGTTTTTAATGTCTATATTATCTGATTCTAATGTAAATATATAGATGAAGCCTTACTTACTGTTGATCAGTTCCTCGATTTGATGAAGGAGCGCTTGGAATCCGACAAGGTTTTTGCATAAAGCTATTAGTAATGTTTTGTTTAGAGCACTGAAGAGATGAGATGCGCCTTCAAATTGTTCGATCGTGATGGCAAAGGATGGATTGATTTGGAGGATTTAAAACGAGTAAGTAATTGCATCTTTATAAGAAGTTTGAATTTTTATTCATATGCTTTACTCAACTTTTTCATTTCTTTTAGGTATCTAATGAACTTGGGGAAGATATCAAACAGAATGATCTCATCGAAATGCTAAAAGAAGCAGAGGCAGATCCCGGACAAAAGGTTGGGCTCATATTTTTATATTTCCTGATTAACCGTCAAATATACCGAATATTCAAATGACCGTTACTCTAGGGGAGGGTGGACGAAGAAGCATTTTTCCGAATTATGAAAAGGACATGCCTATATTAATATCTTAAAGACAGCAAATCCTTAATTTTGTTTTTTTTACTGCTTCCTTGGTTACCGTTTCTTTCTTTGATACCTATCCTAGGCAATTTGCATGAGTTTTCTTATTTGTTGAAAAATTTCTATGCGTTGATCTCGCGCCTTTTTGTGATCTCTCCTATCTTGTCGGCTAAATTTATGTTAATAAATCTGAATAAATAAATGCATACGTAACGAAAGTGAAAATCGCTATATGGAATTTAGCCATTGTATTGAAAATGAAAAAATCTTTACTCTCAAAATTTTTAAGTGATGTTTTCAACTCTGGTGGATTTTTTTCGAGAGCAGATATTCACGTTAAAAGAAGGCAGTTATCCGTTTTGGCTTATGTAAGCAGTTCGATCAAAAATTTGAATGAAAAGTTTTCAAGGTATCGTGGATATGTGAGTCCATTAGGATCCCTTTTACACGCAAGGATGCTTCGAAAAGCAAAAGAACAATTTCCGAAAGGACATCGGAAACTGACTACAACAACATATTCCGGTACAAAAGTTAGTAATTCAAAAATATTGCTTGGTTTTAAAGGTGTCGTTGTCACAATCGTCAGCTTTGCATACGACAATTACGCATATATTGTGCGCAAAAATATGGACGTCAACCAGTGTTTGGTAACATAAATGGAACGTTTTCTTAGAAAAAGTAAATATATTAAAGATTGTTGATTGTGGTGATGGAGAGATTATAATCGATATATTGAAAGAATTTCAATGGGATCCTATCGCTGTTCTCACAACTCACAAACACTGGTAAGTCATTAAAGGGGAAAATTTATGAAAAATGCTTATTCAGGGACCATTGTTATGGTAATGCGGCCCTTAAAGTTGCTTATCCGAATGCTTGCTTTATTGGTGGAAAAGTTGATCGACCCAGCATTTGTACAAGGTTTCCAAAAAGACACATATTAGAGCCATGTATAAGTTCTGACTTACAACTAGTAAGCGATCACAAAGTAATCAGAAACACTTAATAGTAGACATTGCGCAATAACTTTGCGATAACGCTTATCTATTTCAGGTTAGTAAGCGACGGAGAAGAACTCGATCTAGCCGGTATCCTTATTAAAGTTCACGAGGTATTCGGACATACTTTGGGACATGTTGTTTATGAGGTGAAGATCATCAAAAATATCAACACTATTTATTAGTATAGATTAATCAAGCAACCACTTCTACTGATCCACCGATTATTTTTACAGGGGATACAATCTTTGTTGCTGGAATAGGTATAGTCACTGTCATGATTAATGATTTCATCAAGTTGATGAAACGCCAAATTAAATGATTATTATGACTTCAGGTAAAACTTTTGAAGGCACCAATGAACAAATGGTTGCCTCTCTCGATCAATTTAAAAACAAGTTATATTCTAAAAAACAATGAAAATAAATAAATTCTATATAGATTTTGCCTTGGTACGATCCTTTTTCCTGGTCATGAATATGCACGAGATGGACTTGGAATGGCCAATTACGTATGTTATCAAAAGAATAACACAAAAATCAATCATTAATTCAGTTAAATCCAAATCATGACACGGTTTATAAAGCTTTTCAAAAAGTCGATGCCGAATATTTGCAAAGAATACCATCGGTAAGTGGCAGTAAAAAATGATAAAAAAACAAAAAATGACAGGTTCCGACAACTCTTGGCGATGAATTTACGTGGAATCCTTTTCTTCGAACATCTCAACTAACTGATGGAGGTTCAATTAAAATGAGAGCTGAGAAATTGAGTGAACTACGGAAAATCAAAGAAGCTTATATGGAAAATCGAAGGACTTTTGACGAAGAAGCTACTGAAAAAAGACGGAAAACATTGATATCAAGGGTTGATCTAAAATTCGAAAAACAAGACTCTCAATGTAATGTAGAGAAAGTATTTGAAGAAAACAATCTAGAAAATGCTTTCGCTTATCATTAATGTAAAGCATTTTCAAAACTTGTCTCGTTTTTTGAAGGTTGTTCTTGAACTAATTGATTATCGACGGTCACTTCTCAATTTGTTTTTCAATATAACCAATTTGAGCTTACAATCTGTTGTTGTTTACAATTTTGAGTACTTATCATTAACACTACAATAAATGAAATCATTTCAACAATAAAATACAACCAAACGGAGAAATTGTCTCAATTCGTTTAGAAATTTGACTTAATCATATAATAGAGCGATTTTGGTTTAAAGAAAGCCAGAAAGAAACTTTATTGGTCTAAACGAGCTCATAGAGCTTGAGTGATTTACTGAACTCTCTCATTTCTGACAGCTGATGCTCAGCACTCGTCCTTTTTCTTGATCTCTATGATACTATTGTTTTGTTATCAGTTAACCCAAATTAAATTCACTTCTCTAAAATTAAATATTAGAGAGCTTGCAAAGGGTGAGTTTGAAGAGTCAGGACGAGGTTGAACATAAATTTAAGACTACCGTACTTGACGAGAAAAACGCCACGAAGCGACCTCACACAAGGAGAGACACGAACGTCCCTTCTCTCCGGAAATTAATAATAAATGGGACCGATTTTGGGGAAAAGAAGGCAAAGGGTAACCCCATTGGGGAGTCTATTGGAGATGGAGATGGGATGGAGAGGAAGAGGACAAGAAGAGGGGAAAGGAGGGGAGAACAGAGCCTTCGAGGGGGGGTACCGTACGATTTATGTCTTCTTTTCTCTCCACAAAATTTTATCTTTCGATTGAGCTTTTCATTCATTCAGCCCATCGATTGAATGAAAACCTTGAACCAAAAACGATCGTAATCCCAATGTTTCCGTGATCTAAATCAGAAAAGCGACAAGCATGGCTTTTCATCGCTAAACCCTCTGCTCTTTCTCAGTTCTCTTCCAGCCATTCGCACTCTTCACTACCAGCCATGATATGGTAGTGAAGAGGTTGAATATCGATTACTCTTGTAAAATTGATGAAGATCAAACTGATATGGATAAATATTGAAATACCAATGTCTTGAGCATTCACCATTGGACACTTTACGGTCAATGAAATAAATTTAGAGATTGTTGTGTCGAATGAATGTAGAGAGTAGTTGATGGGAATGAGAAAAGAAGAGGGATAAACTGTGCAATGAGGCCATAAAGAGCCAATAAATTTGTTGGAATGAGCCATCTCGGACCCCTCGGGCACCCCATTCGCCCACTCGACTCTCCGCTCCTCATCCTCCTCTCCCCTCTCCTCCTCTCCTCCTCTCCTCATCCTCCTCCATTTAACTCCTTTCAAATTATTGTCAATTCTCTCATTAACACTCTTTTATCATTTCCTATTACCCCAATTTGACGATTATAATAAACAGTTCAAAACAAAAGTCATAAGCAAAAGTTTTCTCGTTTATTCAAGGATTTTTTGGTTACAATGATATTTGACTCAAAAATATACCGAATCACCAAATCTATCTCATATCTCTCCACTACTGTTTAAGCTCGAGTTTGTCTACTTTATTTCATTTTAAGCCAACCCTAACTATAAGTATAGTTCACCCGTCAACCTTAGTTTAAAGCAACAAAAATCCATGTAGAACAAGTCATCCATGGGTAAGGGTGGACAATTTGCCCTTCTTTACCATCTCACGAAGCATTGCGCAATATATTAGTTTGGGAAGAAAGGTCTCGGAAAAAGTTTGCACGGTGATTTCTCAAAAACCAAGCCATCAATTCTTCCCAGATCTTTTGATAAACTTGACTATATTTCAAAAAGTTTTTGACAAAAAAATCAGAGATTTCTTCAGCTGAAGTGACTCGGTCACTTTTTGAGTGATCGGTCTTTAGACAAGTTTTTAATGGGTTAATGGATAGGCAATGGGCCTCATTTAAAACCTAAAATCAATTACTTAAAATAGGGAAAATTTGTGATTAAGACAAATTTTATTTAATGCTTTAACTTTTCAGAATCACCTATTTTAGCAAACACTCAGTGCCAAGAAGAAGAATGAAATCAAAAAAAAATATTTTTTGAAATGCAGCTTCTGTAAAAATTTTTTGGCTAGAAGTAGAGATTATAGAGCGTATTGCTGATTTATGCTAGCTTGACCTCATAAGGAGTCGTTTTTCTGGTGCAAAAAGTGAGCTGAATTTAAGCTGGAAAATAATAATTTATAAAAGCCTCTAAATTTTAAGGGAAAACTGCACTCATTTTTTACGAGTAATTTCTTGGAGTCGACTTGTAAATAATAGAACAAATTTTTTAAAAATGTTCTTGGATTGGTGGATTCGTTTTTAAGAAATTCCAGTCAAACTTTTTCCGAGAACTTTCTTTTCAACCTAATAGTATTCATTTAGTTAAAAGAGAGATCCGAATTGAGACCGATTCTCATTAGAACCTAATTGTTGTAGAAATGATTAAAGTGAATCGGTTTATCAATCATTTATCAGGTATTCGGATTAAGGACGAAATCCATAGTGAAATCCAAATTGTATAATAAATCCTTCCTGGATCTCACGTTTACTTTTTTTATTGTAGCTGTCACGTTGATCTCTTCGTTTTTGCAAGATTGTGGTGAAAAGCGAGTTTGCATGAGTGGAAAAGACAATGTGAGAAGGGAATCCTAAAAGTTTTATGGGTCTTTATGCAAATCCTCATCGCAAGCTGTTTCATCCCATATGATCATCATCACAAACAATTTTAGATTTTATCGTATTCATATTGATTTGAAATCGCAAATAACGATATGGGGAAAGGTTTAGTTCAAATGAAATTCTAAACTTTTTGGTGTCGGAGCGAGTTTTGAGTTTCGCTATCGTATTTTGGTTTGAAATTTTTGAGAAAATCTCTTTTTGCTGAAATGACTTAGACTGAATTGAATAGTGCAATCTTTGACATAAAAAAAAGATAAACAAAATAGAAATCGATGAATTGAAAGGGAATGGGTGGGTGGAGATAGGGAAACTGCGGGGAGCGAATGACCGAACAGAAGGAGACCTCGTAAATCGGTAGGCCGCCCATTCATTAGTGCATCATAAAATGTTTTATAATCGATCACTGCATACATTTTCTTTTAGTCTTTATAAAACTTGCTAGTAAAATACTCGAAAAGTTTTTCTTCCGCAGTTTCAATGAGTTTCAGCTGATTCTTCGACTTGGACATCAATTTCTCTTCCAGTCTTGTAATTTTGTAGAATTATTTTGTGAAAATCTTAGCAACCTTGTAATTTCTAGTATCAAGAAATTCGGATGTTAAAAGACTTAACAAATATTGAGGCACATCTGACTGCTAATTCAAGCGTATTCTTTTTGTTTGAATTCATTTCAAAGTCAGATTAAAATCCATTCTTAACTACTTGAAAATTAAAAAAATGACATGTCTGACACAGTGTTTCGAGAATTAAATTAGAAACTTGATGTTGAGTTTTGTCTTCAATCTTTACGTATAAAAAACTTCTACCTTTTCTCTTGTCACAATACTTCTTAAGGTTACTGTGGATTGTGATTACGGTAGTGTTCTGGTGGAATCAAGCTTACAATGATATGGTTCAGCTTGAAGAGCTAAATGATAGTTTTGTGATTGAATGCTAAATGATTGTGAATACTTTTATTCAAAAATGCTGTGAATGCTTTCCTTTCAAAGTATTTTTTATCGATTTTTTAAAAGTTCCTTTACATTTGATTTGATCATCACGATGAAATCAAATATAAAGAAATCACAGAAATCAAAACATCATCACGATGATTTGAAATTGAATACGGTCCAAAAGGTAACCAACCCTTTATGAGAGTTATGACAAGAGAGTGCACATGGTGACATAGGGTAATTGAAAAGAAAAAAAAGAGACTTTCATTGAAGGCGGTCTCTTTCATCCATCGAAAACATATTTCTGAAATCTCTATGATCCTTCCGAAATACAAAATAGGAAACTATTTGAATTTACCTCATTTTGATTTTGTGCACTTTAAATTGAATTGTTTTTCATTCGTTTGAATATTTCATGTTGATTCAAGAGCTTATTTTCGTCATATGCTAGATGAGAAATTGCGTCTGTAACTCAACAATTCGTTCTTCTCGTAGAACTTTGTTTTTTGGCAATAAGAACTCGATAATTAGTTTGCGATGCACATTGTTGATGCTTGTCAAGTTCGATAGTTGTCCTACTACAAGATATTTATTAATCATGAGGTACTCCAATTTACGATAGTATCTACCCATAGTGTTGTAATTGAGAAGGATGATGCTCAGAGAAAACGGATATAATCATTGATAGGAAGGGAACCTATCATGCCATGAGATCTTTTCTAACTACAGTAGTCAATGGAGTGCAGCTAGTGGAAGGGGGAAATGGGGGAAGCCTTTGATCGAAGCGCTCGGCAAGGAGTGGACGCAAATATTTCACCGGTTTCGAAGGGGAACAGACACGATGCCTTTCCAATGGGGATTCTCTCATCTTTTTTTTAAAAAAAAGAAAAGAGAATAGAGGATTGCAGTGAAAATGAATGGAAGTGAAGTAGAAGTGAAATAGAGAAATAGGGGGAAGTCCATTCATCGCTCAATTCAATGGACACCAATAAAATGTCGAAAATTTGCGAAGCGCACAGGAGAAGAGCGCTCACCGTTGAATACACAGATGGTGGCCGATAATAGAAGAATGGTAATCCGCTAAAATGACCTTTCATTCAACAACACACTTACAGTAGACCCCTTTCTTTCCTTTAGATTTTCATTGATGCAGTCGATATCAAGTCGAGTTTGAGATCAACAAATGGGCCAAAGAAAGGTTTAACATATTATTACATATTATTAAATTAAATGAAGTGCAACAAAGCTTTCTGGCTTCCTAGAAGCTTTTCAGACTGAAGCTGTCCTTTATACGTGCCCTAATTTATTAGTAGGGTTTGTTCATAACAATGATTCTCAAAGCCTGCGTCATTTTTTTTGACATTATCTTTTTTTACTTATCAAAGGTTCTCACTAGTTTATTATGCATCACATATTCCTCCGATCAAACCGATTTTTCATTTGGAAAGAATCCTATCCAAATATAAAGCAAAAGAACAAAAAAAGTTGCTTTGTAATATATTTCACTCGAAACTTAAGTTAATCTACTCTATAAAGTAGCGTGTTCTCCTAATAAAGATATCTTCCGAAACTCTTTTCCCTCATTGACTTTTTGTGCACATCTTTCTTTACATATTTCCTGTTACAGGTTGAGTTATTCTGGAAAATCTCCCAGAATTTCTTACGTCGAATCCAAAGCCATAGAAATTGAAATGAAAGTGATGGAGGGGGAGAAGAGCGTTTGAATATCTACTTGGACTCATTCTATTGATTTGAACCACTTCGCCTTTGTTGTTCCTTGACTTTAGTAAAACCTTTGTTGAAACTTTCTTAAAATATTCTTTGAAACTTTCTTAAAATACATGAGCCACGAGTTGACCATAATCTTTCTTACCAATTCCTGAACCAAAAGCTCTAAAAATTCTATACTATTTTCAAAATTCTATACTATTTTCTGAATCTAGCTTTCGTTTTTCAAAGAGTTAAATGAGATTTGTAGAATCTGAAATCCGAATCCTATACATATGTTTGTAGCTGGATTTCTATTTATTTGATATTCGTCTTTATGTTTATGAAGCTTATTCTTCTCTGATAGCATAAGTACATTTCTTTTTGAAATTTTCCTGGGAATAAATCCTATCGTAAAGATATTTTGCTACTTTCTAATTGTAAGTAAAGTGCGGATGATGATGTTTAAGAGAAATAAAATAAAGCCGATCGGTTTAGATGAAAGGAAAGATGACTCAAAACAAAAAACAACTCATTCTCTCTTTGGAATGCTCTCACATTTTTCTCTTTAGTCATCATTCTTCGCTTTGAAATGTTTTTTTTTTGAAAATATATTCTAGTAGAGCAAATATTTTGTTTAGCGTCCTGAATCCGATCGCATAAGTGCTTATTGTTAGCCATATTTTACAAAGAATAAACTCAACTTAATAAATAGATTTCAGGGATTTTTGAATGATTCCATGCCAACTTCTAGCATCCAGGCTCTTGCTTTTCAATTAATTTGAACACTTGCTGAGTAAAACAACTTTGTTTAATGATGTGATGTTTTATTATTCATTTTGCACACTTGGTGATGATCAAAAAGTTTATGGGAGAGGATTGAGCAAGGGCGGAGACATTGAGAATCAATCATGATGATGTAGCTCTTCATCTCTGAAAAGGAGAAAAAGGTGCACATAGACAGGAGTGAGGGGAGACAAGAGTGAGGGGGAAACGAAAGAAGGCTCGGTTGGTGTGCCAACTCGAGCCGTCGATCTGATTTACGGCACTGTGTCTCTTTTCGAGGCGGCCGACATCAAAAGATTCGTCGCTGATTGGCTGGGGCGGAGCAAGTATACGGTGGTGTGAGGGGCGATGGGAGGGGGAGGGGAGTGGCTTCCCTCCCCTCGGCTCACCCCTCTCCATCTCTTCTGCTTTCTTTTCAACTACCCCTTCCCCTCCTCCCCCAATATCGGCCATTAAGCCGCTCGGGCCGCACATTTGCTTTCCACTAATTGCCCATTTAAGCCCCATTCTGTCGATTTATGAAGTGCTCATCTTGGTGATCTTCTAGACGATGAATAGATCATCTCTTTTTCTCTTCATTTGACACTATTCCCTAAATGGGTGATATTAAATTTCGGAATCTTTGACAATCGGATAACGAGAGTTTTTATCGAAAATTTAGGGCTACTAAAGATTGTGATTTTCTCAGATTGGCTTTCATTCAATTCAATTTTTCCATTTGATACTTTGCTCATACTTTTCCGATTCTCCTCTTGTCATTATTTAAAATAGATAAAAGATGTTGGCTTAAGACTTGAGACATTTTGGCTTCGTTTCTTTCTATAGATTCGATCGATTTTCTGTGAGATTGACTAAATGAGACTCTTTTCTTCAATTCACTTCTCTTTTTTCCATTTGTTTGTTCAATAAGATCTAAATCTTTTCCTTTCCAAATACTACCAATTCCACTACCGTCAATCGTTTTTTTTGCTGAAAGAGATTAACATGGAAAAGTATCGATTAGCTCATTTTTTTGCTTATTTTTGATGTTCAATACTCAAATATACCATAAAAACAAAAACCTTTGTCTTCTGCTTTCAAAAACAAGAACTTATTTGCCTTCTGTATCACTGAACTATTTCATGACTGTTCAAGTTTTATTCGTTACTTTTAGTACTAACCATTTATCCTACAAATATAAAACGTTATTTTATAACCGAAATATGCAGTTACTAGAATCGAAACCTTGTAGAAATGTATGGAACGTGGGGCGGTGATGAGTATTGGAACTCTGGTGGATCCACTCAACAAGCACTTCAGCAACAAGCAAAGGCAAAACATTCATTAATTTTTTTCATTCAATCGTTATTTTCAGCCACTCTATGATCCAGTTGGCATCTATAATCACACTTATATGAACAATATGAAACAACTGGCTGCTCAATGGGCTGAGAACTCAAATCCGTTAGTTATTTTGATTTTTGAGCTGATAGCGAGAAGCATTTTGTATAGTATTTCATTTTTTCATTAGCTTTATGAGAAATCTTTGAGAAAAGCAAGAAAAGCAACTTTCTCACATTTATATCAAATCTCGTATTGTCGAGAAATTACGAGGACTTCATGAGGATTTTATGGCTCCTCGGGGGGAGATTTGAGTTGGGGGATGCGATAGGGTACAAGGGCAATCTCTTACACATTCTTTTCACAATATCATTACTCTACTCATCAAACGATACTTCTAAACAAAATTTTATAAACTATTTGCAGTTTTTTTTTGGGAGAATCAATAAGTCGACAAAAAGAATGGGAAATTGGGTGAACTGCTTATTTATTCCAGGTTATTCCAGATGAAAAGATATAATTCGAAAACCTCTTTTAAGGTTAAATCAAAAAGTAGCTGTTTTAGATTTGGCTACAACTCGTTACAATCAGCCGCATCATCAGCTTTTCCATCAGAGCGTACCGTCGCAACCCTCTCACAGCCTGTATTCCCTTGGATGAAAATGTCCGGTTAGTCAATTTAAATATTGTGTCACTAGCTTCGTATTTAAATTTTGAATTTCATTAAGCCATTTGCACATGAGTCAGAAGTCGCAATTTTGCTTTGTAGGATCTTTGTGAAAGGAAAGAGATATCTCGAGTAACAGATGTGTCCCCTTGCTCTTTTCTTTCTTTTTATGTATCCTTTCTAATACTCATCTCATGTCAACATTATGACCCGGATTAACCCTTATTGAACTTGTTTAGGTAAAGAAAGAGATAGGAAAAAGTTTATGTCCTAAAGTTTGTTATTTTTGGCTTTTTAGCGGGATTGGCTCTCCATTTGAGAGAAAGGATCCATCAATGAAACACCTAGAGCACTTTAAGAATTAAAACTTATTTTTCTAATGACAAAATCGACTATTCAGCTAAAATAATAATACAGTAACGCTAATGTCTTTTTCTTTAATCGATCGCTCACTACCGTATCCTTGGTGAATCTCCCCTCCTCTTTGTCTTTGAGTCCACCTGCCCTTTCATTTGTCTCTTTAATTTAGCCTTTCTTCTTCTTTTTTTTGGCCTCCTTTCTGGCCGCAATTCACACCGTTTTGCGACGATGTCCAATACATTAATCTTTTCTTTTGATTCCTTTCCTTAATTATCCTCTACATTTTCTATTCAGCTTATATTTCAGCTATCCCATTCATTTCCTTTTTTAAACTATTTTCCTAATTTTCTATCAATTACTAGTCAATAATTTTCTTACTGTATTCGGGTGATTGATTTGTTCTCACGCCATATTGTATATCATTTCTCATGACAAAATTCGCGACTAAAGCAATTAATCCAAAATTTCTCGTAATCTTTCATTTCTCCGGGTTTTCTTTTCTCCAAAACTAGAACTATTTTTACGTGAAAAAATTTCAGAAGAGAAAAATGATATGATAGACTGTTATTGATTTTAGTTTTCTAATAGTAGACGATCTTCAGCTTTTCTCCACCTTATCATTCAAAGATTCAAATTATTCATATTATTTCAAAATCCAAATTAATCAATAATATAAGAAATATTCTTTCATTCATTTTCTTTTCTCCGTCTCTTTTTTTCTTTTTTCATTGATGGATCCCTTTTCTCAAATGGAGAGCCAATCCCTTTGACGCTCTCAAAATTATTGCTACCACCGAAGAGAAAAATGGAGGAAGAAATGGTGGAAAAATGGAACAAAAATGAAAAAGAAAGAAAATGAAGAAAAGAGAAGAAGTGGAAAGAAGTGAAATATCGACATCACTAAGGTGGTTTCTGTGTGGAAAAGAGAGTGTGAAATGAATGGGCAGTTCAAAAAGACGTCTTTAAAAGAGATTTTAAAGTTCTTTTAACTACTTTATATGATCTGTTATGAGGCTTTTATCAAACTGTGCTTAGGGAAAACTTTATAATCGAATGAATTTAGTTAGGTACTTTATTTAGAATTCTGGGGATACAAACTGACAGCTCAATCTCAAAAGAGAGTGTGAAATGAATGTACAGGTCAAAGAGACGCCTTTAAAAGAGATTTTAAAGTTCTTTTAACTACTTTATATAATCTGTTTGTCAAATTGGATAAACAAATAAGGATTAAGTGGAAAGAAAATAAGAGTGTGAGAAAATCGAAATGAAAGATGGTCCACCATTATTCCATCAGCTGCGCCACTTCATAAAAGTGACGGAAGCCTCGAAATTATAGGGAACAATCGGATCGGCGATTCTGAATGCGATTTTCTTTTCCATTTTTAGACTCACCTTCCTCATTCAGTTTTCCCAACCATTGAGACGATAAATAAAAAAATAACACCTAGACAGGGATCCTATCTATATTCCTTATATTCTTTGCCCAAAACTACAAACAATATTTTTACCTTTAACTAATAATGGAAATTTAAAGGATAAGAATGCAAAAAGAATCGATTGTTTATCAAAAGAGTAGATAAAGAAAAAAACATTTCAGAAAAGAAGACCCTTTCTTTTCTCTAATCTTTCCTTTTCTTTTAGCTTTTTCAACTTGAAAGACACCGCCGCTTGAGGCCATATTTTAAACATTTTGACAAATAGTTGTGAAAGCGAAGAGGCAAAAGCAGTTGTCTCCTCTCTTTTTGGCCAACTTGCCTTTTCTCTCAACACGTAATATGAGGCTTTTATCAAATTGTGTTTAGGGAAAACCTCTATAGCAAAATGAATTGAGTTAGGTACTTTATTAAGAATTCTGGGGGTACGCCGAGTACAAGCTGATAGCTCAATCTTTTGCGAATAGACGAGTAAAACTGTCATCAAGTATCGGATACTGAAGACTTATACTCAGAAGTTCACTGATTGGGTTCAGGTTTTTCGTGTACTGCATCGTCACTTGGCTATTGCTTTACAACATAATAACACCCAGTGAACCGAAAGAATCTATTTTCAAGTCCTTTTAATATCTTTTCTCAATTTTACATGTAGAAAATGAATATAAATTTTAAATATTCGTTGTCGTTGTGTTGTAAAGAGGTGAAAGGGTCTGTGAAGAGATAATCTGAAGGTTCATCTTTCTCTTTTTTCTTCTCCTTCCTCAATACTCGATTCGATCGACCCTCTCGAGTGACATTTTTATGGAGTCTCGAGGTGGACAACCAACGGGTTCTTTCTCTTTCGCTTTTTAGTTATTTCTTTCATTAAAAAGATCCCCTTTATTCTAAGGGGATTCACACAATTCTCGCACAAAGTATATCAACATTCTCTTCAAATCATTTACAGCACTATGTAACAGTATTTTTCAATTCAAAAGATACCCATCGAATTTCAGGGAGCAAAAATGGTGAATCAAAAAGAACTCGACAGACCTATTCAAGGAATCAGACTCTCGAACTTGAAAAGGTTGAGAAATAAAATGGAAATCTTATTTATGATGTATTTCTAGGAATTTCATTTTAACAAATACTTGACAAGGAAAAGAAGACAAGAAATCTCAGAGAGTCTTCAACTCACTGAAAGACAGGTATGTGAGTTCAAAATTCATTCGCATATTCAAACTTTCAGGTCAAGATTTGGTTTCAAAATCGCCGCATGAAACACAAAAAGGAAACAAAAGGAGAAGGTAAATAAAACAGAAAAAAAAGAATTTTTATTGAAAAATAATTTAGGAGCATTGGATCAAGAAAGTGAAGGAGAAGAAGATCAAGAAAGATGTACACAAGAAATACAAGAAGCAAATAATACAAGAACAAAGAAGAGTCCATCAACAAATCACAATGCCGGCAATCATTCGCCCAATATTAATCATTGATAATTGAAAAGTAAAAAATGTCGTTAACAATAGGAATTTTAAAAAAGTAACGCTTAATCTTTTGACTACGAGTTAGGGTTGACCAAGTCTGATTCACGCTTACACTAACGGAATACAGGGTGCACAAAAAGTGGACCGAATTTTGTCAACCTTATCTTTAGTACATAAAATCCAGCTGAGATTTCATGTTAGTCAATCATTAGATAATTATAAATAGATGATCTAATATATTTTTCTTTTTTTTATGATTTTTCATTAATTTCTCTTCTCTTCTCCAAAAACGGGTCATTCCCAAGTCAAAACCCTATTTTCGATTATGTCCATTCGAAAGTCTTATAAACTTTATTTTGAAATTCTCTTTTTTTTTGTTTTCCCGACAAACTATAATCAAAGCTTCATCTCAATCAAACCAGCAAAATATTGATTGTCATTTTTGAGATTTTGTCTAGGTTGGCGTTGCGATCTCATTGTCAGCAAAGTTCATGTTGAGAATTTTCTCCTTTTTTTTGTTGACTGGAGCTCAACAACATAAGTGAGATCTTTTCACTTGAGTGTTGCTTTTTTTTCTTTAAGTTTTATTTTGCAGTTTGCACATATCTTATCTAAAAATGATTGCTTTAGCTTGTCCGTGTCATGAATTTGAAATTTCGCAAAGCATTTTCTAATTTCTTTTGTAGTCCTTTCTGAACCCGTGCAAAAAAACTTTTTTATGCATAAATTTGTTTTTCAAATAAATGAGAAACAAGGAAACACATGAAATAAATGAAGAAAGAAAGAAGAAAGAAAGAAGTAAGAAAGAAGTAAGAAAGAAGTAAGAAAGAAGTAAGAAAGAAGAAAGAAAGAAGAAAGAAAGAAGTAAGAAAGAAGTAAGAAAGAAGTAAGAAAAAAGTAAGAAAGAAGTAAGAAAGAAGAAAGAAAGAAGAAAGAAAGAAGAAAGAAAGAAGAAAGAAAGAAGAAAGAAATGAAATGAAACATTTTTGTCTAAAAAGTGATATTTCGTCTCTTCATCTTGATCTTTCTTTGTCGTCAAAGATCAAAGTTTTGTCTACGGAACATATTGTTGATGAAAGGGGGAAAGAGATAAATAGATGTCGCCTTTGCGTGAAAAGGGAATAAAGGGAACAGCTGGTGACAATATTGTGATAGCAAGACAAGAAGAGAAGAGGAAGACAGAAAGGATCAGAAAAGGAACAAGAATCGATGAGAAAGAAAGGAGGGGAGGACCGTCATTTGGTGTTCCTCTCCCCCCTCCCATCTACCGTAAATCATCGATGCCCTCATTCCCGATTTAGCCCCAACTCTTTCCCTGAACTCTCTTTGAACTTGGACCATCTTGCAGAATGCGAAAAATTCTAGTTTAAGTACAAAGCTATTGTATTCTGTCCATTGTCTTCGTTTTAATTTGTTTAGTTAAAGTGCAACAAATCTAAAGAAGATCTATGTTGCAAAAATGTGCAAATAAAAAACTTTTAAACCAATCAGTTAAATAGCTTGTTGAGCTGTGTATATTGCGCAATAAATTAAGGTAAGAACATATAAAATATTCATACTTTATTCAAGACATAAAATAAAGCTTAGTCAATGAGATGCATAAAAAAGAAAAAAATTTCAATCCACGATATGATATGGAAATACAATTAGGGATCAACTTTCAATAAATGTACATTTCAAACGAGTTTAAAATGTAAATAAGATGGTGAACAGAAAGACTCAATTCATTTTTCAATTTTGATAGAATGTAATGCTCTGTTAAAAGTGTTTAAATTTGAAATATCTCTAGTGTGGAGTGGAAAAGCCTTCCAACTATCAACAACACGATTAGCGAAGAAGATTCTAGCCGATTTACACAAAACTAAAACTTTATGCATTCTTTATGCAATATATTGACAATCAAAACGAAACTCCCTGATCAATCTATTCGTATGAATAGTTCATTTTTCTCAACTGATTGCAAGCAAATTTCACAAATTCTCCTAGTTTTCTCAGCACTGATCGATTTTCGCGATTTTTTTTACTTGATCCGCAAAGTCGTAAAAGTTGCTCTTTCGGGATTCGCAGCGTCATTGACTTTGGTTTCGACAAGGTTTTTACATACATTTTAAAGTCAACAACTTGAATTAAAAGACAAGAAAGATCAAACACATTGATGAAGAGATAAAAAGAGAGAAAAGTTTTTATTTTTGCTATGTGATTGCATAATGATGGGTGTAAAAATGAAAGGTAGATTGCGGTAGATATCTTTGAAAGGAAAGAAGAGAGAAAACAATCACTATAAGGGTTTTGCATGTGTAATACATGGTTTGAAATGAAAGAATTTGTTTTTAAATGTATCCCGATACATAAGGAGCAATACTAAATTACCTAGTTTTTATTGGATTTTATTCTTCTTTTTCAACAGAATCAATGATTTAAATTTGTAAAAACAGTCACTGAATAAAAATGGAATTAGATTAAAATGAGTACTTTAAATGATAAAACCTTTTACGATTTATGAATGCTTTCCTTTTTTAAACTTGTTTTCCGTGACCGATATCGAGCAATTGAAAGAGTCGGAGACAAATCTCTGAAAAAAAAAACGAAAAGAAAGACGAGTGATCAACCGAACAATCCCCTTTTTCCCTTCTTTTCCCCTTTCACATCCAAATGTCTCAATTTCTCTTTTTGTCGATTTCAAATTTTCTATCTTTTTGTCACTATCAAGTACTATAAAGTCGTTTTTTTTGACGAAACTCAAGTTTTGCATAATGTTTTTTATCCAAAACACTTAAAAATCAGACTCGAAACTTTCAAAATGTTCCTAATTCTCCTTGGGAAATAAAAAAAGCAATAAAAAAGGGCAAATGGTTAAATGAGAAATTTCTCCTTTTTTGTTAAGTTTCATGTCTATTCACTTTTACCTTTACAGTTATTTAATAATAAAAATTTTACAGATTCACCCAAGAAAAGATGAATGAAAACAATAAGAATTTTCAGAATAAAAGGTGAGCTTTAATTGATTGATTTCATTAAAAGATTCAAAAATGTTTAGATGTTTTTCCGTGATCCTTATTCTATTTCATCTTTTTATTCTTTCACTTCTTATCATAATTTTCTTTTTTGATTGGAAATGTGGAGTGATCGCTTCAATTTCAACTCTTCTACTTATTTTCTTTAATCGTTTCACTCAATCAAAGAGCAAGTTCCTTTTTTGAGAAACTTTAATCACTAAAAAGCTACAGAAAAAGAGGAACCGTGTAAAAATGTGAAAAAAATGAGTGAAAATTTGATATTTGAGCAAGCATTGAATTTGATTATTGGGAGTGATTATCACAGTTATCGACCACAGGTTTGATTCGTTGATTTGAAAGATTCTAATTGATCTTTTTTTTTATTAGATATTAGTGTTGACAGGAAATCCCGCAGCTCGGGCATGTTTAGTGGATTTTGCATGGAATCTCACAAAAGGGAAATCTCTTCTTCTTTGCGGCTATATTTTACAAGTGAATTCAAAATATATTCATATTTTCATTTTGATTAAGGAACCAGCAACCGAGCGAATCTTTGCTAAAGAAGAAAGGATTGATCGACATTTTAAAGTAAAGTCAAAAGTTCAAAAATGAATATAAAACGATATCGTTTAGAAATGGATGCAAAAAAGGAATATTCAAGGAGAATTGGTGACAGTTGCAAGTGGATCTGTTGCTCAAGGAACATCCATATTCATGCAGGTAACAAAAAAAATAAAAGCAACATTTATTTTTATTAAATAGATCACTTTTTTTTCATGAATTTAGACTGTTGGCCTAGGACTTCTGAAGCCAAATGTTTTAATGATGGGTTTCAAAACGAATTGGATTCGTGTTGCCGCCGAAAACATGAAAATCATTGTCGATTACTATCAAACAATTGAGTGATTTCACTTTTTTAAAATGCAAACAAAATGAGAAAACATTTCAGAGTTGGCTTTTCGAAAAATGTCTCTCTAGTGATCTTTCGAAATTCAGATACAGGACTCGATTTTAGTGAAAGCATGAAAAAGTATAAGGTAAAAAAAAAGTGGGGAAATGAATGGCAAAATAAAATAGATAAATATTTAGATAGCAGAAGTTGACTTGGATGTGGAAAATATTGCAAAAGAAAGCGATGAAAATAAAGAGAAAAAAGAAAAGACAAATGATGATGCGATGAATGATAGGTGAGAGGAAATGCGTAGAAAATTGGAATTTATTATATTACATAGTAGATATTATATCAAGTTTACCGATAGGTAATAGTGCATTTCGTAATTTGATCATTAAATCTACTCATTTCAGCCCTCCAGTCTCAGAAGAAGAGGAAAATATTTCGAGAGCAAGTCACCGTCGGTTTTTTCATAATCTCTTAGGACTTTATTCCATTCAATTGACCCATTTTTTTTAGAATCTCGCAAATTCATGAGCTCTCTGCAAAATGCAATGTCGAAAAGGAAAGTACACTCGCTTTCGAATGATATTGAGAATAAACCACAGGTGAGCTCTTACAAATCTCAAAAAAAAGAACATATTTAGACGAGTACAACGCCTGTAAAATTCAACCGAAGTCAATCCGTTGAAACTCGCTTTAAATTCAGGTATTTCTGTCTAATAGTAAGAATCATTTACATTAATCGAGCATTTACGTACAACTCCAAATGTTTTCAGTGTTCAAGATGCCGAACAACAACAATTACTGGTTTCACTCTCAAAATTTCACACACCGGTAGGGGAAAATGAAAAGCCAATTACAAAGATAGCACTGATAGAATTCTATTTTTAAATATTTGACAATATTTAAAACAATTTGGTACAATTTGACTAAAACAATCTATACTGTGTCTGTGCACAAAAATTGCCTATTAGAATACATGCTTGGCCACGAGTTTTAACCCGATTTTTGTTAAGAATATTAAACATCTCCGTTCTAATGATTAGTTTGCAGGTAAAAAATGGCCGAGTTGATGTTTGGTGGATGCATGATAATGGTGGCTTTGCTCTTCTTTTACCCTCACTTCTCACACAAATCGGAAGCTATCTACAGGTGAAGGAATTGGCAAGAAAAAGTAGCGGATAGAATGGAGAGCGGATAGAACTGGAGAGCGGATAGAACCCTCGACCTTTTGCTTTCCGAGCTATTGCTCTAACCACTGAGCTATCCGGTACCTTAACTTGCCAAGAGAAAGAAGGAAAGATAAAGGGAAGTAGAAAGGGAGAAAGAAAGTATAAGATTATTTATAGAAGTTTCAGAGTAGAAGTTTCAAAAAATTAAAGATACTATAAAGTCTCAATATTCTGTTTGATTGTCAAGATCGCGACAAGACTGAATAAATCTAGCTTTAAGCCGGTTGGATAATTTTCTTATATTTCGGTATACTGTAATGCGAAAAGAAATGCACATGGGAATATCTTAAAATCTGATCTCTAAAATCTTTAGGGTGCGAACATTCGTGTTTTTGTGCAGGCCACTGAAAATGCAAATGGAATCCAGGTGTTTCTTAAAAGATTATCTCAAAAAAACAAATTCCAGAAAAATCCTCAAGTTCAAGCAAGGATGTCAAAAATGAGAGCTTTCAGTCTTGGCCCTGAAACCCTTCAAATTATCAATTCTTTTGATGCTTTACCTCAAGCGGAAACGTTTAAAATCTTCTTTCATCTTCAAACAAATATCACTTTAGTGAGAGAAAGTTTAAACAAAAACTCGAACGATTCACTTGGAGATCACATGGGAATAAACCAGCAGGTAAAATAAACTTTTAAAAAGAAATATTGTAAATCGCTCACAGGTTTCACAACACCAATCGAATTACAATCCGTCTATGATAAGACTGAGAGAATTTTGCGAATCTCTGAGTTGATGCACGAGCATTCACGCGATGCCGATCTGATTGCTGTGTTTGTTTCAATTTAAACAACCATTCTCATCTCAAATTTAAACGAATAAATCTGAAAAAAATTTCAGAACATTGCCAAAGACACGAGTCGAAGAAGTTTCCCCATGTGTTTTTCTTTCTTGGCTTGATATTCTTTCTGAAGGTCTTCCACCAGTTTTAATGGTCAAAGGAAACAACGATCCCGCTTACACATATTTCAATCAACCATAAATAATTTGATGTTTGTAAGAAGTAAAATTTCCTTTGTTATTACCAAGAAATCTAAACTTCACAAACAAATTTTTTATCAAATTTTACCGACAAACAAACAAAGAAACTTCACAAAGAAAATGTTCTATTAATACTAATAAAATACTAACTGTAAATAATAACCAGAATTTAAAACAAGTTTGATCAACACACAACTTATAGTTTTTACTTTTCAAGATATCATTCGCTACTAGGCTAGATGATCATTGATATTTTATGTCATTGGTGATGATGAGATTGCCTTGTGGGTGGTCATGAAAAGCTTCCGCTTACGCTTGTCGTCAATCGAATGAGATGTAAGAAGAAAGAGAGAGAAGCTGTCATGATGAAAGAACGAGAAAAGAAAAAAAAAAGAAGATTGATGCCGTTTGGATGGATGGATTACACGGTGATCGACTCCAATCATTCCCCTCAAACATCTCCGTATAAAGACTTAAAAAACTCCGCCCACTTCTGGATTATCCACGCCGTATAGTTCAATCAAACGAGCATCATTTTCTTTTTCGAATCAGTCAAATTTCATTCGATATAGCGTTTTTTATCATATACAGGATGGCGCACAATTATGGAAACTCGGTTTTTCGACTGTAACTCGACGCCCAATTATTCAATTCCCCTAATTTCATATTTATATGAAATCTCAAGTTAATTTCTGTGGTCAATTTCAATTTTTAGTTCAGAAACACAGTGTTACGCTTTTTATAGTACTTCGAAGTTCAGAGTTGCCAACCTCTCGGCAGAATCGTTGTTTGACCGCATATTTTGAAGAATTTCCCGCCTCGTATTTGCTTTTTTTTCTTGTTCTTGATTTCTCATTTCTTGCTTTTTATTAAGAAATAGAATTATCTAGAGCATTTCAAATCAGAAGATTTTCAAAATTTTGAGATCTAATAGTTGAATTCCCTGAACGCTGAGCAGAGCAACGATCTTTATGGTAACTCTGTAAATCATTCCTGATTTCCTGTCTTGCTGTTGATGCATTTATTTTGTAATATTTGTCTAAATTTAACTAAGAAGTAAAAAAAAAAATTAATTGGTTGAGAGTTGAAAACTGTCAAAAACGATGATTCTGCCGAGACTCTAATTTCTGTTTTGTTAAACTTAAAAATATTGTAAAATCCCGACCAAGTACAGTATTCAACGAACAAAATAGAGTGCTTTTCAAATTTTCAATACTTTTTGGGTAATGAGATTGAGTTTTAAACTTTTTGAGAGCCTAGAAGACTTTTGAGCTTTTGAGAAATATAAGGGATAAAACGGGGTATTGCAAAAAGAGGCTTTGGGATATTTGCGTGGATTGTGGCGAGACTGTATCGAGACGCATGTCATCTCCCCTTCCCACCCCGTTTCACCCAATCCCACCCCATTCCATTCCATCCTCTTTCCTTTTCTATTCGTTTTGTTTTCCCAATTCCCTTCGTTCCCAATTCACACTTTTCGTCCTCACTTCCATTGTCTTCATTTTTCGCTTCCCAATTATATTCATCAACGATTGCAGAAAAAAAGTAAATTTAGTCGATGAACGTGCGGTTTATTCTACTGTTTTTGGTTGTTGTTATTTGTAGTGCACGTAAAAAAACTGAAGAAAAATTACAAAACGGAATCAATGTCGTGATTCCGAACAAATCACTTACAATGCAGAATACCTCTACCACCGGAAAAACATCGGGAGTTAAAAAGATGGTATAGTGTTTACAAATCACTTTGGCATGTTTTCTTCAAATTTAGAAAGGTAGGAAACAATCATCAAAGCGAAAAGTGGTAGCTGAGGATCAAGTCAACAAAGATGAGCTAAAGAAGAAAGGAAAAGGTGAGAAAGATTGTTGATTTTTTGGGAGGAAATACTGTTTCATCATTGTTGACCCTTTCTATCGAAGCCATTCCCTTGAGGTGCTCGTTGAATGAAATTAATTACCCATGAAAGTATGATAAAAGTGATGAATGATGATGGGCGTTTGGGTGCATCTTGTTTGCATGTATGCACCCCGAACCCATTTCAGACTTCGCACTCCGTATTCCAGTCACTTACAATCAAGGAGCTATCATCGCTTTCCCAGCTGTTTCCAAGATTTCTTCCGGGAAACAGTTTGGCACTTCGAAAAGGGCAGATCTTTCTCCAAAGGTATTTTACTAAAAAAATTAAGTAATGAAGTTTATCAGAGCGTAAAAGAGAAAAAGCTTTCAAATTTTAGGATTTCAATGAGTATCAGAGTGGAATGAACGAGGAATACAAGCGATTGGTTTACTCATTAAATAATGGACGTGCACGAAATGGAATTGGTGGTGAACGTTCAACTGGTGAACGTTCAACTCCGTCGAATGGATATGGAACACAACAATCGGGAAGTCCTTATGAAAAGTGAGTCTTTAGAAAAGGAATCGAATCGAATAGAATAGAATAGAAAACGAAATTGAATAATATTAGCAAATGAAAGAATTTAGTGGATATCTTGGTGTTCCTGATGCTGAACCAGGAAATTACAAAGGAGCTATGACAAAGAGTGAAAAGTATCAGCCAGATAGACGAACATTTGGAAGTTATGGTAAGACTTCATGACGAGATCACAAACAAATCATTCATTTTTAGTATCGATTTATTTTTACCTTTTCTATTTAGGCTCTATCGATTCACCGAAATCGTCGGCACGAGGAGGTTCATCAACTGGAAAGAGAAGCATGGGTCAGTGAATAAAAGACAACAATATTGCATGCATTTCAACAATATCTTTTCAGGAAGTGGTTACTATAATTCGGCGACGAACATTTACCAACCAACAGTCAATTCCATCCCGTCGACAAACAATCAGGAATATTCTGACGGTTGAATGCATAAATACTGTTCTATAACATGTAAATAGGTTATGGTAGTCCGACACAAAATGGCCCTAATGATTATTCGATGGGAATGGAATCTGGAATGGATAATTCGAATCAAGGATATCGTGAAAATGGAATGACTGGATCGGGAGGAGGTTATGAAGAGAATCAAGGATCCATTCCGAGTGAAGCACAAAACACAAATTCTCGATATATTCCTTCTCCTCCAACCCAAAGGTTTGAAAAAATTATTTGTTTCAAACATTTCAATTTTTAGTTATGGTTATTCAAATGGCGACTACGGTGTCCCATCAACCCCCAATGGAGACTCTCAAATGCCAACTATGAATTTTGGCTCGTATGCACAGTATTCTCGAATCCCTCAACCACCACAGCAACCATCACATCAATTTGAGACTTACTCATCTTATCCCACCAACCCCACCAACCCCACACCATCCTCTTTTTCCTCCGGTGGCTATGAAACATCTAGCAATAATCAACCACAAACGGGCAACTATGGTCAAACATCTAGCTATTCATCAAACTATCAAATGCCGCAGCCAACACAAAGTTACAGCACTTTCCCTTCTCAAAGCTCTTCACAAAGCGGAAATGGTGATTACTCGAGTTATTCCGGAGATGAATATCGAAATGGTGGAGATGGAAAAGTCATAACCAATCAATATGGAACAGAAAATACAAACAACGCAAATGTCGATTATGGAGCCTATTCTGGCTATAATACAAATGCTTATATGAACTCGGGATCCTACCAAAATAATGGGCAAAATCGGCCTGCTAGTTTCAATTCATGGGGTGAAATGCAAAGCGGAATTCAAAGTGGATCCGAATATCAAACAAATGGAAATGATTATCGCACGCAATACGGATCATCTCAAGGTGGAGAAACTAGAACATATAGCAATAATGAATATAATAATGAAAATAAGAAATCGGTCTATTCATCATATTCGGTGCCTCCTCCAACTTCAGACCCTAATCAATTCACCGGTTCGCAGAATTATGGACCTGGTGGAGGTGGAGGTGAACTGTCAAATGGCTATGGATCATCCCAATCATATGGATCTTCATCTAACACTCCAAATGATTATGGAAATTATGGTTCTTCTAACAATTATGCTGGTAGTACAAATAATAATTATGGATCATCAACAAATTATGGTTCTTCTGATAACTACATGAGTGGTACAAGTACCAACTATGGGGCACCAACTAATTACCCAAATGGAAACACTGCTCCAATTGATCAGAACACTTATAGTTCATATGGATCTAGCGATAATTACGGTTCGACATCGGAGCAAAATCCATCAGAATCCTATGGACAAACATATCCACCAACAGAAAATTCCTACAATTCTTATTCTGGCTTAGGTGATAATTCAGGCTCAGTAACCGGTGGCTTCTCTAGTTATGGCAGTGAAACAGACGGTTCAGTGAGTTCATCATTAAAGGGTTATCCAAATGATGGTGACTCTGGAAATAGTTACTCGAGTTATTCAAACTATCAACCAGCTCCAAATACTTTCAATTCTTATTCTGGGACAAATGAACAAAATGGTCAAAATGGTTGGGATGGGTCCGCATATCCCAATGAGATTTCAGTGGATATCGATGTCGATTTTGGGAAGCGGGGAAATATTGATGGATCGGATAATGGGATTTATTCACCTGAAACATATTCAAGTTACGGTAGTGGGAATAATGGACATGGTGGAAGTGACACAATTGGTGGATATCATGGAGGATATGATAGAGTCGGATATGGGTCAAGTAAAGCAAAAAACCCGGCAATCAGTGGCACAATGAAAGATTCTAAAGCAGATCAAACGATAGCAACAACAACAACAACACAAAGTGATGCAATTCTTGATGGATATAAGAAAAAACTTACTGTTGCCCATGCTGCTTAAAAGAATCAAAAATCTATCTTTAAAGCGTAGACTCGAAGGAAAGTCATCCCCAAACTCCGTCTACAAAATTGCTGTGATTATAATTTAATTTAATAATTTATTGGGCCGTGGTAATAAATTAGCTTTTATGTAAACCGCACACTAAAAGTTGAAAAAAAGAAGCTAACACCTTAAGCCTTAAAAGACACCCCTTTACAAATATCGTTCATTTTTTGATTTCGGAAATCTAAAATATCTCAACGAAATAAAATGTTTGTTGCACATAGTGTTTTAAGAGACAAAAAAAAACATAAATTTCAGAATCCACAAATTCAATTCAAAGATTCTTTATGGTTGCAAATATTCTATGGTTTCGCCCGCCATAGAAAATCACTTAAATTTTGATTAGGCTTGATTTCAAATCAAAAAATTGTTCTTGAGCCGAAACTAATTATCCTTTGGTGATGTGATGTCTCGAGAATTTGTTTTATTGCGCTCAAATATTCTAATGAAATAAAAACAACGATATCAGAAAATAACCAAAAGTTATCCAATCATTTTTCCGCATTGATTCGTTTAGTCCAATCAAACTTCTCCCAAAATTGCTTTATAGTATCGCATCTGAAGAAATCAAATAATGACTTAATTTAATCCAAAGTTATCAATTTTATTACTTTAACTAACAAAAACCTTTTCTTTTGTTCGGTGAACGACATTGGAGTTCGACTTCTCCATGATTTTGGCGGCAAATCGAGAATTCCTCCGATTATTTCCTAAAATAATTAAGTGGTTTTTCAAAAAAAAAATGGTTACGTGGCCAAAGTTAGTTGGAAAGGCATTTCGATCTTCTATTACGTGAGCGTACCTAAAAAAACTTTTAGACAGTTAATTTACGAAAAGCAAACCCATTCTGAAGCCCAAAATCAACAGCAAAATAATCGAAACCACGAGGAATTTGTCGACGCAAATCTTTTGTCTCAATCAATTTTTTGTTGTCTGCCCATTCGCTTTCACTTTCGTTTATCGCTTTCTAAAATTTTTCTAACTATAAGAGTAAAAGTTTTTGCTACATTTTTCCTTTAAAAGGTCATAAGTAGTTTGCGAACAAAACAAAAACTCACATGAAAATAAATGGGTGCCGATTCGCCAGCCTCGATTGGTATAGGAAAGGCCTCAATGTAACAATGTGGATTACTCTTCACATCATGTGCCGTCTCCAAAAAGATACAGTCTTGATCTTGCTCCTAAAAATTCCATAAATATTTAGTTAAACTTGAGATACCTTCCACATAGCGACAAGCCCTTTGCGCCATATTCTCATTTCATCCCAGACATTTTCGTCAAGTTGAATTGTCGAAGATGCATGCATTGCCGGAAGAATTAGTAGATGTTGATCCGAAAGCCCTTCCCATTCTGCTATGGCCAAGTAAGTCTAAACAAAGTGAGTTAGAATTAGAAACATTAAACAAACATTTATTCCAACAGCAACAATGCAATGTTTTGGTACACGTGAACTTTCAAGACATCGAATACAAGATCCAAGTGTTTGCTCCAGATGCTGGTGTTCTAAACATTTTTAATTTTTACTTGGCTCATTTTTAAAATAGTTTTCAATAATTTATCCTAAAACTAAAAGTAAAAATGCAACAACTGGTCAAGTGACATCAATTTTTACAGAGTTTGCTCAAAGATAGAACCTGGGCGGGGCCTATTTTGCGACGGAGAGCAATAAGATGGTTGCGAGAGGAATGAAAAATCAGTCACTCTTCTCTACAATGAACGCAGCTATTTTCCTTTCTTTTCTTTTATTAGCAATTGTTTCAATTGTGAATGCAACAACAGAATGGTGGGGTGATCTTCGTGCTCATCTTAATCCTCCAAAGGCACCGGCATTTTACGATGTTACCTATGATGATGGTTAGTTTTAAAAATATCGATAATTGTATGACGAACTGAACACCATTGAATTTAGAATGCCCACAAGGCCTTAAATATGATGCTATCCCCGATTTTGTTTATTTTGGAACCATGATCTCCTCAATGAACGTTGACGGTAAGTTCTCAACCTTTCCAAAAAGCTTCAATTTACGCGTTCTCTTTCAGACAACGAAGAATGCGTTCAAAAGTGCTTGGAAAAACCACGATGCAAAGCAGCCAATTATTTCCAGTCGATCTCTTTCCAAGAACAAGGCTTTTGCGAATTGCTCTCAGAGACCCAGTTGGACAACCCCCAATTAATGCGCCCCTTCATCAAAGCCACTTATTACGAAAATATCAGATGTCGAGATGTGGACGCTATCGAGATTGAGATTGATCAGAGTAAGGCTTGTGATACGATTAAAAAAACGGAAAAAATTTAGAGCCGAGAGCACGACCTACCAAAGAAGAAATCTCGGACATTTTTAAAAAGATTTCGTCGAAAGCGACCGAATTTCGGGCACGTTTCAGAGCCGCTAGAAAATAACGGAACTAAATTTTCTATTGAATTACCGTTATGATCTCTGAGTCACGGGTTGAAACTTTCATTGTTATTTTCATTTTGATATTGTCTTTTCTTTTCTGTGTACATATCTATTTATCCATCAATAGAAAGGATTGGGTGTCATTTTTATTGTACATAAAACCTCTGGAATTTGCAAAAAAGTCAATATCATGTGAAGTCAATTTTGATCGAAAGTCGTTCGCAAGGAAAGAATGGCGCAAAAGGGCGTCAACTAATTAGAGTCGCCCAAAAACACGGTAGAGAAACAGAGAAACGACCGTGAAGCGGTGAGCGAGCACATTCCATAGTAAGAGAGTGGTGGCTCAAAGATGAGAGGAAAATGAGAGAAAAATGAGCACCAGTCACCGCTCGACCCGATCAAACCTCCACGTCACGCCGTTAATCAAAGACCGCCGCTCGAATATCACACCCAGTATTGAGCGAACCAAGAGAACTAGGATATGGGAAGGGGGAAAATCTCGATGTTTCCGAATTCCATCAAATGTTTTCTTTTGCCTGATGATAAAGATACCTACGATCACAAATATGTTTTCAACTTCAACCGTGTTTACTTCAAGGACTAATCAATTATCCCAAAATGGACCACACATTAACCTGAGCGTAAGGGGAACTTTTTCAAGGTCAAGAAACAAAAATCTCCAGCCTATCCCAAAGTTGAACTGCCCCGAGAAACCAATCGTTTCAAATATCCATTTCAATATTAGAACTATATAAATATAAAAAAAGTAAGTAAACCTCGTCGCTGACGCTGCTTTTCCTTGCGCTCATCACGTTCATCTTCACGCTTGCGTCCTTTCTGCATTTCAGCAATGTCATCGACGCTTTCATCCTCATCATGTCGCTTGATCTTTGAACTTTTCTAAAGCAAACATTTGAAGCTGGCTTTTTAATAGCTAGGTTTACAAATAACTTTTCAACTAGGAATAGCTGGTTTACAAACACAACGAAAACAACGATTCTTGATTGATTTGTTTTTAGCAACTGCAAAAACTTACCACGAGACTTCTTTCGAAGAGTCGAAGCTGTTGTTCGGCAGTCCCAGTCTTCTCTTCTCGTACCATTTCAGAGAGAGATTGATCCTTTTCATATTCCCGTTTCATCCGAGAAGAACCCTAAAGAGAATAAATCAACATTGAACAAAATAAGGTTATTAAGCGAGTATCGGGATTTTAAAAACTGAAGAAATTAAAGTACTAAAGTACGGAGTGAAAAACCTTTGCAAATTTGTCTGTTCGCATGTCCACATTTGTTGCAGGTACGATGTTGCCATGCTTGTCTTTCTTGATCAAAAGCTAAAATAAAGCTAGTTTAGTTTATTCGTTCGGTTAAAATGAAACCTTCGTTTGCGTGCGACCCTCGACCTCATCGTTTTCGCCATCCAATTTACGCTTTAGAGATTTCACCAAATCCTAAAATTAACAACTTAAAGTTATTATGTAGTCATTATTTTATGCTCATCAACCTCACATGAATAATTTGACTCTCCCAATATTCTTAGTTTACTTTACGATATAGGTTGCCAAGCATTTTAATAACTTCAATGTGATCGCTCAAGAGTCATACCGAAAAAACCACAACTAGTCTACTTAGATAAAAAACGCATAACATTTAATACAAAAATACCCACCGTGTCTCCTTTCAACTCTGCTTTCAAGATTTTCGCATGAATCTTATTGCGTTGATCTTCTGTCAAAACTGTTGATTGCTGGCTAGTCGATGGGCCACTCTCGATGTTTTGCTGACCATAAAATTCGGCTTGTGATTGATTTGAACCTCGCACGAAATCTCTCCCTAAAATTTGCAAATTACAATGAACAAAGTTTGCTAGTCTAGAAATAGCAACAGATTTTTTATAGCTCCACTAGCGATTGTGCAACTACAAATAGCAGTACATTTCAGACGGATTCACAGGCGACTATAAGTCTAACGCGTATGCAAGCATCGAAGGATTGAAATAGGCGCAAAACAAACCTTTTATACCAAGCGCTTTAGCATATTTCGGGTCGAGAGGTTTTGCCCTGACAATCCGCGATTCATTATCATCGTCGTCATCTATTGGCTTGCGGAACATCCTTAAAAAATGACTACTATGAAAAAAAACAACGACACTAAAGAAAAGTGAAAAGGCAAACAAAGTTGGATCAGTATCGATATCTAGTACACAAATTTTCGTTTGCACAAATTTATCTAGTACGTCTATTTCTAACTATGATAGTTTCTATTAATTATTGCCTTGTTATAAATGTTGAACTGAATATTTTTAATGACTAGTAGCATGAGAAAAGGCTTATATGCAAATTAACACAAAGCGCAGAGTTTGTCATTTGGAAAAGTTTTTGTTCAATGTTTCATTTCAAAATATGTTATGATAAAGTGAAATTGAGGAAGTTGAGTGCCACCTCTAGCACGAAAATCAAAATGGGTGAGTGAAAACAACGGACAGTGCCAAAATACGGCCTAGATTTCTTACGATTTTGACTGGCATAGGTATTCTCTTCCCTTCTTCACTCTAATACAGTGTTGGCTATCTTTAAATATTTACTTGTTATCTATTCCTTTTTTTTTTGTCTGTTTCAGCTTGTTTCTTTGTTAATCGGCCTTTCTTTAATTACTTTTTTTCAGAAATGGAAGACTGGGGCTGTGTGACCGAAGACATCTTTGGTGGAATGCCGAGCTCGTCCGGTCGACTCGATGACATTGTTGATGCTCTTCATCACAATAACCATGATTTTACGCAAATAGGAATTGCTTCTTTAAGGGATATAAATCAGCCTATCGCAGGTAAGGTTGAAATTATTCTACTGGCAATTACTGTTTGTTTTTCGGATGATAGCGTCGAAATTCATCGATGTGATAATATGAGTGCGAGTAGAAGCGTCGCACCAAAGATATTAAAGAAGAAGAAACAGAGCGCTTCAATTCAGCCGGCGTCGCTCAAGAAAGTTAAATTTGAGGTTCGTATTTTCCCTTTTCAAATTATCGTTTAATAGGCTATAACAATAACTATCGTAATATCTGTAATAGAGGAGCATGATGCATGTTCTTCTAATGCCCCTCCCCTAGGGTGGTCCTCTAATTTCACCTATCTAGGGACCGGCATCTTGTTTCTAAAAATTGCTTTTTTGATCAAAATACTTAAAAAACAGGTTTTTACTAAGATTCCCCAAGTTTTATTGCTTTTACTGTTTACCTATTATAATTCCTCAAGTGCTGTTTATGGAGTTCGTTTAGAATTTATTGAAGATTTTTTTTAAGTCAATGTTTTAGTTCGAAGGTTCGGATCAGCAACTTTAAATCGTTCATATAAAATGACAGACTTTAATTGACCAAAGCTTAAAAATGAGATATGATATCTCAGTGAAAGTGAAAAATAATTGTGTATGATTTACGGGCTTTCTATGATTCGTAAATAGATTAAATGTTTTAGGTTGAAAAACTCGTGATTGCAGAAGGACTGTCTGGTGAAGAAAAAGAAGCGGCTCGTACAAGAATGGCTGTATCTCTTGGTGCTGCTCCCGAAAAAAGAAAACATATCAATTATAAAAAATTTAAGGTTTATTTTCACGATTACGTTTCATTTTGCATTTTAGGAAGAATGTGTGCCAATCAAAAAGGAGGAAACTGCAAAGTTGTCGAAAGTTCAAAAAAAGAAACCAAAGAAAACGAAGAAAAGGAAGAATTTTGAAGTTGCGTGAAATATTTTTTATTTTGTTTGTTGACTCTGCTAGTTGTTTTAAATAAAAAATTTTACGAATTTTAAATGGTCAGCTTTTGTAAAACTCTGCTTCCGAGTTATTGCTAATTTTTCGAATCTGAAGTTTCACGAAGAAAGGTAAATGATTCCGTTTAATAATAAGGATTTTGGATAAAAATTGAGTGCTCTGCAAATACTTTGAATAAAGCAAAGACCGATTAAACAGCACATTTTAGATTAATGCCATTATCTCGACCATCATCTAGATCACGGAGTCGAAGTTTTGCAGGAAGCCCGGTAGTTTGGTAGGAAAAGTTGATACCTAAAGAATTTTACAGCCACGAAATCGTTCGCGCAGTCACTCCAATTCTTCAATCGATCGACGACGGGTAAGGAGTGCAAGTCGATCTGCAAGCAGGTTTGTATAAATATCTAGCTCGAAAGCAATTCGAGTCATCATTAGATCGCCACAACACAGAAGAAGTTCACGACACGCTGGGTCGAGAGGTAGTTATCGACGCGGTGGAGGCTTCACTGGAGCTAATCGCGAAAATCCGAACCCTTCTAGGCAAGCAGACTCTTTAAACTAAAAAATATCTTTATAGAGTAATTGGCGTTTTCAATCTTTCCAAGTACACATCGGAACGTCAATTAACAGATGCATTTCGAAAGTTTGGCGACATGGAAAAAGTATAGTCATCAACATTAGAAAAATAAAAAGACTTTTAGATCAATTTAATTTATGATCGTCCAACCGGACAATCTCGCGGCTTTGCTTTTATTTCATTTGTAAATGTCGAAGATGCCCGTCGTGCAAAAGAAGAAATGGGCGGATCAGAAGTGCGTATAATAGAACTTAAAACATTCTTACACACCTATTCGATTCATAGTTTTTATTTTGTAGCCTGATTAAGTTCAAAAGTTTTCCAAAGCTCGATCATGATGCTGCCAAATCAATCTACCCTAATTAATGAAAAGCCATTCAGGCTTGAAACAAATAGAAGAAAGAAGTTCAAGTATGGTGTAACAACATTCAGCTTGATGGACATAAACTACGTGTGGATTATTCTGTGACTAAACGTGCTCATTCGCCTACACCTGGAGTCTACCTGGGTATGAAAGCGGGTGGATATTCAGGAGAACGAGGTGGTGGCCGACATGGAGGAGGACGATATAACGGTCATAATAGCAGACATCAGTAAGAAAACAATTGATTCCTTTTCAGCAAATTTCTTTTTAACTCTAGTTTTTCTTCTCGTTTCCGTGGTTCTTCTCCTCCAAATCGACCTGGCCGTTTTCGCCATTCGAGTCGATCACCACGGTTTTTTTTATTGATACGCAACAGTCGGTAACTCTTTTTTTTTCCTCAGTGGTCATCCTGATCGTCATCATCGACGAAGAACGCCGACAAGAGCTCAATATCGTGATCTGTAAGTGAATGCTCACAAATCAAATAGATTATGAGTTTTTAGTTTTGGAAAGATAAGACTTAAGGAATATACAAAATTAAAAATCATTGCGGCACCGTAAAATTCATTGTCGAAGTAAAAGTAGCATAAAGCCTAATCAAACCCAAAATCTTTTCCAAATTTGAAAACATTTTCAGTTCTCGTAGTCGATCCGGCTCCCCAATTCCAAATTACTGATGATGCAAAATAAACTGTTTTTTTTTGTGTGTAATAAACTGTCTATATCTATCTGGAATGGAGATCTCTTTAAATTGAGGGATTGTACTGTCTGATGTCAATCCATTACTGGTTTCAATAAATTCTTGATGCGCTGTCATGCAAAATACAACAAAGGAAATGCTATGCAGAAATATACCTTAATTTATTACAATCTGTACACTAAATTACAAAAAAAACAGACAAAACATTTATGTCTTTTCTGAATGGATATGATGCCTAGGGATTGATCCTTTTACAACCGTTATCCTATAATTTGGTGGCGATTGAGGTGGGGGGCTCGTTCTGAATAGATTCAATTATATATCGTTCAAAATTCAAAAAACCTTTCGAAGTAAATGTTCTCTGTATGCGACTTCTTTCATCCATTTTCGATCATCACGAACTATTCTTTTTTCTTCTTTTTCTGGTTTTTCATGCAGTGATGTCAGTGAAACAAGTGTTGATATTCGGGATAAAGTATTATCCTGTAATATTTATTATATTTAAAAAGTTAATTTCTATGCATTGCTTACATGTAATGGCAAGAGACGAGCGACTTTTCGGATTGGTGGATGTGAATTCTCCATACCAATTCCACGACCATTTCCTCGATCTCCTTTCGTCTGAAGTTTTTTTTTGTTTCCATTCGCATTCATTCTCTCTTTCTTTGCAAACCTCAAGCCGTGAAGTGCTTGTTGGTTCTTCAATCTCGATTGCTATCGTATCTCGTGCTTGTGAATCTGAAATTACATTTATGTAGCTATTTGTTTTCCTTTTCTACCTCCATTAGAGCTTGACGCCGCTTTTCTTTTGCCTTTTGTATGGGAAATGCCTCGTTCTTTTGTTGTTTTCGCCTGCTAAATCCCATTTTTTAAAATGCTTTGCTTTTTTCAAAATTACAAACCTTTTGAGCAAAAATCTTTCTTTTATTTCCATTTGCTTCAGTTTTTTTCGCTGTCCCATTTTTCTGAATATGTTAATATACCGTTTTTATGCGTCATTCTTCAGAACTAACCTTGGCTTTTCGCTTTTTTGTTATCCGTTTTGCTTTCGGCGATTTCTTGTTCTTTGCCTAGATTAGCATTGATAATTTCATTATATAATAATATAAATAAATTGTTCAAGAGAAAACTCACCCGAAGATGTATCCGTCTCAATCGCAAAGCCATTCTTTAATTACACTTCGACATCCTCCTCAAAAGGTTTCGTTCTTCCCAAAGTTTGATTGATGATTAGCGGATCAGGTGTTTCTATGGAGATTAGACCTTTTATTTTTTTAACAAGTCGAATTAAACTAATTTCGACGATTCCACAGAATCGAGGCTTGGGAAATGAGTAGAGATTAGTGAAAAGATGAGAGACATTCCGAGGAATGACTACGGTAATTGGAGCAAGATTTGAGATATTGAGAGAAACACTCCTGAGCAAAAATGAAGTGTCAGGCAAAATTCTTAGAAACAAAGAGAGTTATAGCTTTTACTTTTAATTCTAATTTCCAAAAAGATCAATTAAAGCTTGTTGCGAAGAATGGTGTCGGAAATTTCAAAGCAGTGAACCCCCGACAAGTGAACAGTTTGTGGGGAGGCAAAATTTTTTTGATCAGCTTTTTAAGAATGCCAAACCATCAAGCTTTTACCTTTTTAACAGTGTTTCTGTGTTGGTTTGATATGATGTGGATGTCTTGTGGGGAAACTTGTTGCTTGCCTTGCTTTTTTTTACCCTTTTTTACCTTGCCTTGCGATTACTTAGGTCTATTTTTAGCTCATTTTTAATATTAAACATTTGCGAGGATTTCAGTGTAATTTTTAGGACTTCTCTTTGACTAAAAAGTTTGTGCCCGAGTTTGTTGGCGGCCATTTGATCTCGCTACACAACTTTGTTCTTGCGCTTAGTTTGACGAGAAATTGTTGTGCTATCGTTAATTTTGTATAAAATAGTTTTAAGATTCAATAAATTTTCTGTTGACAATTGGTCTTAAAAGAAATGAAAATGGAAATGAATGGAAATGGATAGATAATTTGATGAATAACTTATGTTTATTGGGCTGCTGGTAGGTATTAAACAATCTTTAATGTCAGTAAATGGTGTAAAGATTTATTGGATTGGTGCATTGAAAACTGCCAGACTTTGAACTAAAATTTATTCAGCGTAAAACCATCAATTCGCTCCAAATAATTTCCATTATTGTTGCCGACGTCTGCCCATTTTACAGGCAATTTGCGGATTCCTCTTTCGTAGTAGGATTTTGGTTTGTGTGTGAGACAAGTGTGAGACTCAAAAATGGAGGACTGGAGATGTCCCAATGTCCCAGTTTGAGCACTTTCTTCAAAAGAAACCCATTTTGGTGTCAATAGAAAAGTTGTAATGAATCAAAAATTAGGCTTATAGCCAAATTTCCAAAAAGATACACTTAGTAGTTTCGCTTCAAATGCAAGTTTTGTGAAAATTCGTAAATTTGGCATTTCTGGAAAACCAGTTTTTGAATCGTTCTGAAAATTTGGATATAAGCTTCATTTTTGATTCTCTACAACTTATCCATTGACACCAAAATGGGTTTCTTTTGAAGAAAGTGCTCAAACTGTCACATATGACAATAGCCCGCAGTTTTCAATTCACCAACCCTCAAAACATAGAGATCTCAAATTTGAAATGAAACTTTTGATTTCAGGTGGCCAATGGACTCTTCTCCACCTAACACGAAAATATCCGATTTCATATGCAAATCAGCAGCAAATACCCAAAATTGACACGCTAATAGTTATAATATTTCAATTTTTACGCAAAAACAAATCCTTTTTCATAAAAGAAACAGTGTACAGTGGTCAATTTGAAGGCTCATAAAGCTTATCTTTTCAAGAAAAAAAACTGAAACAAAGACCAAAGCTATGCGCTTTCTTTTTTGATAGAAGCAACTTTTCTGGCGCAAAATGGAATATTCATTCAAATTCCCGCTCATTTTGGGTTTTACTTTGATTTTCTTCTTTTCGTCGACAAGTATCTGTCAAAATTGTCCGGTGCCAAGTAAATATTCGGATATCTTCAATGCCTGTGTCGAAGCTCGAGCGGAGGGTAAATAAAAAAAATTTAGTTTAACATATTGAATGCATTAAAGAGATGGTCAAAGAAATAAAGGACACGTTTAGCGTTACCATATGAAGAATCGGAACGAGCTTGCATTGATAATTTCGGTGAAATCATTTCAATCCACAATGCATTCGAGAATACGGCCGTTGCTGAGCTAGCAAAAAATTGTTTGTTTTTCAAGTCCATGAATTTTTAAAGTAAAATTTTAGACGGACAGAATGGTCGAATCTTTATTGGTTTACAAAAGTACGGTAACGCGTGGAGTTGGAGTGCAAGTGGAGAGCTTGATTATGTGAAATGGGGAGGAGGTAGAAAGATTGAAAAAAAAAGTTTGGAAAATCCCCAAAACATTCATCTTTAGGAGAGCCAAAAAAGGGAAATTGTGCTGTGATGGATTCAGCCGATTCCTCTTGGCACACCGTTGATTGTGAGCAGCCATTTGGTCGTATTTGTGTCCTCGAACCAAAAAGTTCAGTCATTTAGTCAATGGATAATTTGCAAATGTTTAGCTTGCTATGATGATTGGAGCTACTATCCAGTTACAGACTTCTGTTATTATGTAAGTCAAGAAATATTCGTTTAATCGGGAAGTCTTGTCCGCCTTTTTGAAATTTTCGTTTATAAATGATAGCCGATCAGCCGGTTTGTTTTGAGCAAAAGAAAACGATTAACTATTTAACTCATTTTAGGACTTTCTGATAAAATAAACCATAGATCAGTGGTTCATTATTCATTTCAAAAAGTAGACTTTAAAAAAAGGGGACAAGACTTTCCGGACAGCCTGATATCTAGGTAGAAAAACTAGAAGCTGTTTCATGATTGAATGTAAGTACAGCATCTCCTTTCCAATTGGGATTTTACTTTTTGAGCATCCCTCTTATCTGCATTTTCATATATAATTATGGACCATTCTCATCTCTAGCACGGATTCAACAAAACCTTCAATGACGCTGAAGATTTTTGTCAGACATTTGATGGACATCTTGCATCAATTCACAGCAATGATGAGAATCAGTATATTAAAGGTAAACACATAAAATGATAAAATAGAATTATAGAATACCACATCTTTAAAAAGCATAGTAGACGAGACATTTCCAGACTTAACATACTCAAAGGAATGCTTGACTTCGGTCAATGGATACAATCAAGGAACAACTGTACTTGGTGGTCAACTAGCTGCAAGTAATGCTTAAAATTGAAAGAAAAACAAATATAGCAGATTAGACAACAAAACGGCATTTTGGGTGGATGAAACGGAAGCTGATTATACGGGAATCACGTGTTATCATGGAGGAGAGCCGAACACTATTTTGGTATGCTTTCACTCAGAAATCCAAAAATGAAGATACCGTAATAATTCTAATAGAAGATGGTCTTCTAATTTTCAACCCCTTCCCCAAAGGGTCTTCTATTAGAGACTGGTCTTCTGTTAGAGACTGGTCTTCTAATAGAGACTGGTCTTCTATTTTTCAACCTCCCTTCAAAAGGGTCTTCTATTGGAGACTGGTCTTCTAATAGAGACTGGTCTTCTATTAGAATTATTACGGTAACTTTTTGTTCAGATGAATTCATTCCCAGCTGATTGTGGTAGATGTCCGGATGGGATATGGTGGATCAGTTTTGCCGATCAGCAAACCGAAATTTATCCAGATTTTGTATGCAAAGTGATGCCTTTTGAGGGGGCAAAACAACGAAAAACTGCACGAAACTTGAAATAAATTTGTTTATGATTGAAATTCGAAATAAAAATTTTTATTCTCAAAAACGATCAATCACATTGTTTGTTTTTTTTGTTTCTCTTTTTTATTTGTAAGCCGATTTACATAGCTCTTTTCGCAGACGGGGAAAGTAAAAGTGATACATCTGTGCTTCTCCACTATTCAAGTTCAGCAAATACTTTTTTATTACATTTTTCTAAAAACAATGAGCCCTTTATATGAAAAAAGGAGGTTATAAATGTAAATTTAAAAAAAAAATATAAACTTTATTCAGACAAATATTATGCCGAACCCTCGTGTTTCTATTTTCCCTTTTTCATCTTTATACAGCGTTGGCAATTCATCATGATTTTAAACGTAAGTGAGATGTTAAACGTAAAAATCGTTTCAATTCAGAAGCCATATTTTTGATTGTAATTCTTCTTTTATCTCATCTTATATTCATCAATTTCTATTTGAAAAAAACATTTCCCAAACGTAAAGAACAACTCGAAAAAGCGTTTGGAAATGCTTGGAATGGTTGGAATGATTGCAAAATGATAAAACATTCCTATTTTCATAGGTACGAAACGTTAATCTATGATAAAAACAAACAATAATTGATTGATGATATTTATTTAATAAAAAAAGAAAGATCAGAACATGGACGAGCCTTCTATTCGTCGGTTTTATTGGATGGATTCTCTTTGATAGCGCTGGTGATTTGAATCGCCTTCGCCCACTAATTGCTATTCTTTTCTATCTAATATTTTGCGTGATATTCTCGGCAAATCCTTCTCGAGTAAATCCTTTTTTCTTTGAAAGTAAACTTCTTTACTTAAAATCAGATTAAATGGAGGCCAGTGATTGGTGGTTTTATTCTACAAATCTCTTTCGGACTTCTCGTTCTTCGTTGGCCATCCGGTCAACGTGGTCTACACTTTATTTCGAATAAAGTTCTCTCAAGTCTTTTCTTTTCTTTTCTTTATCATATTTCAGATTGTCGGATTTCTCGACTTCACTACCGCGGGCACTATTTTCAATTTCAATTTCATAGCCTCACCACCAAATATTTGTGGAATGGGTTATGTTTTTTTCTTTACGGTAACTCTCCAGAAGATCTTTAGAAATTCAAAAATTCAGCAATTCAGAGTCTTCAAATCGTTATCTATTTTGCTGTTTTCGTTTCGATTCTCAATTATTTTCGTGTAATCGAATTTGTACTCTCAAGAATTGCGGTTTTTTTTTGAGATGAAATGATAAGAAAGATGAAAATTTGTAAAGGTGATGATGCAGTATACAATGGGAACAACAGCTGCCGAAAGTCTCAACGCAGTTGCATGTATTTTTGTTGGCCAGGTCATCCGCAAACAACTTGAGCTCTATCAAAAAAAAATTTAGACCGAAGCTGCAATTTTGATCGGTCCATCATTGGGAACAATGACTGAGAGTGAAATTCATTCTGTGATGACTGCAGGATTTGCATGCATTGCTGGTTCGCTCTTCTCAGCCTACATTTCTTTTGGGGTCAGTTACGGTACAAATAAAGAGAGTTAATTACAATTTGTTTTATCAAATAATTATTTCTTTCTTTAAACTACCATAATCTCCATACTTTTGGCTTTATTTTAATCTAAATTTATCAACTTGATCCGACTCTTTGAGAAATCAGAAAGGATATCGAAAGATTATAAATGACTGGATAAAACAGGTAGTGAACCCGCCGTTATGTGGGTTTTTCGGCTGGTAATACATACGAACAGATTTAAATCCTCATCTTGATATTTCAGGCACAACCAGCTTATCTTTTATCGGCCACTGTAATGAACGCAACTGTTTCTTTGGGAATCTCAAAAATGGTTTATCCGGAAATGCAAAAGTCTCGTCAAAAAAGGCGAATTCTTTCAAATTCGACACACAGTCAGTTCGAATTTAAATGAAAAGTTTAAAAATTTTGAAAAACAGTAAAAATAAAAGTCTTCCTCAATTAATGTACGAAGCAGCTTGTCATGCGTCAAGACTCGTCATTAACATTGATAAGTTTACCTAGTTCGTTCGCAATTATTTCCTTTTTAAGCGCAAATCTGATTGTTTACATTGCGCTTCTCGCCTTTCTCAATGACGCCGTTGGTTATTTCGGTGATTTGGTTGGGATCACAGATCTTAGTTTTAATGTAAATCTGCTAAAGAATGCTTATTTATCAAATGATTAAGAAGTTACTTGGATATCTTTTTTTCCCTTTCGCTTATTTGATGGGTGTTTCCGATGCCGAAAATCATGAGGTAAGAAAAATGAATGAAATGCTTATTTGCTTTTTTTCGCATTAGATACAAGTGGAAGAGAGTTTTCGAGTGGCTGAACTAATGGGAATCAAAACTTTTCTAAACGAGTTTATTGCCTATCAAAAACTCAAGGAAATGGTTGTAGCGGGTAGTTTGAAAGGAGTAAATGATTCTTTTTATTAAAATGAATCAATTCTAAACTCAGGCAAGAGCTCAAATGATTGCCACATATGCTTTGTGTGGTTTTTCTAATATTTCGATGATTGGCAGTCAATTGGGGATTCTTGGAAGTTTATGTCCGTGGAGAAAAGGGATCTTTGCCAAGGTGGACTTCAAATGAAACTGTTAATCGAGTGGTAATTAGGTGGTGGTGAGAGCTCTTTTCAGCGGATGTATTTCATGTTTCATCACTGCTTCTATTGCAGGTAAATTTGAGAAAGAGAAGAACCTAAAAGTGAAAAAATTCTCACAAATAAATCACAATTTCCGGTATTCTTGTGGAGAAGCCATTAAAATGGAGTCCGATGGTGGAACAGCGTTGCTTTAACGCAAATGAACATCTCACTAATCATTCAATTGCTTTGTTTGTTTAATTTTTAGTTTCAAAGGTTTGAATAAAAGGTGCCTTTCGGTTCTAAAATTGAATCCTGTTTTTAAGTGGACTCTTATACCTTTACATTGTTGACGTTTTCATTAATTTACCTTTAAAATTGCTGCTTCAGATCAGTCTAGAAGCCACTAGTCAGGCCAAACTGGGTTACCATGTACCAGAATGTAGGGTTCATTTTCGGTCAAACTGTTGATAGGTCTAAATCATCTTTATATGATTTCTTTTTTTTCTTTATCTTATCACTCATCAGCAAAAAAAAACGGCAACAAGAATCTGTGTTTTTGTTACCCGAGAACAGATACCCACTTGTCACTTGTACAGATAAATATTGAGAAAAGAAATGTTGATCAAGAAATGAGCAAGTTGATCTTAAGCAAACTTATGCTAGTTCAAATAAAAACATAATATCACAATTCAAATCGTATTGTTATTTACAAATGTTGATTCCATAATCGAAAAGCAAATATTTGTTTATCAATGGTGCCGGGTGCGCAACTAACTCCGATCCTCTCATTTACATAAACATTTTCTCAATCATTTTATATCAATCATTCACTGAGAGTCTTTCAATAATTATTTTGTTTCAATTTTTTTAAAAGAATAGCTTTAAGTTTTCCATCTGATCTCTCAGTGAATGGTTGCTTGCATCTTTCTACGTTTTAACAATCAGTTTTTCATAAATTTCCATTTCTTCTGATTTCATTGATCACTTTTATACAACATTATCTTAAACATACTTTAATAAGGCAATAGATCAAAGAGTTTATGTTAAAGGGTTGTCTGGTGGTGGAGAGGGAATCTTGGCATGACCCCCATTCCCTCGCCATCTCCTCTCATCAATCTCTCAAACTCTCACTGCTTGCGCAATGATTTCTTTTAAAAAACTCTCCTTTCTACAAGTTGGAAAGGGTCGTTTATGGACATACAAAGTGCCCAACTGTGACTTCGACTCAATTGGTGAAAGAATAGGCAATGATATGTGATACGAGCCACCAGATGCTCCCGCTATCCCCGCCTTTCTTTTCTCATTCATTCGCAATCCACTCCAAGTTCTCTCTTAACCAAGTTTCCATTTAAATCTTTAGAAATGCTGGCATATATCAGGATTTTTAACGGATTATCTGTCTCCTAGAAGATCGTAGTTGTGATTATGAGATCGTGACTTTAAAGGCCTTCCTTTTATTGTTGCAATGTCTAACAAAACATCATTTACCGCTAATGGATAAATCCCATAAAATATAATTAAATATAGGGAACTGGCAATGCTAAATTCATGTTCATTTTTAATTACTTTCAATTGCTTATGACTCAAACTTCTTATAACTTAAACTCAAAAGAAATAACTTTTATTTTTGTACTCTACTCTTCCTCATTCTCTGATTGAAAACTCTAGCCAAAATGTAAGACTTAGCGATGAATTGTAAAGGATTTTCGAGGTGATTTCAGAGGATTTATTAGCTTTAGAGAGGACTGATGAGAAGAGAGAAGACTCCGCCCCTTTTTTGAGGGAGGAGTCCCAGCTTTCCTCCCTTCATATGTCCAATCCAATTGTGTGACTCATCGCAATCTCTTTCTGATTTATTCACGTTTAAGATTCAACTTTTTCTTTACTTAAAACTCACTAAAGATGAATTTGTCTTTTTTTGCGTAATTGAGTTATTGCAGAAAACGGCGGACCGCAGTGTGCGCTTCATGATGAGTGATTCGGAACGGGAAGGAGCTTTGGAAAAAGGAGGGAAAAAGGGTGGAAATGGACCATCACACTCTCTACTTTTCCTTTTAATTGCTTTGATTGCCCTTCTAATCGCTGGTGGTGTCATTCTTTTCTTTCTTCTCACCGCTTCATCGATACAAGGCAGATCTGGTTAGAATTAAGCACAATTTATCTCACAATAAACGTTAAACAAAAAGGAATTCGTTATAGGAAATGAAACGATTATTGAAACAGACGGTCTGCGAAAAGAGCCGATTATCACTCGACCAATTGGGAATCGGATCACTGAAGGCAACTCTGAGGAACTACCAGAGTATACCACCAAGAAGTACGACTCATCAGTGAGTTTTCTAATTCTAGACAAATGAATGAAGCAAGAAATCTTTTGTTTGTGTCATTTCCCCTCAAATGAATGCTATTTCTTTCCATAGAATGTCTCTAATTTGACTGTAGACCCGAACTCCATCAACCGATAACGAAGAAATCAGCATTGAAAGCTCAACAGGAGAAGATTGGCAAAGCACATCCTCTTTTTCAAATTCAACAGCTTCCCCTTCTCAACTCACCACTACTGTGTCTTCTCTAAAAAATCCTCTGAAAACTATTCCTCCATTTGTTAGTCAGGTTTGTGCATGTGCCTTCTCATAGTTGAATTTTTGAACAATTCTGTTTTGTTATGAAGGTGACTTTTAGAAGCAAGAGGTCATTGATAAATGTAATTCACTGGAGATCGATGCCAACTCGTGTCCAGTTTCCATCGCAAATGCTGACAACAGGTAACTTTTCACCGTAGCTAAAAAAAACTAGAGAGTGCTCACAAATGAACATCACTCTTCATCACGACTTGAGAAAGTTCCAAGAGAAGATTGGAAAGGAGTGAAGGGGTGAAGGGGGAAGGATTGTGTTCTCCTTGTGTAAACCATCGACCCTCCGCTTTTTTTTGTGTTTCTTCACCACTAACCGCATTTCTTTCAAAAGCTTTCTCTTAAATTTATAGCTTTAGGCTTGGAAAAATAATGCACGCATTTGAAACTCATCCGTCTTACGAATGGGGAAAAGATTAGAAGTAAAGGAAAGAGGGAACAGGGTTGTAACCCCCGGAATACTCGACGAGATAGAGCACAGAGTTGTCGACAAATTTTGATGTCCTCTGTTCTTTTTCTACAATGATGGGAAAAGGGGGGTTCGGAATGCATATGCAGAACAGATGTCACTCCTTTCCTCTTTAGACATTTCCCCATATTGAACAACTTTCAACAGGTCGAAGATATTGAAACGATTTCTGCTTACTCGAACAAAAATCCCATAAAGTAACGTAAATGAAAACAAATTTGAAGATAAGAAACTTGAAATGAAAATAGAGAAGTGCAGACAACAAGAAATTTAGTGACTTCAACGAAACCGACGTTGTTGACGGTGGATTTTCGGGTTTCAAGCCTCTTCACTACAATGTATCATTGTTGGTTCGAAGTATTCAAGATCTTGAACTAAGTGGATCTGTTCGTCTTCATCTCGAAGCTATCAATCCATCAAATAAGGTTCTCTTTCGATTTATTCGTGTTTACATAAAATCTTCATAGATTGTACTTCATATGGGCGATGGCTTAAGATTGGTCAACGATAAGTCTCTGAAAGTGATCTCTTGTTCAAAAGGTTGGTTTTAACAAGACTCTTCTCTGGATAAATGAAGGTGCTAATGATTGTGGGGGCACTTGTTTGTGTTAGAGGAAACGATAGATAGATAATGATAGAGGAATCTTTCGTCGATCGACACCTGATCACCCTAAAATCGAGAGACGGGCAATTTGTTGTGTGAGAGATGTGTGACCGATCGGTGCCATCTTTAGAAGGGCATTCGTTTAACGAGAAAGAAAACAAAAGAAAGACCTCCTAGTCGAGGGAACAGCTGTTCTTTTTTGGGTTACTTTTGGTCCTCATTTCGACTCATCGCTAGTTTTGAAAATGTTTACAAAAATCAGATTCTTTAACCCCGTACTTGATGAGTGTAATTAAGCACGAGATCTAACGATTAGCCTTGTACGATCAAGCAATTCCTCAAGAAGAACTCCAATCAATATTCCCGTTATCATAAAGAACGTTCTAGTAAGCAAATCTACGAAATCGATTTCACTAAACCCACTCTAAATCAATTTATGAAAATGAAAAGAGTGCTCTCCTTTTGGGGTCAAATTTCCCTTTGTACCATTGGATCCAAAGAGGTTTTTGATGAAAGCCGCTCGCTCGCTCCCTCCCTCATTCTCTTTTTCTCTTTTTCTTTATTCTTCAACGAAAAAGTAGGGAGTAATGGTGCGCAACTGTTCGCACCCCATATCTCTCATTCTTGGCACCTTTGAGCCTTTCGCTCAAAAAGAGCTATTGTAAACGAAAACTTTTACTCTAAAGACAAAAGATCAATCTAAAGATCTGGAATACTCTTAAAGAATAACGAAAATCAATTGAATCGTTTTTCAGATAAAAAGGTTACAAAAAAAACCCGAATGACTCATCAGAAAATCTCTTCTTTGTCTCACACGTTTCGCTTGGTGAAAGCAATTTTTCAGTGGCCATGTATTGGGGAGAAAATGCTGGGATCAGTGATTAGACTGACATTTCCTTTCTCTTTACCCTTTTTATTTTTCACTCAATCCACCAACAGCTGTCCCCATTTAGCAACACCCCTAATCTCGTAAATTGCTCACTAAACAATGAAGAAAAAATGCTGATACTTGAAATCTTTTAAGCTCAAAATCAAAAGCTAATGAAAATGAAGATGAAGATGAAATATGAAAAAGGGAAATTTCAGAAAAAGTGATTTGCGTGACGAATATCCATCATGATCATCAGAAAAGTATTTTGAGAGTCGTGTTGAGCGAAGAGGTTTCATCTGGAGACAATATTCGCATCGACATCGATCAATTCTACTCAAAAAATGGTTACAATATTTGTTTTATTCAATGATTTATCAAATTATAGCAATCTCATTGTTTATGCAACGTCCAGGATACACAAAGGCTCCAGAAATGCTCGGCACACAGATGCAAATTGGCGGTGCTCGACGCATTTTCCCCTCTATCGATCTTCCAACATTTAAGGTTTATAAAGCTAGGAATTTGGTGTAGATTTTAAATATAGAGTCCTTTCATCCTTTGTGTCAGCCATCCATCAACTTTCAACGTTCGCTCAAATATGAAAAGGCAAATCAACGATGGAGACAGCATGGTTTGTTGAACTCTTGAATAATACCTTTTCTAAAATGTATCTATTTAAGAAAAAATTCGTAGTCAAACCGTTAGTTTAAATTCAGTTAACCAAATTTCGATTTTATTCAATGAGAAATGAAAAGACGCATTGAATGATACTAAAGTCTGGCTGATCAGAGAAAAACTAACGGTTTAACTACGATAGTTTTCCTCAAATAGATGCATTTTAGAAAAACGTAAGAGGAACAAACTCTAGTTGAACTATTGGACTAATTTATTCAATTTACTCCCTACAAATTAATTGATTCATCTTCTACAAATGGGACGTTATAAATTCTACAAAAAAATACTGAAATTCAAGCATATCAGCTGAATATTTTAGGACCGTTATGTTCGTCATTATCATGTATGTTTACACTATCAGTTAATCGAATTTGATTTTCTCATTCACTCCTTCATTCTCACAATCAGTTTCAGTATTAAAGTGCAAAATTTTAGAAAACGTGTTTCGTCCAAACCCTGCCACTTGCCACTCATCAAATCGCATTCGTCGTTTCTCAAAATGTAAATCAATAATCAAAATCAATCAATCAATAATTCCAGGCTTATTCAAAAGTCTTCAACTCGAGCAGCTTTGATTTCCCTCAAACTCCCGATCTTGAAGTCCTTTTCTCACAGGCTGAGAAAAATATCAACAAACTTCTTGAAGCAAGATGGCTTCCGGATGAAGTGGCCAGAGTATGTGATTGGAAAAATATGATTTACACTTCTTATTTAAAGATGATCTCAACAATGCGAGAATGGACGGGTGTTGGATATCCCCTTGATCGACTTACAATTGCATCAGCTCCTCTCATCGGTCCACATGGTACAGCCACCGGTGGTCTTGGGCTTATTATCCTTCCCGCAACGTTCGTTTTAAGAATCTCTTTTAAGAATTGTAATATATACTTCAGAAAAGTAACTCATAAAAATTTTAGTGCAATCGAACACGAGAAACATCTTCGATCGCACACACATTTATTGAGAGCAGTGATCGGTCAATGGATTGGTGGCATTGTCGGACCTCGAAGCAATCATGATCTCTGCCTTCAGGTGACATTTTTTTTTGTAAAAGATTTTTTTTTCTTTCACGTACGGAAAGGGAAGGATGGGCGGATAAAAAGAAAATGGGAAAGGGGGAAAGCGTCACCTGTCGATTCGAGACACTCAACAATAATATGCCAATGCATATCATATTTATCTCTTCTCTAAAGAGAGAATAGAAATGAATCTCTCTTTTTTGAGATTAGAGAATCCTGTCGGGGAATTCATTTACACCCAATTCCCTATGCCCCCTTCACCCTTTATAATCCGCTTGTTTATGAGAGGAGTCACAAGCATTTCCGCGCATCTCTCAACAAATCTAGGGACTTAAATCAATGACTTGCCAAACTTTATGTATTTACAGGCTTTCTTAGAATAAAAAAAGAACAAAATGGGTAATGAGAGAGCATCTGTTGAGAGAGAAAAGAGAACATTAAGACTTTCATTTTGCCGCCATCTTTTATGGCATTACAATGTGTGTTGGAGAAGTCTGCTTGTAGAACTGTTTCACGCAGTTTTAACAATTTCATTGATTGAAAAAGAGTGAATAAATTGTAGGAGGCATTGATCGGATATTTGGAAGCCAAAGTGCATGAAGATATCAAGATTACTCCGATTGTCAATCGAACTCGAGTGAAGAGTCTTGCTGAAATTGAAAAGGTACTCAATGCCAAAGAAACTTAATAAATTTCAAATTAGAGCAAAAATCTTGAAGCACGAAACACTCGAGCATTGACTCCAGAACAGGTAAGAGATAGAAGCCACTTTTGAAAGTAAGAATTTTTATTTAGACAATGCATATTTGTGGAGAGAAGGGAATGACTCTTTTCTATAGTCTTGATGAGACATTTGGGCCAAATACGGTACTTGGAATGCTTAAGGTAAGAAAAAAAAGAAATATAAATGTTGCATAAATACTCAATTACTTTATTCCTTTAAACATATACCAAATTGCACAAGTTAAACTCTTTAGCTCGTTTTCGCTCAACACAGCTTTGATTATGCCAGTGCCAATGACTATGCGAAAGCTCTTGAGGCTCAAACTCGATCGAGAACTGCTGGTGGAGTTATTTATTTGTTTAAAAGCACAAATCACAACACAAATACATGGAACATCAATAGTTTTAGGTGAATTGTTGAAGAAATGGTTTCGATCTTCATCGCCACCAATTGTTCTTCTAAAAGTTCAATCAAACGAGGTGAATAGCTAAGAATGAAGAATGAAATCAATGGTTAACAATGAAATCTTTTCCTTAACAGATGCAATTGCAAAGAAATAAAGGAAAAATTTCAGATTATGGTCACTCAACCCTCATCGGATTCCTGGGAAATGCCAATTGAAATCGCTGGTTCAACTGGTGTTCAACTAATCGATATCAAAGGAAATGAGGTTTGTATAAAAATTGATAAATCAATGCAGATTTTTCTAGTCAATTCCCTATCAATCAACAGATTATGTGATTGCTGATCCGAAAAGAAGAAGTGTCGCCTTTGTTGGATATGATGTTCGTTTGTGAAAAAAATATTGAAATCAAAAACATTCAGTTGGAAACATATTTGCGCTTGATGAGATGTTGGGATGATTCTCGGTGTCCGGCAAATAAAGATGATCTCAAGGGACTTTTCAAAGATTTTGGAGCACTTCTCCTCAACAAATATATTATGGTTTATAAACAAAACAGAAATATATACATTGACGTATCATTTCAGGACTCAAATAAAGCAAATGGAGGTCGATGGAAGGAACTTTTCCAATTTCTCGTCACTCAGAAACTTCTTCAAGGCGATCAAGCTTGCTGTGCCACCTATGCAGTCAATGTTTGTTACTTTATCAAAGTTTATAACAATTTAAAGGCTTTCAAAAAACATTCTATCAAATCCATTATTACATTTCAGCCTCAAGCACCCACAGATGGACGATGCTTCTTTGTGGTGAAAGATGTGTGCTCGAAAGTGGATCTTATCGAAAAAGTTGCTCATCAATAGATTCATTCAATTCAATTCAATTCAATTCATTCAATTCATTCAATAGATTCATTCATTTCTTTCTCATTTCCTCTCACCATTATTCAGGACTTTTGATCTCAAATGACTTCTTTTTTTTCTTTTCAAACACCAAATCAATTCCTACAAAAAAACGCGCCTCGCCTAATTGTCTAGTCGGCGCTTTCCTCGATCAAGAAAATGTGAAATTGATCTATTATATTGATCATTCGACTTTGTGGGTATCTTTCATTCAGAAGTGTTCATTTATTTCTTTTTTCAATTTTTTTATAATCATCTTTATTCTCTTTGAATAAGTCTACATTGCCTTTTTTCAAGCGGCCTTTTTTCTCTTTCCGTATCGCTCAATCACCGTGTGAAATGACTACAACTTTTTCGATGAGTCATTTGTGCTAATTACCTATTTATTTTGTTAAAACTAATAAATGATAAAAATTTTTAAAAATGAAATTCTACTAGACAGCCTATCACGAAATACACTCTAGAAGAATCATTTTTTGAAAATAATGCCCGTGAAATTCGTCACAAAACACCTCATTGGTGGGTTTTTATGGATAAAATTCAGGGAGCCAGAAATGAGATAAAGAAATTTGGAATTGTGTGCAAAAAAAAGGGAAAGGAGAATTGAAAGAAAAGATTGAGAACTAATCGCCACATCGAAAGACCAAATTTTGCCCTTAGAACAGAAGCTCTTTTACTCTTGTTTTTGCATAAATCTCTACAGTTTGATCAATATTATTGACTTTTTTTTCTTTCAGTATGCGAATCGCGTACCTCATTGGGTTATTGCTGATCGTTGTGGTGACGGGAAGAAGGAGGCGAAGTTTTCGTGATCCCGCTACCTTCAATGCAAATCAAAATTATCATATGGTCTGGTTTTAAAGGAATTATCAGAATATCATTAAAGAAATCAGTTTAGATCGCTCTTTAATTCTGAAAATATTAATTTATGATAACATTTCAGAGTTCCGCAAAATTAGATACAAATTAAAAGACTGAATTTCAGAATGCAGTCATTCCAAATGCCACCGAATTCTTTTTCGAGGTTCCCCTTGATCATTTTGCTTATGCGTCTACGAACGTTTTCAAAATCAGGTAATAGCTAAACCAAAATGAAACCTCATTATTTTAGATGTGAACTGAATTTGGATCATTACGTAGATGGAGGACCAATCTTTTTCTATCCAGGCAATGAAGGGACAATTACTGGTTTCATGACAGCCACCGGAATTATGTGGGATCTTGCCGCAAACTTCAACGCGGCCGTTCTTTTTGCTGAACATCGGTTGGGTTTTTTGTACTTTACCCCCTGACAAAATCTTTTTAGATATTATGGAGCTTCAAGTCCATTTGGAAAAGAAAATGATTACAAGGTAAGAAAAGTTGAAATTTAGATTTGAATCATGTAAAATAAACAGAATGTCGCCACAATGGCCTATCTCACTTCTGAACAAGCGCTTGCCGATTATGCCCAACTGTTGATTTCTCTTAAAGGCGGGAATACAGCCGTAAGATAAAACATATAACTTTAAAAAGACAAGTTCTTTAGTATGCAGGCAAAACATTCAATAGCACGAATAAAGTTGTGCTTTTTTGGTGGATCTTATGGAGGAATGCTCGCCGCATGGTTCAGAATGAAATATCCTCACCTTGCTGTCGGGTTTGTTATATAAAAATGAAAAGAGAAAACTTCTCATAACTTCTTCCATTTCAGAGCGTGGGCCTCATCAGCGCCACTCAAATATTTCAATGAAGGAGGTGTCGATTGGGGAGCTTTTGATGATGTGACAACGCGCACTTTTATCGATTCTGGAGCCAGCTATAACAATGTGAAAAATGGATGGACTGCTTTGAGGAATCTTGCGAAGACAAGTATCAATAATGGAATTGATTTTAATCGTTTAAACTTTTAGCTGATGGACAAAAATTTCTCAATGATCTTTTTAATGTGACTGACAATTCGACAATCAAGGATTCGGCAAGCGGTTTGATTGTTGATTTTCAAAAGAGAGAATATGGTCATTGTTTGAGGTGAGAATTTGGTGGGATATGTGAGAGAAGCAATTGAATATATGGCCATGGTCGATTATCCATATGAAACCAATTTCCTCGAACCAATGCCTGGATTTCCCGTTAAAGTATGATCACTTATTTGTAAGTGAAAATCAACTTTCCAGGTCGCTTCACAATTTCTAAAAGATGAAGGAAATTGGACAGACAAAGAGCTTGCAATTATGCTTTTCAAAGTAACAAACATAAAGATTAAATATTGAAATCAAAAACAGGCCTCAAATATATACTACAATTATTACAATGACAGCTCTTATCAAGCTTGTCTTGATCCTGAGAAATGTGGAGATCCGGGCACATCAGAACTCGGAGATCCGCTTGGATGGCCTTGGCAGGTTTGGACTCTTTGAGCTCTTCAATTCATAAATACATCATACTTTATTTATAGGAATGCACAGAGATTGTTATTGAACAATGTGCTCGAAATAGCTCATTTTTCTTTGATGAATGTACTGATCGGCCATTGGAGCTTTTGTATCAAATGTGCAATGATACATTTGGAAAGTTTGTTTAAAGAAAAATTATTTAAATCTTTATTTTATTGAGGCTTGGATGGACGAGACCATTGATGCGATACAATGCAGTTAGAGATCTCTATGGACTTGATATCTCCGCTTACAGTAACATTATTCTCACGTATGTTGAACAAATAAAGAAAAGATATATTGACGTTTTTTTTCAGTCAAGGTCATCTTGACCCGTGGAGTGTTGGTGGATACAAAGCGGGCGATCCGGGAGTCAATGGACAAAATGGCATCTATGTGGTCGAAATTCCAGGTTTTTTTTGAGAAAGGAAACTCAAGACACATAAAATTCGTCAGGCTCAGCACATCATTTGGATCTTCGTACACCAAACACATGTGATGGAAATCCAACTCATAACCTTCGATTCCAAGTAGAACAAATCAATAATTGTTTAATATTCAAGAATTTCTATGTAGGCAGTAAATATCATCAAATGTTGGCTAACAGAAGGTTGTGTGAATCCGGTGTTGAAAGATTTACCACCATTGAATGATGTCACGACAGTCAAATGTGAAGATATGATCAACAAATATCCATGGGGACAATCGGATAATGGGCCAAGCGGTGATAAGGTATACTAGCTATTAATGAAATAATGAACTTTGTTAAAAATGATTCAGGGCTCATCGACGGCGAAATTTATGTTGGCGATGGCTTTCATGGCTTTCGTTCAAAGATTTCTTATTACTAAAAGCTAGTAGCAGTTAGTTTTTTGTTTCTAGTTTTCAATAAATATCGTTAATCGTTGATCACGTCATTAAACAAATAAAATGGTCGTATTTGTATTAAATATCTGAAGTTTACCAAAAGAAACAAAGCTTCAAATCAGCTCTCGCTAGGAAAAAGCACAGAAAAAGTATAAGTGAAAAAAAAACCCGTCATTATAATCAATGAAATAAAAAAATTCTAAAGTTTAAATATCATAAAGCACATTCCAAAATACACATTTATCTCAAAAATTTTTATGCTGCATCGGAGATTTCATTCGTGATGTTTTTTCTTTCATTCTAAAACTAAAAATTTTTTTCAACTTATAGCTTAATTATTTTCAGTTTATGATGCATACCTGTATTACTAGCATAGAAATTAAGACTAGCTTCGAGGGTTTCCATAGCTTCATCCCTGAAAATTACATTAAATTAACCAAAAACATTGCGGGAGACATACCAATCATCGATATGATTTGCGCTTGACGCTTGAGCCTCAATTGACTTCGCTAAAAGAAATCAAGTAAGTAAGAAAAGTAACCAAATATCTAAGCTTTGAGTTTAGCTACCTGTTGGCTGATTTCCTGTTGATAAAAAATTGGTTGAAATTGGCGGAAACTCTGAAATTTTTGAATGCTACACTGTGAAAGTTTTGTTAGAAAAGCTGACCATGCCGTTGGGTGATCGAAGGATGATGAGATGAAGAATTGTGGGTAATTCCTGATGGTGAGACTGGGAAACGAGGTGCACAATTGCTTCCATTACTTCTATAGTTTGCTGAAAACAATTCTTGAATGTTGGTATTCACAATTGGTATCAATTGCTTACATATTCCCTAAAACCAACTTTCATAATAATGTCCAGAGCTTGAAGGTGGCTGAAACGAAGGCGGATGTGTATTTGGTCGAGAAGGCCAATCGCCTCGATCTGAATAATTAAGTTTATTTAGTTTTTTTAAAAGTTAGACTTTTACTCACCGTAGCTATTAGTGGATTGCTCAAGCCGCATTTCACGGCGGACTCTCACTGCTGCATTGCCCTCGTCACGGTTCATTTGTGAGTCGGCATAAGAATCAAATCTGACATTATTCAGGTTATACTAAGATATTAAGATAGGTTATACTAAATACTAAGATTGAGACTAGTATCGCGCACCGATAATCATTCCGATTTTGAGGTCTCGTATTCGGTTGGTTATTCCAAGCATCACCACGATTCGCTCTACCTGCACATGTAAACAAATTATGTGAGAACAAGAATATCAAGAGGAAAAGCGAGCAAAAAGAAAAACTCTACCATATGAAATTGTTTCTGGCTCGATGTTGTTAGCTATTTGTGGTAAATCGGCTACTCTCGGTGCATTATCCCACGACGATGAACCACGAAAAGCTGGAGGCTGCAGATGAGATCCTCTTTGCATTGGTGGTGGACGAAGCACTGAAATTAAAATAAGACTTTTCGATCAGGTTTTTAAAAACAACCTATTCTACACTCATTTAAATATACTATAATATATCAAATGACACTTTAATTGACTAATATGCAATATCTCACCTGCATCATTCGGTTGCCCCATATCCATATGTAGGCGTCTATCCATTGGATATCTTTCATGATAAAAATCACATTCTCCAGAAAAACCAGGATGTGAACTCGAGTCAATATTACTAAATAAGGCTGATAACAAAAATAAAATAGCTTTTGACTTACGGATATCTATTTCCTGGGAAACCTTGTGAAGTGGATGGTGATTGATACATTGATCCTCTTTCACCGAAACGACGATCTGAAAGGAATACTCAAAAGTATTAAGTATAATTAAATATCATTATTTTTAAAAGTATCATTTGCTTGCAACAACTAACCAAAGGATTCTCTATTTCTTGGTGGCTGATTAGGGGGCTTTTTCAGTTGAGCATTTGGTAACGTGGGAGGAGAGCGATAATTTGGAGGTGGTAAAAAAAACGTAGAGCTCGATTGGGCTAAAATTAAATCACTATTATTTGATGTGTAATAATGAGACCCACCACCTGACCGAGATACGGTAGTTTGTTGGGTCGAAGTGCGTGCAGATGATGGATGTTCTTTTACCATTTCTTTCAGCAGCGGTTTCTTTGGCCAACTATCCAATTTTCGTGCACACGGCTCAACTCCAAGTCCATGTTGAGAATATTTGTCGGAGAATTCCACTAAACTATTTGTTTTAATTTCAACTTTAAATACAATAAAAATTCTTGGACTGTTTGTGGACGCAATTTGAGAATCAATCCGTCTAATGGATACTTCTCAAAACTTCCATTGAATTCAGAAAATTCAAGTATTTTTATCCATTTCCACGACAAAATTTAAACACCAGCAATTTTTTAGATGCTGCCCTCTTTGGGATATTCTTGGTCACAACTACCTCTGGGGAAAATGGAGTCTAAATTTTTTTTTAAAAGTTTTGAAAAAATCTTTTTTGGCCATTTCCTAGAGCTAAGTTCTTCCTGCTGAAAAATCATTAAATGAGATTGATATCTCGAAAACGAACGATTTTCAAGCAATTCTACGAAGAGCACCCGGCTCACGAAATTGACAAAATGACAAAAAAAGTTCTGTTGTTTCCCTGAAAGGTCCTCATCAAAAAATTATTTAGCATTAAATCTTGTTGTGTAAATAACTTTTATAGGGTGAAAATACTTGAATTTTCTGAATCCAATGTTAGTTTGCTAGTTATAAATATTAATTGGATCACTTCTAAAATGGCCACTCAAAAACAGTCCAAGAACTTTTGCGCCGCCCTGTATTTACCCGGTAATTTATAATCAGAACTAGAAAATAGAACTATCAATTACTCCAATAGGCTGCGTAAAAGAATGGAAATGAGAATGAGGTGAGACTAAATTTAACAAATTTTTAGTCTCATTTGTATAATTCATTTTGGAATACCTAGATATTCTCCATCTTCATAATCGTCAGCCCCAACATTGTTTGCTCGTGCTTGTGGCAAAGGCAGCGGAGGTGTTGCGATTCGTTGTCTTTTTGCATCATTCATACGACGAATCTCTAAAAAAATCGTGTTAATTGCAATAAAAAAAATCGTTTTGTAAAACTTATTCTTAGTTTTGTTTAGTTCAAAATACCTTTTCGTTCTTCTTCATTGCAGCTTCGAACAAACTGTGCATTATCCAGACCAGGGTTTTCCTGTGTTATTTCGGGAGACATTCTAGAGTAATCGGATTCTAAACTAAAAAAGTATGCTTCTGACGCTCACGTTTCTCCTTTTCGCATTTTACGTAGCCGTCTTGAAGCAAATGTGTCCTTACAATGTTCATCATCAAAGTCACTGCAAAAAAAAATTATGATAAAACAAAAATTCTTGCTCACAAGCTTTCCCATCCTTTTATTGCTAACGTATTCGCGACAGAAGTGACTTTTGAAAACTATCACTTGGGACCAATAAAGCTAAAGGCTTAAAACTTCGTTTTCAAAGGATTTCCGGGGGATTTAAGGGAACCAAATCCATCGTTAGTTTTGAATTCTGAAGTCACCAAGACTGCCATCACACACGTCAAAAACGTTATAAACTTGAATAATTAAGCCGAAATGGAGAGTTCTTATTAGAGGAGATGCTAGGGTATCTTTTGATACCAAAAGCATCAAAATCGGTCAACTATTAGGTTGTCCAATAAGTAATGCGTGTTACTTATTTCGAAACTATTGCGAAATCGCTTCGAGCAAATATATGCTCTTTTTAATCATCAGCATCTTGTGTTTATTTTTATATATTATTTTATTCATTTGCCTTTGTTTTATAATAGATATGTTGTTTTGCAGATGAAAGACAAAAAGTTTGTTGTCCGCGCATCAATGCTGTATGATTTCAAACGAGGTAAAACTGCAGCGGATTGCCATCGAACTATCTGTGCCGCATTTGGAGAGGATTCAATTTCAATCAGCCAGTGCCAGCGCTGGTTTAAACGATTATCGGACGGAAACGAGTCGTTAGAGGACGAGGAACGCGCTGGAAGGCTGGAATTTCTTCTCATCGAAACCAGCTTCATTCTATTATGACGGACTTCACTCTTTGCTCGGACGATGGAGAAATGTTGTTGATTGTTGTGGAGAATATATCGATTAATAAAGTTCTCTTTTGTTAATTTTGTGATATTTTGAAAATCGTGTCAAAACACGCATTACTTATTGGACAACCTAATAGAAAAAAGTTTCCTTGATGTCGAAGTTTAGGACTCCTCAAAATGGCCGAAACGCAGCATTCTATTTCGAGTATTTGGAGCTACTGTAGATCAAAACTAACGCCGGATTCGGAATCCCAACTCCCGAAAACCCTAGTCTGCAAATTTTCAGCCCAATTGGTTCACAAAAGCACCAAATATAGGGTGTGAGTCACCTGTGAGTTACTATATAACGGAAAATTTTTTTGGTCCCTTCCATTCCGTTATAGAGAGAGTCGACTGTATCTCACCTATCATGGTGATCATCAACCTCCATGATTGCCAAAACCTCAGCCGGAATCTTCGGGATAGCAACCTAAAACAATTTTTACCCAAAATACGATTTCATTACATACGGATGTTCTTAAATCCACTGGAATCCTAACGCCAGGCCAGATCAATCGGTTCGACGCAGTCACAACTGGATGCACCTGAAAGTTCATATTCGACTTTTATGCCATGTTTAGTTAATACCGAATTTATTTGGTTAAAATCAAAATATGTTGATGGGATCAATGGCATTGCAAACAATGGTCTGAAATTCTCGTCGGATTTGACCTATTATGTTGTGGCATACGGTGATCCTGTTCGAAACACGAGTTTAACTTCAGTTGGTTGTTGATTGTTGGGACGGGACACCGTTTCTTCGTCATCATCTACTGTAATAAGGGGCTAAAATTTTCTCCTTTTTCAAAATAATCTTTTTAAAATACCAGTGGAAAAGAAGCGTCTTGAGATAAATGAACCGTATTGTGTATGTTCTGAGTGATTGGCTGTTCGTTTCCCGATTCAAACATTTCCAACAACGATTGAACTCTTTGTGCTGAAAATGTTTGCTGTTTGCAATGGCTAACAATTGAGAAAATTTTGCCCACCTGCAATTGCTTGTGGATCTTGATGAAGAGCTGATGGTTGAGTAAACTAAATCAGAATTTGTCTAATTTTAAGATAAAAAGATATGAGAAATATTCGTCTAACCTCATTTCGAATTTCCTCATCGGAGTCTTCAGTAAATGTACACGGCACATCGGGTTTTGTCTCAAGATTGGATGAGCCTATAGAACTATTTCGTCTTGATATAATGAATGATTAATGCCAAAATGAGTCGAATACTAATATGCTCTTGGAAATGAATTCAAAGAAATATTCAATTTCTTTACGACAAACCTTCTCTTGTACTCTGTGCATTGATACTTTGAACGACCCGAAACGTGAAAGTTTCTTCCGACAAAGTTGCAGTATCGGGAACAGAGGCCAATGAGGAGGTATTATCCACCTGTAAGAATGCATTTTCAGGATTGAAACACAAAACATACCTGAGAAAGTGGTTGTCCTGGCTCACTGTCAGGATTCGATTTCACATTCGAAAGTCTGCAAGATTTTATAATCTGTTGAGTTTTGGAAAACGATCCGAATGTTCTGGGCTTTAACGTTTAACACATTCACGACGATACTGGTGGGCCGTATCTAATGGTTCTAATGACGATTATTTTTGGTGCAAACTCAAATTTTCAAGGACTTGTGTTATTCATTTCGCAAAAAGTTCTCGGCAACTTTGTATTAGTTTTCAAGAGAAAATTCAGGGCTATCGAATGAGCCATAATAGTTTAGTTTATCTTTGAAGGCTTATTAATTAAAGGTTAAAAGCCAGCCTCGTCATTGCCTTTGGCTTTAAAATTTTTGACTTCAAAAGCAAGTGCCAGTTTAAAGGATCAGCTGGGTCCTATAGCATGTATGTCTACCTCAGATCAGAAGCTTCGTCATTAGCCGGAGATGAATCCGAAACCAAAGTAGTTGCTACTGCAAACCGCACCGATTCATTCTCATTCAAAAACTCTAAATATATAATGATTAAGACACTTGAGACAACATCTTAAATACCTTTTGAATTTGGACAGGCAGAACCTTCAGAGATATCATTTGTCGTTGATTCCCGTGGCTCAATCTGTGGCGTTTGTTCTTCGCTATTTTGAATAGAAGATCGCATATCTTTAAAATTCTTCGCATATTATTCTTCAGGATAATAGTGCAAAGAAATTAATTTTACAGTGCAATAAACTCACTGTCAGAGGCTGATTGAACAAATTGCGAAATAACGGGCCGTGTAAGTATTGGAAGAGTCGTTGATTGATATGAAGTTTCATTGATTGGTTCTAAAAATGCAAATTTAAAAGAGGTGACTATAATATATTATGTAATGACAAACCAGGTTCCTCAATCTCCTGTTTCACACGTTGCGGGATGGTCGAAACAAGAGGGTTTTCTGAAAAATGGTGGCATAAAACATTAGTTGCAAAAAAGAAACCATTTTGTTCGGCTTGCTCTTCCTGAGACTTTATTGAATGAGGGGCTGGGTGTGAATTGTGTTCATCCATGCAGATTTCCATCTCCATATCATCTCCAGCATATTGGTTGATTGCTGTATCATTATTTACGGCTCCGAGCACAATTGGCACCGAAAAAGTCTCCTCCATGTATTCATCCTCATCAAGTTCTTCCGAAAATGTCGTCGTCATCTGAAATACATTTACTAGGTAATGACAAAAAGATTACAATGCAATGATCTAATCCTCGACATAGAAAATGAGGGGTACATTTTTGATGTTCCATAATAATAGAGGAAGGTTTTGGATTTGGTTCATTTGCAATTTGCATTTGCATTAATTTCACATAAAACAATCCAAAAAACGTAAATACTTTTTAGAGTGTACATATTTTTAACACCAACGATTCTGCCTACATAAACGCTATAAAAATTACACAAGCATTCAATAAAAAAAATGAAAGTTTAAACAAAAAAAGTCGGTGTATCCTTGCCACCAGAGTTTTCTTTGTTATAGAACTTATGTAGAACGATTCGACACGACATATAAATCGCGGCATTAACAAAGCAATACAAATTACGCTTGTATCCAATTGCAAGTATTTCGCTTTTGTTAAAGGCATCCCGTTGATTCGCATACCTGCTACATGTAAGCGGAAATGGAACAATTGACAATCAATTAAGTTTTGGTCTAGCAAGCCTAAAACAATTACACTTGCCAGCCGTTTTATTTGTAAGCAGTTAAAAGATGAATGATGTTTCACATTTTCCTTAAATTAATTTAAATAACAAACTTTGTATTATATTTATCGCAATAAATAAATCAACAACACAACATTCACAGTTGTACAAGGCTTAGTAATTAACAGTAGGTAATTAACATTGAGAATAAAAGATTTGAGCAACTAAAACAAAAACCTAAAGCAATACTAGAGCAATTATGCAGTTGAAGAATCCATTTCTTGTTTGTGCAATTTATTGACAAGCTGTTGCTTCTCCGCGTTGAAATAAGAGGAAAACCATTGAAGATGTTCTCTTTTCTTTGCAGCCGTCATGTATGGATTTTTGCTGAGACCCACACATACTAAAAATAAATATACAAAATTTTCTGTGTATAGCAACCACCAAAAGTTTATGTGCAAAATTTGTTACCCAATTCCATGAAATGTCCTATGGGTCCATCACGCGGAATCCCTAGCGTGGGTAAATGTCTTTCGAGGAAAACGTGATCAATAAACGAAACCTGAAACAACTCAATAAAAAGATAACAAGAAATTAAAAAATACCTTTTCTTCGTCCCCTAATAGATACTCATTGTCGATTGGATATGGCCATTGTTTTGCTTTTTGAGTCCATTCGATTTGCTCTTCAAATGCATTTCTCGGTCCCATCGGTTGGTTAGCAATTCTAAAATCCATTAAAAAATATCGAATAACATGAATAACTTTGCCGCGCGCAAATCACAATTCCGCCAAAATTCAAGTGAAACATCTTGAAGATTCTTAGTCGCATCAAAAACGCCAAGCTTCTCCGAAGAACCAAAAAATTTCGGTAACTAAAGTTAACAAATAAAGAAATAAATAGCAACTGCAATCGTCCTTACTTTAACGTCTGGATTGATTTTGTTCAAAGCTGTAGACGGCGTTTCATCCCGATATAGGATTTTCCTACACAAATATTTGATTATTCAAGCATTAAAATTCCTTACTCGGCCATTTGAAAAGCATAATTAAAAAGTTTTTGCTCTTTCTCATTTCTGCTCGACTCTTCGAGAAAACCTCGTTCTCTATCCTCTTTGACGGTTGCATAAGATCGTTCCCTAAGTAATAATTTTTGCAAGAAATATTTTGTTTAAACCTCTCCGTTGTCAGCTTTTCTTCTACCTCATTTACAGCTCTCTCGGCAAATTTGCTAGCTTCATCGGCGGAATATCCTTCCTAAACAAAAAGGCTAGCAATATATTTGCTATATAAACCTGTTTAGCTTGATAAAATATTTCTTTCCGCAACAAGAGCAATCCACGTTGTGCATTTCGTTCGGCTGCAAACCTAAATAATATGCCCATTTATTTTGTAAGATAAAAAATGTCATGTGATAACCAAATAGCAAGTCTTTTCATTTGAAAACTTGCACACCCGTAGCACAAATCTTTCTTTTAGCTTGGGAATCTTGTAAAAGGCATAAGAGCTTATTTACAGCACTCGTTCCACCAAGCATCTATTGATTTTTCTTTGTAGTGACATCAAAACAGATTTTGAAAATTTTAATTTTAAATTAATGAATAAAATAAATTATAACTATACCTATTCGGCAAACGTTTTGCTTTTTTAGCATCTGCAGCAACTTCCGAAAGTAAATTGACGACGTTTTTATCTGATTGCATCTCATCAAGGGAAGCCTCCGTTGCTTTCTTTAAATTTTAGTTAGGTCAATGTTTTTAAAAAAAATCTGACCTCAAAAGTCTCTTTTTCTATTCCTGTAAGTCGTGACAAAAGAGATCCGCGAACTCTGAAGTACATGTAAGTCAAGTCATATGCATTCAAATATCTACCTGATCCGTGTAGGTTTATCTTCTTTGGGAATACTGCTAACAATGTTATCAACGGCATTCAACAACTTTTCATCCACGACATTCTTGTTGGAAGCAGGTTTCGGCTCCTACAAATTCAATATGGTAACAAAATAAAAATAAAAAGACCTTTGGCTCCTTCCCGTCGGCCCCTGAACACAACAGCCGGCTACTAATAGCCTGCTCTAGGTTTCCTAGTGAAAGAAAACCTGAACGCTGTAAACGCCGGAGCATTCCTATAAATTACAAAATCAAGAAGTCAATGTTTCATTTTAAATAAAGTTAAGCCCATAGATAAAACTCGTGTGCATTTTTGGCAAATGGCAGCGAATGTTTATTGTTGCAGAGTATTCATAAAAAGCCGAGCCGAATTTAATTCCAATAAAACTACGGAAGCCGGATAAATCATAGAACAAGCACAAATTTAGATCACAAATGAACAGAACAAGCTACAACTACAAGAAAACTAAGATATGCTAAAGTAAATCGAAGTTTAGCCCGAGACGAATTTCACGCCCTTTGCAATGTTCTTGTTTAGCTCAGGGACCGAGGCATCGATGAGTTTTTGTTCAAAAGGAGTAACCTATAAAAAATAAAATATCTTGATACTTTAAATCAAATATTAGCTATTATACAATTAGCGTACCTTTCCGACTCCAAGGATTTTCTCTACACCATTCGGTCCAAGCTCCAAAGGCGTCGAAAAGAAATTGACTCCTTTCACAGCCTCAGATTCAACGTAAGCACATTGTACAACCTGAGATAACGATTAACCCTTGAATAAACACATTAAGTAGTAACCTTCTCGCCTTTGAGAGCTCGCAAAAGTGAGTTTGCAAAACGAGCTCCTGCAAGGGCCATTGATAATGTTGCAGATCCCTATAACCAAGATTTTTACGAAATCAGAATGCAAACAAACCGCGCCAGCCTTAGCGTTAACAACTTCAGTGCCAGCATCTTGAATCCTTGGGGTGAGCTTCTCGATCTCCGGCTGGGTGAAGGAAACTTTTGGCGATGTTTGACTGAGAAGAGGGATGATTGTGATGCCTGCATGCCCACCAACAACAGGAACAACAGTCTTTGAAGCATCCGTTCCCTAAATTGCCAAATAATGTTTTTCAGCAAAGAACCAAACCTTCAAATCTGAGACAAAAGCTTGCGAGCGAACAACGTCGAGAGTGGTGACACCGAAAATCCGACGCTTATCATAAGATCCAGCCTTCTTGAACACTTCAACAGCAATTGGGACAGTTGAATTGACCGGATTGGTGATAATTGCCACAAGGGCCTAAATCAGAACGATGAATAAACCAAATTGTGTCAATAACCTTTGGTGCAACTTTTGCGATCGTTTGGCATAAATCACGAACAATTCCTGCGTTTGTGTTGAAAAGATCATCTCGGGTCATTCCTTAACATGAACTTTGCGCTCCAACGAGTTTATTCGCATACCTGGTTTGCGAGGGACGCCCGCAGGAATAACAATCACATCAGCTCCTTCAACCGCAGCGGCAAGTTCAGCAGGGCCAGTGTGAGCACTAACTTTGGCGTTGGAGTCGATGTGTGAAAGATCGGCGGCCACTCCGGGAGTGTTGACCACATCGTAGAGAGAAAGGTGCGCGATGAGTGGATCTTGCTTGAGAAGAAGTCCTAGCGGTTGTCCAATGCCCCCCGATGCGCCAAGAACAGCAACCTAAAGTTTGATGAAAACAAACAAAACGAAAATTGCTACTTTGGGTTTTGAGCTGGAGTTTCGAACAGCCACAAGGCGAAGGCTCGCTGACATCACGGATCCAGCAGACTTGACTGGGAGCGCCATTTGTTACCTAAATATTAAGATCAAATTCAATTCAATGGCGCAGTTAATACGTATTTCTTAGAAAAACAAGAAGCAGAAGGAGTTGTACTAATGCCAATTAAGAGGTGAACAAATCTTTTCTCTGACATTTTGAGCACAATATGAACTGACTACGGTAACAATAGCGAGTTTTTTATGTTCACTCTGAAAGTTTGAGCGTAGGGAGGAAAAAGCAATTCAACAACTGGGTAGTCGGTAAGAAGGCTATTTTGCTTGTTAGGCATCTGGTTAAAGTTTAAAGTGCTGAGAATAACAGACTAAGGGATTGAATTTGATCAATTTTTGAGGGGTTTCAGATCGCCCTCTATATTCAAAGGATTGAGGGAATCTTGTTACCAAAGCCGGTAAAGCAAATAAATGAAAAGGGATATGGCAAAAAGATTTGCATGCGCGAAATCAGTAGCTAATCCAAACTGTGGAAACAAAAAAGGTTGAATTGTGCTCGCAAAACGCAGGCAGTTTCTATCGAGCACAAAGGGGAGACAAAAAGCGCACATTTTTAAGTGATGGAACCAACTTTTTTTCAGTTTTCTGCTTCACAATTTTAGATCTCACTGTTTTCAATTAGAAAAACACGTTTAAATGCCTATACAGACCCGAAAAACAGTAATTTTTGTGTTCCCGTTTGGGTTTTTTTACTCTCTATATCGGTCTTATGCCATTTTCAGATTCGGTGAAGGCGGCAAAAAAGCGAGCATCGTCGACAAGGAAAAACTGAAAAAAAATATAAATGGTCAATCAGAGTTGGTAGGAAGGTGTGTTAAAAAGCGCAAATTTGGCACAAATGATACAGTACCGAGCAAAAGTCTTGCAACATTACTTTTTCAAAAAAATCGATGAAATTTTTTTATAGAAAATGCCACCCGTTCGTAGGGCTTTTTTATTTTTAATTAGAATAATACATGTACACTTTATTTACAAAAACAAATTTGAAGTTCAGCGCAAAACAAAAAAGTAAATGACATAACTACTAAAAAATACCCTAAAAATTGGGTGCAAAAGTCTTGCAACATTATACAGAAACATCAAAAATTAATATTCAATCGGTTCACCTTTTGCCAAAATCACTTCATTAAGTCGTTTAGGCATTGAGTCGACTAATTCGTGAAGACTTGCTGGGCGAATTGAGCTCCAAACTTTTCGTATGTAGAACCATAAGTCAACTTTTGTGTGAAAGTCTTTTCCTCGTAACTTTGCCTTCACGTAAGCCCATAAATCCTCAATAACGTTTAAATCAGGCGACATAGGGGGCACCTTGACCAACAAAACATTATTAAGGGCAAACCATCCAGGGAGATGAGCTTTTCCTCCATTTGAGAGATTCACCGTGCGACCCATCATGAGCTTGCTCTTGTGGACCGGCGAATTGTCCTGGTAGAGAAACCATTCAGGACCCATGTGATCCTGAGCAAATGGAAGTAGACATCCTTCTAGTATTTCCATATACTGGCGAGCATTCATGGTTGACTGGACGAGGACGAGCGGACCTGCCACATTTTTTGTCATCGCCCCTAGAAAAAGACAAATTAATGCATGTATTAGAAATAAGGCTTACCAAAACACATGATTTTTTTGAAAAAGTGATGTTGCAAGACTTTTGCTCGGTATTGTACGTGGCGCAAATAATTTGGCGCTTTTGCTAGCACCCCCAAGCACAAACCACAAAACGATTTCGTGTCGCTGTCTCGTCTCTTTGAGAGGTAAATTAAAACTTTTATGCAAATCAACTTACTGTCGAGGAGAGAAAATCGCAAATTTTTTTGCGCAATTATGGTTTTTTTTTTGAAACCCCACTCAGCAATTTTCCGAATGTTTTCCAGAAAGTTAGACTCCCTAATTCGCTGATACGCTGATTCCAAACAATCTGGTTTCACTGTTTCAATATGGGAATCCGAATTACAAGAAAAATTTCACTTTACAATGAAAAATGTTCAATTAGGCAACATTTTTGTATGACAAAATTTTGGGAAAAACTATGCTAACAATAAGCTATACAACGGATACCGTATTTCGGCGCCATAAGATTTTTCAATCTCCTCCGTGCCCACAATACTATTCGAGAGAAAACCGTGGTACCTTTTCTCATAAATTTCAGTTTACGGTAATCGACTATTTTCTGTGTTACCAACCCGCGACAGTTCTGCATTTTCTCGGGCTACGAGCTTCCTCTTTTGCGTTGCGTGGCGTTGAGAGCAATTCCGTACATTTTCTTCGCCCTGCTTGTCTTTTAAGCATACCTACCTAGATTCAAAGTGACTATCTTTATGAACATGCGTTTTTTTTCATAAATGCCTTTCATAAAACTTCTTTATTATAATTTTAACAGAAGAAAATAAACGCTGTGTCGGTCATTAAATTTTGTTAAGGAAGAAACAAAAGCTTACGCTTTTACAATTTCAAATTGGCACCTTTAAAGCAAAACTATCAATGAAGTTCTATGAAACAGATCGTATTTTATTTATGAGCCTTAACACTTATCACCGTCGCACCATTTGGAGATTGGAGCATCAAGGTCATCATACATATGTAAAAAGAAAAACGAGGAAACTTCGAATACAAAAAGATATTGTGATTTGATTATGAGTGAGCTCATTCGCGATCAGGGAACGGGCCAGCAAGCACTTTTCGGATAAAAGCTATAAAGTTTCTTTAAAATTGGTATGATTGAGAAATGCATACCTTCATAGTTAACCATTCCCTCACCATCTTCAGTTCCCTTCATGATCTCGTCAACTTGATCCTGAAAATTTGTGTCCAACTTCTTTCATCTTTTAATTTTCACCTTGCTGAGTCTCTCACCGATTCCGAGAAGAACGTGTCTTAATTCAGCCGCCATGATCTAAAGATTTTCTTGGATTTATCGCTAGTTTTTAAAAACCTTTCCGCATTCTTCCTTGTCGAACACCTTGAGTCCCTCAAGAAAATCAGCAAAAGTTCCTTGCTCCTAAACTTGTTAATTTGTTTCGTTGCAATTCCTAAGACAGAAGAGTGATGCAGTGGGATCAAGAAGTATTCTCAAGTGGGGTTCTCGAAAATAAGAAGTTGTCTACCCAAGTCAAAAAAACAGAAACTATGAGAAAAGAGAGAGGGAAGAAAAGATTCTGTGAGGAAGGTGCGGGAGCTAACGTGTGCTCGGTGCTAAATCTCCTCATTCAGCTATTATTTATCTAGCACACACAACGTGAATCCCGTCTTTCGGCATCACAAATTCCCGTTTATCAATTATTGATAAATTCTAGCTATGAGATAGCAAACCTTCTCCTTGGCGAGTTGCTCATAGATTGGAAGGAATTCCTCGAAAGTGAGTCTCTTCTCACCTTTCTTCTTGTACTCCTTGCCTGAGGCCTTTAACCAATTTCTTATATTTTTTTCAAAGTTTCACTCCACCTTGGCCACCATAGTGTTTGTTGGCTTTAGTCCTGCAGCACGAACAACATCACCGATCTGAGTGCCATCAATCTTTCCATCAAGTTCCTCATCATACAAATTGAAGATCTCTTTTAGTTCATCTAAACTCATTTTCACCCATGCACTACTTTATCGTTTTACCTGGCTTGACGGCTGGCATTTCTACAGGTACTCGCCTAAAACCCTAGGGGACACTGCCTAAATGAATGAATATTTAGAAAAGAGTATGCTCGACAAGAAACGATTGACCAAAAAGCTATAAAAAGCTATAAAGTTATATATAAGCAACTCAAAGGGAGTAGATGGTAAATGGTAAACGATGAATGTAAGAAAGAGAAGCAACGAAATGAAGTATCTGGATAAGAAGGAAAAGGGGGACGGGACCAAGGAGGTGAGGGGGGAGAAGAAATCTCGAGATGGCTGAAAGTAAATAGAGACAACGGCGATGCCAAGGCAAGAAATCCCTTCAATCCGAAAGATTTCGCGTCCCTTCTCAACCACTCAATCCCTATACTACAAAGCAAAAAGTCGATTCATTGAGGGAAAAGTAATGGTTCGATCGAGTATGGAAACCTTTGTAAGAGCTTTACGCTACTAATCTAGTGGTAAATGCGAATGACAAAAGTCTTTATACACTTATTTACTTCCAAAATCGGAAATTCATGTCCTTAAATGAGAGTTAACAGTTTTAATGCAAAAGCTTTCAACTTGTATTTACTTCATTGTGAAACAATCGCTTATGTAGTTTTATTTATTAAAAATAACGAAACCTAAATCATCTAAAAAGGATTATTAAAGAAAAGTTTTTATAGTTAATGGCAAATAAAAGTGTGATGATACAGATTCTTTTTGAAGCAAAGTGATCTGAAAATACAAAAGTGTAGTCAATGAAAGTCATCAATTGATAAGAGGTGAAGATCGACAAGTATAAGCTGTACTTATACAACCAGATGAAGGCACGAGAAGATGGACAGAAGTTGAGTTAACGGAAGCAAGTGATTCAAATGAAAGAAGAAATGGATGAATGAATGGATGGAAGGTAAAGCTGAAGGGGTGGGACCCATCCATCCCCTTTAGTTTTACCCACCCCCTTCCTTTCCCCTTCCCTATCGTCTTCTCTTTTTTTCTTTTATCCCATCCTCTTCAATCTCTTCTTTTTTCATACAGTCCATCTTTTGTTTGACCACTTGAGATGCTGTAACAACGACGGCAACTTTGCGCGCTTCATGCTTTTTCTCATCTTTTTGCAACCTGTTGATTTTCTTTTCATTTGAAAAAGAACGAAAAATACAAAGGAGCTGAAATGTAAGCAAAATCTTGGTTTTATTTGAATCTTAATCAATTCTATAGATTATTTGAATTTTGTTCGTGGTAACTAAGCGAGTTTCTATGCAATTAAAATGAGGAATAACTTTATGAAGATCCTTACATCAGTTGTTAACGTATCAAAGAAGGAATAGAAATAAGGAATTTTACTAATTGATGTGTTGATCAATTTCTAATGTTACTCAAACACTTTAACAAATAAACAGTAAGATCAAGAACATTGATAGCAAGTGTAATTCTTCTTTTAGAAACAAATTCTTTTAAATTCAAACTAAGCGATCGATGAATGGTAACTTCACGAGAGTTTAACTGTTTGGCTATTTTTTTGGATTTTTTTCTATTAATTTCTTGAATAAGAAATTGTTGTAAGAAGCTCAATAAAGAAATGGAATCAGTGACTATTCTTAGAACCATTGACTACCGGGTTATGGTAACTTTTTCTTAATTGTAAGGGGACGATTGACGGAGAAAAGGATTCATCAACATTGACCCAAAGATTGCTTTATTCATACATCTTTGAACAATTCTCAAATTGTTAAATTGCCATTTAAACTTTTAAAAAACAGAAAAAAGAAAATGGCCGAAGATTTTCTGGGAAACGGAGAGGAGAAAGCGAAGAGTGGATGAGGTTTGCTGAGTAAACGGATGGGACCACAGAAGATGCGTGGGTGCTTACCTCTACCCAGAGATATCCCTTGATCCATCTAAAAGACTCAAAGAAACTCTCTGTCAATTCGAAAAAAAGAACTCAGCCAATCAGACACCGTTTTCTTTCTCGTTTTCACAGACAATCTCTCGTTTCAAACAAAACGTTTGTAAGCTGTGCTTATAGTTCGAATAGTTTATTACATAAATTTCAAAGAATGACATCACAAGGGTGTATTGCAATATAAAATCAATGTCGAAAAGATGAAAATGACCTGAACAAAAGAAGGAAAATGAAAAATGCAAGGAAAACTTTTAACTGAATGATTTGAAAAGAATTCATTGAAATCAATCAGATGAAAGCTTCGAAGCGGCAGCACAAGCACATAAGAGAGAATGGTAAACCCGTCGATGTGATTAGAGCATCTCATCGGTTCACACAAAAAAAAAAATTCTTGCTTTATCAATATTTCTTTCAGCTTTGTTAGGTAATTTGTTTTGAATTATGAAAAATGAATTGGTAAAGCTTCGTTGAAGAAAAAAGTTGACTCATAATCTTTTCCTAAATCTCTTATTTTAATAATTTAAATAAATAATGGATATTTTGCATACTTCCGGGAGTGGGACAAATGCGACCTTTTTTTTGCGCACCCGGACATTTGCGCAACTTTTTTTCCGCACCTTGCCCATTAGCGCACCTTTTTCGCGTTTTAAAAAGGCTCTAAAAAGCTAATATTAACCAATTTCTATTCCAAAAGTTGTTTTTCTAGGTAATTTTAGGGCGTAGAATCGAAATTTTGACATATCAGAGCTTGTGGAAACAAACGGACGGAGTTATACAAAGAGAAAAATCGACAATTTTCTGTAATTTGATCTAGCCGTTTTGTCTTTCAAATTGGTTCCACACGCTCTGTTATGTCAAAATTTGAATTCGACAAACTCAAATTACCTAGAAAAACAACTTTTGGAGTAGAAATTAGTTAATATTAGCTTTTTAAAGCTTTTTAAAACGCGAAAAAATGTGCGCAAATGTCCGGGTGCGCAAAAAAAGGTAGCATTTGTCCCACTCCTATACTTCCTATTAAAAAAATGAGCAATGGACGATAACCAAAAGGATAAAACAGGCAAAAAAGAAATCACTCACTCTATGGAAAGTCGAAGAACATTGGGTTCACCCGAAAGTTATCTCTCATTGTCAGAATGGTTTTTTTTCGAGCTTCAACCTTTATCTTACAATTGATTACTTTTCAACATTTAACCAAAGCCGTTCAATTCAATGTTTTCAATATAATTAAAAACCTCAGACGAAGCTAATGCTCTTATTATTAGTGAATGAGTGGATTTCGTTGAGGTACATCTTTAAAAAAAAAGTCGAAACATATTAGGCTCGATGAAAATCTCCTTTAAAGATACGCGTTAGTGTTCTTTTAAATTGCTGATTGGCCATCGCATAACAAAAAGGATTGATCGGTGAGTTCATATAACATAAATAGTAGGAGATCGAGTAGAACAAGTTGAATGTCGGATAGTCCCCACACGTTTGACAAAAACCGCTGATCTAAACTTTTTTTTATTTGTTGATAACAATAGTAGTTTTTTTTCTCAAGCCCTACTTTATAACCAAATCTTCTTAGGTTGTATCTCTTGAACTTATAATTAGCTATTATGGAACTAGAAGATCTAGAAGGGAAAAGCAAGAGATTCTAACTAGAAGTGCAGAGGCGGTCTTGTTTGATTGAGGTACTTAGAATTGCGTGGGCACATAAGAAAGAAAAAAAAGATGAAAGAAAAGAGAAAAAAGGATTTGAACCCTTACACTGTTGCTTTCTCGATGAAGGCCACCCAGAAGCGAGTGAGAGACCTCCCAGAACCACCCATAACGACTACCGCACCCCCTTTCCCTTCTGTTTTCTCGATCTTTCCATTCCTTTCCCATTCCTTTTCTCCATCTTTATTCTCTTCTCTTTCCCGATCACTATGCATACATCATCAAAAATGTAATTTCAAATTTTTTAGTTCAATTTCAAGGAATTTTCGACTTACCGTAGCTAACAAAAAAGAATGGAGTCCAGAGTAAAGTGAAAGCACCCAAAATGACTGTGATAGTGCGAAGGGCTTTTCGAGCTCGATTTTCACTTTTCGATTTATAATGATGACCCTAAAGATTCATTTTGTTCTTTGTAATCTTTTTTTCTATTATTACCTTCTTTTTTGCGTACAGAACGTGAACGAACTGCAGATAGAAGACGTCTCATGCGACTTCCTGTCGATTTCACACTTTCGACCCGTGAAACAGCAATCAAAGGCACAATCACCTAGATTTTTATTTTTTTGTTACTATTATTGAAATAGATTGAGGCTGATTTTTAATTTCAAAAATATCATTCAAATTTAACTTAACGTTAATCCCATCTTTTATTTTCAGTTCATCATTCATTGTCTACTCCTTTTTTTGATCACAGCAGGATAGTTTGGAAATGAGTAAGCGCAAGAGAGAAAAGAAAAATAAAACACAAAACGCAAGCGTTTGCATTAGAAGTTCATCGTTTTAAAGCAAAGATAGTGAAAGAAGCTTACAATTAGAAGTGTAAAATAAAAATTAGAATAATAAAAAAAGAATGCTTTTTGGTGATACCTGATCATCAATGTCAATGCGAGGAGTTTCTGTAGTGGAGAGAGTACCATGAAGAGCCATCGAATTTGAGCCTCTTGACTGAAATAACCACAAAACTCACTAACAAATCAAAAAAAAAAAATGAATTGAAAAGACCATCATCTATTCGTAATTTTTTTGAGAACTGGAGACAATGACAGTAACGAAAAATTACTGACAAAAAAAATACTGACAACTAACACCGACAACTGACACTAAAACTACTGACAGACAAAAGCGAAAGATATTTTCGACAGCCACTTTTAGATCAAAGCGGCACAGCACACGAAACAATTATAGAAAACAATCATAAAGGTTAAAAACGGTATTCTAAAGTGTTTAAATCATACCGTAACAGTTCTTGATGGTTGTCTTTCAATGAGTTCATTTCCTTCTCTTTCTGTACTTTCTCCATTTCCACTGTCACGCTCATCATCTTTGCTTTCCTAAACAAAGTAGACACCATATTTTGTCTAAATGATATCGATAAGGTTTTGTCAAGAGTTTCTACCCATTTAACATGCTGAGAAAAGTTTTGTTTTAGGCTTTTTTTCATTAGAACATCATGCAAATTAGTCTCCACATAAAAAGTTGAAAGTTGCTTTTGAAAACAAGTCTCTTGTTGATTGAAGAGCTTTGTATGAACCTCTAAAAAGCTCACTTCATAATGAACTTTCCATTATTCATGCTTAATTTCATTTCTACCGATTTCTCCTCATCTTCTTGCTTTTCCAAAATGACTGTTTCTTTTCGGAAAACACTTCCATTTCTTCTCAAATCATCAGTTCCAACTAACGACGAAAGGCTGTCTGCATCGATGAATGGAAACTAAAATGGAATCATTTGTATTCTTTGTTGCTGTATCTTTTTTTTACTCTTATATCCGGTTTAAATTCAAGTGTTGGTAATGGCTCAACGTCGGGATCTGAAGTCTCTGGACTCACACAAGGTGCTGTGCTTTCTCTTTCTAAATTTAAGTTTTCTTGTACTTTCAAAAGATCGAAATCAAAGCATTTACCGATAACTGAAGATAGTTCTTGTCTGTACACACTTCTATATGTCGGTGTACTCTTTTCTCTTTTTTCTTTTTCTCTCGTTACCCGCTCGGGTCGATCAGAGCTAAAGTTTGACAATTTATTGCTTTTCATTTTTTTAAAACCAAAAAGTCTTACCTGTATCCAGGATTTGTGTATTCAGCAGGCGCACTTTTTGTTTGTTGCAAATTGTTGCAATGATTGGTCAAATGATTTGGTGTTGCCACAGAGATCTGAACTCTTTGTGTTAGAGATTTTCAAACTCTAAAAAAACCTTATTTATTGCTACGACTTTTTGTAGATTGAGTCTTGCTGGAGCCGATGATTTCTTTTCATTCGAATTTGATAAAGTCGGTCTCGTTGATGGTCTTGATGGCCTTCTAAACATTTCCTCATTGTTTACATACATGTGATCTTTAATGGCTGTGAAAAATAAGCTATAAGTTTTATTTAAAAGATCTTATACACCTATGTTTAGGAGACAATCCCCAAAAGTTGAGCAACAAGTGCAATATTCAGAAAGGAAAGGGGGGGGGGATTGGGTCAAGAAAAGTTTCTTGCCTTCACGTCGGGCGATGATTGAATTTTGGGCCAAAAATTCCGAAAGAACCACACCCTGGGACCACAATTTTAGCCCTCAACCCTTTTTTTTCTTTTTGTTGTCTTGAAATAACTTTCCTTTTGAAAACAAACAAATCTCAGTTTGTTCTAGTATTCAATATAACATCAGTCATCTAACCAAAAAAGTCATTCCACACAAAAAGTCCTCGTTTATCTCGATAAATAATCAAATTTGAGATTTGAGCCGCTGTTTTGCCGGCAGAGTTGAGAGATTTGCTAAGGATGGAAAAGAGACGTCAGAAATGAAGTTAAGGGTTGAGGTTAGAGAGGGAAAAGGGGAGGGGTGATGTCTCAAGAGGAGAGGGGGGGAGTCTCCGCATCCCGGGCATCTCATTTTCAAGAGGATTCAAAACTCCCTAAAAGTCGCCCCTTGACAAATCACAAGCCGGGTGCTGATGGTCATACCCTTGGGATCAGGAAAAAAACCCGTTCAAGAAACGAATTCCCCTTGTTGATCGATGCTCACAGTAAATCTTTTTCGTATCCATTCATCATTACAATGCTTTGATCGGAGAAGTGATAGAAAATGACTCAATCAATAATGTAAAATAGAATGGGTACAAATGAAATGTACACTTTATATCTATTATTGATATAAAGTGATGGTTATTATTGGTTTACTTAAAAGCTACCTATTATTGATATTTGATCGTTGACTATCAGATGTGTCTTGTGGACTGTCCGAGCTTGTCCTTCCCGCATCACTTGTTCTCAATGAAAGCGTTTCCGGTCTTTGTGGTCGACGCATTTGTGACAGTAAAGCCAATCTTTTTGTTTTCTAAAATATTATAAAAAAGATTTGATTCAAGCTTCACGATTTCCCACCTGATCACTCTTATCGGCTAATTTTTTCGCAGCTCGATAAATCCCCCAATAAAGATAGAGCATAACAAAAAGAGTGCTCCAATAGTAAGAAATGTACATACCCATATTTAAATATGGATCAGTCATAAACTAAAATTTAATCTATATAATGGGAAAATAATTTGAACACCCAACAGGCACTTCACATTTATCGTCGCCTATTCGAACTTTTCCGGTGATTGTTTCATATCCAAAAATCGAAACAGTGAACAAAGTACAAGGGACCTGAAGAAAAATATAGTTAACAAGTAAGATTTTACTTTAGAAATGTTTGATTTATAAAGAAACTCACCACCCAAACAGCGATAATGATGAGTATCACTCGTTTTGATGTTCTCCAATTTCGGTAAGTTGCTGGCATCTTTACTGAGCAATATCTGCCATTCGATGTTTATTTTGCAAAAACAAAAAAAAACAATTTTTGTTTACCTGTCTACCGTAATTCCTAGTACTGTATATATTGAGGCAAGGCAAACCGTGTAATCAATAACTAGCCTAAACAGAAACTATTCAATAAAAAGACGTATATCTTTTGCGCACCATAGGTCACATAAAAACGGGCCCCAATACCACTTGTTGTCGTTGAGAAAGAAATACGTGTAGACTGGGATTCCTTCCAAACCGATCATCTAAAAAAATGAATCCCTTTTTTCTTTGATCTTTTCTTTGTAATCTTTCCACAAACTTGACTCTATTTAATTTGATAAAAGTACTATTTGCAAGTAAAACTTTCAGAGTAAGAAAGCAGGGTGACCTCATATTGAAGGGGAAAAAAGGGGGGCTCAAAAAGGAATCTTGAGGGGGGGTGAATTGAAAAAGAAGAAGAAGAAGAAGGAGATGAGAATGAGATGAGGCATGGAGAGAGTTAAGCAGTAAAAAAGGAGAGAGATGTGGGGATGAAGGCGAATGGCGATGGCGAGAGTTGAGAAGTCCACGACCTCTTCAAACTCTCTTTTTTTTCTCACCCTAAAACCTGGAAAAATGCCCAAAGGGACTGGGTTTTCCTTTAAATCCTGCAATCGGGAAGAAGAGTGATGAATTTGTTTCTCTGTGCCAACCTCGCCTAAAGGCTCGAACGCTTTTTTTTCTTTCTGGAATATAGATTTTCTATTTGTACTAGACAGTGTATTCCTTTTAAAAAAAGGAAAGGTGTTAAGGAAGAAAAGACCAAGATCTGTGGTGAGGATTTCAACGAGTCTTCTCAAAAAAAGACGAATCACTCCCTGGAGACCTTTACACCCACGTATTGACATTCGACATTCGAGAAATTTTCCTTTTAAAATTCATTTCTGACCCTTGCAAGTGCCTGCCCTTTTGCCAATCTTAAAACTATTAAAAAATTTGTTTGGTAACGTTTTGCAAAGAGAAGGTGGTGCGGTGTGAAGTGAAAAGAAGGGCCTCATTCAGTATGTATGTGAAGGAGTGAGCTCAAAGTCGATTCCGTCGTCGATACTTTGATGTCTTTTCCATTGCCTTTCATTTGACTCAAAGTTTCTATGTATTTCGAGTGAAGTAGCTATGAGAAGAAGAAGAAGAAGAAAAAAGAACAAATGGTGAGGTTCATAAAGAGAGAGAAGAGCTGTCAACACGAGTCATATCTGATCGTTTCCCTCTCATATCCCTTGAATGCTTCGAGAGCCCTTTCACATCCGGTGTGACGCCATCTCTACTACAAATAACTCTATGGATAGGGGAAAGTACCAGTGAAGAAGATTTTCTGTGAGCAGTCGTCATTCGGATGAAAAAGCTTCATAAAAACTTATGTGTCCAATATTGCTCAAAAATTTCATTTAACAAAGACGAACTCTGTTTTGTTATTTTGTTTTGTTTGGTCTTTAATCTTTGTTATTTTAAAATCTTTTGGTTTTTGTTATTAAAAAAATAAATAAGTGCACCTAGCAGAGTTTTCAAGCATTTCTTTAAGGAATTTGCTTAAAATCTGGGCAAAATAAGATAGACATGATTGGCCACATAAAAGAATCTCGCGAGGAAAGCATCATCAGCGAGATTATCCAAAAACACATCAAAGATTCTAATTGTTAAAGCTCTTTGTTTTTTTTTGATTACTTGAAGATTATAAAATAGGTTTTTCATTTCCAGCTTTGTCTTTACCAGAAAAACTTTCATCCTTGGTCCCTCCATATTTTTGCAATTATTTCAGGTAGGTTCGAAAAGTGAAACTTGAATGTTTTTCACGAAAGGTGCCTTCTCGATCTTGGAAAGCCGAGATTTAGCGAGAAGGTCCGTGAGAGAGAAGAAGAAAAGTTGCCTTAGAGGGCCCTCTTGCCCGTGGAGTTCAAGTCCCCAGTGGGTCATTAGATTGAGGCGGCCGAGCGCGGCGAATAGGCCAAGCACCTCGGGCCAGATTGAGCCCGTCCCCTCCCCACCATCCCCTCCACCCCACCCCTCCCCTCACTCCTGAAGGACTCTCTTCGAGTCTCCCGATCTCTCGATTTCTTTTCATTCGTGCCTTTCGTCGAAATCGCACACTAATCTCGAAACTGACGTCGCATTCCTTGGAATATGGGAATGAATTCATTCCTTAAGTCACTTTTTTTTGCATAAATCAGCGCTCAAAGGGTTGAGCGAAAACTTTTGAGAAATCCTTTAAAGCACAAACGTTTCTCCTTCAAGTGCAAGGGTCATTTTGTTTGACAATGAAGAAAAAGGGACACAAAAAAAAAGAAAGGTGAGGGAGGACTTGAAGCAATCAAGTGCTTGTCTCTACTCGCAAACGAAGCACCTCCCCCAAAATAGGTGAAAAGCTGAAATAAACGGCATTCTGCTTAAAGGGGCAATCACATTGAAAGCTCACAAGAAAGAAAAAAAAGAAAGTAAACGGAAGAGAAAAGGGAAGAAAGAAAGAAGAGAAGTGTGAAAAGGGGGACGCAGTGAGTGTGAGTGAGTGTGAGCATGAATTGTTTGCCCAAAACATCATGAAAAATCATAGAAGACCACCTAGAAGAAGTCAACCACTAGGTTGCCTCTTTGACTTTTAAAATTTTAGATTTCAAATTAGAAACATTCAGCGTCAATTTCTTCTCGTATATGATTCAATCAAGTTTTTTTTCTTGTTTTTTCCCTTTTTCTTCAAAATGAAATGTATCGGGCGTTTCATCTGACTACCCAACGAGAAGATTGGAATGGTTGGAAGAATAGCAAAATTGATAGAAAGACTCTCCATTTTCACTTCGTTCATCCATTCCCAGAAAGACTTGGATGTGGTTGTGAAATATGCTCACTCACACACACATAGCGCATCATAAATTCAATTTTCACTCCTACGGAACTCGCCCATCCCACTCACATCCTAGGTGGGCTCTCGTGCAGCACAAGGTGCAACCCTTTTCTGAGAAAATTTTGCTAACTTGTGTGCTGAAAGGCTTCTAGTCAAGAGTAAAACTCAAAACACAATCAGAAAATTGTCAATTTTTCATTTCAAAGTAAGCAAAAATATAAACAGAATGCTTTTCATTAATAAATGAACATAGGTCTAATATCAAGATTAAGGTCTAATTTTTTTATTTCGTTGATAGCACTCATCTCTTCAAATATTCAAATGAGCCCACTTAGAAAAGAAGTGGATCCCCTTTCTTCTACTAGATAACCTTTTTCGAATAGAAGGCAAGATGGGTGAAGGAAGGGGGAAAGGGGAATGAAGTAGATGGGACAAGAGGAAGGGCAAAGGGCTTGTAAGTGAGTCCTATCCTCTCCTTGTGTTTCATCATTATTGAAGGAACTCACACGGCCCATTTACACAAGACATTTTTCTGTTCAAAGGTTCATCTTTTTCCAGAAAATTTCCATAAAAACAAGGGAGATCTGGTAGTTGGTGTTGATACGTCAATTGTCAACATTGGAAATAAAAAGTGAGATTAATTGTAATAAAATGAATAAAAGAAAAGAATGAACTTCTCGGTGTTGCTTCTTTATTGTTAGAGCTGGAAAAAGGCATTCTAAAACAAAAGAGAAACTAGCTTATTCCATTGTGAAAAATAGGCAATCGTTCAGGAAAACTTTTATAAATACAAAATTTCCATCCTATGGTTTTGTTTTTCAAAAAGAAAATATTCGCAACGTTGAGAAACGTCTTCACAAAGAACAAAGAACTTACAAGATCCGAAATGGCGAGTGAAAAGATGAAATAGTTGGCGGGTTGGCGAATATTTTTGTCGATGTAATAAGAAAGTAGGACAGCAAGATTACCAACAACAGTAATGATAGCAAGAGCAGCCATTGCCACTGCCCAGATCACATAAATTACAGTCATCTCGTCGGACGTGCAGCCAATGTGGCCGCCCGTCCTCGGAAATTGCCCTCAATTCGCGAGAAAGGATCGATTCAGAATCGGAGAATTGTTTCAAGAAGAAATATCTAGATAAGCGAATATTAGCCACAATGAAAAGACATAATGTGCCTGAGAGACCGGTAAAACTTTTGAGGAGCAATGTCTCGCCTTGGATGGTGGATTGTGAGCCAAGAAGGCACTCGGAAGGGAGCACCAGTCCCTTACCCTCTCCTCTTCCCCTTCCCCTTGCCACTCCCTCGGGGACCCACAACTAGTGGGCGGGTCTTCTCGCTCTCCACCCCTTTCTATCCCACCTAAACTCTCCGTTTTCGTTTTTTGATCAAATTTTCAAAAAAATACTTCACTCCTGACTATGAGCAGCCATACTTCTGTGATTAAATGTTGACCTAAGTTGCAGCTGAAAAATGATTAGTTTTAAAAGCATTTAAGCTTGTGAAGTGAATACAGACTACTGAACTCTAACGTAAATATAAGGTCATTCCACAAGTCGTGCAGGAGCTGAAAGAAAGCAAAAAATGCTGCGTGCTCCTTGAAGCGGTTTCAGCTTCTCCATACAGCCCCGATTTGAATGTTACTGAACACCTATGGGCGTTTATCGAGACAAAACTCAAGGGAAGACGGTTTAGCTCTAAGACGGATCTTTGCTACTTCGTACGGCGAGTTTGAGCGACAATTGCGCCACAAATTTTACGCGACCTAGTTGACAGTATGCCCCGGAGGCTCTAAGCGGTCATTGCAGCTAAAGGCGGATCTACAAAATATTGAATTTTTCGCCTCTATGTCTGTGCCGCCAAGACTTTTGTCCATTGTTTTTGTGACCTTTTTGTCGTTTACGCTTATTTTTGTTGTTTAAAATAAACTTTCGAGTTCAATGCTTGGTCATAGCTAAAAGTAGGGTAAAAATGCTCAAAAATACTTGTGACAACTTTTTTATAGCCTCTCGGAAAGGTTCCTAAATTTGCGTTTGAAAGTTGCCACCCAGGAGCCGCCAAGACTTTTGTCCATGACTGTATTTGTATTTCTTCAGTCATCCAGGTACAACCTGGGCATTTTCATCACCTCAAGTTCGGGCAGTTCAATAAAGGCTCGTCGATAGCCGTGGTTCGGCAAAATATTGGGTATGAATACAGGTGAAACTCTACTTCACAACGAACATTTAAACGTTGGCTTAGCAAGTTTGACAGAAATGATATCCATTGATTGATGAAGAGAGATCTGGAAGAGAAGTCGAATTCAACGGGCAAAAACTTCTCAAGCTTATGAGAAGGGCACCAAATTAACTGCAAAAGAACTTGCAGAAGAGATATCCTCCTTACATTCTACGGTGGTTAGAGATCTTCAACTTCTTGGCCATAGGTCAATTTTGGGGAATTGGTGCCTCATATCCTGACCGACTCTATGAAAAGGTAACGTCTCTCAATTGCAGCTTCTCTCCACTAAAGACGCGAGAGAATTTTTTGTCCCGTATTATGATAGGGGACTACAAATTTATTATGTTAGACAATACAAACAGAAAGCGTCAGTGGGTTGCGTCCGAAGAGCAAGCATCAAATGAGCCAAGGCCAGAAGTGCACCAAAAAATTCATGCTCTGCGTTCGATGGGATATTAAAGGAGTTATTCACTGGGCACTCTTGGATGAAAAGAAGAGACTTAACACATTAGCATACAGTGGTTAGTTAAAAAATTGGACAAAGCAATCAAAGAAAAAGATCAGATTTGAAAAAGTCATTCTCCAACACGACACTGCACGCCCACATACTGAAAAAATAACCCGCTGAACAATCTACACCCTCATCCAGCTTACTCTCCTGACATTGCCCCTTCCGATTATCATTTATTCCATTTTATGCAAAATGATATCAATGGGGTGCACTTCAAAGACGACGATGAGGTCAAAAATTGGTTAGAAACTTTCTTTTCGTTAAAGCTAAGGATTTTCTACGAAAGGGAACGCCAGCCTCCTGCTAGTAAAATAGGCGAAGACCATCGAAAATCATATAAATTATTTTGATTGATTTGCTCTTTTTGTGTTAAAAAATTAGAGCTCAAAAATACCGCCAAGATTTATGGGATGCTCTTATACTATGACGAGGATTGCTACCACTTCTGTTTGAGAAGCATACATTACTATAGAATGGTGACACTAGGTAGGTTATGGAATATGCTACTTATAGTAGAGTTCACACCTATAGCGGGAAACTATTCACACACTGACCAGTTTTTGAATCCACGCTGGTTTGAAAATGATGCCAATTAATGATAAAAAAAAATCATATAGGCCGATGGTGATGAGCAGGAAAGAAATCGAACATGAAAGAATGATTGTATTGTAATGTTAGAAAATTGGATTTGAAAAAATAGTATTTACAGTCAGCAAAAAAAGTCTTGCACCATTTTCTCCCAAAGGCTTAAAACAAAAAATTTTTCGCAAAAATAAGCGTTTCAGAGAAAACTTGTTGGCAATGAATTCTACCATTGTGGTCTAGTTTCCGAATATATTATTCATTTTTATTGCAAGTTATTTCTTTTGACGTAAAAAATAAGTTTTATTAGAGACACCCGGTTTAGAGCGCAAAAAAGTCTTACACCATCGTTGTATTCTGTTGTAAACTTTTTCTTTTGTTTTCTGACTTTGTTTTTTGTGCATTATTTATTTTTTTTAGATACCCTGCGAGCGATATCTGAACACCCCGACTAAGGAAAACATTGTCACAGCCCGTCAAGGAGGGATGAAGTGAAGGCCATTTGTGATCTTTTTATCGTTGATCGCCCTACCGTCTCCAGGCTTTGTAAACGACAAAAACTAGAGGGAAATGTGCAACGACATCCAAAAAGTGGTCGACCACCTAAAACAACAATCAGACAGGACCGTTCATTGATCGCGATCTTCTTAAAGGATCCAAACAGGACGAGTACCGACGGTGCCAAGCTTCAATCTTGCTTTGGGCTTGAAGTAGCCACTCAAACAATTCGAAACCGGCTCAAATCGGTTCGATTGTTTGCTCGACGACCAGCACGAAAGCCTGTAATGGTTTTGAGATATCGGCGATTGAGATTGGCCTTCGCAAAGACGTACAAACATTGGACGGTCGACGTTTGGAAGAAGGTACTGTGGAGTGACGAGACGAAGATCAATATATTCAATCCGGATGGTGGTCAAATGATTCGTCGGCCTGTTGGAACACGCTATAAACTCAAGTATATGCGTCCTACAGTCAAGTTCAATGATGGAGGAATCATGGTTTGGGGTTAGTAAATGTTTTTTAGATTGTGCCTAATTCTGTCTATATTTAGGTTGCATTTCGTCGTCCGACGTTGGTCCGCTAGTCTTGATAGACGGAATTATGGCTGCTCACAAGTACAAGGACATATTGGAGACACTTATCCTACCTCATGCACAAAAGAAAATGGGACAGGGGTGGTTATTCATGCAAGATGCAAGTTTTTTGGGAGGATGCCCGGCTGGTTTCATCAAAATGGAGTGGAATTGCTTCGAACACCACCTTACAGCTCCGACGTCAACCCGATTGAACATTTCTGGTCAATTGTTAAATGGAAACTCAAAGGACAAAAATTTCGAAACAAGGCTGAACTATGAGGCCATGTGGAACAATTATGGAAGACGATCTCTCAACATGTGTTGCACAAATTTTTTGCTTCCTTTTTTGTTGGTCGTTAACTCTTTTGTTATTTTTTCTATTTTACTGTTATGGACAAATTTTTCGCTTGTTCATTCGGAAACTAGACCACAATGGTAGAATTCGTTGCCAACAAGTTTTCTCTGAAACGCTTATTTTTGCGAAAAATTTTTTGTTTTAAGCCTTTGGGAGACGATGGTTTTTTTGACTTTTTTTGACTTTTTTTGCTGACTGCATATCTGGGTGAGTCGAGGATTTTGCTTGTTAGCTACAATAGGCTCGACTCGTCTTTTGTTTTGGAGTTTGCCAACTTGACTTGCTTTTCGTTGCATTTATAATTTCTAAAGGTAGCACGTGCACGTTTTACAGGAACTCTACACTTGGCTCGCTTAAACTTGCAAGGAGAGTCAACCAAGGTTAATGTAATTTTGATGGGTTTTCTCCGTTGGCGACTTTTTTTGTGAAATTCAAAGAGTTATCTATATCTGTTCTTAGATTTCTGTTGTGTCTGCCAATTTTGATTATCAGCGTAGAGCTGGCGTGAACTGTATAAATCATCTAAACTTTTTCAAACCAATGGACCTTATGAATTTTGGTTCGTAGATGGGACACCCATGCGACCCTGATATTACCCCTAGGTTTGGATACTTCGGATATGGATCATTCGCACACCCTGACGGCTGTTAGCTATGTATTTGTGCGTCAAGGTTCAAAGCTCTTCCGATTTTCAGAAAAAATTATCAAAAACTTTAAAGTTTAGTATTATTATGAAGTCTTAATTAAATGTAAACATTATCAAATCGAATTTTGAAATGTTCAAATTCAAATTTACGGGCTTATAGTATACCGAGATATCAAGCAGCATTTTTCTTCTTTTTTATAATACAAGACTCGTGTAGTTACTACAGAGCACATTATGTTCTAACAACAAGATTTCTGATTCTTTTTTTCTTTGAGATTCTATTTCATTGAAGTTTTTATAACTTTATTTTTCTTTAGCTTTTTCAAAATTTTGCCTGCGCCTTTTGTTTTCTTTTTACATGGATCGTGTGCACATTGTTGTTTGTACTCTTGTGAACTTTGGCAAAAATAATAATAGCTTTCTTATAGGGATCTCGGTCATATCTTCTACATTGTTCGATGATTCGCCGGTCGATTTTTGAAAATGGAAAACGCTGGCTGTCAACTAGACGATTTTATTCAACAGCGACCCCTTCAATTGAGGTAACCCTTTTGAGCCTTATTAAACGTTGTATTTCAAAATCGTATTCTTTTTAGAAGCACCCGGATGCATTGAAACGATTTATTGTGGACAAAATCAAGTCAACCGGGCCAATTACTGTGGCTGAATACATGAAACTTGCCGTCAGCTCACCTAGTGTTGGATATTATTCCCGATTCTCTGAACGAAAACAGGTACCACTTAGTTTGTTAATTAGATATATAAATTAATAGCAGTAGCTATTAAATTATCGGTACTTCTTTAGTATCGAGGGGGGTAACTATTTTGTCAACCTTGTGTCACTGATTTAGTTATCTTAAACTTGTTCAATTTTGACTTTGAAACGTTATTAAATAGCTTAGGCTTTGTAGATTCTAATGATTTTTGAGTTTTTCAAAATCTGTCACAAAAAAGTTTTTAAATTGTGAGTTAAAGTTTGGCAAAATCGTCACCCCCCGATACTAAAGAAGTACCAAATTATCAATTACTTAGTTACTTGTTTCATTCAGGTTTTTGGTGAAAAGGGTGATTTCATTACGGCTCCAGAATTAACACAAATGTTTGGCGAACTGATTGGAATTTGGTGTTATCACGAGCTGGCCAACACAGGTACGAGGTGAGAGAAGTCTGTTTCAAGAGTAACATTACTGAACTTTTTAGGTTATACTGGGGATTGGTTTCTCGTCGAAAATGGCCCAGGTACAGGTCAATTGATGTTTGATGTCCTTTCGTCTCTGCACAAATTTCAAGTATGCTTTTGCATATTTATTGTAATTTACTTGCCCTTTAGGAAAAGAAAGTCTCAATTCATCTCGTTGAAACTGCAAATGCTCTAATTGATGCTCAGGTTTTTGTGCTTACTCATTTCATTAAGCAATGTTTTAAGGAGAAAACGTTATGTGGATCCAACTCACCCAATCTTGATTCAAATGCGGCTTATATTCGAAAAAATCAAACAACTAATGGCTTTCCAATCTTCTGGTACAATAACATTGATGATATACCTGGAAACGTAAGTTTTATTTTGAGAGATAAGATTTAAAAAAAGATTTAGTTCTCGGTTTTTATCTCTAATGAATTTTTGGATGCCCTTCCAATACATCAGTTTCAGAAGTGTTCGAAATGGCATGAAGTAGGTTCCGTGGTTGCGTACTTGAATTTTTTTTGCAGATTTATGTGAATTTGAACCATGCGAACGAGCTTATTTTTATGATATCTCCCGGTGAAAACTTACACACTAGGTAGGTTCCATTTTTAAAAAAAGGAACAATTTGTGTTTTGTCTAGAGGACTTCTACCAGAAAATGTTCGTCAGTCGGAGAAACAAATTTGGGAAATCGCTCCAGAAGCAGGAATTTATGTGAATCAAATTGTGGAAAGGTTTTGACTTTTGATTTGGATATTTTAAAGAAATGTTATTTTAGAATGGTTTCTTTTGGTGGCTTTGCTCTGATAATCGATTATGGACATGATGGCACCAGAGATACCTTTTCTTTGCGAGCTTATAGCCAACACCAAGAGGTAGTTGCACCTTTTTTGTATCTATAAAAAACATTACTTGTATTCGACATCTACTTGTTATATTCAATTAACGACAATAGTTAAATGGAATAAGCTAATTTTTCTTATAGATAGAATACGTTTAGACGATAGAAAGCATCATATTATCGAATACCGATTGTGAATATATACTGAATGTAATAGTATTACATTTAGACCGATCCGCTGTTGAACCCAGGCCAAGTGGACATGACAGCCGATGTCAACTTTGGATATTTACGATCTCTTGTAGATGATCGTTCGCTTGTATTTGGACCGCAAACGCAAAGGTTAATTTGTACACAGCAAATTTAAAATAATAGTATTTAGAGAATTCTTTGGGCAACTTGGCATTCAGCATCGTCTTATGCAACTCCTGAAATCTTGTAACGAACGGGAAAAGCAAGAAGATTTAATAAGTAAGGGATTTTTGTTGAACTCTACCTATTATTTTAGAGGGATACAATTATCTTCTCGGAGAAATGGGAGAACGCTTTAAAGTGAGCATTTAAATTAAAAGAAACAAAAGAACGGTTTTTTAAAGAAGAATTTGATATTTGAAATTCTTATTTATAAGAATTTAATTTTCAACTTTTGCAGTAATTATTTATTTACAAGAGTTGCATATGCTAATCTCCCGCAACTTGACTTTTAACAAAATAAAATTTTAGGTTTTGTCACTTTTTCCAAAGACACTTCAAAGCATCATGGAAAAAAGAAAAGGACCTGCTGGATTTGCAAAATAAATAAATTTTACTTTTTCCACTATACGGGTTTGTTGTTATATTTGTCGCTTAATAAAGTTTTTTTTGTTGGCAACATTTCATGAGCGTGAATTAAGTTTAATTCATTGTTATCGAGAATTCGTTAAAGTTAGAAAGCGGTTAAATTTTTCAAATTTTGTTAGAACTTCTGCGTTGCTCTTTGGTTGACTTCACCGCCACGACGATACCTTCTGATATTATGGTAATCATTTGGTTATTTTTCAAATGAGTCTATTATTAAACGATCAACGCATTTTCACAATTTTGTATTTAGTTGGTTCTCCTCATCGGAGACATCCATGTTCCCCATCGGACTTTTGCTCTTCCAGCCAAATTTCGCAAACTGTTAGTGCCGAATAAGATGCAACATGTATTATGTACCGGAAATTTATGTACACGCGAAACTTATGATTATCTTAGGTTGGTATCTTGGTTTTTGTTTGTAATGTACATTTGAGATTTATTCTAGATCTCTTGCTTCTGATGTACATATTGTGCGTGGCGATTTTGACGAAGACCCAAAACTTCCTGACACAAAGGTATGCTTGAAAGCTCTTAATCTGCATATATGTAATTAAGTTTAGGTTGTAACAGTTGGCCAATTTCGAATAGGCATTTGCCATGGTCACCAAATTGTTCCATGGAATGATGAAAAGGTACAAACTTTTAAAATTTTCTGATATAAAAGCGTTTTTATGTAATTCAGCATACAAGGACATTGATCAGAAAAGATTATTCTTTTGTAAATCCATCTTCAGATTTTGGAAGTACTTGCTCGGCAACTCGATGTTGATGTCCTCGTCACTGGTCATACACATGTTTGTTCGGTATATTTAAGATTTTCTGATAAAATTAATAATATCACTTCAGATACGCGAACGCGAGCAGAGACTTTACATTGATCCTGGAAGTGCGACCGGTGCTTTTTCTGTTATCCAAGACGGGTATGTTTAAACATTTTGTATAACTCTTTGATTTGTTCAGCCCTGTTACTCCATCTTTCGTTCTTCTTGATGTGCAACCAGAACAAGTTGTTACGTACATGTATCGATTGATTGATAATCAAGTAACTGCAGTTTAACACTTTTGGTTTTAAAATATTAAGTTTTGACTTCTTGAATTTTAAGCACTTGTATTGCAGGTAAAAGTCGATCGAGTGGTCTTCAAGAAAAATAAAGAAGTGCAGTAGGCAAGAAGTTGTAAATTTTGATTAATTTATTTGGTTTAATCTTCATGGGAGTGCTAAACGGTTTCATTCTATTTTCAAACAGTTTACGGTATAACTGTTCGTTGTGATTTTTACATTTGTTTTTCAATTTCACAATTTTATCTCTGCCTACTAAAATTTGTGTTTCTATTATTTCTACTGCGTTCCATGCATGCTTTCCCATTTTAAGAATGAATAAATACATTCTTGTATTTTGCAAAGACTTGCAGCGAAGTCAGTAGCTCATTGTTATTTAACAGGATTTAATTTAAAGCCTGGGCTATAGGCATTAAATGGAGGTACGATTACATCCCTCCAAGAATTATTATTTAGAAATGCAGCTTTTCTGCCGTTGTTTGCTATTCGTTTCGCTATGTACAATATTAAGTAAGTTAAACCAAATAAAAATCGAAATGTTTAAGCAATACACTTTTAGTTGCACTGGATTTGCCTATATACTTACGATATGAAGACACAGGCCCTGATCATATTTTGCTTCCAAGACATAGCGTTGAAAAAAGAGTTTGTGAAATGAAGTCAATTGCAGAAATATATGCAAGATCATTACAGAGATTTCGACGATTGGCTGAGAGAACAGACGAAGAAGATGACGGAGATTATGCAGGCGAAGGATGGACTCTACCAACTGATGTTAAAGAAGAAAGGGTTGGCGATGTAAGTAACGATCATTTCATTCCTCAAATAACTAAACAATAAAAGTTTACATTTAGGAGGACCATACCTATTACATGATGACGTCAATGATCAATAATAAAACTGAAGTAAAAATTCTGGTCAAAATCAGAAAATTTGAAAAAGTTATAGGTGACAAAGAATTGGATTGATGTAGACTTAATGCTTACACAAGAAAATGTTACCGGAAATCGTCGCCACGTTCAACTTGTTAATGGACACCGAAAAGCTATTGTACGGTCAATGATATCAATTCAGATTTCAATTACCTAAGTATCGAATATTTTAAGGGAGTCAATCTAACTTTCGTGTTCCCATTCTATGGTCACAACATGACAAATGTCACAATTGCGACAGGAGGTTTCCTTTATGTTGGCGATCAGACGCATAGCTGGTTGGCGGCCACGCAGGTACGAGAAGCAACGACTCATTATCAGCTGAACCAAAGCATCTCCTAAACAAACAAACAAACAAACTCTTGATTTCCACCAATTACAGTATATTGCTCCTTTAATGGCCAATTTCAACACTCTTCGTAATGGTTCCGATATTTTGTATGCCGATGATGGGGAACAATTTGTTTGTGAGTGGAGAAGGGTTCAATTGCGAGGACAAGAAACTAGTGAGTACATAAAAATCGTCAATTTCTAATTAAAATATGCAAAGAAAAATCGATTTTAGAAGGACCTTTCAACTTTCAATTGACTCTTTTGAAGTCTGGTGATATCACATTTGTCTACAAGGTTGAGCTAGTTAATAGTTACCAAAAAAAAGAGAATTTTTAGGATGTACCCATTCCGATCAATGATATCTCCGAAGATCAACACCCAGTAAAACTCGGGATTTCTGATGCATATCTGTATGAACACAAAAAAGGAATGGGTAATGGCGCAGGTGACAATCACAATGAGAACTTTTAGTGAATATTTATTTTTAGCAAAGCGAGTAATCTATGAGTATCATCGCATTGAAATTGCCCATGAGAATGCCATCAATAATTCGGTTATTCGTCTCAAGGCTCAACCCAGTAAGCAAAGTAGCACAACACAATTTTTAAAATCAATCTCAGCATGTCAACAATTCACAACGTGTAGTAATTGCTCAAATGCTACCATTGAACATTTCAATTGCTCGTGGTGTCATGCAAAAAAGGAACACGGTGGCCCTTTTTGCACAGATTCTGGAGGGTTATTTGTTTTTGTTTTCCCTGAACATAAATAATTTAGCCTCCATCGTCGACGACAGCAATGGGTTGAAAATAATTGCAAAGATCAAAGTCGAACAATCTATTGCAATGGAAATGATGATGAGAATGAGATTGAGGAGTGAGTGAGAAAGAGGATTTATGTACATATTTGAAAAGTGAAAATGGCTTTTTTTAGTAATGACGATTCAACAACATCGACAATAGCTTCAACAAATGCCACAAAAACAAACGGGGAACATTTGGAGAAAAGTTGGTTGCCAAGAAAAGAAAACGAAAAGCAAAAAAACATTTGCAGATGCTCGTGGCTCGATGGGAATCTCCACTTTGTTGTTACTTTGTGTCACTGTGGTGGCGACAGTCGCATGGCTTGCCTATGCTTACTACAATCCACACACACCGAGTGGACAACTCTTGATTAAAGTTAGTTCAATAGGGATATAAAAGGCTCAGGCTCAGGCACAGGCTCAGATTTTATTAACGCCAAACTATGGACATGAACAATAATTCTGTGTATAAATCACCGTTTTCTATCAGTAATTTCTACACATTAATGAAGTTATTATGTGAATAAAAACAAATACAATCAAATACACTGGAAACTTTTTTTAGTATCGTCCATCTCGTTGGAGAGCTCCGATGAGTCATGTTAGATATTCGGCTTCCGTTCATATGTGATTCATCAATTCAAATCAATTCAAATCAATTCGTTTACCTTTTGTTTCGATTTTCCATCAATTATCTCAAATATTTCTTTCTCCAAACTCCTTGCCAAATTATTATGATTCATAATCATACTCGCATACCAAAAACTTATTGCTCAATAGATCTTTAACCATTTTTTTAAATTTTTACTTGTGATCGAACCGGTTGCTTTTTTAGCTTTAGTGCTTTTAAAGGGTAACCTTTCATTTTGCTATTATTTTATACAGCTTTAACATCATCGATTATCTTTTTCAAATTTGACACGTGTTTTTTTTTGATGACATTGATGGCAAAATAAGCTTTGAGGACCTCATACGAGTTTATAAAAAATGTGAGATTATCATCCTTCACCTTTTTTATCTTTTCTTTGTTTTAAGAGAACTTTGAGTTCATTTCTGTATCTTCCCAGCGCCATTTCTTCTGTTCCTTTGCACTTATTCATCTTTTTTGTAATGACCAAATAAAATTTATGATGCGAGTGATGAATTATCTAAAACAGATGCAAGAGTCGCGATTTAACGTCACAAGTGGATAGCGGAGAAAAAAGAGTGAGGAAGTGATTGATTTGAAGGAGAAAAGAGAATGGGGTCTAGCTGAGCTGTGACCCTCACCAATCACCCATTCGACCACCTTCATGAAAAAAGGGACCCAGACCGATTACATGAGAGAAGCCGAGCAGGGCAGATCCCCCATGGCCCCCGCTCATTCACCCCTTTCTTCGTTTTTGTCAACTCTTGATCTGTGGCAAGTTCCGTGTCTCAAATGATACTTCTCTTCTTTTTTTTTCTTTGATAGATCTTTTAGGATATACACAGCTTTATTCTTTGCACATTTGTGTCCTTTATGGACTTATTTTTATCACTTAAATTGACTTTATAAAGTAAAAGAACAGCTCCACTGTAAAATGACGCTTTCAAACTCATCCTTTATTCAAAACGTCTCTATTTTTCAAATCTTAGATTTAATAATAGCCTTCCTCAAATAAATATCTTTACAGCTAACAAGAAATTGAAGGACATTTGAATCAGCTTTCAATTCCTCTTTCATTGTGTTTTTTTGGGACTATTGTAAAAGTTGTGTTTCAGCAGCTTTTCACTTCACTTTGTATTCGACGATCAAGCTGCAAGCATGCCTGAAAAACTCGAGAAAAACGGAACTCGATCGAAAAAACAGAAATCGTCTTTTTCTTCTCAATTTATTCTTGGCGGTAAGTGTAGAAAATTTTCTGGATTACCATTTCATTATCTTAACTAGCGCAAGGCCATCACTTTTTCCACGTAGTTCGTTGTCGATCAAACGTTGTCGATCAAATCTGTCTTGAAATAACGTTAATTACAATGAAAAAGCGGCTACTGGTGTGTATACGGGTGATAACTCAAATAAAAATTTGAAGCCCTGATCCTTTTTGCCTTGAGCTCTTTCTCTCTTTTCTCGTTGTTTATCTTCTTTCATTCTTTTCTCAAAAAAAAACAATGATATCCTGAAAGCAGAAAGGGCCACCGTCAAACATGTGTTATTGATCTCTCTTTGTTCCCCTCAAAAGAAAAACGAAATCACTTGAAAAGTCAAAAAACTATTTATCTCTATCCTGTTGATCATAATACTTAACATTATCAATATAAGTGTATTTTTTTATTCAATTTTTTTAGCTGCAATGGATGATGATCAATTGCGAACTCTTTTTTCCTCGTTGACCGTACTCGCTCAACAAGGGCCAATTCCAGGTGAACAAAAACTATTCAGCAAACTTTATAGTTCATCACTATGTGTATAAGAGTGGTGAGGAAGAAAAATCTGTTTAGTGCAAGCCTATTCAATGGTTGTGAGAAATACATCACCAGAAACCCTTGCAGAGCAACTTCATCAAAGGTGTCTTGAAAATGATATCAACATTTGAGTACGATTTTAGATGGTTGGCTGATTCAAAATTTGCCCCAATTGCCGCTGATATTATACTACATATTTTCAACGTAAAATCATATATATTCTTTTGTGATTTACATCATCTCTTTTCAGTTAGATCGAGGGGATTTTGGATTAGCATCTTGTTGTCTTGCTTTACTATTGAATGATTATCGAAATCGTCTCGAAGTTCGCAACAAAAGCAAGCTCATGTTTCGCAATTCGGTTAGAGCACTTTTTGGGTGAGTTTCTCCATCTCGTCTTTCTCTTTAACGCTTTGATTTCATTTAAGCCTTTACCCGGTTTATATGAAGATGGACGAATGTGTCGCAAAATCTTTCATCAAACCAATGTTCAATTGCCTTGACACACTTGTTGACAATAATCCCGATCGAGAAGATGCAAAGGTTTGAAAAAGAACAAAGAGTCTAGTAATGAAAAGTTGAAAAAGAAAGTTTTTTAGACAATGGGTTTGCTTTTGTCAGAGAATGGACGAACACTCCATCAGCTCAATCAATATCTCGTTGATCGATTGATTGTCAAAGTGGCTTTATACGGTGATTTGATTTATGAAAAAGGATTTAGGTTCGAGATCAAATGTGTAGCGATGAACCATTTATGAATTCGGAAATACGAAGAATATTTCTACATGTAAGTGAAGTAGGATTGAGAGGAAAAAAAATAGAGGAAAGATTACGATAGAAAGAAAAAGAGGGCACGCTTTTGTCTGTGAGAAGAGTGAGAATGATTGAAGTCTAATTCTTATTCTTAAATCAATCATTTCTATAGGTGATGGATTTATGGGCATTCGGTTGGAATGAATTAGCCATTCCTGATTGTCTTCTCATTGAATATGATGCTCCACCACAAAAAGCACAACTTATTACACGGTAAGAAATTATAGAAATTATAGAAATTATAGAAATTCTAGAAGTTATAGAAATCAAGAAATAAGCTTCAACAAAAAGGTTTCTTTCTTTAGAAAACAAACCATTCCAATAGTTCATGCGCCTCGAAAAGGAATTTTAAAAGAGAGGTGCTTTGGGAAGTTTTCAAACAAAAAGAAAAACAATCCTTTAACGTTCTTGTTCTTGAAAAAGGCATTCGTTTTTTTCTTCAAAAGTATAGTTAAAAAGAATTAAAGACAAAAAAAGTGCTATGATTTCAAGAGCAACGAAGAATCATTCATCCAATTTTGCATGTTCTTCACCAATGCATTTCTTTTCCCACCACAAAGCGAAAAACAACTTATTTTGTTAAATTCCTTCCTATTCCCTTCAAAATAAAACTAATATTTAAAAAAAATAAGCTTCTTTAGAAAAGACGACATTCAAAAAGTGGAATTTGGCAGTAAAGAGAGCATCGTTTGATTAAAAATGATAAATAAAGTTTGCATTTATTTGAATACGTCATAAAAAGCAGATAAAACTTTGCAATATACACTTTACAATGACTTTGCAATATACGCTTTCATTTACGCTAATTTGAGTGATGTTTTTATTGCTCCAAAATAAGCGTTTAAATGAGACTTTGCACAAACAAGCGTAAAAGGAAAAAAAGAAAAGGAAAAGAAACCCATGTTTATTCTAACAAAACTCTCGTGAAAATAAATGCGATAAGCAATTTAGTAAAGTGTCATCAAAAAGATTTCAATTTTCAGCTCAAAAGAAAGCTTTTTTTTTTCAAATGGGCAAAAGAAATAAATATTTGTGTTTGACAGAAGTTTTTGATAAGAAAAGCTATAAAAATTACAGTGACGCCAAGCCGACTTCCAACAAGCAGACCAATACTTTCCAAAATTTGACCAAACAAAATTGCAAAACTTTGACAATAATTGAGCAATTGATGAGTCTAACACCAATTATCCTATTGTTATTTCTCATTTTTCATGGTAAGTTTTCTATAAAACATTGCTTATTTATATCTTTTGCAAAGGTGTAAACGGGCAAGTATGCCGGGCTGGATTGGGCGATGCGACTCCTTGTAATGATGTTCTCATCATTATGGATTTCAGCTTTTACATGAAAAACAATTCCTTCATTCTTCAAGTATGAAAGAAAAAAAAAATCTTTTGATTTGAAAAGCTTCAATTTAAGCAATATGATTTTGTGCGAGAAAAACTCTTACCTGCGTACAATCTCCGAGCGGGTCGTTATGGAATCGCCATTGGAGCATTTGGATTTCTAGATTATGCTAAAGTAATGCCTTAACAATTTTTTTTTATCTTTTGACACTAAAAATTTTGTGAGCAAATCGTTAAAAACTTTATTTCAAGTTGGGAATCGAGGCACCACTGCTCATGTTTTTTACGCGTTTTGATCCAACACATATCTGTGATGATATTGATCAGATCAAGACTGATTTCATCGGAAATCTTACTCTTGGCACATTGCCTTTGGCTCGGTAGGGGAAATTTCTTTCTTTTCAGCTTTCAAGCCTTTCTATCAGCTTTTCTTTCAAAGTTTTCTTTAAAACCTTTCTTTTAAAGCTTTCCGTTAAAGCTTTCTTTCAAAGCTTTCCTTTAAAGCTTTCTTTTAAAGCTTTCCATTAAAGCTTTCTTTTAAAGCTTTCCTTCAAAGCTTTCCTTTAAAGCTTTCTTTCAGTGTCCTGGATCTTGTTGTATATTATGCGGATAAAGACGGAAATCGCTATTCAACAGTCATTCTTTTCACCGCATCAATGTGAGTAATAGAAAAGAGAATAGAAAAACGATTAAACAACTGTTTAGCGATCAGGGAGAAATAGATCAAGCTGGAGAATATTATAGAGATGTAATGGGAAGAACGGGTGAAAGGTTTACAAGATATCGTTTACAAATAAACAATTAAAGTTTAGCTATCATATAGTGATTGTTTCAATTAACAACCCAAAAATGAACTATGCAGCATGGTACGGAGTGGCTAATGTAAGTCAACAAATTAAAGAAATAAAACACATTTTGTGATAGATTTATCGAACGACGAATTTTGTTGATTTTAATGGGACTGAAGTGGGCGAGTGTATAGCCACAACGGGTTGCTCGGTTAATTGTGCGTTTTTCGATTCTTATTATAATATAAATCCGATTGTTATATACCGTAAATACTCTAATAAAGCGCCACCTCCTCGTACAATCGCGTAGTCTAATTTCTTTGTAAAAAATCATTCTTTTCTCTGCCCCTAGACTTTTTCTAAATACACTTTTGATATCAAAAAGTACTAGATTTCAAGGGCTATCATTTGACATCCAAACGCACACTGTAGCATAAAGCAGCGCGGAGAACGGCACGTTTAAAGTTAGACTACGCGACTGTACGCCCGTCATTATGCAGGTGGCGTTCTATTAGAGTATTTGCGGTATGTACATTTTATTATCATTAGGCCACCTTGATGTGACCACCGTTTCTGTGGCCAATTACACGGATCGCTACTATACGGCTGGTGCTGAATGATTTGTGTGATCAATAAACAAAAAAATTTTAGGCACAACCCCCGCTCCGTTACCCACCCATCCAATGGTTTTGCTTTAAGAAAAAGTATTAAACGCTGAGAAAAAATTTCAGCCAACAACAACCCCTGGAAGGAATATCACTATCACAGCTCCGTTGACAACGACAACGACAACAGCGACAACAACGACAACAACGACGATAAAAACGACTCCTATCATTACAACAACTACCACTAGCGGGTAAATTACTGTGTTTTCTGCGATGCCAATCGTTTCATAACTTTACAGAGCCCCTCCTTATAATGCTGGGAAATACGGATGCGAGTGTGATGTGTCTAAAGTTTCTTTTAAAATTCTTCCACTTTTCAATGCGAATGATTCAGATTTGGTTAGATATCATGGTTATTATCGACTCATCCTCAGCTATGACACTCAGTGGGATTCAATCGGTCATTTCCCTCTAGTGTTCTTTTAAAGAATATTCTCTTTAGCTGAATATCTTCTTACTCTCAACCTTCTTACAAATGAATATTGGTCAAGATGTGTCACAAGTGTCAAGAATTGGTTTGTTTTGGGGGTTTCTGCTCTGATTGTTGAAAATGAGCACTCGAAAATGTGCATATCATTGTGGCTATGTCTAGGACTGGTTGTTTATGGAGGATCGGCTGAGCTCGTCTACAAACTCACCGAATTTACATCTAGGGACGATCTGTTGAATCGTTGGAACCCGAAATTCCTCAATGAGAATTCGACTAACTTGGAAAGGTTTGTGAATCGATGAATGAACATAAATATTACCGATTCAGTGCCATAAAAATGGCTCACGATGAGTTCGAGAGAGCCGGCTCATCGAGACCTAACACGAAACAAGTGATGATTGTGGCGGCTAGCACCTATTCGTAAGTCAATTTAAACTTTCAATATTTCCAGATATCGCTTTTAAATTCATAGTCCCGGTCAAGCTGATGATCCCCTTCAAATTGCAAATCAAACAAAACAAGATGGCATAAAGATTATCACCATTGGTAGACGCGGAAAGCAGTTGACGTATTGTAAACATAATTTTTAAGAGTACGTACAAAATCACGGTCTACCAGTGCCAATTTTGTATCAAATCGCCTCTCCAAACTACAATTTGTCAAACATTTTTGAGAACCTTCACACCAGTCAACTACAATTTTTGCTGTGTCAAGGTAAGAAAATGGAAAGCAATTCTCTTTTGAACAAATTTAAGCGAATTGTTTTTGCACGACAAATTGGGATCCGGCAAAGGCTAGCATGTATAATACACCAGATGGTGGCTGTTATTATCCTGTATTAATCCCGGCCCTCTTTGAACTTGCACAAAGGTAAGTGTGCACATTCAGAAATAAATGCGCCTAACAAAAAATGAAAACAGATTTTGCCATGGACAAGGAGGGATTATATCTGCAATCGAAGATCAGGATAAAGCGCTTTTCATTTCGAAAGGTTTTCTAGATTAAGAAAATCCAATTAGTAGGTTCTCATAGAAAACAAAAAAATGGAAACATGGATTGGTCTTCAATGCACAAATCAGAATTGCTTATGGGATGATGGATCTGCGGTGCATGATTGTTTACTCAACGAAATATTTTTGATTTAGCTCGGAGCCTACCAACCCTGGGCAACCAACAATCCAAACACTGCAGCAGGAACTTGCGTTTGGCAAAACAACCCATCTGGGTTGCGTATTCAATGGTAAGCATACTTCAAAAACCCAAAGCAAACATCATTTTTCTAATTTCAGGCAAAGTGATAACTGCACGGATGATCACATGTACATTTGTCAAAGAACCCCTTGTTCCAGTGTGAATTTCTGTACCGACCGAATAAGATAATTTTCTGTTTAATAAAAAAAACGATTCTGTAACAAAAATAACAATGCAGTCAACTAACAACTCACATAACAAAACAATGGTCAACAAACGGTTTGTAAAAAACCCATGGGCATTTGATTTATCGTTTGCCTCGACCAGAACCAGCCCGTCCACCTCTTCCTCGCTTTCCACCACTTCTCTTATCAGCAGCCTAATCGCATGTTATTTTTATATTTTCATGGATAGACCAACCTTTTGGGCACGTAATTCGCTTTTCATTCGCCGATCGACGGTTTTGTAGCGTCCACTCGGCCGATTCATTTTGCCTCGGTTGCCCTTATTCACAACCTAAATAATTTTAGTTAGGTATATCATCCGATTTAACCAACCACCAAATGAACCTTGCGATCCTCCTTTTTGTTTGCATTACGGTAAAGTCTAGAAAAATCTTTTTCTTGAAATTATGCCGAAAACCCACTTTTTCATCTCTCGTACTTTTTCCGGATGCTCTAGATTCTCATTTTCAACAATTGCCTCGGCTTTCTTTTTAGCCTTTTCCATGCGCCTTGAAGTTCGCCGAGCTTTTCGTGCTTTTGCTTCAGCAACCTACATAGGGTTTATATTTTTGACAAAAAACGCAATACTTACCTTTTTAATAGGACGGACATTAATTTCTTTCAGACGGTCGCGATAAAATTTCACTTGTTCTCTTGTAACCGGAAGTTCCTTTCGGTAATGTTTTTTCTCGTCATCAACGAACCAAGCTGGCAGGCCTTCGTCGTTATTAGTGTACCTAAGATATAAAGCTACAACTGAATAAAATTTAGTAACCTGTTCCAGCCCCAGTCTTCAAGCTCACTTCTCGTCTTACTAGAATATATGAGTTGTTCAGCCAAGGCGAGCTGTTCAGGAGTCAATTCAGTCACTTTTGAAACTAAACTGGAAATTTTAGTTTTAAAAGCTTTGAATTACCAGAAGTTTTAGCTTCCTTGCTTTCCTCTTTCGGTTTGCGTTTTTCAACACGCTTATCAGCTAAATGATGGATTGAAAAGAATCCTATTCAACAAACCAACCATCTTCATATTCTTCCTCGCTCTCGACGTCCATTTCACGATTGAAATCACTAATATTAGGGGCTTCAAGGTCGTCGTCAATTTTTTTGCGTTTTGCTGGCTCTTCGAACGATACTGGAATATACTTTATTAAATTAATATGCAGATGTTATCTTTACCAGTATTATCTTTGAAAGTATGCTTGGTTTTTCGCATATATCTTTCGACCGCATCAAGTTCATCGTCCTCATCATCAGACGACAAAAGATCGGTTATTGCGCTCTAAATAATTTAAAATGTAGCTATAAAAAAAATTCAAGTCCTACCTTGTTAAACCAACTTGAAACATTTTGTGCGCGCCTTTCGGTTGGTTCCATAAGCCGTTCTTCCGTGTGAATGAGTTCGTTTTCTTCATCAGATTCCTCCGCAGCATTTGTACCACCGTCGTTCCTAAAAATAATTTTTTTAAATACACATTTGCTTGCTTACTTTTCATCAGACCCATGTGTTTCCCATTCTCCCTGTCCCAGTCCAAATTCATCTTCATCTTCATCGTCCTTAAAGTCCGGAACTTCTCTGTCTCCAGAAAGCAATGACATTTTAGCCTAAACATAGTTTAAAACGTCGAGTTCCTGCTTGGTGTAAAAACTCTAAAATAATTTTTTAAAGAAAAACCTTCTTGATAGATTTAAGTGAAAAAAGATCGTGCATTTCTTCAATAGGGCCCTCATCACCTTCATGGATCATTTTGAGCTGCTTTCGTTTAAGAACTTTTGCCTTTTCCAATAGCATCTTCTTCTTTTTCCTGCAAAATAGAATCAAAAGCAAATAGGTATGTATGTAATAAAAACATACTTCTTAAGTGCAGCTCTTTCTGTAGCACTGGCTTGGGCAATTTGCGCTTCTATCTCGGCAAGCTCTCTGTCCTCTTTGTCTTCTGGGTTTTCTTCGGTTTTTTCTTCACTTGCTTTCTCTACCTCCCTATACATTTTTGATTTAAAAACAAAATGATTTGCCTACATTTCATTAGTAGGCGTTTCACTTTCTTGCAAAGCTTTCATTTTCTTTCGCCACTTCAAGATAATTCGAAGTTCACGAGGACCACAAGTTTTGATGTCTTTAAGATATTCAAGTATCTAAAAAAATGGGTCAAAGTTTGATCAATAAGAAATATGTATACCTCTTCAGTAGTATCCGGAGATGCCGACCATTTTTCCTGATCCAGTATAACTGAGTTGCTTTTTGCTAATAAATCCAGGTAGTTGTGGGAATCAATGAACTAAAAAGGAAACTATTACAGTTATTCCACTTTTGAACTACCTCAGTAGCAGTGGAAGTTTTGTACATAGTGATCGTCTCATCTTCAGCATATCCTTCCGCTTTCACTTTCTTTTGTTTTTTGTTGAACAACAAAACTTGGCTAAATTATTTCTAGTCAGTTTTCTATCAAAAGCGTGTACCTGTTGGGCTTCGCTGGATCAAGATTTGGCTCAAGGAAAACTTTCTTTACGTTCAGAAGATCGGGGTCGACTTTTTCAGGCTTCGAATATTTCTCGCAAACCACGAAAATTTCGGCTGATTCAAGTCGAGAAGCAGCTGGTTTCCACACATGGACCTAAGACAAATCTCAAACAAATAAAAAATAATTGCACCAAACCTTTTTAAAAAGTTTTTCAAAAACTGTGATGAGATGGTGGTAGTCGTTGCTGCGGAAAACCTTTGTCACAAAAGTTCCGTTCCTTTTCAATATTTGTGTTGCCATTTTCAGAGCCATCAAAGTCAAGCAATTTTGTTGAAAAGCGTCGTGAATCCAATTCATTCCCACGTTTGGCGCACCATCATGAAGTACTGTATCACACTTAAGAAATATGGTTAAAAGAAATAGTTTAAAAACTTAATAACCTGAAACCCCTTTAGTTCTTTTTTAATTGCTTGACGAGTCGATTCTTCGGTGATGTCGCCCTGTAGTGAAATACATCCGTGAACGGGCTTAATCGGTACAAGATCGACACCTAAACAGAAAACATATCTGACTCATTTTCCAGGAAAAATAAATATAAAACACAAATCACTTACCGACACAAATGCTCGATACAGGCATGTTCTGTTTTGCGACTTGCATCCATCCTCCAGGAGCAGCACAAAGGTCGACAAGTGCACGAGATGATTGAAGAAATTCGAATCGTTTGTTTAATTGGATCAATTTGAAGGCGGCTCGAGACCGATATCCAGCTTCTTTGGCCAAATGATAGAACTTGTCCCGTCGCTGCTTTCCGATTTTGACCTTCTTACCCATCTTCTAAATATAAACATTTAAAATTAAGATACAAAAATTGAAATAACAATAAACGAAACAAATCTTAAACCCAATACTTAAAAAAATCCTTATATTATAACTCCTCATAAAGAAAAGAGAAAAAGCAATTGTTGAAATAGGCAAAAGGGGAAACGTCATTGGGAAACTCTTGTAGGGTCACATTGATAACCTTGGTAGTATCTTAACTTTACAACATTCAAACCAATGAACTAATGAACTTTACATCAATTGGACAATTTTTTTTACAATCGCAACTCAAATGGAGTTTTTTTTGTAGTTATTGTCATTCTTTTCAAGATATTCAGTTAATCAACCGAATATCTTGAAGTAAGTCTAAGCGGAAGTAATTGAAGTATAAGTCGATATTTCAATTAATTAACTGACCAGCTTCTCAAAACGGACTTCTGCGGGGTATTTAAAAATTTTGGGTCATTCGGAGGCCGAGATCTTTCACAATCCACACAAGAAAGGCTGAATTGGATGGAATTGAGTACATAGTGGAAATTCATCATCATTTTGCTTTTCCGTCAACAACAGAGATGTGCAAAGTATTGTGAATCATCTTTATGATTATGACCTCTACGATCTCTTTATGATTTATCTCTAGAATAAAAACATTTCTACACTAGGTTTGCAAGTTGCAATTCCAAATTCCTACTGCAGCAAGTGAAATGCAAACAGCTTTCAGTCTGCATAGTAATGTCGGTTGACCCTGAAAAGCTTGACCCTATAACTTATTGCCAATTCGTTATCCGGCTACTATAACAGACTTCAACTGCAATAGTTTTTATTGTTCTTTGATATTTGAGCTTTTTTCCTTTCCGTTAACTAATCTCTGGTTGACTAACTGCTGATTCTGAAACTGACAATTTTTGGAGTTTTTAACCTGAAACCTGAATGATTTGTTTTGGGGAAACTTCTGAGCTCCATTCAACGTGATAATTTTGGGTAAACAAGGTGATAAGCAGAGTCTATTATTCTCGGCCTTTCAATTTGTTCATATTGGGAAAGAAAAGCGGGGCACATTCTCTCCCCGAGAACAGATCGATCCTCTCACGGGCCTTTCTCTCTTCTCCAAAAAGGCGCACCCAATTTCCATCTAATTCACCTTTAGCCATTTGTCTTTCTCAAAAAATTAGTTTCACATTTCTTCATTAATTCTATAAAAAACAATACAAATAAAGGAATATCTAGTCTCTTGAAAAGAAAACTATTTATCCCCTTTGTTGCCATTGTTCAGAAGTGGATCTTTTCAGAAGAAATGAAACGACGGAAGCGCCCAATTCCCATGGGAAAGTATCTTGCCTAACCCCTTTATGCGACTTTTTTTGAGTTAGCCATTTTTTTGGTGACGCATTTCTTTTAAATAAGAAAGCGAATTTGTGAAATTACATCAGCAAAAGTGGCTATTTTTAGTTGTCAATGCAATTTGTCGGGTGATTCATCACAACCACTTTCTCTATATATAAGTTACCCTTTTTATGCCGTTCATAATTTCTATTTAAAATGATCAACCTAAATGGAAAATGTTCTTTTTTGCAACTATCTGTTTGATCGATTTTGGTTTACAAATTTTGTTCATGCAAAGTTTTAGATGAAACGGTGGTGGCTATTCCTTTTGCTTTGCTCGACATTAATTCCGCCACATCTTTGTCGCCGAGGTGGTGGTGGAGGCTTCGGAAGAGGTTCTTCGGGAAGTCGAATGGGTAAACAACAAGAAATCTCAAATAATATTACGAAATTTAGGTGGAGGACTTAGTAAAAGCAGTGGTCGAACGTCCGGTGGATTTGGCAGCAGTGGAGGTCATTCAAGTCATAGTGGCGCCGGATTGTTTTCAGGTAATTAAATGTAATTTCAATATCAAATCAATAAAATTTCCCCAAACATGCAGGGTCATCGGCTTCACAAAATCCATTTGCGAGGAACCTAGGCAATCTATTTTTCTAAGCAAAAAAAAAAGCTCGGTAGATTCACGCAGAATGCACACAAATTGCTTGGCACTTTCAATGCACTTACTTATTTCCAAAAATGCAATTTCATATAGCCAAATTTTAAAGGACTAATTCAATCTTTTGAAAAAAAAAAGTTAGCACAAACTAGTGGCTGAAAATAGGGAAATGCATGGAAGCTTAGCTAGCACTATCGCAAGAAACCCTCAGCTTGCTAAATCTCATTCATAAAAGATTTCTATTTGAACAAAAATGAGTTGAAAATTTGATTAAGATTTGGCGAGCTTAATAAAGATATTTAGATACATCTTTTATGCATTTAAAATGCCAAAATATAGGGCACAAGAACACAGGCGGACATCAAACAAGCTCTGGGGGAACTGGTTTCATCGGCACAAACAATATGGGACGCAAACCTCAAGGCACTGGATTCAACAGGTTTCAACAACCCGTCTATGATAGCAGGTATTCCTCAAATATCAAATATATTTTTCCTTTAGGGGTGATAGATGGAATGCTGGTGACCACTATCGTGGTGGTCATCGTGGAAACTTTCAGACATCAAGGTTTTTCCGGGCATGAAATGCTGTGAAAGATCTTTAATCAAGCGTGTTTTTCACTAATACTTCAAAAAATTCGGCTTTATAAATAATAGAAAAATCATCTAGATACACGAGTTCGGGTACGGGTTCATTCTTGCGATCGAATCAATTCAAGAATATGATTGTCGGAGCAGCAGCTGGATATTTGACCTATCAAGCCGGAAAGCACATTATTCGAAGCATGGCCGCTCCAATGATGTAAAATAACAAAGAATATAAAAGATAGCTTTGACTTTCTAGGTGGCATAGTCGCCCATATTATTGGGGTCAATCTTATTATCAACCCCATCGTGGCTACACTCAAATGTGTCGAATGCCGATTCAACCAAATGATCCCCAATTTGGAAATATCTACTTGCAAGTGAGCCGATAAAGAGTATAGCAAGCAATCAGGCAAAAAGGATTTGGATTTGAAACTGAGATTTATAGATTGAATGCAACAGTTGCTACTTATCGATTTATCGACTTATCAAAATTTGCATAAATTTTTCAGGATCAAGTGAGCCGTCCACACGAGCTCGTTTGGGGCTGTGGAGCGTACGAGGTGTGTTGTGGGATGGAATGTTGTCATTCTGGAGCATCACCTCAACAATCTCCTTTCACCATCGGGTACGCCCTTGTGCTTCTCTTCGTTGTGCGAGCCTACGTCTTCTAATCATTTCTATCTTATATCTTATCGCCATCTTTTTTTGTGTGCCTTGTCACTTAGCATTAATTTGGGGGGAAAATCTCTTTTCTTTTAAATCTGATTCATCATGAGTTACCTAAGGAGCGTCATTTCATGAAAGATTTATTCAGTAATTGTCCTCTTTCTCTTACTAACTACCTATCTCTTTTTTTTTTCACGGCCATCACATTTTTGCTCACTTGTATCGAGATTTTCTGCATGCATGCTCATATCAGTTCTTTAGATCCTTTTATGGTTTTCATTGTCGTGTTTTAACAATGCATGTTTCTTTACTCGTAATGAAACAGCCTGTAAACGAGCTCACTCACTTAAAAAATCACAAAATGATGACTTTTTTTTAAAAGATTAGAAAAAGAGAGCTTGTTTTCAGGCGCCTCGACTATATTGGTCACAGAAATTGGTGAATGATCACACAGCCACTTGTATCACACAGACTTTCATTAAATATTATCTGCTTACTCATTCATACAAAAAAATTTTCGAATTGCCATAATGAAAATATATAATTTCAGTTTTCAAAAAAATTCTTACCAACTTTTGTCAGCATTTCGTTGCATCTAAAAACTAGAGATTATTGCTGATCTATTGCTCAAACTTGCTACTAGATCTATTCAGTCGTTAAACTTTTCTTGTATAGTTCTTATCTTCTTTTTTTTTTCACTACGCATGCTCTTGTTGCCATTTTCAATATTTCAGTGAATCTGTTGATAAAAGTGCCATAGATATAAATATGCACATTGCAAAAAAAAAGACGAAAAAAGAGAAACGCTCAATTTGTTGTCATTGTGTCGCACCAATAGCTTTGTGTATTTGTTGATTGATCTGTTACACCTCTTCATATTTCATGTTACCGTATTTTCTCTAATAGTAGTGCACCCTGAGCGTCGCCTAAATTCCTCGAAATCTCGAGAACCGCTTATCAGAACCTATCGATGTGGGGTCGGAAAATGTAGCTGACGATGAGATCTAGTGGGGGATTAGAGTGTTGAGCTTCTGCAAACGCTTGAAAACCGTAAAATAGTCACCAACTCGGCTCGCCGGGGTGCACTACTATTAGAGAAAATACGGTATCTTTTAAAAACTTTTTTTTGACAAGATCTTCTACAGTAAAGTCGGTTATTTAGGATTAAAATATTCGAATTTTCGAACACTGATAAAAAAATGTGAGCCAACAAAAGAGTAACAAGCAAAATCAAATGCAAAAGAGTTGAGTTCCGTTGGGTACTTGTCTAGATTTCCCATTTACTTCATCTGTATGCATAGCCATAAAGCTTTCTTTTAGTTAGAATGACTCTATTCTATTTGCCTACCTGATCTAACTATTCTAGAGTACTTCTCGTCATCTTCGTCATCTCCCTTTTATCAATGTTTCTTCTCTTTCACTTTTGCAAACGAAGAAGGGAACGTCAAGCTATCTATCAATAAAAAAACATCTCATTTTTCATGTTTATCTCTACCACTTTTTTTTCAGAATATTCTTTTCAGCTTTTATGATGCTTTTAACGGCTTATGAGACATGTTTAGATAGTATTAAAATTTCAATTATTTCTTTATTTCTTTTTCATTTCATTATTTCTCAAATCATATCAAAATTTAAACAAAAAAAAACTTTGATAAGCCTTTAATAACATTTAGATTTTTAGCCCAAACAATTTCTTTTTATATTTTTCTTTGTTTTTTTTTGTACCGCTCATATCATGACCATTGTAACAATCAGTAGATTTGCCAATACGGGTTTCAATAAAGTTTTTTTTTTGCTTCTGTTTCAAACTACAAGCATTTATTAACGAGACCTAAAAAGGAAACATAAAACTGAATACTTTTTGACTAATAAATTTTTAGAATGTTTTTAGCTGCAGAGAACCCACCCGTCAAGGGCTTAGAAATCACAAAATAAAAACTTTGTAAAGAACTGATTCAATACGGTCATGCTGAAAATGTAAATTCATTTGTAAATCGATGAAAAATGAGGCAATCCTTGGGATTTTGCGATGACAAATAAATAGCGAAGAGTTAAGGCAAGCAATGAGACCCGCGAAAGAAAAAAGGGAAACAAAGTTGACAATTGAAGAAGGCACAATCACAGAATAGCGTCGAGAATAAGTGAGCAAATTGACTGCAAAAAGAAGTGACAAAAAAATGGATTTGATATAAATGAAAAGCACTTGAAGATGATAAAGGATTCAAAAGGAACAACAAGAATTGGTACAAGTTTGTATAAAATCGGAAATCGATCTATGAACCACTCAACAAAGAGCCATTACTCATCGTTTTACTTGAACTTTTCTTGAATAACCCAAAGAGTTTCTTTTTCTTTTCTTTTTGTGGTGAAAAGGTGGTGGATGTGGTCGTTGATCCACCGGCCATTGATACCGAATCTGGTCTAAAAACGAATAGTGTTCAAAGATTTCAAAAATCTCAAAAAAACCCCATCCAAAAACATTTCTAAACCTACAATGTACTAGTGCTCATGTACATTTCGGCATGATCATCTTTTGGATGAACATAGAAATTTGAGATCGGTTGTGTTGATGGAGAATGAAGGGAAACACCTGAACATATCATAATTTTGACGATTATATTCATTTTGACGATGATCACTTGCACAAACAAACAAAAAAAAGCTCACCGTATTTCTTCGAATAGAAGACCGGGTAAAGACCTGTAGCAGCCCTTTTTAAAGTTTCTTTTTTGCATAAAAGCTTTAAATGAAGTGCTATAGGGCTGGAAAATGACTCAAAAATAGCACATGAGCTAACAGATTTTTGAGCCATTTTCCAGCTCCTTAGCACTTGATTGAAAGCTTTTATGCAGAAAAGAAATTTTAAAAAGGGCTGCTACGCAGGAGTACGCGATGCTACTCTTTACCCGGTCTTCTATTCGAAGAAATACGGTATTTCTGATAATAGATTGTTAGAATGAAAAATGGATTGAAAAAATTTCATAACGAAAGAAAGAAAGATAACTCAGTTCAGTCAGAGAAAACAAACATGCCTGTTAGAGTTGAATTTTGAGGTCGATTTGTTGATGGCTTTGTTCCAATGACCGCTGCTGATGTCAGTGATTTTGAGCTGCCCGTTGAGCTTTCTGAATACTTTTCTTCACTTCACTTGTTTCGCTGTTTCGCTGTTTCGCTCATTCAATTGAATTTCTGTGAATGATTAGTTTTATTGCATGATCGTGCAGTTATATTTGCTAAACTATTTGATACACTCAAGCTAGATATCGTGCAAATTTGTAGATGTCAAAAGGAAAGATCTTTGTTTTTTTTTCCTACAATAAAAATGACTAGAAAACACAGGGGAAACATCATAAAAGATATAGAAGAGAAGCGCGGAAAATAAAACAAAAAGACAAAGGGAAATCTCACAAAAACTAAAGCCTGACTCACAATTTTGCCGTTTTTTTTCATCGAAAAACTTTTTTTATTGAAAGATGCAAAAAATTTATTACAAAAATGGCTAATTGAACGTTTTGGGTGAGTTTTTCTGTTTAAAACGTTTCTGTTTTTCTGTTTAAAACGGTAATCCTTTAGCTCAATAGAAAAGTGACAAGTGCACACATCATTACGACAGACGAAAAGAAGAAGAACAGAAAAACAACGACCAACATGCAACACTCGATTTCCATATTGAATTGAAAGATCGAAACGAAAGGAGTTGGAAAACGAGCTCATCCACCACCCACAGAAATGCTACTCGACGAGGCGGAAGACGTGGAAATGCGACTCACGAATCGTGGAATTGTTTGTGCTGTTTGACTTATCCCACCTCCACCTGCACCTCCACTTAGCTCACCTGATCGATAAAACTGTGATGAGCCTGATGTGTGTATTGGGTTTCTTGCCATCCCGATTTCTAAATTCGATACATTTGCCTATGATCCAATTAGAAAATCAGCATATGGTGTGCCCTAATTTGCATACGTTCTCGGGCACATCAAATTTCACAAATTACTCTAACAAATCCAAATGAAAAATATGCTCTGAAAATTTGCATAATTTGAATGCATCAGAGTCACGTAAACCATCTACTATATATAAAAGAGCAGTGTCTATTTGTACAAGCATTTCCTCGGTCGTTTTTTTATCAATAAAGCTAAAATTTCTTTAGAAAACCTTAGAATATATTGTAGTTGTAAAAAAGAAAAAAAATTAAGAAGTCGAAATTGAGTGGCACTACCAGGGTCGAACCCGGATTGTGTGGACCGTTGAAAAGCACGCTTCCGACAAAGGTGGTTAGGCAGGTTTCACCGCTGGTAAATTCAAAGCCCCATCACCAGAAGCCAAAAATTAACATGTTTCTCTCTTTTTTGCAATGCAGTGCTAAGTTCAAAGCCAAACATTTTTATTTATTGTGCTTTATTTAGTTTTCGAAATCGAAATCTTCGAATTTTTCTCTATTATCGAACATTTTCATGTGTGTTAGTGCTAAATGAGTAATTTTTCACCAAATTTCCTTTTTGAGCTCTTTTATCTAAACGGGGTTTTCCATTTGTTGTTGTTGTTTTTTTTGTGTGCAAAAACGGCAAACAGTAAGCTTACCACTAGCGTAAAGAATCGAGAATCCACAAAGATCTTCAATTTGTTGCCATCTTTCTTGCATTTCTCGTGTGCTTGCTTGAACACGTTCCATTCTTTGCCTTAAATATTTAAGAACTATTATATTTACCTCAAAAATTTGCTGTTTTTACTTGATAAAGTAGATTTGCGAGTCGACTTTATCAGCTCCCGTGTTACCTCCAGTTGCTAGTTTTAGAGAGTTTAATAAAGAGCCTAAATTTTATTATTTATTTGTTATCTTTTCTGAAAACCTTGACGCCGAGCCACATTATTGATTTCCTCCATTGCAAGTTTCATTTCTTCAACACACCTTAAATGACCAATATTTTCAAATAGTGCTTTCAACACTCACATTTGTTTTTCTGCTTCGGAAACCGCAAGCTCAATTTCACAAGTTTTACGTAGAAGTGGCTGTAAAGCAAGTGGTGTGGCTGAGCTATTGATCTCCATATTCCCGAGTCTTTTGTGTGCTTCTTCAAGTTGCTCTCTGAGATGTTCCATTTCTGCTCGTGACGCTCCCCCATCAGCTGTTGATCTCTTCATTCTATCATTATTTCTACAAATTCTTTCATTTCTTTTTCTTCTTTCATCTTCAATCTCACTTTTGCTGTTGAAGCCAATCGCTTTCCAACGTTTTCAATTCGTCCAATTTTTCGCGCAATTGTTGTTGCTCGCTGAGTGCTCGCCGTTTGTGTCTCCAAAAGAGATAACCGGTGCTTGTTAAAAGAAGTACCTAAGTAGAAATTGAAAAGTTTGTTATTTTCAAAAACAACTCACCAATAATGCAAGAGCAATATCTTTGAATCGACTACTAGAATCACGATACCCAAAAAGCACCACATCAAGAGCATTCAGCCGAAGTTTTTGCCGATGCACTGATGACTTTATATTAAGAGTGCTGGTCATGAACGATGAATTGTGAACAGCCAACCTAATAAATGCAATAAATTCAATTCAATTTTGTCTACCATGAAAGCTATTTTACAAACCTTGGCAAATGTCGTCCATCAATCTTGAGACTCGACAAAACTCCGGCATATTGGGGTAAATTGACGACATTTGTGATCCAATCGATCACCTAAATATCACCATTTCTTTGGCGATCCTTTACCTTGTTTACCTGTTCATTTGTCCATACTCTTTCCTCACTTTCGAACCATGCTTCCCATAGATCATCAATTGTGATTGCATCATCTTCTCGATGAAATGCTTTTTCTCTTCTTCGTGCATCTGATCCTCTCATATTCATGTCTTCTGTCATGAACTAAAAACTTATTTTTGTACATTCGACAATATTCTCTCATATTTATGGATAACACAAATGCGTTACTTAAAAACGAGTATGGATTATTGATGAGTTGTACATAATCATGATATTGGCCTAAAATAAAGAAATGCAAACTGACTAAGCTGACTAGATAATTCTATTTTTCATCAATTAGCTTTTAAACCCACAATTTTTGGCTAGAGAAATAATTTTGGTCAATAGTAGACAAATAAATAAAAGGCAAATAAAACTCTCGGCAAATATACGAGTGATGAGCAAAAGGATTGGTGAAAAAAAAGGAGTATCTAAGTAATTCACTGGGAATGTACTGAAATAATTGATTGATTTGTGGTTGACTTACCCCAGTACTTTCAGCTCGATCAATGCTCCCTGAATGATCATCATCCATTTCTCGATGAATTTCGCCAATCGCTGCATATCCAGCCACATCTCGCAATTTTTCTTCTTCGGCTGTGATCACCACACCTAGAATGGATTATCTCGTTGTGTATATGAAAAAATATTTTAAAACACATTTCTTTAATAATGACAGAATAATTTTTTTTGTAAAAAAAAGAAAAACTAACTTCGGGTTGGTTTCTGAACCTTTTTGTCAGCGACGACACTAGCAATCAGAAAGCAGATGGTGGAAATTCTAAAGAGATAACGTCATGAGTTTTAACTAAGGGATTCTATTTATATAGAATATCCGTTTAATAATAGGAAAGTTGGGCAAGTGTTAAAAAGAGCTTAAAAAAGAGCCATAAAAACCAACCTATACAGATTTAACATGGCATTGGACCGTAGAAAGAAATGATTAATAAAATAGGAGAAAAGAAAGATGGGAGACCCACCTGTAGAAGGAGAAAAAAGAAAAAGAAGAAGAGAAAAAGAGAAAAATATTAAAAGAGGGGAATGGTGGGAAATGAAGAGAGAACAGAGAACATTGTGCAGACATATAGACACGTCCCCTCCGCCCCCCTTCCACCTTCCATTCTCGTCCCTTCACCCCCTCTTCTCTCCTCACTGCTCACAACACCCACTAGCACATACAAATTCCGGTTTTTTTATTGCTTTTACAGGAATTAAGCTCTCCTCATCACCTTCACTTGCTTCAGGAGAAAAAAATTAAATAGGTGACAAAATTTTGGGTAATTATCAATAACAATTCCTTTTTTCATTCATTTTTCTACCAATCTTAGCTTTCTTTTGACTCAGTTGATCGATGCTCAATTGAGGGGGCGATAAAATCGAAACGCACTTCTTTCAAACTTTTTTTTTCTTCCTTCGTTCACTGTCACTCCACGAAGCATCCTCTCTTCAAGCGATAACCAGTTTTTAGTAATATATACTTTTTTTCCAGTAATTTGGCACGAAAGTTTTCTTTTATTCAATTACAGTGTATTTCATTAATTAATATGTTAGGAATTATCAAAATTACTTTGAATATTTTTGCTTTTATTGGATAGTTGCCCTAAAAACTACTGAATGTCAATTGCCGTCACAGATTTTTAGTTTTGTTTTGTTTTGATTGTTTTGTTGAAGAGCTCTATTTGTTTTCTAGAAATGTTTTGATTTGGCTTGTTTTTTGTCTTTATTTAATCAATTACCTTGCGCAAAACAAAGAAGGGAAAAAGGTTTTAGACATTCAATTTACTATATTCGTATGGGGCCTCAATAGATACCAAGTTTTTTTTGTTCGTTGATTATTCATTTCGTTTCAAATATGAACACTCTTCATCTAATCTTTTTTTAGACTGTCTACATGTTCGTTGTTGAGGATGAGCGAAGATTATGAAGTGAGGCTGAGACGCCAAATGATTGGTGGGTTTTTTTTATGATAAGCATTCGGAAGTCTTTATTATTTAGAAATTTCATTCAATATTTCAGAAATCTTTGGGCCTTTCGAGAGATTCAACATTCAACTTCTTGTTCCATCAACGAATGTTTGTTTTCGGATTCAATTTTCGTTCTAAAATTCTTTTCCAGGCCAGCTTTTCACCATTTCAACAAAAGGATTCCTCCAGGAGCAATTCTCCCACCACATTTCTCATGCTCCAGGTTCTTTTATCTAAACTTAATTTGTTTTTTAATTAAAGAAACGAATTTTTTCCTAACAAATATTGATTTCAGAACATGCAAAACCTTGTCGACAAATCGCCCATTCAACCACCGATTACCTCCAGAGCCACTTCTTTTGAAATTGAGGTTCATTTATTTTATGAGTTTATGTTAAAGGATCTACTTTTCAAAGTTTCCGAACAGTTTACATAAAAATCATTTTGAAATTTTTAAAAAGCAAGTTTTCAGGCTCAAACCTCAAACATCAAATCACCGTTAAATCCACCAACGAAGCTTTCGAAAGGAAATCAACTCAGTGAGAATGAGGTATATTTGAAGGCATTACAATGACATTTAGTCCTCAAAAAGTTTAAATACCAGCGATTCGTTGAATCCTTTGAATTTCTTTTCAATTTTTTCTTCAGAAACCGTTGAGAAAGGGAATTTCCGATTTGGACGAAATAACACCGATTCCGAGCAAAAAACCGGTAATTTTAGCAGTGTTCTAACTCGAGGAGAAATTCGCACATCTATTTTTCCCAAAAATTAACTTTTAGCGCAACGACGTTCTCAAAGAAACAAATCTACAAAAACGCGAGAAAGACGGAAAAATCTCGGTTTGTTTTTAATCAAATGAGTAAATGTTTTTCAATCTTTAGAGTTCAAAATCGATGAAAAGTGACCCACAAAAAGCATCCGGTAAGATTTCAATTCTAAATTTTAGTTAGTTTCTAATTCTGAGTTTGAGTTTGCAGTTTGACCCACACAAATCATCATGTAATTTTTCAGAAGTGATTGTTTCAACGGAAAAGATCTTGGAAGTTCTCACTTATCTTCCTCCAATTCTCACACCACCAAGACGTTTCAAAGAAAGGAAAGCTTCGCCAAAAGAAATCAAAGCTTCGCCAAAAGAAATCAAAGTTTCGTTATCTGTCAACAACGTGAAAAAAGAGGTTTGCTTTTATGGATCTCAATGCGTAATTTGGCTTAATGATATTATAAGCTTACGATCTTTTTATAATTTGTCGAAGAAAAAAGTATCTTCTAATATCTGAAGGTTTCGTATAATCTTCAATACTCTTAAAATATCAGCCCTTGCGGCTAAATTTTGTTTAATCAGACATAATGTAGTGAGGAATGAGACAGATTTGTATGATATTACAGATATTGTACTTTTATTTTTAAGGAACTTCCCGAAAAACCATCCGAAATGGCAAAAGAAAGAAAACGAGAAGAGCCAATTATGGAAAAGGAGATGAAAAAAGAATTTGAAATAAAAAAAGAAATCGGAGAAGAAGCGAGCTCGTCAAAGGAAATTTCATCTGAGGTCTTCGTGCCACCGAATGTGGATCGAATATCCGAGAAAATTAGAAGTCGAAATGGAGAAAAGAGGACACTTCGAGAGGTTGCTCCAAAATGAGTACAAACAATATTGTAGCTGTTTTTTTAGGAAAACATGTCACCGAGTTTCTCTCAATTGGAAAAGAAAAGGAAACACAATTCAGGTAAGCTAATTCTCGTTCATCAAACGCTTTTTTGAATAATGTAGAGATTGCATATTAACTTTCAGAAGCGATCGGAAATTTGAATTTGGGGCTTCTCGAGAAAAATCAATTTAAAGTGATTGAGGCGTCACTTAATCGAAAAATGTTGAAAAGTAAAGAAGAGAATCGAATCAAATCCGAAAGTACTGGTGGTGCAGGAGGGGCATCGATTGCAGCTCCAACAGCAGCTCCTACACCCCCTCCACCCCCACCTCCACCATCCTCATCCTCTTCAATTCCATCAACATTGTCTCCTCTTCCACCCCCAAAACCGCTCGTTTCTTCAAAAAAGCCACTCACTAGGGATCCACCTAAAATCTATAAAGGTACATTTAACAACAAAAATAAAAAATAATCTGTTTTAGCTGTGGATGAAAATGGAGTTCAGGATATGGATATTGCTGGATCGTCACCGGAAAAAGTTAGTGGCTAAATCTGAAATCTTTGAACTGAATGTTTTAGGAGGACGAGGAACCGCCTAAGAAAAATGAAACACCAAAGTCAACCTCATCAAAAGTGAATGTTGAGAAAATGACTCCAAAGGTTGGAATCACGTTGGAACTTATAAAACAAGTGATTTAGAAATCAAGTCCAAATAAGAAGCCAAAACCAAAGCAGCCGACTGAATGTTGTGCTGATAGGTGCATTCCATCACAAGCCACTGAACCGGATGTAAGTATGAAAATAATTTTGTCTCTTTGAAAAAGAAAAAAAATCTCTTTATTTCAAAAGCATGCATGAGTAGTTCTTCGTTCAATTTGCTCAATTTTAGCCAGCTCAACCAGGAATGACTGCTGAAGAATTCTATTCGAAACGTGCTCGAGACATCAAACATAAAGGAGATGGGCAAGTAAGAAGAAAATTCTGTGCTTTTTTGATTTTTAAATAAATTTCAGCAAAACGGGAATAAAGTGGAAAGAATGTTGTATTATTTGGAATGCATTGCATATTATGTGATGGCAGCTCGACATTGTGAAACCGATGAACAACGACATTCGTTTCTTCGATCAACAAGCAGTTTTGTGAAAGCGTGAGTATTAGAAAATTCTAAAATTTCTAAAACAAAACAACAAAATATTTAAAGGGTATTTTTTTCAGTATCGCCAAACATACACTCACTCTTCCAAGTCATTTCCAAGCTCGAATCACACACTTGTTGAAGAGAGTCGAAGCTGTTCAATTGTATCAACTTTACGCGACTCGATCTGTGGTTTGAAATTCAGGGCTTTACTTCAAAAATTCATCTGTTTATAGCAAGTTGTTCGAAATATGCAAATCGTACATCAATTGGAAAAGAGTGTCGATGAGAAACCGAATGGTGTCGTCAATGTAAGTTTCGTTTTCGTTTTTTGTCAAGAACGATTGTCATATGCGATTTCTGTAGAACATAGGATTACAATTAAATAGAAACAGTAATCATTAAAAATGCGAAGTCGAGGTCTTGCTTTACGATCGATCAAAATCATATTTTTAGGATTCCGGTTCCAATGAAAATCCACCCACAAATCCTCCATCAACATCTGAATCAAAAGAAGTATCAAAAAGAAACAAATAAAAAATATTATCTTTTTAGATTGTCATTCCGAAAACCCTTTACACTTTGCACAAGCAACAACTGAAAACTTTATCATATTTGATGACTGCACAAGAAGTGTGGGAAGGATCGAAAAAGGAAAATTCGGAAGAAATATCGAAGCTCCAAAAAACGGTAATGCTTGCAAGAAAAAGATTTTATATAAAAAGAAAATAGATGGAAACGGTGACAGGACATCGAATTGAATTGGATATGCCACTTGAGTCAATGGCAAGAGTCATTCTAACATCTACTTCATGGCTTCGTGAGGAAAGAAAACGAGAAGAAGCACGAGGTTGGCCGTAATAACTGAATATTTTCTAGCTAATTTTATCGTATGCCAACCAAGTTTTCAATGCAATTAAAAGAAGCAATTCTACAGTGCGTTTCATAATTTTTTGGATATCCCTAAAAATGACGGTTTAGAGCGATGGGGAACAGCCACTGGGTTAAGAAAACTTTTAGAAAAACTCTAGAAAATTTTCCTCTAGCTACAAAAATTCCCCGAAAGGTGTTTATTAGGGCTTCAAAACATGTTCTTTTAAATGAAAAAAATTAACCCAGTAGCTGTTCCCTATCTCTCCGTCATTTTTAGGAGTGTCCAGAGAATTATGAAACACACTCTAGTTGAAAAAAAACTAATCAGATGACTAGAATTTTGAAAAAGTTTAAATTCAAAAATTTTTAGACTCTCGATCGACTCCTAAAATTTGACAAAAAACGCATTGATTTTTTTTTTTTTTTTTGCATACTTCTGTGAATAACTTTTTTTTGCCTACCTATCCATGTACACTAGTTCATTGGAGTTTTAACAGTGATCAACATTTAGCTTATCTAAAAACGCTTTTTGGCTTTCTTTAATGGGTTTTTCAAAACGTACGGTAAACTAGTATAAGTGTTGTGATATTGGGGAAAAATATCTAAAGTATGAATCCTTTCCATTGAAATATACTTTTTGGGGTAGTACATATCCACATATCGATTTTGAAAAGATTTCTTTCTTTTTGCCATTTGCCCCTCAATTTGATATCAGATATCAGCCACATATTGTGATTGTCCAAATAAATTCTTCCGCTCATTCATTTACCCATCATTATCATATTTAGAGTGTGTGTTTCTCTCAAGAAATAGTTTGAAATAGGAAACGGGTACATTTGAAATAAACTGAATATCTTGCAAATTGTAGAAGATATTCAAGATTGTTCAGTTTATTTCAAATGTACCCGTTTCCTATTTTACACGATTTGTTGAGAGGAAAACATTCTAATCATATTATATCATATCTAGTCTTTGTCCACAACAAATGTACCCTTTTTTGTTCTATAAATGTCTGAAAGTTTTTCCTGATTATAGTGGTGCTCAATCGAAAAACACTAATCAAAAATTTTCTTTTGCTTTGACTCTTTTGTTTTTTTTTTGATACGGTTTTTCTCCTATTATTTTTTCTCTGTATTTTGTTTATATTTTTATGGGTTCAAATAATCTTACGGTGAGCTTTTAACGGATGTAAAGCTTTGGAGATAAATTTTAAATATTGCATACTTTAAAAAAACAAATTGAACAACAAAATAGACAGATACTAGAACACGTGCACATGAAAATCTTAGAATGATCGAAAATGGATATGATCAATTTGTTATCCACACTTTCTAATGCTGAGCACTAGTGATTTTTCAGTTACAGTTTTACACCAAGCTTTCCCCCATTTTAAAAATTGTACAAGATCTCTTTTTTTTGTAGCTAATACACAATTCTTTCTGAAAATCAAAATATAGAAACTGGATTTGAAAAGGAAAAAGGTATTTCATTGTGACCGCGTCTAAACAATAGAGATAGGCTAACCCCGTTGTTTGCCTTGTTTGTACAGGGTCCATATCCCATATCCCCATTTCCCCCCAATCACATATAAATACTCTCATTTAATCTCATTTTCCTAAACCATTCTTTCAAATTTTTCTAATCAAAATGCTTCTTTTATATTTCCTTTTTCCTGCCACAATTCTTTGCTACAATCGTCGCTTTTTTGAAAGTCGACAAAGCGAGAATTTCTTAGAAGAATTGCAGAAACAAGCGGATGATTCAACTACAATTGATCCAGAAGAAATTCTCGAAGAGGTCCCAGTTTATAAAGAAATATGATGAACTTTTATTTAGAAAGAGAACAAGATCAAGGCCACCACAAAAAGCATTCCTTTGACTCAGCGTGAATGTACGGGGGCACTATCAAGGATTCCGAAATTTGTTGAAGAGTAAATAATCTTAAAATTTCTCAAAAGAAAACTATTAATTAGGCTTGATTGTACAGCGGCTGATGAATGGAAGAAAATTGTGGAAACACAAACAGAACCACGATCGGAATTGAAGGAAAAAATGAGAAAATGGGCTCTCAAGTACAATGTTGAGGTTGGAGATGGGTAAAATCGATTTTAAACAAAAGAAATTTTTTGCAGGAAGAATTGATTAACTGGTTGAATGCTGAAGAAAATCTCTATAATCAAAAAGGGGAAAAGTATCAAAGTGTGCTTAATGGAGTTTGGGAAATGATTAATGTAAGGAAAGGAGGAAAGGAGAACGATCAGTTCAATGTATTCTTAGAAAATCGACGATTTGGCTAGAAATGAGACACTTTCACGATCCGAGGAACGACTCGCCGTTAGTCAACTCTATGAAAATGAGGACAAAATTGTAATTGAGGTTTGTTATTCGTTTAATTAATCCACTTTCTAAAAGGCATATCGATTTCAGAAAACGATCGTAAACAAAGCGTACAAATTGTACGACTTTTTAGGGGTAGGCTAGTTTCCGCAAATTTTTTAGGCAACAGGGTCATTTGCGCAACTGGGTCGTTTGTACAACTCGCCATAACTTTCTTCTAAGTCGACCAATCTTTATGATTTTGGTTTCATTTTGTTGCACTTATCGAATCTACGAATGAAACCAAAATCATAAAGATTGGTCGACTTAGAAGAAAGTTATGGCGAGTTGCGCAAAAGACCCAGTTGTGCAAATGACCCTGTTGCGTCTTGAATTCAGCTTTAGGATGAGTTATAAAACGTCAAAATTGGACAAATTTAAGGTACTCTCCCAGAAAATCGGAAAGGACTTTTCCATCAACCCAATAACTCTGTTGCGCAAAAAAAAGTTGCGGAAACTAGCCTACCCCATTTTTTACGCTAATAGATGTCTTTTAGAGAATGCATTAAAAAAGAGAAAGAATATAATATAAAAGTTGATAATATTCAAGGTTGTAAATCTTGTTGTTCAATTGGTTCGCTCGTGGGCCGGGGAAAAATTTCCCTTTCGAAAGATGCGCCCACTTGAAGGTGTTCAAATTTGGACCGAAATCTAAGCCAAGAAAAAGTGAGTTTACAAAGAATTTAAACGAAATTTTATTATTCAACTTTTAGAAAAGATTCTCTCAATTTTGAATGCAATTCTTTTTCTTCTTTTCTGTCAATTGATGTACATAATGTTTGCAACTGTTCTCGCTCAAAATTGCACGCTTTCACAATAAATTTATTTCTTATTAAAAGTTAATTGACGTTGCGTTAAATTGACAGAAAAAAAACATCACAAAATAAAAGAAATCTTTGAAATTGATTTGTTTTAAACATTTTTTTACTATTCATCATCTTGAGTATGGAAAATAATGGGTGGTTGAGCAGAGGTTGCCACTTGATGAGACCCCAATGCAAATTCACTCTCTTCTGATTTCTTTGCTTCATTCTTTTCGTTTTCTTTTTCGTTATAATCTTCCTCATCTTCTTCCTCTTCCGTTATATTTGATAATTGTTTAGCCTAATCATTTCATAAATCCACATAATTCTGAGCACTTACCGTATTATGACAAAGTGCATTCAGCATTCGTCCCACATCATTATCATAACTATTTGATGCCCAAGCTAATCTTTCTTTCACTCCCTAAAGTTATTTTAGTTATTTTTGAGTAAAATACGATTATAATTAAGAAATTGAGCTTTTTCATGGCTCTAACGAATTTTTTTGACTTAGATTATGTATCATACATCACAAGTTTATTTTTTTTTTAAGTTTTTAGAGTTTAGTTTATTTATTCTTAAGCTAGCGACACTAATCTGAAATGATACAAGTGTGGTAAAGGAGCATTTCACGATATAACTTGTAGCCATCACTTGTGCACTTCACGATATTTGTGATCTTTTTATAAAATGATTCTTCTACCTGATTTGTGTCAGCAAAAATATAAGCAGAAATCTGAGTGTCTACTCCATTGAGAGCAAGCAGAAAACCGAGAAGACCAAGAAGAGATGAGATCAATACTTTCAATGATCGTAGTTTATCTTGAGATATCATATGAGCATCTAACATTGAGATTAGCTAAATAGAGAAAAAATTGACATCATCCGCAGTTTCTCGATAACTTTTTCATGTGAAGCGTTGAAAAGCATGTCGATGTGCGCGGTCGGTTCCTGTTTTGCTGATCGGGTCTTTGTCACGATTAAGGCTAAATTTTTCGAAATTCTCTTATGTACATACCGTAAATACTCTAATAGAACGCCATTGTACCGTCGCTTAGTCTAACTTCCTTTTAGAAAATCATTTTTTTCTCAGCCTCTAGATTTTTTTTCTAACTACGCTTTGGTACCAAAAAAAATACTAGATTTCAAGGGCTATCATTTGAAACCCAAGTGAACACTGTGGCTTAAATCAGCGCGGAGAACAGGGCGCTCAAAGTTAGACTACGCGAGTGTACGTTCATCAACGATGGCGTTCTATTTCGTTCATTTTACCATTAATAGCCCTCATTTCTTTCGTCTTTCGTTCAATTTCTTTCCGTTCTTCAGCATATTTTTCTTCGAACTAAACTTTTGTAAAAAAAGAATCAGCTTATCAGTTTACTTCTAAATATTCTTCAAATTTTGGTATCAGATATTCTAGAGGAATTGGAGCGGTGAGATGGACATTTGGCTAAATAAGTTTAGTTTTTTATCGATCTTTTTGTGAACCTGGAGATTTCTGATGCGATCAGCGAGTGTCTTTGCAACCACCAACAACAATCCCGCGTGATCCGATTGTATTCGATATCGATCTATTAACATTTCTATGCTTCTTTTTTTTAAAAAGATTGACACTTGATTTGTTTGCTGTGAATACAGAAACGATAGCGTCACTACCATATACTTGAAGACCAAGGGAAACTGGATTTTCAGAGTTCATTTCTAAAAAACAATTTTTGAAATAAAAGAAAAACTTGAAAGGAAAAACTTAGGCTTAGGCTGAGGCTTAGGCTGAGGCTTAGGCTTAGGCTCAGCTTAGGCTTAGGCTTAGCTTAGGCTTAGGCTGAGGCTTAGGCTGAGGCTTAGGCTTAGGCTCAGCTTAGGCTTAGGCTTAGCTTAGGCTTAGGCTGAGGCTTAGGCTGGGCTTGGCTTGGCTCAGCTTAGGCTTAGGCTTAGCTTGGGCTAGGCTGAGGCTTAGGCTGAGGCTTAGGCTTAGGCTCAGCTTAGGCTTAGGCTTAGCTTAGGCTTAGGCTGAGGCTTAGGCTGAGGCTTAGGCTTAGGCTCAGCTTAGGCTTAGGCTCAGCTTAGGCTTAGGACCTGGAAAGATTTGCGGTAGAGATAATGGGGCTCGATCAGCATCAATTGTGATCTTGTAGTTGGCATTTCGTTCGGCTCCACAAGCCCGAAATAGAAGCTCCAATGGAAGCTCTTGTGAAATGATTCCACTTACTAAAATTAAGCTATAAAAATATAGGTTTACACTGCTTTTTTTTTATTTACTAACATTGAGTCCGCGTGTGATGTACGGTAATGTGAACATTGAGACTAGTCGGCGGATGAATTGGATTTATAAATAGGATGATTGACAGCGGAAATTCATCGGCTACAAAAAAAGAAATAAGGGGGAATTTCTGGGAAAACAACAATTTACCGGTTAAAACAAAGTGATTTTGTTGTATTTGAAAAGACGATCGAACATTGACTTGATAGTGACCATTTGCAAAATTACCATCTTCTGAAGAAAGTCTCAATGTAAGTGAGGGTACATCTGATGGAACATTGTAGGCTCTCTAAAATTTAGAGCATTAGCTCAAAAAAATTATTGGAGGGAAAACCGATGGCCGATCAAGAGAATCCCATTCTGCGCGTAGTTGAAGACTTGCTTGATTCTCATTTTCTGAACATGAGCTTGAATTTGTTTCTGTATAGAGCGACGCACTAGTGGATGAATTCGAGTTTAAAGCTTTTTCCATAGCAGACAAATGTCGATTCTTCTCTTCAAAATCGACAAATCGAGTTGGAGGTAATGGTAGACGATATAAAGAAGGTTCCGTTCCAAGATAGCTAAAGACGTTTTTAGTTTTAAAGATTTTCTATGTTTTTTTTCAAACCCAGTAACCACTCGTCCATCACTCGAAAGAAATGAAAGAAGATTTTGGTATGGTTCGCTAAATATTAATATTTTATATTTACCTACCGTAAATACTGTAATAGTACCCCACCCCTCTCGTACAGTCGCGTAGTCGCAAAAGTTGTTTAGTATTTCATTTTTTCAAAGCGCCCGTACTTTCAAAAAATGTGTCTTTGGTATGAAAAAATAGCCCTGAATTTCAGCTATTTTTTTGATACCCAAGCCCGCAATATAGCATAAATCAGTGTCGAGAAAAACGCGTTCAAAGCTAGACTACGCGACACTCCGCACCGTCATTATGGGGGTGGGGTACTATTACAGTATTTACGGTAAATAAATAAGCTAAATAATCTTTACCATTTAACCTTTCAAAAATCATTTTCTAAACCTAAAGTTTCCAAGTTTCATTTGCACTGGTGGAAAGCGCATTTGAAAATTCCAGATGAGATCGTTGTCACTATAGAGCAGAACTGTGTTGATCGAGGTTGCAATGCACATGTGAACTTTAGAAGAATTCACTGAAATTTCAAGTTTATAAGAAATGAAGTGAAAAATTGAAAAACTAACAAGTATTATAGACAAGCAAAGAGAGGCCAATTGCTTCCAAATGAATTGTATAGCGAACATTTCCACCGGATGTTAAACAAAAGACAATTCTTCGACACAACACAATGATTGATGGCTAAATACCGTATCTTATCTAAATGCCGTATTCTTGAATTCTACTTGTACTGCAGGCCATTCAGCCACCACCATATCTAACGCCATATCGCCCACATTCAATGACCAATCGAACTGAATTCCCTTTTTCATTACGTTTTCCGTATCCATTACCGTAATCTTTTTTCCCGTATTGCTGACACTTGCTAAGAGACTGAATTTCACAGAATTTATCTAAATCACATTCACTTAATTATTTAACACTTTTTACTCGGCCAGCATTTGTGATGAGTAATGATTCGGAAGCCTTGCAATAAACGAGAGGACCCGGATGAAGAGCTGGGATTGGAGCTCTTTGAAATACACACTCTTCTCCTTGAAATAATGTAAGACTGCAAGAGACTCCTTGCACAAATAACTGGGGATTACGGCCCGGCACAGCACACATATTGTATGAAGCTTCTAGAATCTTTTTAGAAAAGTAATCCAAATTGGGGCTTTACCAGTTAACGCATGTGTATAAACTTCTTCAAGTTTAGTCGTCGCACCATCACTTGTAGCTGAAATTTGATAATATCTTGAAAAAGAGCTCTAGCAACTTTAGATATCTAACTGTACGTACGATTCGAATAATTACAGTACATTGAACAAGTCGAAAGAGGAGCAGATGATGAGGGCAAAGCACGGCGAGTAACTTCGTGTCAATAGCAGAGACAAATTCTCCGATCGCAAGCTAAAAGGGGCACATGCAATGACTGTGAAAATGTAATGAAATTCAATGAACATGATGTTTAGCTGCTTTAAAATATAAAACCGTTTTTGCAATATCACCTGTATAATGGGTAAATTGAGGTGATGTTGTACAAGTACGGATTCCTCTCCTCGTCCCCGGTTTCCTCCCGGATCGACAACAATAATCAAACCCTCTTCCGTACCAACACATAGTTGATCTAAATTCATTTTCTTTCAATATTTTCATTTTCAGTCACCTCTTCCTTTTGTCAACTCGCCGGTTGCAATGGAAGTAGCTGTCGGAAAAATATTTGAATACCATTCATTTAATTTGAAAAGTGACATTTTAGACTTTCTGAGTTATGTTAGAAATGGTTTTGTTGAATTAAAGACAAAAACTTGTCCTATAAGCGATTTTCTCATTACCCTCTGTATTTTCTTGTTCCCATGGTGATTGTTCGCGGGTTTTCAAATGTTGTTTAATTCTTTGATGTCAATTGGGACATTGTTTTTTTATCCATTTTTATCCGTTCAACTTTTCAACAGTAAAAAATTGCGTAAATAATGTAAAGTTCTTCTAAGTTCTTTAGCTACCCAATGTAAACTCAATGCAAAGTGCTTTTCAAGTGCTAATGTGTAATTAGTAGCCTCTCGTCGTTTTTCTTTCGAAATTCCCATTGTGTTTCTTTTTCTCTCACAAATTTTAATAAGTTTAATAAGATGGGTATATTTTTTTCTTTTGTGAGTGTTTATTGCTTTCTTTTCCAGTTTCTCTAATTGCTGATTTTTAGATGGACCGCCTACAGCCACTTCAACGTTTGGAAGACGACTATTATGTCGGCGAAATTGGACGGCCAGCAGTCGAGAGCGACTATGATTCGAGGTATTTTTAATTTTTCTGTTTGCAAGATGTTAGGTTTATGATTTAGTTCTGATGACGAGCTGCAGCACGAATTGAAGCGGCTCGCCGGCATTCCGAATTGTAAAGAAGTGAAAAAGAAAAAGGTATGGGATAGTTAGTGTTTTTGTATATCTTTTAACTATTCTAATTAAATGTTTAGCCGTTTAACGCAAAGAATGACCATTTTTAGAAAGAGATGAATTCGTTGATGAAATGGAGAGCGATTTGGATGATAGCATTTCAGAATACGCACGCAAACACATGGGTGGTTCAAATCAAGATCTCACAAAGGTAAACCTTTAAAATTTTTGTTGTTTTTATTTCAGCTTTAGGACGAACTTCCCCAGCTTGTTGACCCAACTACGGACAACGAGATGGAAACGTCGCTTCCTGGTAGTTAAAATAAATCGTATTTTCTTATTGCTTTACTTTAGGTACTTCAAAAGATACTAAAAGCACGCCAGCTTCAAAAGATACCAAATCGCCAAAGAAACAGAAGAAGGTGCTGTTACATAATTTGCATCAAGTTATTATGCTTAATTTATCAGGTCACTATAAATGAAGATGTTGAAATGGGAGATGCAAAAGACGGGGATGAGACGAATCCCATTCTTAAAATGGCAAAGGCTCAACTTAAAGAGGTATTTTACTTTGAGTTGTTGTTTTTTCCTATTAGTAAAAATAATCTTTTCCTTTTAGAAAGAAGAGAAACCTGATTTCTATGACTCAGACGAAGATGAAGATAATGAAAGGTTTCTCTTTTTTTTTATTCACAGATTATCGCATTATTTTAGGTGGATTGCTGAAAAGCGACGACAAAGCAAAGGAATGAAAAAAGATGAACAAGGAAATTCGAGTGCTTCTGGCAAGGAAAGTCGAGCAAAAGTTAGTTAATTATTTTTTGCGGAATTTTTATATGCTTTTGAGGTCGTAATGCATTAATTTGTTCATATTAGTTAGGCCAGATTGTTTGCAATTATTCATGAATGATTTAGATAGATGATGAATCGGACGCAGTTCTTTCTTGTCCCGGTTGTATGTCACTGCTCACACGGGATTGTCAACGCCATGAAATTTACAAGAATCAATACCGGTAGGTGACTGATGATTGTGATTGCTCTGCTTAACATTTTCCCGATAGCTATGATTATCATCGGAACTGTAAATATACATAAGTGAGTCAGAGATCACTCATAAACACAATAATAAGCAAAAAATACCGGGCGGCTTTTATATAATCTACTTAGGTATTTTAATTTTGATTAGCCTTCGACTCCTTGATGCCTTTTAAACTAAAGCAAAAAATTGCGTATTGAAAGTGTATGATATTTGCATATTTCAGGGCGATGTTTGTAGAAAATGTCGAAGTTGTTGACGAGCTGATGACGGTTGAGGAAACGGGCAAAACAAAAAGAAATAAGAGGCGAAAAGAAAAGAAATCTGGAGTCGAAGTAATCCTTTGACTGTAATCACTAAGACGTAAAAAACTAAATTTTACTTTTACATATCATTGATCATGAGTAAACCAGTGGTCTTTTTAATTAGGTTATTATTAGGTACTAATATGCTTGGGGGAGGGTACTTTTTTCCAAGTTAAACACTTTTCCGCGGGTTTAAACACCGAGGGTGCCGAGTTCGAATTCGTCAAAATTCGTTTCGTTTTCGTTCTATTTGGATAGGTTGTTTTCATTCAAAAAAGAGAGTTTAGACAAAAAATTGTTATCAGTTTTCGGGGGTGTGGGGCACTTCAATGGGGCTAGTTTGATCCCAAATTGTTCGTAACTTTTTTCGTTTTATTTTCATATTATTAACATGCCATAATATAATAATGCATGTCAGGCGGGTGTGCACTTAGGTAGGCTCGGGTTGGAGTAAGTGCTGCAAGCTTTCTGGGAAGTAGATGGGACTGAACCCGAACTACCTCTGGAGAGCTTACGCACTCCCAAATCTACCTAAGTGCAACCCCGCCTGAGATGCGTTATTATATTATGGCACGTTAATAATAAGCAAACTTATTGAAATTTTGACAAATTCGAACTCAGAACCCTCGAAAACCTCTGAAAAAGTGTTTAACTCGGAAAAAAAGTGGGCCCCAAGCATACTAGTACTTGGTATTAATTAATTTTATTTAGCATCAATTCGGCGATAGAGATCTCTTTTATCCAGTTCGATGTGTCGTTTGCAAGACTTCTGTTGGAGTGGTCGATTTGGAAGAAGTTTATCATTTTTTCAACGTTCTTTCGGGTTACGCTTAATTTTGTTGTGATACTTGATAAATGGTTCTATATATATTAATGCATATCGAGGAATCGCACAATCAAATATCGTTATTAAAGACAAACATAGTTTTTACCGTTGTAAAGACATTGATGATGCATCAGTGTGAAGAGTATGCATCATATGGGCCAACGAAATGCACCTATCGACGCATTTCCTTTTTGCTCTTTTCCTTTCAAGAGCGAGCTTATTTTCATTGTGCCATTGTTTACACCATATTTCAGCTGTTTCGTCAGGTAATTTTTAAGTGTGATTGATTGAAACAACACCAAGCATTCACTTTATATTTTGCTTAACCAATTTGATATTCCTCAAAATTTATGCATGAATTATTTCAGAACAATGATGCCTCAGCCTACAGCGCCTCCTTTTGGAGCTGATTTGCCTCCATCTTATGAAGTCTCAAATACCGATGGTTTGTATGAATGGCTAAAGTTCATAATGGGACAAAAATGATAACTATGTGGCATTTAGCTTTGTTGTGAATACCATAAGAACATTAAAATGTAACCAGGATTTTTTTTTTACTTTTAAACGCAACTCTATTTAGCTCCTCCATCATATGATTCACTCTATGGAGAATTCAGACAGGTTTATTTCATTACTTTTGTAAAATACAATTTCAAGAAAATTTCCTAGGTGGAAGATCCAAAAGGATTGTTTTCATTTTTGGGACGAGCATGGAAAACGATCACTGGAACAGGTATGTGAAAAAAAAATCAAAGAAAATAAGACTCTCAACATTTAAGTGACTGCAATGATTGCGATTGCTCTCCTTAACATTTTCCCGATAGTTATGATTATCATCGGAGCTGTGAATATAGATAAGTGGGTCACAGATCACTCATAAACACAATAATAAGCAAAAAAAAATTACAGCTGTGAATTGAAAACAATTATCCCGAAATGGTTGATCGTGACAGGCAGTGTTCATCTCGTGAAAAGCGCAATGACATATTACTTCAAATTGAAGGTTTTCATTGAAAAATATATCGTTTTCTATTTATTTAAAACCTGGAAGCTTTTGGAGCTGATATTTCAAGAATTGGGATAATATTGGGGATTTCTTTTTAGTTACGTGTGGTGAGGATTGGATAGTTGAAGATTGAGAATTGGAAATTGAGAGTACTCGTTTGAAATGATTGAAATGATTGAAATGATTGCAATTTCAGAAAATCGAAAACCCTCCGAGTCTCGCCAAATCCTTCGAAACACTCTTGAATTTGTTCAGCACTATTTGGTGGGAGAATAAAAAACAAAATACAATCATACATAAATGCTTGCATCTTTAGGTTCATCCTTGGCAGTATTTGGGTTTACACGAGTTTCGGGGATTTCAATGGGAAAAACTGTGATCGTTTCATGATGTATTTCAGGTAAAGAGAGAAAAAAAAGTCATTTCCACATGCAACAAAAAATCATTTTTTTTCCAGTTTCGTTTTCGTCACAGCAACTTACGCGATCGCGGCATTAATGTGTTGTTGTATTTGTTGCTGTTGTTGTTGTATTTGTTTCAAAAGAGCTCACGATACAGTACCACCCGTTTAAATGATTTTTGAATGACAAACGTTGATTCACTTTGATTATAACTACTAGAGTGTGTTCCTCAAGAGTAATGCCTTTTTTTTAAACGCATACTTAGGAAAAATGACCGTACTTTAAGCAAAAATTGTGGGAGCGGGACCGATGCGACCTTTTTTTCCGCACCTTGCCCATTAGCACACCTTTTTTCGCGTTTTAAAAAACTCTAAAAAGCTAATATTAGCCAATTTCTATTCCAAATGTTGTTTTTCTAGGTAATTTTAGGGCGTAGAATCGAAATTTTGACATATCAGAGCTTGTGGAAACAAACGGACGGAGTTCTACGAAGAGAAAAATCGACAATTTTCTGTAATTTGATCTAGCCGTTTTGTCTTTCAAATTGGTTCCACACGCTCTGTTATGTCAAAATTTCGATTCTACGCCCTAAAATTACCTAGAAAAACAACTTTTGGAATAGAAATTGGCTAATATTAGCTTTTTAGAGTTTTTTAAAACGCGAAAAAAGGTGTGCTAATGGGCAAGGTGCGCAAAAAAAGGTGCGCAAATGTCCAGGTGCACAAAAAAAGGTCGGATTTGTCCCACTCCCAAAATTATTGCAAAAAATCACGAGCGACCACTTATATATGACCCTTTTTAAAGATATTCAGCCGTTTAAATGATTTGGTGGCAAATTCCCTTCACATGTAAAGATATTCAATTTACTCGACGTGTAAAGTGGATTGCTCGTAGTTGCTGGACCAAAAACGTCGATTAATCGAGTAAAAATTACTCATGCAGATTTTACTCGAGTAGTTACTTACTCGCGAGGAACGCACTCTAATAACTACACTGTATTTTGTGAGTTTGTGACTCTTTTCAATGACTCACCTCCTTAAAATCTGCTATAGTTAGCTGCTGACCTCAACACAAAGTTTTCAAATCGCACTTTTTAAACTCGTAAACAATAGGCGTGCCTGTAGCCTTAAGCACTATTCATTTTACTTTTCAATTCAAAACTTTGTGTGGTGAGATCAGCATCTTTTCAACTATAGCAGATTTTAAGGAGATAAGTAATTAAAAAAAGCCGAGTATACATGGGCCTTTTGTAGAAAACGAGTCCCACGTTTTAGCAAACAGCTCTTTTTTTTCTAAAGCTCGAAATAGCATTTTATCTATGCTTTAGAAAACAAAAGCTCTTTGCTAAAACGTGAAACTGACTCGTTTTCTACAAAAAGCCCATGCCAAGAGCCGTGTTTATTCTTCTCGACTAAAAACTCGAATTACCGTTATCAAAGGCAAGATTCCGGTAGCTTTCGAAAGTTAAAATGCTGAGAAAATGTTTTAGTCGAGAGAAACACACTCGAATTCTAAACCTTCAAAAATCGAGAAGCCAAAGTTTACCAAGGTGTTCATGAACGAATCATCGAGTAATCAGCGTAACATTTGTTTATTTATGTGAGCGAAATTCGATTCATCCCAACTGTTTACATTCGATTCATTTTTTTCAGGTTTTTCCGGGTATAATTTTCATTTTAGATCACTGGTTTCATTTTAATCTCTTTCTCCAAAAAACTAGACTCATCTAGGCGTAATCCGTTTTTTCTGCTTTTTGCTTAATCGTGCATATAATTTCTGAGATCCACCCTATTCAAAAAATTATCAAATCCAAAAAGGCAAAAATTTTCGCGATTTTGTACATTATTTCTCGAAACTTTTTTCCACCAAGTTTTACGTAAAGACTTTTCAGCAAATTTTCGGGGGTGGGACAAATGCGACCTTTTTTTTGCGCACCTGGACATTTGCGCACCTTTTTTTTGCTGGAAAAGGCCTTAGGAAAGGCCGTAGAGCTTCGAAAATATTTCGAAAATTTTTCCATATAAGGGAATCGTATGCGTAGATTCCGAATTTCGACAAATCGGACCTCGCTGACACGTCAAATTTGGGTTAAAAGGCAAAAACTGCGGAAAAGCGTTAAGTTGGGTAGTTTTTGCTTTTTAACCCAAATTTGACGTGTCAGCGAGGTCCGATTTGTCGAAATTCGGAATCTACGCATACGATTCCCTTATATGGAAAAATTTTCGAAATATTTTCGAAGCTCTACGGCCTTTCCTAAGGCCTTTTCCAGCAAAAAAAAGGTGCGCAAATGTCCAGGTGCGCAAAAAAAAGGTCGCATTTGTCCCACCCCCAAATTTTCAGCAAATTTCAGCAATTTCAGCAAATAACAGTAAAACCACGTTGTGATTTGTGTTTTTTTTTGGTATTTTTTAAGAATAAACATTTGATTCGGTGAAAAATTGAAAAAAAAGAGAAGAAGACAATGCATGCTTGCAAACCGCATTTGTGTGGCGAATTGTCACCTAAAGTTGCCCAAAAATGTTTCAGAATAGGTTTAAGATCGCTTTGGAGAGAAAAGGACGAGTGGAATCCTTAAAAAGAAGTGTCTCTGGAGCTACGGTCATTACTGTTTTTTATTTTGTACCCCTCAGTTTTGTTGTCTATCTAAGCATAAAATCGTTTTCGGATTCCTTTTTCATTTGTAAAAAGTGCTAAGTACGAGTTGGTACTATATTTTTTTGTTTGTTCCGAACACGTGAATTTGTCCACTGCTATTGATTTTGTCACATCAAAGCGAAAGCTTCCAAATCATCAGAAAGTTGGAATAAATATCGTGTCGTGAGTCGTTGAGGAAATTCCATCAGTGAGATCAGATATCTTCAATGGCTCCAATGGACAGGCCCAAGTGGAGGGGAACCCCCCTAAAGGCCCCCCCCAAGGACCCCCCCCCCGGGACGCCCCCCCCCCCCCCGCCCCCAAGGGCCCGCCCCAATGGACAGGCTCCAATGGACAGGCTCCAATGGACAGGCTCCAATGGACAGGCTCCAATGGACAAGAAATTAGCGTGTGTGTACTCCAACAAGTGTACTCCAATAAATGAAGAGTACCAGACACGTAAAACGTAAATTTCTTACAATTTGACAGTTAAGAAAGAGGTGAATCAGTAAAATGATCTTGGGATGAGTCTCTCTGCTTTTCAATATGCTTTCTCATTTCACTCCTTCTTTTCTTCTTTCTAAATACATTCCGATTTCTCTTATGTCCTCTCCAATTTTCTTCACGCGTTTTCGACAACTCATCGCCTCCTCAGACTTCCCCTCTTCTTCCTCTTCCTCCTCTTCCTCCTTTCCTCCACCCCGTCTGACTTCAAAATGGGCATTTAGTGATGCTTTCACCAAAATCGCATTTTCCCCTTCTTAGGCTACCCTCTTTTTCTTTTTTTTTGTGTGAAGCCGACGGCATTCTGCTCCCTGGTAGGAGAACAAAGAGGCTCCAATGGACTGGTAGATGGGGAAGGAGAGTGAAACCCGATTCCCACTCTATGCACAGATCACCCTTGCCCACCACATATTCTCGTCCCAATTGACGACCACAATCCACCGCCCACCTCAAATCTTCGCTCATCCTTCTGAAGCGATGAATGCCACGGTTTTTTGAAAAACAATTTTTTCTCCCAATTAATCGTATTTGCAAGTTTTTATATTCATATACATGGCTTGGAAATTTTTGAACTAATTGTAGTGGTGTAATCGCGAAAGCAATCCGAGAGAAGAAGAGAGATGTTTTGGCTTTTGAAAAAGAAGCGGCTCATGTTGAGGGAGAATGACGCACATTCACATCTCGACTCTTTTCCATCTCTTTCCACCGATCAAGATGTCTCTCTCCGATTACCAGTTTTGATTTAAAATAAACCACTCATCCCTCAATCATTAATGGTAAAAATCTAAAGTTATTTACAAAAAATTAAATCCAAATTTCAGTTAGAAAGTTAGAAAGTTAGAAAACAGTTGAAGTTCATCTGTTTCTTGATTTGAATCACAAATAGATTCCGAGACGGTGAAACAGATAAGAAACCGGAACAAGGAAGAAGCTCCTCAAATAATAATCTTCTGCTGAGGGGATATTTTTGGGTATGAGCAGTGACACCTTCTACCGCTTTGGTCCCTTTTGGAGAAATCGAATTTCCTCGCGACTCGAGGGTAGCCACGTCAAAACTTACCCCTCCCTACCCTCACTCCTTCTCATATCTCTTCCTCTCATTTCTCCGAACTTCTTTTTTTTCGTCTTTCTCCTATCATATCTCCATCTACTCGACAATTATTCACCTTGATATCCAAAGACTTTTTGCAAAAGTTAGAAGCTTTTATTTTCCTCTTTTGGGTCAATCCTCGATTAGGGCTTCGGGTTGTTGAATTCATAATGAGGATCTGAGTCCAGAAGTGAATCTGCAGAGGGGAAAATGGTGAGATGAAGCCGAGGGGGGAAGTGAGTATCGGTGTGAAGAGTTAAGCCGTCATCAGAAGGGATTATCTGAGGCCTCTCAAAAAGGTCCCTTTTCGAACTCTCTGATCTCTTTTCACATTAATGCCCCATCCGATGTGAAAGATTTGCGTCATTATCCTTTTTATTGCTTTGATGAACCCCTACAGTTCTAAGTCATCTAAACCTCGTTTTTCCTTCTTTCCGACATCATGATGTTGTCATTTTTTTGTTATATCTCACGAAAAGCGAAAAGAAAAATTTAAAAAGTCTCATTTGCTCACTCGTGAAAGCATTATTTTTTTGCTATTTCTTCATAATTTTTTTTTATCTTTAAATTGTAGTATCCGACGATGTAACACATTTTTACGGCATCGTTTTCATAGTTTCCTCGTTCACCCTACAAAATCATATTAAAAATCTATTAAACGTTGTTTATTTGAAGAGATTATTTCAGTTTTTTTTAATTTCAATCCAATGTTTTCAAAGTTTCCAGTTAGATTTTTGTTATGACAGAAACAGCTGATTTGGGTCTATTTGTGAGAAATTGATGGAAACTTTCAATGGGAAAGCAGGCGGGGGTATTTTGAGGGGAGTAGCACAGACTAACAGCAGGGGGTGGAGGAGATCAGACACCGATGTGATCATTCAATATCTTTCTGATCAATTTTTTTTTCTTTTCCCGTGATCTCCTTTACTCATTATGCCTTCCTACGGAACTTTTGCTATTTTTTTAGCTTCTAGCTGGCAAGGTAGCTGTTTTGTAAGCAAAAATAAACTTTAATGAGCTCCATCTTCCCTCAAAAAGTACACAAATCTATGTGCGATACCGTAAGATATAACAAACTCTTTAATAAGAAAGCTTTGTTTAAGAAAACTCTGTTTAAGAAAGCTTTGTTGAAGAAAGCTTTGCTTAAGAAAGCTTTGCTTAAGAAAACTTTGCTTAAGAAAGCTTTGCTTAAGAAAGCTTTGTTTAAGAAAGCTTTGCTTAAGAAAGCTTTGCTTAAGAAAGCTTTGCTTAAGAAAGCTCTGTTTTCCAAGTCATTCACAACTGAAAATGCTGTTAAATGAATACAAAAACCTTTTCCGCTATTTCAATTTCTCACTATAGCATTAGTTTTTGACATCAAAATCACTATTTCACGTTGTTTTTTTCATATGAATGAATAAATAAAGAGCAATGATATGTGAGTACTTTCCACCTTGTCCATCTCCCCCATCTCTCTTTTTCACCTTTTCTTCCTCAAGGGGCGGTTCAACACAACACATTGAGTCCAATTCTTTCTTTTCTTTACCCATTTCATTTTATTGCACTCTTCACTTTTCGCAATCACTTTCCATCTTTTTAACAAAATTTTGTAGTGCTGAGTCTCTTTTCAAAGACTGCTTTAATTTGCTCAGTTTGTTTTTCTCTTAACCTCATTCGATTTCAGTTTAAAAATGGGAAATACAAAGAGTGCCGATTTAAATGAAGAAAAGATACAGGTTTTACTTTACAAGAATTCTCTCTTTGAAGAAAATATTTTTCAGAAGCCACGTATTGGATCATTGCCCGATGATAAAAAAGGAGATCGAAATGGCACTCAAAAAAGAAGTGCACAGAGTGCTCGGTAAACGATTTTCATTCTCCATAAGTCCACATCTTGTGTTCATTAAAAAACAATGTCTAGCAAGATCACTGTTAAATGTAAAAGTATTTTTTTAGCGCCTCAATGTCAAGTCAAGGGAATCGAAAGCCGGTGTTGAATGCGACACAGAGAACAATCATCAAATATTGTCTCGATAATGCAAAAGACGATATTGGAGGTTTGTGAAAGAAAGGATTGATGTAAAAGATGATGTAAGTCAAATGAATTTTTATATTTTTTTTAGAAAGAATTCTTCGACGAGCAGTCGAAAAGAAAGACGAATTTCGAAGTTTTATCGACAATCTACCAAGGGTTTGTCTTGTTTTTATTGGGTTGGTGAATTGAAAACTACCGGCTATGTGACAGTTTGAGCACTTTCTTCAAAAGAAACCCATTTTGGTGTCAATGGAAAAAAAGACCGAAAAATTCTTTTTGGCGGGGTCCTTTTATTGCGTCGGGTTACGGTTGTTTCCGACGTTTGGCACGGAAATGTCTGAAAGGCAAAGTGTACGGTGGACGGTCCGAAAGGCATCTATCATCAGAATTTTATCTGCATCTGTCATCAAGTTGAACATTTCATTTAAATCTCGCTTTTTTTTGCGAAAGAGATTGTATTATTTTGGGGTTGAAAGTACGAGAAGGAAAGGTGATTGGGTGAAGGGACAGCCGTGTCCATTTCCCCTTTCACCGATCAGTGAAAGAAATCAACCGAAATCACAAAAAAAGGACACAAATGTTTTCCCCGCAATAAGAAAAGGACATTAACCGGAAATCCTCTGTTTCCATTGAAAATTCCCCTTAAAATGTTCACCCTTAGAGGTAAAAAGTGAAAAAACGGCAATAATTATTTAGGATCAGCGCTATCAAGTGGCCGAAAGTTTGAAGCGATTCCTCAGAGAGATTTGTGACAATCTTATGGATTCGGAAAACATTGAAAGAGTTTGTTTTCAAGTTTTCGAATGCTGATCAATATTTAAATCAAAAAAAAAAAGAAGAAAAGACAAAGAGTCATTCAAAAATTCGACAATAGAATCGAAATTTAGAAAGCTGCCGATTTCGGAGCGACTCATGTGCAATTTCGAGCTGTTGGCTTTAAACCTGATTACTTTGTATGCACAGGTTAGATTATTGGAAGCTACTCTATCAAAAGAAAGGATTGATTTTTTTTTCATTTTCTAAACGAATCTACCTTTACGAGCACTCTTTGTTAGCAATTTTTATCAATTCAGCTGATGCAGTGACCACTGAATGCACTTTTCTTGATGCAGCTACTCATGGAGCTAGTGACACGGCTTCAGCATGGTAATTCAATAGCATCTTTTTTTTACAAATAAAGTGACGTAAATTAGAAATGTGCATTTTCCGTCTGTTTGTCAATAGGTGTACAATGGAATTCAACTTCAACCCTTTAAAATCGACCTTTTCAAACATTTTTTTACCGTTGAATCGAATTTTAAAAGCTTTAGTGAAAAAAAAGGTTTGATAAAGTCGATTTTAAAGGGCTTAAGAAGTGATTTTCCGCTGTACACCTATGAACAAACGGACCGAAAATTTCTTTCCTTGTTACCTTTGAATTTCCAGGTCTCAATTAACATCTTTTGTCTTCTCGGCGGTTCGCGATGGTTATTATCAAAAGCTTCGAGAGCAGAGAAAGGTTTTATATCTTTTTTTCATAAACCTCTACAACGTAAAAATATTTAGATCGAATTCGTAGCTAAACCTAGTAAATTTAAAAGTATCTCTGCTCATTTAAGTTCCCATTTCTCTAACATGACATTGCAAATCCGCGCGAAAACGGAGTTCTCTAACGAAAAATTTCTCTTAAAAGCTTAATCGATTCAGAAAAATGTGGAGAATCTGAATATTGACATGATTTTTAAATCCGTCTTGTAGATTTTTCAGAATAGAAAAAGTGGATCATTTTACTATGGAGACAAAACTTTGAGGTGCCTCTTTTTTTATCTTTTTGTCTTTTTCTTTTTGATAAGATTGATTCTTCGAAAAAGTTTTTATAAACTTTTATAAAGATCATTGATCTTTATAGTGGATCATTGATGGTCTTTATAAAAGTTTATAAAAACTTTTTCGAAGAATCAATCTTATGCAAGAATCAAAGAAAAGACAAAAAGATAAAAAGAGGCACCTCAAAGTTTTGTCTCCATAGTAAAATGATCCACTTTTTCTAAGCTAAGCATTTCTATACCAAAAACATTGAATTTTATGGAATTTCAATAAACTAGTAGCATTCTGAAATTTACATTTAGCACATAAAGCTTTTAAAACGCAATTTTTCATTAGAGAACACGTTTATTTTTACCTAATTTCGCGCGGTTGTGCATTGCTTTACGTCAACTTGCTTAACATTAAGCCTTAGCTAATCAAAAATGCGTCAAACATAACGTCAAACATTTACATCTGTGTGGGCTTTGAAATGAAAAAGAAAAATGGTAGATAAAAGAATGAATTTAGGCTTCGAATGCCTTCAGAAACAACCGACAATCGTTTGATGTATCGACAGATGGATCAACAAATAATGAGGATAGTCGGAGGTGAGATAGTTCATCAAAAATCAATTCAGTAATTCATTTACAAAAACAGATCTGCGAGCCCAAATGATACTACGTCTGCTCTCACAAATGCCGGTAATTTCCCCTTCAATCATTTCTTTAAACATTTGTTTTTTTTCTAGGTAATGTCGCTCAACACGGTGTTGAGACTGGTCAATCCGAGCCACCATCAAATTTCCTTTCTCCACCCACTGTTTACTAAAAATTTTTCATTTTCGATACTATTCTTTTAAAGGAGACTCCGAATTAGGGTCGATTCTTACTAAAACTAAAATTTTAGACCAATTTTCCCCTTTAATTTTGCTATATTTTTTGCTATAAATCCTCTAAACAAAAACTAGCTAAAATACTCAAGGCTGAAGCTGATCTGAATGTCAGATAAAATCGATAACATTGATGATAAACAATTAATAAATCGATTAGTCATTCCTACATTAATAAAGAAACTGATAGCAATTTGAAATTTAAAATTAGCATTACTACAATCGCTTTACTTACTACAATCATTACTACAAAGCATTACTACAATCGGTGAAAATCGCTCCTAATTCAGACTCCTCATTTAAAGCTGCAAACCAAAAAGTCTTTTTTTTTTTTTTTTTTCTTTTTCTTCTCTTTCCTTTGCTTTTCATTGCTTTTTACGGATTCTTTTGTGGATTCTTGCCAGCAGAGATTTCTATCGATCTCTTATTTTTGAGTGTTTCTTCTTTCTTTTTGCAAATAATCGATTTCGGGAATGTTTCTCTCGATTTATGAGGCAATGGGGTGTGTTCTAATGAAAATAGCTCTTCAAGTATGCACACATTTCGGGTATGCTTACACACAAATGTTTCCAATTTTTGTTTTCTTGTGCTTATTTTATTCTCTTAATGTTTTTTTTTTTGTATTTGTAGAAATAAGGTGAATGTTCAAATGTTTTTTTATGGTTTGCAAAATGGAAAAGCTAAGCTAAATATTTGAACGATCTCCTGGCTTTTGGTTGAATTGAATTGAATTGTATTGCTAATTGTTGAATTGTAAATTGAATATTGTATTTGCTAAAATAATAAATCAAATAATTTCTTTTTGCTCAATGAATGCACAAATTTGTAAATCGATTCAAAATTGACTTTAGAAAAAGGTGAAAATTTGAAAATTTGAAATATTTAAAAAGGTTTGAAGATAGATAGATTTAAAGAAAAAAAAAACTAGTGATATGTGAAAAAAAGCACAGATCTTTGTTCAGTTAAATGTTGGAAATACTTTTAAAATATCAAATCAAAGCTTTAAGGCTTTTTGAGTAAAGGCACATGAGGCACATTTTGCGTTTAACACTCAGTACAATTAAACACTCAGCACAATTAAAAGTGCTGTGCGCCTTGATTTCCGTGAACAAGAGCGATTAATCCATCTTTGTACGATCCAGAACAATCGCCCTTGATCATGTTCTCCAAAGGAGTCTAAAGACATTCAAATCTTCCTTCTGCTCATTAATTAAGATTTTACAAATTGAATCAATTTAATTAATATGCTTACTTTGTACAGACGCTGGAACTCGTTGCGCACATCGCCCAAATCGATCTCGGAACGAGTAACAACGAGACGAATCAAATCATTATCACGTGTGCCCAAACCCTGAAAGCTTTTCTTTTTTTTCACTCTTTTTTTATTTACCTTCATACTATCATGCAAAAGTTTGGCAAAATAGGCGCCTCGATTGCGAATAACCGTGCACAAAGCCATCATTCCATCTCTGATATCTCCACTGAACTCTGCGTCAATTGCTTGTTCAATCGAGTGATTGGAGACCTAAATGAAAGAGTTAATTCTTGAGGATTTCTTTAAAGATTCACTTTTTGGTATTCATCAAAAACAAGACGTAGTTGGGCATAGTTTTGTGCGGCGAGAATCGAATTGAAGCACGCCTCATCAGTTCCCAATCGACGTTCACCAGCTGCGTAAAGTTTTCGCGCGTCCTGAAATTGGGCTTTTTAGCGTTTAAAACTCTGATAGCAATCTATCCACCGTAATAGCACCGCATTCCCCTCGTAAAGTCGCGTAGTCGCAAAAGTTTTTTAGTATTTCATTTATTTCGAAGCGCCCGTACTTTCAAAAAATGCATCTTTGGTATCAAAAGATAGCCCTGAATTTCAGCTATTTTCTTTGATACCTAAGCCCGCAATATAGCATAAATCAGTGTCGAGAAAAACGCTAGACTTCAAAGCTAGACTACGCGACTGTACGCCCATCATTATTACTAGTGGGGTACTATTACAGTCACTTTACGCTAGATCACTTCAACTCGGTGCCTCAGTAATCCAAATTGATTACCTGATTTGCTCGAAGAGGATCAGTGAAGTTATTCTCATCTCTTCCGCCAGCACACATAGAAACCAAAAGACGTTTAAACCACCCCGAAGTCTCGGAAATTAAATCCTGAATTTTAGGGTTTTTGGTTTATTTCATTTTTATTTTCCACTCACTTTTTCCAAATCGCTTCGATACATGGCTCGATAAACATTACGGATCTCGAAGATTTGAGCATTCGTACGAGAGGTCATAATCTCGATCAACACCGATTCTTTCGTTCCGATTCCCTGAGATTATGTTTTTATGTCATTTTTATAATTTAAGAGCTAAATGAATAAGTAATAAAATTTCAATTTTTAGGAGACTCACAGCCATAGCTCGATGTAACTGTTGAGCATCATATTGAGCCGGTGGGGTCATCAGAGCGATGATCAGATCCTGAACTTGGCTGTTTTATATATATATACCGTAGATACTCTAATAGAACGCCATCTCCAATAATGATTGGCGTACAGTCGCGTAGTAACTTTGAACGTTCCGTTCTCCTTGCTACTTTATGCTACAGTGTTTGCTTGGCTGTCAAATGATAGCCCTTGAAATCTAGTATTTTTGGTACCAAAAGTGTAGTTGAAAAAAGTCTAGGAACTAAGAAAAAAAATGAATTTCTAAAAAGACGCTAGACTACGCGACTGTACGGGCGAGTGGCGTTCTATTAAAGTATGCAAGTACAACGCTTTATCATATTTGACTTCATTTTAGACAAATCTACTCTGTCCTCACCTCGAAATCTCCTCGCAGTTCACTTTTGAGTTCTTGAATCAAATCTTTTCCGTACATCACCTAAGTTCTTGATGTTTATTGCTTTTAAAATAAGATTTTCTACCTTAAAAGCTCTTGCGATCTCTTGTCGTTGCATGTTGGTTCGAGCGCAGAGAACGGATATCACCTGAAGTTTTTATTTCAATTGTTTTGTGCACTTGGAGAAATTTCCACTACCTTCGCATTATCACACCCGAGTCCCTTCATCGCTTTCCTCAAAGTCTCCGCGTCCGCATTTGCATTAGAGCCAATTGGACGAATTGAGGGATTGCCGAACATTGCTGAAATCAATCTTGAAATTAGATTGTAAGAAATCTATTTCGATAAATATATTCCGAAAAGAAAGTGATATGTGAACAATGATCTGTTGATGAAAAAAAAAGTTGGTAAATTTCAGGGTCAAGTCTTATTTTTTGAAAAACCACACCCAATCCTACTAAATCAAAAACCACGAGCGCAATTTTTTTAAGGAAGAAATGCAAAAATTTCAAAAGCTAGAAAAAAAGCGTCGTACATATTTCTATAAATTTAAAAAGTACTCAAAAATCATGTTTTGTTTATGAGAAAAGGCGAGAAACGTTTTAAGCTAAAGAGGAAAAATTGCGATAAGATTGAAAGAGAGTCTTAATCACAAAATATTCCCTTATTAGTTCTTATTTATTGTGTGAATAGATGAATGAATGAACGAATGTGAGATTGAATGAATGGAAAACTCTACTAATCTCCTCGTTCTGGCTCTCTATATTTGGAGGACATTTTCAGGGCAAAGAGGGGGGAGATATGATGAAAACAAAAAAGAAAAATGGAGAGGCATCAAGAGAGGAAAATACCCGACCTCCGATCGAGTGCTCTATGTTTATGTGTGTGTGTGTGTGTGTGTGGTTTAGAATGTTGGATGAAGAAGAGGGGATTGGGGATGGTGAGGGGTTGGGGAGGGGTTGAGGAGGGGATGGTGAGGCGTTGGGGAAGAGTAGCGGCCCCTTCTCTTTCCCCCTCTCATCTCGCAAACGGTGACTCAGCGAAGTAAATATTGTGCTTTTCTTCCTTTCCCTCTTCACCCCAAATTTCGATGATGCGGTGAATCAGTAACGTTCATTTCAATTTTACCCATCCTATAGTCTTTCATGCTGTTAGCAGAAAATGCGTCATCGCTAGGAAATCTTAGAAAGATGAGAAATGATTTCGAAACGTTATGTGAAAAAAGAAATGAGATCTTTACCTCCTCCACCGGTTCCCATTGGATGCATTGGTGGCTGGTGAAAGCTTCCACTTGAATTAAATCCGGATCCCATTGATGGATATGTTGGAGCCGCTGGATAAGAGGGCATTGATTGGGATGGTTGACCGATATTCGGATTATATCCAGCTCCACCAGATGGATACCCACCAGATGAGGGTATTTCTTGATATCCACCAAGGCCAATTTGTGGATAACCACCTGAAATCAAAAAAACATAAAGAATTCGCTAAACTGAAACGGAAAGAAGATAGAGTTATATAGGATAGAATAGAATAAAAAGAGAAGAGAATAGAGATAGAAATAGAAATAGAATTTTTATGAGCACACCTTGATTTTGTCCAGGGTAAGCAGAAGACTGAGGCGGATAGGGCTGATTGGGAAATCCACCAGATGGAGGATAAGGTGAGTTCTGACCGGCGTATGAACTGTTTTGTCCTCCTGGGTATGGAGGGTTTTGTGCGCCAGGATACGGGCCTCCTTGTCCAGGATAAGGACTACCTTGGCCTCCTGAATATCCACCTTGTGCTGGATAGGCTCCACTAGGTGGTTGCTGTGATGGATAGCCATAAGGATTTTGCTGTGGGTATCCCCCGCCACCGGAATAGCCGTCTTGTTGTGGGTATCCACCGCCAAAACCTAGAAATCATTTGCATTCGCATTTGAAATTTTTGATCTATTTACCGCTCATATTGTTCTGTTGGTTGTTCTGTTGGTTATAATTTGCTTGATCGTAAGAAGAGCCGCCGTATTGATTTTGTCCGCCTCCTCCACTCGCGGAATTCGGATTTTGCCGTTTGTTTAGCTGCTGGTCCTGAAATAAAATCTCCTGTAATCAATAAAATAAAAAGTACACTTATTTAAGAAGTATTGGTTTTAGAAAAAAGAATATTTCTAAAAAAAAAGATAGCTCTTCTCAAAGTGCCCTAAACCATTTGTGGTGATGAGTCAGTTTTGGTTTCCCTTTTCCCAAACAGGCAGGGTCTAATCGCAGTCAACGCAAATATATATCATGGAAACGCTATCAATCCAAATAGAATTCACCATTTACTTTTTTTATTTATTTTATTTTATGTGCTAATGGGATGAAATTTAAAAGTGTTTAGCTTTCCAAGACTCACCAGAACCGTCTTCGCACCTTTCATCAGCAAATCGCCAAAGTTCGGCATTTTCTAAAACTTTTTGAAAATCGTCAACTAAAACACACCACAGCTGAAAAACGGTGAAAGAAATGATTTTTTTTCGAAATAAGGGTCAGTGTAAGCAATTTGTGGGGAGAGGCAAACAGAGAATACGGCGAAATTTTGAGCAAAAGAAGAGATATTGTTAGAAGAGAAAGAGGAAAGGACAACTAGATATCCACCGAGTAAACACTCGATGGAATTAAAGCGTATTGATCCAAAATTTTAAAATGTTTTAAAAATTTAAAAAAAACAAGAAATTTTCCGAGCCTATGTCTAGTAGAATGAACCGAATTTATGTGATTCAACGAGTTTCCCAGAACCAGTAAACGATTTTGAAATGGATGACTAATAAGAGAGACCGGTAGATGGATCGAGGTGGTAGTGGAAAGAACAACCAAAGAGGAAAAGAAGGAAAGGAAAAGAGAAAGTTTTTCGCCGATCCAAATCACCAGCCACCCTTGCTTGCAAAAAAGTAAAGACATCCTCTCCACGAAACGAATCTATACACGCTGTAATGTGAATGCGTTTTTGTTTTTCTTAGCATTAAAAGACTTTGGTTAAAAGCATAAAACTTTATCAGAGGCACTTTAAAATGAATAATAGTCCTGAGGAATCATTCACAGCACTAAACAAAGATAAAGTGATTGGAAATCAAAAAGGCACAATTTGAAGATGAGCATAACTGGATGAGAACGCGATAAGACAAACGGAAATTGATTTCGCTATCAAAGACAGTTCAAAGAAAGCTTTGTAACGAGATCTTAAAATGATAGATAACACAAACAAGTTTAGGAACATGTACATTAAAGCATAACTTTTTTATCTTCTAAACGTCCTCTTGCTGAATTGTAGATTCTTCGAGAAATTTTGTTAAGTAGCCATCGCGACAGTAGTCTTCTAATCGATCAATTCCTATTTGACGATCATCGTCCTAAAACATTTAAATTTTAAATAGCTAGCAAAAGTTAAAATTAAACTAACTTGAAGAATTTGCCATTGCTGAAGAAGCAAATTGGAATATAAAACCTCGGGGAAGTATTGTTGCAACTCAACCGTAGTTGATGATGGAAACAAAAGTCGGAAATCTCCTAAAATTCATTTTTAAAATTACGATGTTAAATCCGTCTTATTTGGATATAAATTAATAGAAAGCTACCTTTTCTAGCATATTCGTCCTCAAATTCACACAAAATTCGGACATCTTCCGGAGTGAGACGTTTTGTGATCGAGTTCCCAATTCTGCCCTCTCTTTTGTATTTTCCAGCAAAGTGCCGCTCCTTGGCTAAAAAATAATAACACTTGTGAATATCGATAAACAAACTAACACATGGTTTTTTTGTCCTGCTGCCAATACCTTGGCTTTTCGCAAAAGCTAGAAAACGAGCCACCATCACTAAAGCAACTTTATAAGGAAATTAGAGCATGGAAAACATCTTTGTAAACAAAAACTTACTCTGCGGGAACCTGAATCCCGGCCATGTTCAACACGTCTTTTGCCAGTGGCGCTTTGACAGCAATGTCAAGAGGTGTTCCAGAATGAAGCGACGGAGAAATATTGACCTAAAGAAAACAACTGAAGTTCACTTATATAGTCTCAAACCTCCAATAGCCAAGGACGGGCATCCTCGTCAAGTAGGATGTCAATACCAAATAGCTCATGGCAGACAAACCTGAAAAGTATTTGAATTTTACTTTTGATCCAAAGCGACCAATACCCACCCACAATCAATGAACCGAGTCATATGCTCACGAACTGACTTCTCACAAGCGATAACGGCCTACATTTCAAACAATCAAACTATTATAAATTATGATAAAACTTTAATAATCGTGTCGTCAATCATGGCTTGAATTTGGGTAACATCCCATCCATTTGCATCCAGATAGGTCCACAGCTCCGAGAGTCGCCACTAAACTAGTTGGTAATTTAACTTTTGTCTTTTACAAGTACCTTTGGTACAGCTCCTTCGGCAACTCCATCAGCCTCGGCTAACTTGTTAATTGAATAGTTTGTAAGATGCATATAACGATTTGAGATCGTTGACAAACAAGAAGAATATCTTGAACAGTTGTTTTCATTTAAATAAAAACCACTTACGGAACACTAGCAAAGCGCACGAGACCTTCCTCATATAAATATAAGCGAAGTGGATCAAGACTCGTCACATAAGCGTAAAGACGCAAATCAAACTTTGCTCCATTGATAGTCATTGGGCGTGCCACATAACTATAAATGACAGAAGTTACAAATCCTAGAAAATCTTACTGTTGAGCCACTAAAGCAGTTTTCGTAGGAATTTCCTTGAGATTCCGCGTCACTGAAATGCCCGTACCGCGTGCAGAAGCTGGCTAAAATTAGATTGGGTTCAAGTGACAGATCAAGTGACCTACCGGCTTGACAATAACATGATGATTCGGATCCGATTCGAGATAATCTCGTAATTCTTTGGCATCTTTCGGTAAAACATACGTGTATGGCATAACTTTGAACTCATCTCCCCAGCTAAAAATATCATATCAATGTAAAAAAAAATAACCCACGTTTTTTGCATAGCTTTCAAGTGCAACCAGAGTCGATCCTTACGCCCAATATGGAAGGCTCCGGGAAAATGATTTACCTAATTATTTTAAAATAACAGCAAGTTAAATGTTATTACCTTTTGAATTGGCTTCAAAGTTTTATATTGAACACTTTTCAAGTGACGACCCCAGTATCCAATCCATTGCAAACTTTCATCGACAACCTACACATTATACTGATATTGAAAGAAGAAACCATATTTTTTCCTACCTTGAAATGACTGGCAGCAAGACTATTTCGCATCACAATTGGGAGTAGCGAGTTATGGCACCATTGTAATCGGTTGCACAGCTTTCGATTTGGTCTGCTGACTAAAATTCATAATTGTTAAAGAAATCTTTTTTCAAAACCTCTTGTTCCTTTCGTATAAAAGCGCACAGTAGGTGGAATGTGAGTGAAAAACGACGAGCGAAGAAATGGCTGCGGGTCAGTTTGGCTCGAACTAGCAGTTTGGTTCTCATTATTCTAAAAGAAATATATATATTTTACATTTCAAAAGGTACCTTTTTTCCGTTGCCGCTAAGACATTGCGCAACCATTTCCGTCAGCCCACACATGCCAATTCCATCCCCTAAAAAAAAAAATACCATAATTATAAACTTAACTTTAAATTTAATTTTCACCTTTATTATTACTAACATTTCTTGTAATAAAATATAAAATGTCAAAGGTCTCGTTTTTTTCAATAAAAAACTTTTCTGGCTTACTACATATATTATTTCAATTAATGGACATTTAACTTAGTTGTTTAGCTTATAAAAATACATTCACGTACATGGCATAACCGTTGCCGTAGAAGTCAATTAAGTTTGCCTTAAAATGAGGAAGCGAAGAGACGAAATGCAGAGGGCAACTCGACCCTCTTTCACCGAGCTAAGTGCTTGATTAATGAGGAAAGACCACAGGATACGATGAAAAAGTTCGCAATGCTCCCTCGTTAGCCAATGAGAAAAAAAGAAAAAAAAAAAGAAAAAAATATTGTAGAATATTGTACTGACTTCTTTATAGATGTTATTTGAATTAATACAGCTGCGGTTGGTTCAGCGGCTTTATTGCTGACTACGTTATCACCAAATCATATCTTACACTGAATATGAGGGAATCTAGAGAAAACAAGAAACAAAATATAAAATCGCAATTCTAATAACTAAAACTTTTAGAAACAGAAAATTACATATTTCTGCACAAATATTCTCAAAAGTGATAGAATATCCATGCGCAAAATTTTTTTATTACACAAAAACTTCGAGGGCCTATGGTATAAAAGAGGCCAGCAGCTAGCACGACAACTGACAAGCACGGAAATTGTCGGCAAACAAGAGAAAACAATGCATTAGAGAGCTATCATTTTCTCCTTGAGAAAAACGTCTGGGTTGGCTTTCAGTGAAAAAGCGAATAAAGATAGCTCTTTTCTTCCGTTTTTAAGGTTTTTACTTTTTTAGAAAGATGCGGAACACTTCTTAGAAAGTTTTTTAGAAAGATGGTCGAGGAAAACAAAACTAACTGGAACAGTTCCAGTGACTCATTAAGATTATTGGAAAATGAAACAAAATCATAGTTCATTAATTAAAATTTAAATTCCGCATAGTTAAAACAATATAGTGGAGTGGGGCGTGGGAGTTGAGGGCGGCACTTCAGATGAGACGAAAGAGAAGAGAAAAAAAGGCAAAAAGAGAGATGGGGAAAGACAAATCCGCGCGATTGAAGGCCCTCGCCTGACTAGTGCGGCCCGAAAAGAGAAATGGCAAGGTTGCCCCGAGGACCGCTTTGAGTCGATAGGGAAAGCGAGACCACGAGACAGCGAAAATTAAAGAAACGACTACAATATTAATGTTCTTTTTTCGAATATGATAACCATACCTTGTTTAATGGAGCCTCCAGGCGAAGTCACATTTTCACTTTCTTCTGTTGGCGTCTCTTCACTACTGAAAAAGAAAATTAGTTGTTTACACAAGAAGTTTTTGCAAGTTTAATCTCCATAATCAGTAACTTAAGCTCAAAATATTAAAAGCTAATAAAGCAAAATTAACTTTAAAAATAGTAGATAAAATGCATGACCAAGTACCGTATTTATTTTAATAGAAGACCATCGTCTTCTATTTTTCAACCTCTCAAAATCGACCGACTGAAAACGTAGGTAAGGGTCCCCCAGATAAAAAATTTAAAAATTGTTAAAAACTATTTTAAACCATAGCCTTGGCTTAAAACATGCCAAAAACGTGTTTAAAAATGAAATCATTTCCTTACCTAGACCCCATAAATTTTTTTCCAAAAACTACGTTTCCAATTTTACTGCCGAAGCTAAAATACATCCATCTGGAGCCGTATCTATAACTTTAGCTAAAAAGAAGTCCTGAAAAGTCCCGATTTTGGAGAGTCAGGGAGGGTGATCTTTACTCGAGACTGGTCTTCTATTAGAATAAATACGGTAGTATGACAAAATATAGTGGATCAGCGTTATTTAGCTGATAGAAAAGTGGAGCACGTCAGAAAAGAACGAAGTCTTCGCTCTGAGAGAAATTCAATAACATCTAGGTAATTTGTTGCTTTTCCATATTTTAGGTAAAATCTGTTCACGCTAACGACATGAGTTTAAAAAATTCAATCCGTAAGAACACAAAAAGCTAACCTCAATGTACTAGAAGCGTCATCTTGAGCCGTTATAGCGAAGTCCCCAAAATTGCCTTCGCCGTCAGAAATGGACATTACCTGTAAAAAAAGCAAATTATCAACCAAACAAAGTTTCATGCAAAAGTGAGTAACACTACGAGAGAAAAATCGAAAAGACAGCGAAATTAATAGAGTTTACGCATCGGCATTTAGTTGACTTTTGCTTTAACTTACGAAGCCATCTGTAATTTTGTGACATACGTTGTGGCAATACACATGAACAAAGGGGTTAAATTATTTTCAAACGTGTCGAGTAGGCGTTTTGGATTCAAAGCAAGATCAGCCTTTACTAACACGAGGGGAAATTAAACTGCTTAGCCTACGCGCAATGACAATGTTCGCCGCGAATTTAAAGTGGTGATTCGCACCTATTCACCGTAAAAGCATGAGCTTAACAAACAACTGAAAAGAAATGAAAATTTTCTTTTATAACTAAGACGATGAGTATTCAGTTGAAGAATTGAATAGTCTAAACTTCATTCAAAGCAAAAGATGTCTATTTAAAAGAAGCTTTTGCTTATTATACTCTACTTTTCATTTTTTAATCCGTGCCAATATTTTCATTTTTTTTCGTTGCCCGATGGCTTTAATTTGTTCTCTTTAGTTGAGATGAATAGAATCCCCCAGGATGTATTTTCATCATCAGACGATGAAGGACCATCATCGTCAATTGTTCAGGTCATTTCTCCAATACATACCTAATTTTCACAAAGTTTAACGCTAGTTTAAATGTTTTGCACGGGCATTGAATTCTTTTCGTTTAAATTCAAAACTACAATTTGTTATTTCATGTTTTAACGTCAATGTTTTTTATAGCCTGATATGCAAGATTTTGGCCAGAAATTTACGAACAATCAAACCGCTTCTTTTCTACAGGTTTCTATCATTGGCTAGCTTTAAATAATTTAACCTTTCAGGAAGCCAAAGATAATACAATGGGTGATGACGAGTCCAACAATATTCGAGTTTGTGTTAGAATTTTTACCGATAATTTTGCATTCTAGATTTTAATCGCTTCTGATATTCACGTTGGATATGGTGAAAAGAAAAAAGTGATTGATCAAGACGCCTCAAGAACTCTAGAAGAGGTTCTACAAATTGCAAACGAGCGCAAAGTTGACATGATATTGTTAGGTTCGTGTTGAAATTTAAGTTTAGATGTTATTGAGTTTTTTAGGGGGTGATCTTTTTCATGAAAGCAATCCAACACGAACGTGCGTAAACAAGGTTGACTAATTGTAATGCATACTGTCTAAATTTTGCGTTTAGGTTATTTCATTACTTCGCAAATATTGTATGAATGACAATGAAGTATTTTTGCAATTTATCTCGGATCCAACCATAAACTTTTGTCAAAGCCAATTCGATCGAGTGAATTATGAAGTAAGTAAATTTCAACTAACTGGCAGCGGGTTTTTTTTTGTTATTTAGGATGAGAATCTTAATGTTGGTTTGCCAGTTTTCACGATCCATGGAAATCATGACGATATGACCGGAAAAGTGATTTTACTTTTGTGTTAAAGTTTTTTTCTGTTTTAGGGTTTAACGGCTCTTGATCCTTTACACGAAGCGGGTCTTTTAAATTTGTTTGGAAAGTTTACTGAAACGGACAACTATGTGGTATGAAATATTTTCATCTCAAAGATTTTTCCCGTAGGTATCTCCAATATTACTTCGAAAAGGCACAACTTCGCTAGCGTTGTATGGGATTGGTTCTCAAAGAGACGACAGACTTACTCGAGCATTTCAAGGTATCTTTCTTTGCAATAATTATATTAAAAGTGTAGTCTCTATCATTTTTCTTTTATTACCGTTTTTATTTAGCCGGCACAATTCAATTTCCTCGGCCACGTGAAGATACTGAATCTTGGTTCAACCTTTTAGTTCTACACCAGAATCGTCCAAAGCGCTCGACCTTACGGTACAGTAAAAATATTTTAATATAGGTGTTATATTTTCTATTTTAATGCTTTTAGTACTACCGGGGCTTACCTCCCAGATTCATATCTTCCTTCGTTTTTTGATTTTGTTCTTTGGGGGCATGAACATGAATGCAAAAAAGGTTGTCCTTTTGCCAAATTGTAATTTAAAAAAATTTAGATTTGGAGTATGTGGCGCCTAGTTCAAACCTAGCCGGTGATGGATTTTTCATTCTTCAACCTGGAAGCACTGTTGCAACATCACTCACAAAAGATGAAGCTCTTGCTAAGCATGTATTTTTGCTTACTGTAAGTTTTTGTTTCATATAGACTGTACTCATTGTAATGTTAAAATTCTTAGAGTTTAGGTACGAGACCGAAGTTTCAAATCTGAGCCCATTCAATTGGAAACGGTTAGGCAAATGGTGGTCGATGAGTTAACGTTGGATAAATTACCACGTGGTGTCAAAATTCCAGCTGGTGGTCTACGACCCAATGATGCTAACAAGCCGTTTCATGTATTTTTTTAAAAGTTTATACTTTTTAAAAATGTATTAAATTTAAGGATGAACTTATCATCACAAATAAAATCAAGATGATGATTGAAAAAGCAATTAGAGAACGACGTCCACGCCAGCCACAGTTACCTTTGTTGCGGTTAAAAGTAACCTACCAAGACGAGTGGGCACAACTTTTAGTAAAAAATATTATCTATTCTTGTTTTGTTCAAATATTTTTAGCCATTGAACGCACGACGAGTGGGTATGTCGTTTGTGGATTTAGTAGCCAACCCCGCAGAGATGTTAACGGTTGGTGGTGTTACTTCCAATAAACTGGTTGATCTTTTTAGATACGAAGAATTAAAACGCTTAAAGAGAAGAAGCCAGAGAAAGAGGGAGCTGTACTTGCAGCGTCAGAAAGATTGACCTCTGTTGAAAATATGGTTTGTTTTTACGTTCAAAATTTTTCAGACTTCTGTTACAGGTCTCTGAAGCTTATAAAGGTGAACCTTTGGAGGACAGACTCACTGTTTTAACCGATGCATTTATGGCTGAAACTTTAAGTTTGATATCTTTTTTGCGAATCTTTTAATGATACAATTTTGTAGAATTGTGTACAGAAGGGGAAGACGATTCGGCTCAGAGCACTAAGCATATTAATACTCAACTTGAAGAGGTTATTTAGTTTCAAACAAAAAAAGAGGTTTTTTTAGTCAATCGCCAAGCAAATATCGACGTTGACTGACACTGTAAACCGCCAAGCATCTCAGAGGTTAGAGCAAATTAAGGTTGTTGCAAACATTATCTAACGCAATTTTTAATTTGTTTTTAGCAACATAAAACGATTAGAATCGATTCAAACTTGATTGAACGAGAAATTCGGAGCACTTTGCAGGCAATTTATGACTTTTATAATTCATATTGAAGTATTTAGCACATCAAGGCCAAAAACTACGAGAAAGATTATGTGGACAATATAAGTGATACTAATAGGGAAAATTTCTCTCAAGAGGTAACTGGGATGTTTATGTTCTTCAACATTTTTAATTTTAGGATGACTCAATGATGGAAACGTCAGATAGCAGCTGTGATTGAACGCTTGATATTTGAATTTTTTTATTGAATATTGTTATAAAGTTAGATATACATGAATGACTAGATAATATAAGCATCCTGAAACAAAAAACCCGTTATTTATGGCATAATTCATCCACTATAGGCGATTTCTTCGGTGGCACCAACATCTTCGTAAACGATTTCGTCGAAAATTTCAACTTCTTCCATTAGGTTTTGTGGCACCTGAATTTGTTTTCAGGAAGTTGTAAAACTTTTATAAAACCTCTTGGTAAGTGTGGTGTGGCATTTGGTATTGGCTCATTGGGAGCATTTCTTTTTTCGGTACATTTGATGCAACTGTATAGTAAACACCATCTACGACAACTGTTTCCCCAGTGTGTGGCCTTTCCGATGTTGAAGGAGGTTTTTGAAAAGTCTGAAAATTTATCGTTTCTTATTTGTGGAGTGGGTGACGATGAGGTATACCTCTTGCTTACGCGTTTGCATTGATATCCCTTGACGCATAAGAGCCGATGGCTTCATACTAAAAAAACAGTACTCTTTGCACGATGACTTTCAAAAACCTGACGAAGGTGGTCGAAGCTATATTTTGCTTGCTTGGTCGAACTCCCGACGATTGCATTGAAACTTGGCCAACACGAGCAATTGAAGATGGTCTTGCGTAAGCAATCGACTGACTGAAATTTAAGTTTATTTTTGACTTTAGCGTATTCCATACTGAGACTTATTTTGATCTCGAAGCGATGCTTGTCGTTCTAACGCTCGTGCATTCTCGACTTCTAAACATTTTATTTTGTTTGAAATTTGATTCTCATTACCATTTAGTACTTCATCAACAAATGGGCGTAACCTTCTAGGTAACATTTGTTTTGTGCCGTCGCGAACTTCATTTGGAAACTCAAAGAAAAAAACAGTTAACTTTTTTCTCTTTTGACTTACTATTGATTGAGATTCAAGACCAGCTGTCAATTCCAAACGTTTCAAAGCTTCAACGTCATCAAACATTTCGAATGGACGATCCAAATGAAAAAGAAATTCAGAACGATCACCAGCCACACCGACATCAACTTCAGTTCTGAAAATTTGAAAAGAAATGAGTAGATATAATGTATGTAGAACAGACGTTGGCTCAGTAGCGACAACCAGGAAAGGGAGATACAGAACTGAATGATTTAGGGAAGCTTTTGTTGAAACTGAAGGCGATTCTCTGAAATGCATTAAGTAAAGTAAAGACCGTACTTTACTTTACCGATTTCTCATTATCAAATGTTTATAGGCGACAATTTGCATCATCAAATCAAGGCATTGCTCGTATTTTTCTTTCAATTTTTCTTCTTTCTTCGTCTAAATTTATAATTATACCTTGACATAAGATTGATCAAACTTTTTCGTTTTCCAAAATTTTCATCTCTTGTGCTGCTGTTGTAGGCAAACCGTTCCAACGAATTTCCTAAAATTCATTTTGCGAAAAGAAATCGGATTTCATTTGAGCAAAAGGATTAAATGAGAGGAACCTTGTTTTGTTTCTCAATAATATTCACCGCCATCAAGACATTCAATGCGTCGTAGACTCGACGACGAATATTTTTCATATCAAAGGTTTGAAACTGGAAATCAATTGTTTGTGATTGTGGTGAGCGCTATTTACTTGTGGAGCCGGTGTATCATTCATCGCATCAAAATATTCAGAAACCAATTCATCGGCAAC